GTCGGCACCTAATGGAACCGATCAAGTCGCGAGTGCGCGCATCCTCGTGGAAAAGGAAGAAAGGAAAACCGAGTGGTGCGGGAGCGGGGTGGATTTGCTGGAAGGCTCGACTTTAATGGCCGACGCGGCCACAGCTCGCGGCTTCTGCGGCATTGTGTCACGGGATAAGTGCTCTTCGGCGTTTGGAGGTCTCAGTCTTTTGTTGCCCGACTCTATTCTCTCTGAAAAGAGCAGCTCGCAGCACGCTCACCCCAATCGAGGAGTCGCCGCAGAAATTAGTCGAGTGCATTCGCCCGAAAAACAAATTTGATTTATGTTTCGCATCTCGGCGGCCCTTCGCTCCCCGATGCTGCACGACTGTGCTTCTGCGTCCTGCCGCCATTGTCACCCATGACAGGGCTGCGGGCTGCCCTTGGAACGCCCAGGCAAGCGCCTCTTGATGCTTTTTCCGGCTGAAGCCAGCTTGGCGGGCTTTCCAAATCATTGGCAATCGGGGTGGACTGAACTCCGTGCAGCCGTTTTACATGTTGATTCCAGCCAGGGCAACTTGGGTCGGAAATTCGAATATTATCCTTGCCCATGAAAATGACGTCACTCATTTGAGGTTGCAAGAGAATCCAGCATCTTTGTAGGTCTGCTTTTGACTTTTGAAAATCTTCATTACTTCATGAAACGACACGAGAACATCGTGTTAAAAAAAACGTGGGTTAAATAGCCTTACCTAGCATTAAATAGCCTTACCTAGCATTACAGAATATAGTAAAAGTATGAGAGGTGCATAAAATATGAGGGGGTATAGACGGCAGACATAAAACCAATTACTTAAAACACAAAAAACAATTTCTTCATTAGAGGTCGGTATTTACTGAAAATCCTTCATTTTTTGGCCTACATCTAAAGCGTATGAAACCAAAAACATAAATCCATCATTGAAAATGATTTCCCTAACTATATAAATGTTTTTCATTATTTTCGCGCGTAGTCCCACGGCCCACCAAGATTCGCGATTTTTAAAAGGAAAAAATTAAAAACGAAGCAAAAGTTAATTTTATTTTAATTTTAAATTTAACGATCTAATTTCGTGCCAGAAATGTTATTAATAATCGCTTTAGGAGCTGCAGAGAGTCAGAAGGAGATACTATAGAAAACAGTCTATTATAGTCCGAACAAATTACCCTGAAAGGCTCATGCACGTCGTAATTAGATCTACAAAGATTAAAAACTAAAGGAACATTATTTCTAGTAAATCTACTTGGAACCGAGAAATTTAGTCTACTTAACAAGTAATCACTGTCAATTTCACCACGTATAAGGTTATGAATAAATATTATTTATTTATTTATTTAACAAAATTAAATCTAGTATACAATACTAAATCTAATGTATTTCTAAAGAGTACTAGCTGCTAGGGCCTACGACGCCGGGTTAATCGATTAATTAAAATTCTTAATTATTTAGGTTGGTTTTTACTACAAATTTGTAAAGGTTCATTATGTTTTCTTGTGAAACTATTTTTAAGTGTCTGAAGGTTTTTGTTGTTTGAAAATATAAATATAAATATAGTACCAAGCATTAAGTTTCATCAATCTACCAAAATGACAACGCACTTATTCAAACTGAAAGAGAGTGGAAAAACGCGGAAAAAGTGGGTATACTTGGTTAACTTTTTACTCTACTAACCTAATAAGTGAAGAATATTGAATGGTAAATAAAATCCCGCAAGTTATATCCAGAAGACAACAAAGTTGTACTATCTAAACATCCTTGTTTTTTTATTATGAACCTATTCTTATGACTCGTCGAAAAATTGGATTTTCTGTTAGGCTTTTGCTATTTTATAACATAACGTTGTCCTTTTATGCATATAATATTGTTAGTGTCATGAACACACCAATTAATTTCTTAATGTAATGATATAAAATTGGAGTCCCCTGCTACACGTTATTGTTGTAGTCAAGTCTTATTCTCCGTAAAAAAAGTACATATCTTTTTTCGAGAATTTTAATGTAAGCCCAAATCTCTATATAGTCTACAATTTTGTAATTCATTTTTTGGCAGAGTTATAAATGTCCGGTCCGTTAAGAGAACTCTAGCAACTTCAACGATTAGGTCTCAGACTACTTAATTCTAAATTAGGTGATCATAAAAATTTATAATAAAAAAATGTAGAAAAAGTTGTATTTATGCACAAAATGTTAACTTGATGTATTTAAGCTTTGGCAAAACTCTCTGGCGAAGATTTTTCCTTCGAACTAGATCCTCTAGGAAGTGAGCCAGGGAATTATTAAAATTCCCTCGATTTAGCACGATCCTAATCTACGCGGTGCTCGAAACCTTTAACAAACACTCTATCGCCTGGAGTGATCTTTATTATTAACGGGTATGGAGTCCAGCTTAATAAGCCTTGCGAGTCCGGATCTCCGAAACATAATCTTGCTTGCGCTTAAAATCGATCCAAGGGTTTATCTATGGCTGAAATATGGATCGAAGTTTTGTTAGGATGGAGGTTTCCCCGATTTGTATCAACAGTCGCCGTTCTTTTCCCATGTGTGACGTATGCGAAATTCCCTAATTAATCTAAACACGAACATCACGTACTGCGCTTATCTCGTGAGCGTCTTCTAATTACAAACGGTCAGGAATAGGAATTGGGCACCGCAGACATTCCATGAATGAAATCACGGGCACTGGCCGAGCGGTTTTCCATATCTAATTATTTTATAACTTCCTTTCTTTCCGTTTATGGGTGCCGCTTTGTCCTAGGTAGGTTGGGTTGCCGTTTACGACCACCATTCGGGCTGTGAGACGATTGCGTGGAAATACCGGCGCTCATTACTTAAAGAATCTCGTGGAAATTCCCAGGCGGCTGCAAGCCCAAGTCCCAGCCTACGCAAATAAGCTCGTGGATTTCTCAGCCTCACCACCCCTCAAGCCACCTACCTGACACCCTTGAGCCGTTGCCCAATCCCTGTTTATGAATGAATCCCGTGGAGCGCTGAGTCGTGAATGAATCATGCGCTCCTCGGCAGGTACTGCTGGCCCAGGACATAACTACCTACGTACTCCGATGCAGCTCGACCTTGGCCGCTGCATTCATTAGCATTGCCGGGACAATGGAGGTGAACCTAATCCAAATGATTTCCCTTTTGTTTCAACTGGCAGGGCAGAGGGCCTAAGGCGCTGGGATGGCGGTTGCAGCTTCTGCAGAAGGCAGCTATCTTATAGGATGCCTGGCTTGTCCTCAAATATAACACTTAACAAAATACTTTATTTATAAACCTTCAAAAAGTATAGGTTTTTATTTTATTATTTTGAATTAGTTGGCATTCAAAATTCCCTTGTTTTTAAGACTATTGCGAATTCATATATATGTAGATGTTTTGTATTTGTAATGGAAAATCATTGCATTGGGGTAACTCGATACTTTTATGCTTCGGTATATGATGAATGTTCGGTGCAGAACCCCTAACTTGTAAACTAAAATTCAAAGTCTAACTGATAATGTAACGTAACGTAAGCGTAAAGTTGTTTACCAACACGACAAATATTTGCTGTTACAATACCGACAACAGGTTTAATATCACTAACGGAATTAAAACCACCCATTTGTAAAAGTAATTATGGCTTTAAGTAATAATTATACCTTAAGTTAGGGATAACTTTTTTAAATATTTAATAATAGTATTACAGTTTTATTATAGTAATTTAGCTTCGATATAATCAGGCTTAACTCTCGTTATCTTTAATGTTAGCTTAAGTGAAATAGAGCTGTTTGTTCCTGTTATGTTTTTATGCCTAAAGATCGACATTGTTTTCAAGCTGTACAAAAATTAAAGTGCAATATACATTGCTCTCATGCCTAATTTTTAAAATAATATGTAAGCCTTAGCTAGAAGATAATCTTTACGATACGATGACGATAAATCATTCTCGAGGAATTACTGTTTTCTCATATTTCATAGTTTTATTAGTCAATCAATTAGAAGCAAGTGGTAGAAAGGCCTGCCTGATTTTCATGGCAAAATTCGTAGCCTCACTCAATCACACAGAAATTTGCAAATGTAAATTGTGTCGCTAGTTTTTGGGAACGCATACCCACTCAAAGCCAAAGCCAACGGATACATCAGGGGATACCATACACCAATTTGGATCACTGGGCGTAGCAAGGCACATTCATAACCATTCCTTATCCATTGTGCCTGCTGAATATCTTTCCTCCTAATCTGGATCCCGAATCGCGCTTGGGCGAACGCCCACCGGAGGCAGTCAAGTTTTCTTGAGCATCCCCCGCGGACCAAGTTAGGGCCAACTGTACCGTCTGCACTACAAGCTCAAACCTTTATCGCCAGCCCTCGAGACTGCCCGACCCCTCAGCCCCCGACCCACACTTTGCATATCCGGGATGCGCGAACCCACCCTCGAGGAGAGCACTTAATTCAATAATAAATTGCCGAGCCCCAGATAACCGAGTTACACATTTGGCGGGGTATCTATGGCTGCTCGAGCAGCCGGAGTGGGAAAGTGGGCCTGGGCCACCACCCGGGGGCGCGGGGGTAGCGTAAAATTCATAATCGAGACTGCCTTGCCCAAAGTTGCGCCCAGATCCCGGGGAGGCCGCCCCGCAGGGATCGCCCGGATGGCTACAAAGGTGGTGGCTCGGCGGCTAAAAGCGCAAGTTGAGGAAGCTGCCGTTGCTCGCACACACACAAACGCAGGACCCTTATGTACTTCGGACGCGAGTGTGTGCGTGAGCGAGCCGCCATTGCTGGCAGCGAAAACCACCCCGGAGCGGTCCTCTCGCTCGCACGTCGGCAGACAGACAACAAATCGATGAATGGAGCGCCTTGTGCGTGTGCGTGTGCGTGAGCGCAGGACGAGTGCCTGTGTGTAGGTAGCCGTAGGTAGGCAGAGTCCTGGCCGCGCTCTCCGAGCGGTTCGGCAATCGGTTTAAATTGGGAGCCGTCGGGGAGGGAGAGCTCAGTTCGAGTTGAGATCTCGCAGCGCACACACACCGCCGCCCAGCCAAGCGACCAAGTCACCCACCCAGTAACCAGTGTTCCGACCAAGAGCTCCTTGCCGCGACCTCTTCCTTCTTCATCCTCCGCCGAAATGTCCGCGATTAACCTGCACCCCCCGCAAACCTACTCGCGCCTGTTCCGCCCCTGGGACTCGCAGCGCCAGGCGGTCAAGCAGGAGCAGGAGCCCGAGCCCGAGGCCGTTGCCGTCGCGGTGGCTATCAAGACGGAGCTGCCCAGCAGCGGCTTCGGCCACGACTGCGAGCGGGACTTCTCGTCCGCCTCCTCCTCGTCGTCGAGCAGCCGCAGCAGCAAGTCCTGCTGCGAGGAGGCGCTGAACCACAGCGGCTACACCCGCACTTCCACCCCGCTGCTGGACGCTGCCCCGCAACCCGTCTTCCCCCTGCCGCAGCACCAGCACCAGCACCAGCCCCATCTGCACCAGCCGCAGCCCCACTCGGGGTCCGCCTCCGATCCGGCCACCAGCAGCCCAGTCGCGCTGGCCCCATTCCTGCCGTCCGCCAGCGATCTGTATTACGCCGCCGCGGCCGCAGCCGCCGCCACAGCCAGCACGCCCTCCGCCCAAGCCGGCTTCGGCCTGGACCCCTTCGCCCTGGGCCTGATGGAGCAGGAGTACGCCCGCGTGATGGCCGAGGACGCGCAGCTGAAGGCCCTCAACGCGCGCAAGCAGCGCCCCAAGAAGTTCAAGTGCCCGCACTGCGACGTGGCCTTCTCCAACAACGGGCAGCTGAAGGGCCACATCCGCATCCACACCGGTAAGTCGAGCAGCATTATGACCCCTGTCCGCCAGCCGAACTCACGATCCCCTCTCCCCTCTCCTTGTAGGCGAACGACCCTTCAAGTGCGACGTGGACACCTGCGGCAAGACCTTCACGCGCAACGAGGAGCTGACGCGCCACAAGCGGATCCACACCGGACTCCGGCCGTATCCGTGCAGTGCCTGCGGCAAGAAGTTCGGCCGCCGCGACCACCTCAAGAAGCACATGAAGACGCACATGCCGCAGGAGCGCCAGCTGGGCCCGGCCCTGTTCGTGCCCATGTACCCCTACCTGTACGGCTACTGAAGCTACTGAAGCTCCTGAAGGGATACCCCGATCAGCTATCCAGCTATGCAGCTACCCGCGAACCACCGATCCTGCCCAGCAGCCAACGAAACTCGATGCCGGCCAACACTCTGCAGTTAGGCAGAAGCCGATCTTGGACAGAACTACCTCAGCCGTACCTGGCGCAATATGGCGCACCCAGCAACGCAATCAACGCTCGAGATATTTATTTTTTAGCGCATATTTACACTGCCAGCTACGTGACCAGTTGTGGGCGCCCAGAGACCCGCACTCGTGTAAATACCTCCTCAAGTGATCCTTCCTCATATGCTAAGCGATTAAGAGATTAGGCGATACCCCTTGTATGTCTGTACTACACCTAAGCTGATATTTTAACAGTTTTATACCATAAGCTGAACGCGGTTACCAGAAACATACGATTTATATCTACATAGTTAAATATTGAGAGTTTCGCTATACGATTTATGTTTACACTACGAAATACAAAGCCATGAAAACCAAATCTTTGCTGCAAGTGATTCTCCCTTCTGGGCTTGTCATGAGGTCATGACCGGGTAGTTCCACGTGGTCCATTTGTGGTAAATTGTATGTGACATCCTGGGTTTATTCATTTATAAGCGACTTACTTCTCGGTAAAGGTGCCCCATTTGGATCATTGGGAACCAAATGACCATAAACCATTTTGCTTGCATGCTAATGGCACTGTCACTTCCCGCTAACCAGATCATTTGCCAAATCGCTCGTCATGCCGACTGCGTCAAAGGCGGATCCGAAAATCGCATTCACGGCTGCCGCCGCCTTCAAAGGGTTAAAATGCACAAGTCATTTGGGCCGAATCCATCCAAAATCTATTCATAAATGGGCAAAATAAAGCGAAAACGCAGACAGGCGGCCGGCAAGCTGGAAAATTCGCCCAGCCCAGCCCAGGCGACGTTTCTTGGCAACACTTTCCCACAGTCGCACAATCAGGAACAGATCTCTCCACGTCGACTCGCCATTAGTCACCTGACGGCTTGCGTCATTCACGAGGACAATGGAGTGGTCCACCTGAGCAAAGCCTCCGAGACACAAGGTCTGCAAGAGGTCGAAAAATGACCCATGAGTGTCTTGGAATTTGTTATGCGAATGGCGATCGATCCGATCCCGTTTGCTATCCCAGTAACTTCGACGGGCGGACAATAGGTGCAATTTATGAACCGGAGCAAGCGGTGGGCAACAGGGTTTTGGTCGACTTGCAGGACAATGCAGAATTCGGCCGATTGATAGGGGCGTGCAGTCCTTGCATTACCTGTACCCTACCTGCCGGCCGTCACTTCGGGCCTGGGAACATTTGCCCGGTCTGCCAGACAGAGTGTCGTCGTTCACATCGCACAAGTGACACAATGATCTATAATGTCCCTTCCATTCAAGCCCATACAATCTGGTCCCTGCTCCAGACACAGTTGCTGCCCTACGACTACGTGGGCGAACACACTCGAGACCCACTTGCTGGACCATATAGTGCATAGTTCAAACACCCATTTCTCAAGGTGGTTACATTTACCCCGAATCCGTGCGTAATTGCTGGCAATTAATAAACACGGTTTGCTTTGATTGACAGGGGCACTCGGTAATCGTGGCTCCCAAGATTGAAAGTGCATTTCACGTTCATCGACATGTTTGGGTTACCATCACGCAGGCGCAATATTTATTTTATATTGTCTTAAAAACACAACGAGTTACTTAGTTTTGGGAACAAAGCTAAAGGTGTCCGCTTCGGACAATACTCCTGATCTCTACCAAAAACTACTACATTTTTGTGACGCTTTCTTTTTCCTGCACCATACTTACCAAAGAGTAGTTTTATTTCAACCTGAGCAAAACATCTGGAAAAGTTTTTGATATTTGTTTGGCAAAACAAAGGATAAAAGCGAACAATTTTAAAAACTTTCACAACGAGAAAGAAAGCTTTCGTTGTCGAGCTCAAGCAGATATACCCTGCTGTTATTACGAATTTATAGTAACAAGATTTTTTCCCCATTTATTATTGTTAGTTCCCTACAATGTCACCGACAAGGTGTATATTTTCCATAAATAATAATAATAATAATAAATTTTGGATAAAAACATCGAACTATGATAATTTTTCTATTAATTCTCTATAATTGCTTCGATTGTTCCTAGGAGGGGTATATGATAAAGTCATCAGATTGTCATGATTTTTAATTCGAAATTTAAGTCGTTATATTCCAAAAATGCTTGTATGATAAAAACAACGATGTTAAAATTTTGTTTAGCTAATTGTATATACATTTTAAGATTTTGTCTATGGCAGCTTTAGTATGTATATGCTAGATTAATCAATTTTTTATGAATCTGTTTCTTAAGGGGTTATATCCAGTTGCAATTTTGAAAAAATCAAATTTTTTTTGCCGATTTTGAAAATATATATATGTATATTTAGTTAATAGTTTTGGAGTAATGAGGGTATTTTTAAAGACGTCTCCCATGTAGTTAAAATAGTAGCCAAATCTTTAAATGCTTTTTTCTCGAAACTATGTTTTCAAAGTCGGTGAGAAAAATTTCTCCGAGATTGACTTGACATTTTCACAGGCTCTTCTTAGATACTTTTTTCAGGTAATGACACGGGGAATTTCGGCTCCGACAAAAAACTAAGTTTTACGTTTGGAAAGCCACCATTTTGTCTGAAATCTAAATTTTAAAAAATTCCCCGTGTATTTATCTATCCTTTACGTAATCTTTTTGGTTTTTTGTATTTCTGATAACCGCAAAACACCTTTTTGAAATGGACCTTCAGGAGATCCTCTACAGGATCGACGGAACCCAATATTTTTTTTTTTGGAAATGTATTCTTAAACTACGTAAAATTATCTAACTTTGCATATACAACACGTATACAATAGAGAAGCCTCTTCGGAAATTATTTACAACAAGAAAGGAAGCTTATACCTCGAATACCCTTGCAGTCATCAAATATGTCGAACAAAATGCATAAAGACTAACAACATCGAGGCTTTTACGATTTTTCTATTAATTTTCCATATTTTCGACTATTGATCATGTGACAGCTATATGATATAGTTTTCCGATTTTGATCAAATTTAATTCGTAACTCAAGAGTCGACTTTATATTCAAAAAATCATGCTTATCTGGTGAAAAACAACGATGTTATAATTTTATTTCTGTTATTTTTATATATGTATATTTTTCGATCTTTCCTATGACAGCTATAAGATATAGTTGTCCAGTTTTTATGAAACTTTTTTCTCAATTTAAGGGTTGTTAAAAAACTTGATATTCAAAAATCAAGAAACAAACTTGCAAACGTCTGACTGAAATTATAATACCCTTTTGCTCTGCAAGGGTTTAAAAAGCTCATTTTTTCGGCCTCGCAAATACATAGATATAACCCCTTAGTTTAAGAGTCGTTAATAAACTTTGTGTATGCCATTAATTTAATATAGATGTTAACAATGTTTTACCGAGTAGCTTGAAAACTGAAAGACTAACTTGCTTAGTCTATATTAACTCGTATAATGAAGCGGAAATGTAAACACCTTTGGGGTCAGTTGTGTCTCCTTAACTGCGTTGAAAACATCTGACTGCAATTATAAAACCCGGTGCAAGGTAATTAAAACAGTATTCAGTCTTTATTTCTTATCTTTCGAACTGTAAGAACCTGAAAAAGTGTTTTAAAATTGTAAATACAAAACAAATAAAAATGTGGGTTGATTTATTGGGCGCCGCCATCTTGCATGCGCGAGTTTTTCGACTTTCGTATGGAAAACCACCGCGCGGTCCAAGAAAATGGTTTTCACTTAAAACAGTAAACTTGTTTTGTATGAAATGAAAAAAACTAATTTTAGAAAACTGTTTCTAATAATAAAAAACGAAAATAACATTTAAAAAAAAATAATCATTGATCCTGAAAAGTCTTCAAGATATTCTCCGCGAAAATTATTTTACGTAAAGAATACCTTCAGTCACTGTAAGATTATATATGTATATGTATTTTAATCTTTATTAGTATCAACCAGCAAGTCGATTTGGGCATGTTCGCCTTTGCCTTGTTGCGTAAACTTATCTCTTTATATTATATCTTTTGTAAACTTTACGTTATCGATTGGAGAAATAATGATAAGTTGGTTGACCACTTAAATTAAATAACATTCATCTGACATATTAATTGATAAGTAACTATAAAAAAATAAATTAGTGCATAAGGGTAATAGTATTTTAGAAATACGAAAATAGGACATTAATTTTTGTGTTTTTATTAGAAATGTTTTCCCAGCTTCAAAAATATAATATTTAGTTATAATTACTCTTCTTTATTTGGGGGTGGCATTAACTGACTTCTGTAAGATACCCAAATGAATAGATTAGTAACTATAGAAAAAACTAAAAATATATCGCTCGGGGGTAAGCGTATTTTAAAACTACCAAAATATGACTATTCTAATAATTTATATGTTATGTAATATTATAAATGTTTTTCCAGCTTTAAAAATATAATATATATATACATATGTATGTATATAAAACATATTTTGTTATTTACACTTCTTTATTTGAGGGTGGTACTGATATGCGACAAGGCTCATCGACCCGCCTAATTAGGCAAAAATAAAACGTACCTTGATCTTGCAGATTCGGAAACGCGAAATTCTCGAGTAAACGATCCTTTTACAAAGCAGAGAGAGAATAACGTAGGTTCGCATTTATCTATTAACTTTGCTATTGCATTTCAAAACCATTATATTGTACTATATTCCGACATTAAATAAAATCTAAACATACCGTACTAACTAAACTTATAATAGGACCAAAATTCAAGTTACGTACAACTTTCCTATTATTTTATATTTATTGGAATACGATTTTCATTGTTTGTATTTATACTATTTATATGTATTTGTTTTCTATTGGTATTAACGATTGTTAATAAACGATTGTTAAAAGCCGTAATAAACAATAAGCATATGTTTCTATGTCTTAATGTTTAAAACCAAGCAACTTTGTTTTACTGTGGCTATATGTTGTCTGTTCTCTATCTAGGCTGCCGACTCCTTCTGACCAGACATACTTTTTCTGTCTGTGTGGACAACAGCGCATTTCGTTATGCCTCAGACGAATATCTAAGAAGCTGTATGCATATTCTAGCTAAAACTGTAATACCCTCGTTAGCAGGGCCGGCGAAAACCTGGGTACTATGGGTAGTACTACCCACCTAAAACTTCTAAAAAACAGAGATGAGAACCTTCACTGAGCTTAAAAACTAACGGAACATGTGAAAGTAATCACGGCGAATTTTCAGTTATAACTTATAAGTTAGTAATAAATAAAATCAGTTCAGAATAATATTTTAAATTTTATTAAAAATGCATTAATTTGATATTAATTACCTGAATTACCTGGCAGCAGCAAACGAATCGATTCACTAAAGTCTTTCATCGAACTCTAATGTGTTGTTTGTGCCATTGAATCGTACTGTTAGTTTCGTAGAATTAATAATTTAGCCATATGAGAAATCAAAATTGCATTAGATTGTTCCATGGAAAAGTGCATTGTTTGGGAGACAATGTTGGGCGATAGAAAGAAGTTAATTTCTAACAAGAAAGCAGTTTGGCTATCAATAACCTTCTGACACTCGGGGACAATTGCCATGTAGGGCACTGTCCATTCATGACCACAAAAAGGCCAAACAGGATTCCTCGGGTGGTCCGCAAAAAGTTTGCAACGAGGTAATTGGCAGGGCTACCAGTGCCACTTTCTTAGCAGCTCCTTGGCTGCCCACCCAGAGCGCCCAGAGTGAGAAATCGAAAGGTCTTTTGTGCCACTAATAGAGAAATATACGGGCCATGATTTCGCAACGCTACAATAGCTGGCCCAGAGCAATTGAATGAAGAGCAGTGCGAAAGTCGAAGGATCGAACAACGAGCAACGAGTGAGTCGGAGTAAAAAATGGTGGGTACGCAGCCCTCCGGGCACGGCTACCTTTCACAGCGCCGGTTCTCAGCCAAGCCAGTGCCTCGATTTCATCGGTTTCATCCCCTTGGCCAGCAACCCTCATCCCTTGTTAACTTAAGGGTGAATGAGAGGAAGCGAGACGGCCCATCGAGGCAGGCGGGGGGTAGTAGCGCTTTATCCAAAGTGTCAGAAGATCCATTTAATTGGGAAATTTATTGGCTGGCAGGAGCAACAGCCACGCAAGAATAGGAGACAGTTTGTCTGGCCCTCTTGTTGGCTTTCTTTGGACGGTGTGTTTGCGGTTCTCGAAATGCTTTCCCGCTGAATAGAATGGACAGAGCCCTACGAGGAAGTCTGCTCTATAAAAAACCAAGGACAAATTCATGTAAACAAGCGGACTGAGCAGGAGTAAGGTGCCTCGATTCCACGTAGGCCCTTGGCCTCAGACGCAACGTGGGAGGCGGCCGAATTGGAAATTCTATTGATAAGTCTACGCACTCGATTGCGATTACGATTATGAGACTTCCCAGTCAGTTGTGTTTGCACAGACTTTCCTTCGCCGCATTGGAGTGGCCCAGGATTCCCAGTTCCGGCACTCTTCCTCCGGCTTTGACCGCTCATTCCTTAGATCGTACTTTCCAGGGGTCTGTTCGCGTTCGCAGAGCCTAGGCGGAAAAGTGGGTATGTCCCGACACCCGCTAAACGATGCGTTTATCTGCGCAAATACTCCTAATAAGTCGATTGTTATTCTTCTAATCTCGCCCGAGCCGGGACCTAATGAGCCCGTCTTTGCTTTGTGTCTGCTCCGAGTATGCATATACGCAATTTCTGGTCTAATCCAAACGCCGCGTCTTGCATAATGCTGCAATGGACAGTGGAAACGGAGGAAACGTCGCCGGTTTGCCCTAATCCTCACACATGGTCCTAATCTGTTCGCAGAGATAAGCCACAGACCAGATACATAGATTGCGACAGCGCTGAGCGACTCGCATTATCCGCTCGCGCTACGGGCATCGATCAAGCCTCAATCGAAAACACGGTCATCAATATTGCGCAATGTCAGCAAAGTCGAAACCAAAAACCAACCAAAACAGCACCCAAGAGTCGCCCAGCGGGACAGCGGGCCCAAAGGCAAACAGTAGGTGGTGCCGGAAGTGCCGGCAGTTTTCCCATCAACATGAGCCTCGAAAACTAATCAAAACTAATGATGACATAATTGGCTCTATCTGCTCACAGCTTCCAAAGGCAGCCAAAGGTGTTGTGTCCTGTGTGGGTCATGGGACGCAAAGGGAAGTGCCTTCCACACAAATTGTTCCCGGACCTCCGGAAAAGAACACACATTGACGCTCAAAGAAAACAGATAATTGATTTCTTTGCGAAATTGAAAGCAATGACACTTGGATTTTCGCTCCTAGTGTGGTCCGGTCCGTTTCCGATCTAAAGTGCTTCTTTTAGCTGGAACGCTAGAAATGTTGTGACATTCGGCAAAGGCAAGAGTCTCGGACAATTCATCAAGGCAGTCAGACAGACAGACCTTTTTTAATTGACTCGTTCCTGGAGTTACTGAGTTTTTACCATGCGGAAGCGTAGCGTGTGCTCCTACCAATTCCCACTTCCCCTGAGCGGCTGCCCTGGTCTGATAGATCAATTAGTAAACAAAGCACCAGTGATTTCTATTTTTTAACAATGACTGTTGCTGTATTTGTAAATATGCACATAAAAATACTTGGCTAATACAGAAAATAGAAATATGTCATTCGAGTACTTATGTAAAAGGTATATAAATATTGGTAGGTGCGGGCAGTATTGTGCGCTTAAGTATTCATGTTAAGTATACTAGTCTAAACGAATGTACCATCGGCTTGAGTATATAAACGGGCCTTATTGGTGGCAAGCAAAATGCATCCACAAGGCACAAACAATTGGGCCACTGAGATTACTTGGTGTCGCCGAGCAGTTTCGTTGAGGTTTATTCGGGAATTCTTCTCATCGTTCTTCTAGTACAACATTATGGCGGCCTTGTTCTTATCCTCACTCGGCGGCTCCAGACGGTTTCGGTCACGGAGCTCACGGCGGCTGGCATACAGCAGGACGGCGATGTTAAGCAGCACCACGATGGTGGAGATCACGACCAGGTAGAAACTGTAGCCAAGGTAGGCCAGCCCGGTGCTGTACCAGTGCTGCTGCTGGTGTTCCGCCAGGAGCACGTTGAGGGTGAAGTAGTTGTAGAACTGCACTAGCCAGGCCACAAATGCCACGACCTGTGCCCCCGCGGCGGAAACGTTTGCGGCCAGGAGGAGCACCATTGTGCCGCCCCTCTTGGCCGCAGAGGCTGATTTCAGGACCGCGGCTATGGCGGCCACGGCACATGCCAGGAGCCCGAAGCCAGTGCCTAAGGTGGTGAGGAGCCAGAGCCAAAAGCTAGTTTCGCTGTTTTCCGTGCGGACAAAAGAGTAAACTGAAAAGAAGTTGCAGAATCCTTATATAATTTGCATTTAAAAGCTTGTTTTGGTGGAACTAAATTTAGTGTGTTATCTTTGGCTGGAAATAATAGTCATATACGGAGCTTTGTCTTATATACTTTTTTTTTTTTAAATAGAAACAACAAAACATGTTTAATCAAAAGTTTTTAAGAAATGGTACAACTGTAAATGTTTGCAACTGATATAATTTTTTACAAGCATCAATAAAAACAAGAAAGGAAGGGAAAAAATAAAAAGGAGAATGGCTTAAGGATATAGCGTTTCGATTTTAATAAAACTAAATTCGAAATTAAAGTCGTTAGAAAACTCTCAACTCCAAAAATCATACCCTTATTATTAAGAAAACATTATTATTTTGTTTGCATTAATTTTTGTGGCAGTTATTCTTAATTTAATAGTCGCTTAAAAACCAGATATTCCAAAAATTATGCTTGTGTGATTGAAAACAACGACGAAATCATTTTTTTCCCTTGCAAAGGGTAATATAATTTCAGTCAGATGTTGGCGACGAAGAGAAATAGACACGCCAGACCTCAAGTATATATATTCTTGATAAGCATACCACCTGAATCGATCCAGAAGTGTAAAGTATCTTTCAGTCTTAATTCTATTTCGGTGAACCTTTACCAAAAGTTGTGAGTCTTTGCAGGTTATATTTATGACCGGGCGGATTGGACAACTTAATCATATATCTCACATAGGAGGGATCGATAAAATAAGTGAAATTATTTGTAACGCCGTTGTTTTTCATTATATAGGCAGAGACTAGTTTACATCAAAATAGACAGAAGGACAGATCGACTCAAATGGAGCTTCTGATCAGGAATAATATATAAATTATATATATAATATATAGGATCAGGCCTGAGATGACTCAGGTGAATTGCGAATTTTAGACTAAAATTATAATTCTCTCTGCAAGAGCATTATAACATAAGGAAGATATCAAGAATCAAGATTGAAACATTTTCGATTATTTAGTTATCAAGTATCTAATTGCTACTATTTTAAGCTATAGCGCAGATTCTAAATTCACAAGCTTGTTAAGGGGGTCTTCCTATGTGACGGCCTGTTTTTTAGGGTTATTTTAGGATTTTTTTTCTACGACCAGTAAATATTTAGAGCTTCAAGTTTTTTATCATTTATTAACACATATTTGGACAGTATAAATAAAAAATTTCAGCAAAAAATATTCGGTCAAACTAGAGTTACAGCGCTCTGAACACCCCCGCCTCGAAAAAAAGAGCTCCCACTTCCTCCACGATTCCGGCTGATCGGCTTATCAGAAAAAAAAAAATAAACGGCGTTTTAATTTGTAGGCTTAAATGCACGGAATGAACTACAATCAAATGAATATAAAAAAAATTAGATTTTTGATAGACATTTGAAAAAAAAGTTGCAAATTTGGCGTTTTTTTTTTTTGTTTTTTGCTATAAAAAAATCGAAGTTTTGAAAATTTTCGATTGATAATAGTTCATTCCATGCGTTTACATATATTGAGTGTGCCCTGTAAATTTCAAGTAATTCGGTCCAGCCGTTTCTGAGATACAATGGAGGAAAGTTTGAAAAACACAGTTTTGAGAAAAACGCGTTAAAAGTTTCTAACTGCCAACTCAGCGCTTCGAACCGCTCTTTCTTTTACCTGCTGTATCTTTAAAACGACTTCGAATTTTCTAAAATCGCTTTACTACCGTATTCTAGACATGTTAAGGGAGCAATTTATGAAAAAAAAAAAAAATCGATTTTTTCAACCCATCACATAGGAAGACCCCCTTAAGTTAAATATTACTGTAATCAAATATAGGACGCAACGAGAGACAACCCATAAGTAGCGATAAAGCGCATTCAGGCATTTTTTCAAACCCTTTTCAATTATAAATATAGCCATTTCTGTGTTCTGATAAAAAAGTTTATAAGCAAGTAGTTAAACCACCATTGACACTACGTGTCTGACATGACTCGAGTTATATGCACAAATACATATATATACATATGTATGTATAAAAGAAATTTTAAAATTAATGACCTCATTATCAATTGTTGTTTTCCTTTGCAAATGCAGAAGATAAGTCTATCTCATTTTGTTTCTTAACCCGTTAACGGTAGATAAATTTTAAGCTCACCATCTACTGGATAGGGGCGCACTCCGAACCCAGGATTCAGGTGCTGGGTACCGTAGAAGAGGCCGAAGTTGACCTCGCCCTTAGCCTCCGCAGAGCTGTTGCGGCGTGCCTGGGCCCGGACCCAGTGGTTACTGGTCATGCTGACCAGCAGGAGACCGATGGCCAGGCAGCTGCCGAAGAAGGTGGAGAAGACCAACGCACGTGTGCGCATGCTCATTTTGATAGTGCTCGTGGAAGACCGGTGAAAGGGGCGGGAGCGGGGCTGTTTTCACCATTTAGAAATCCCCAATTCCAGACTCCAGCTGCAACAAAGAAAGTCGGTTAAATGCGCGAAGAAGTACGAGGGCCACTGGCAACTTGTATCACGTTTCTCACCCTTTTAACGTTCAGTCAACGGACGCAGACAATTGCATTAATGCTCTTTGTTTTTATTATGGTTTATTTTATTGTTGTAAAATTGATCGAAACTGTTTAGCCTTTGTTATTTGTCTCGGGTATACCTCGACTGAGTGCGACCTTTGGTGAATATGGTCTTACTCATTGTTCAATCAGTCTGGCAGCACTGGCAAGTGGGGTGTATTACTCGACTAATAAACCGAACTTTAAACGTGGTGTCAACCCTGCAAGCCTACAAAATAGCGCGAAGTATTTGTCTGTACGGCGGAAAACAAGAGTAAATTTTGGATAACTATGAGCGGCCGTAAGCACAGAGGCTCTGAAAATATGGAAAACCTGTGTCCTCTAACTAGGTAATGCATCTTCTCTCGCAACCAAGTTAACAAATGCTAGTCTCCCGTGACGTCACACGATCCACAAGTTGGCCGAACGAGGTCATGAATTTAATTTCTGTAATGGCTGGGTGCTTGACCCCTGTGCTGATGAAGCAATATCCAGCGTATCAATTTTAATCGATCCGCGACCATTGCAGAAAACGATCGACGAGTAAGAACGCCGCCTCTGCCGTTGGAGGCCTTGTGTCCGCCACGAAATCGTCTCACTACGAGCACCCGTCCTCGCCCTCGGCCCTAACGTTTGAAGCCCTGGAGGAAATGGGCATCGGAATGCTGGACTCCGAGGAGAGCAGCTCCTCAGCCCTTTCGGCAATTGCGCTGGCAGTCAGTGCGAGTGCCACAAGCGATGACAACTCAAACGAGACAACTCCGTACGCCAGTGTAGCACGCATGGCCCACCAGCAAGCGCAGTGCCTAAGCCTGGGCTCCTCTGCGGACACAACGCAGGATAGTTCAGCTGTCGAAGATGCACTTTCCCGCCAGTCGGCCGAAAAGTTGCAGACCCTGGCGCAAGCCAAGCGCTCAGCATTGGGCTCCGAGGGCGGCAGCAATTCGAACTCGCCCAGCAAACGCTTGCGCAACCCCCTGGCTGCAGTCACCTGCAACAACCAGAGTGAGGCGGCTGCTGCTCTTAATTTTCAGCCCTCCACGAGTAGGCTGGCCCAAGTCCGTCAGGCAAAGAAGCCCTCAGCGTCACAAACCACAGCTCGAGCGCTTCCCACGGATAACTTTTTTGTGTACCGCACACCTGTTATGAGTGCGCACATTAGCAGCGGAATAAACTACTTCGACCGGCTGTCTGACGAAATAGTGTTGGGCATTTTTAAGTGGCTTCCAAAGAAGACGCTCCTGCGAATGTCCACAGTTTGTCGTCGTTTTAACCGCTGCTCCCGAGATGAGACCTTGTGGACAAGGCTGGATCTGGGTCTACGCACTATTAGGCCAGGCGCGCTCGAGCAAATTGTGCGGCGGGGTGTCCTGGTAATACGTCTAGCCCAGACAAGTGTAAGTAAAGTTTTTTATTCTTATCTGTGAACAAGGTCATTTCATTATTTAAATCAGATACAGGAACCGGCTTTTACGCCATCCTCAGCAGGCTTTCGGGCGCGATTGCAATATCTCGACTTAAGCATGGCCTCTATTAGCCGAACCTCACTGCGCACTCTTTTATCCCACTGCCGCCAGCTGAAAAAAATAAGCCTGGAGAACACTGAGCTTGATGATAGCATCTGCACGGAGATCTCCAAAAATAGATCTTTAGAAGCCGTCAATCTGACCATGGCGAGCGGTCTAACAACAGATAGTGTACGTCTGATGATGGAGTCTCTTACAAATCTGAGCAGTCTAAACATATCCTGGACTGACCTAAGTGCAGATGCTGTTACAGCGTTGGTTACCCACATCTCCCCCAATGTTATCCGGTTAAATATTGCTGGCTGCCGCCGCGTACTGTTTGACTCTCGTAAGTAGTACAATTGGAACCATTAAGAACCCAATATAGCTTAAACTGTTTTCTTTAGACGTTGCCTCGCTACAGAAAAGATGCCCACAGTTGTTGGAACTTGATTTATCGGACTGCAATAGTCTTACCCCAGCAGCTATTACATCAATTATGAAGTTTAAGATGCTGGAATATTTGTCGGTTTCTCGTTGTTATCTTATTCCTGCTACCAGATTTATGTAAGTTGATTTTGGTCAACAATCAATTGGCTTTCACCCAGTTCTTTTACTTGCAGCGAACTGAAGGGTATGCCCTCTCTAACCTATTTGGATATATTTGGAATGTTGTCGGACGCCGCCATGGAGGTCCTCGAAAAGCAAATGCCGAAAATGGGCATCAACAAGTTCATCCACAGTTCGGTTTCCCGACCGACGGTGGGCACACGTCGTACCTCAATTTGGGGGCTGCGTACACGCGACTAAATCTGGGATCTGCTGCTTTTAATACCATTCGAATCTTTTTTGATGCGTGAGCCATACTCAACGCAGTTTTTATTCTGAATTCAACAACATAAATAATCACATTTTGCTGTCCCAACTTCCCTGCTTTGTGCGTCCGGTCACTGATCAGCCTCGCTAATAGGAGGTAAGGGCTTCTCCCACTCCCATTCCTCCCAGCTGACACAGTTCTTAAGACTATCCATGAATCCCGTTTCGCTGGGGCACTTCATTTCACTGGCCGGTTGGTTGAGTGACTCACACTTCCAGTACGATGTGGCATCCCAATTGTTTCGGAAAACTGCAATGTCTATCTCAGCTTGGGTCTTGCAGCCCGGTTCGCCATTTCCTTCATAGGCCTGGGCGAAGCCTAGACTGCACAAAACCACAATGAGAGCGCTAAGGGCAAACTGAAGCTTCATCTTAAAAAAACTGTTGGCCCACTTGAAAAACTCAACGCCTTTTATAGGTTCATTTTTTGGTTCTGCATGTTTTTCAAATCGGAGGTACTACTAGAAAATGCTTTTAAAAATTGGCATCAAAGTAAACACTTGAAAGAGTAAAGTGTAGATAAAAATACTTGTCCTTGGCTGCAATTTGCGTAAAGTAAAACTTAAAATACATATGTCAATAAGTCATGTGCTTTCCATTTAAAATATAAATGTGTGGTAACTGATTGTTAATATAATAAATGCGAAATAAAACAGTTAAAGGTTTTTAAATTTTTTCAGGCAGACTTGAATCTTACTTCGTAAAAGGAAAAAAAGTTAAATTAACTATAATGTGTTCTGTATAAAAGGACTCGACATGAATAGTTGTAGATTTAAGAACCAAAGCAAAGAACCAAATGGAACTACATAACAGTCGACCGATATAATATATATGTATGTATGGGCAGGTCCGGGGGGTGGTCCAGATTGTAATGTGAGTTTGAGATATATTTTGGATCAGCATAACACATTTTTTTTATTTTACTACGAAAAGGTCGTTCGAGCGAACAATCTTTTACTAAAAATAATTTAAGCTAAATTTGAAGAACCGAAGCTTACACGCCTTTGCGCCTATAAAACGACTAGAGACATTAGAAATTTTTTGTAAAAATTTGTTTCTATTCATGGTCGGAGCCGCACAATGCCAGCAATAAAACGTACTGCTACTCACAAATTTGGAAGCTATAATGTAACTAATAGTTTTATCTTGGCAGAAATAAGTTTAATTAATTATTTAATCAAATTTCGTTAAAATTGGACGACTATATGTATCATGTAGCTGTTTTACGAACAATCGTCGGATGTAAAGAAACTTAAAAAAAAAACGTAATAGCTTCGATGTTGTTTAGCCTTTCTGTATTTTGTTTGACATATTTAATGACTGCAAGGGTATTTAAGCTTCGGGTCGCCGAAGCTAGCTTCCTTTATTGTTTACATCTATTTTCATAAGATACTGCTAAATGTCGATAAGATTGGTTTTGGGCTTCAAATACATTCACCCACACTGTGGCAGCTTAAGGGGTTATCCTACCCCTGACCTTTTAAAAAATTCATTTTTTTCAAAATTTTTTATATAATAGTAAAAAGTGTAAGGAATGTTGTCCGAAAATTTCAAGTCGATCGGAGGAAAACTGTAGGAATGGGGGAAATTTAAAGTGCGGGTTTTCCAGAGTGTTTCAAAGGGTTTGAAACTTTGAACTCGTTTTTCTCGAAACCACTTTTTCAAAGTCGGTAGTCAAATTTTTTCGAAAACTATTGCATCGATCGACTTCTCTTTTTGCACACTTCTTATGTTTTTCTCGTATTTGAACGAAGGATTTTTTTATTTTCAAATAGAACTTATTTTATAGGACGAAATAGGGTCAAAATCAATGCAAAATCGTAATTTTTTATAAAAAAAGTTATAAAAAATTCAATTTTTAATAAAAAAAAATCCTTTGTTCAAACACGAGTCGGACACATACACTAAAATAAAAATGTTGAAATTTTGATTTCAGATGAAAATTGGCGGAGAAAATTTGACTACCGCCAGGGCACTATTTTTGATGGGGTCAACAACCAGGCATTCTCACTCGCTCATTTTTTAATATTTTCTTTTCAAAATTTAATAGATCATAGTTGAAGCATTATATATTCATATTCAATAAACAAAAATTGTAAGAATATCCCAGGAGCTTTGAAAAAAATTCACGAAAATAGGCCTTTTTGTTGGGCCTCCAGTGTAGGATAACCCCTTAAAGGTTTATCAACATACTGTGTGCATTTACTTGAACAAAAATGTTTCCCACTATTTCGGAGAGGGTTCAAACTAGAGTTGCCACGAATAGTGATCTCGCCGAATACCGAATACCGAATGTTCGGCAATGTTGTTAGCCGAAGCGCCGAATATTTGTTGCTTACTAGTTGTCTGCTTAAAGAAAGAAATTAAAAATTAATTACATATTCAAATAGCACAGTTCCACAATCGCCCATAAAATACTGATTTTAACTTGACGCACATTGTAAATTAAAGGGCAAACTGGAATTTTTAGGGTATTTACGTGACGGGAAAGCGAATAAACCATCTGGTAACACTGTACTGCACTATTTCGCTATCCACACGTAATTTTCGAATTTGCGAGTAAAAAAAGCGACTTAGTATTTGATCTAACGCCAAAAAACTGTGTTTAAGTCCGTGGCACACATCCACGGCCATCAGATGGACGAAGACTCGGTTCCGAAGCCGTCGGCAGACAGGCGTTTGGGTAACGCGGTCGATTTGCCCTTAGGTCCGCCCGGCGTCGATGAGAAAGGCGGAAACGAAAGGAGCGAGGTAAAGAGCAGTGCATCCGGAAGAGGCGGCAAGTCGAGTTCCAGGCGCCGTTCATCTTCCCGTGGCCGCTCCAATTCCCGAAACGGCTCTTCGCCCCTGGCCACCCGGCGGAGGCGTTCAGTATCCCGCTCTCCAACTCCGCCTCGACGCGGTCGGTACGACTCGCCCGACTACGGACGGTATCCGCGTCGCCGTTATGAACGAAGGCGCTCCCCCCCTCGTCGGGGTCGCCGATACGGACGCTCCCGATCACGCAGCATCTCACCCCGTCGTGGAGGTCGTTGGTCGCCCAAAAAGAAGCCGTCGTCGCCACCTCTTCCCCCGTCACAGGGTGGACTCCCACAGCAAATGGCACCTGGGTTTGGAGTAATGGCACCACAGATGTACGCTCCCTACGGCGCACCACCTGATGTCTATGGCCACCAGTACGGAATGCCACCGAATGCCTTTCCGTCCCAGGGACCGCCTCAGGGTTACGGCATGCCAGGACCACCACCTGAGCAGAACCCTTTTGCGACTGGCACTTGGGTTGTAAATGGTAAGCACTGGATTCGGACACGAAAACTATGTCTTCATTGGGTTCGATCTTCGTTGCAGAGTATGGGCAGCAGGTCTGGATGCCTCATCCCATGGCTGCGGTGCAGCCGACTGCTCCGGACGCCTTGACCCAGCCACAGCAGTCACGAGAAACCCCGGCCGAGAAGCAGCATGAAGAGGAGCAGAAGGGGCCGGCGCTTGACGGCGCAGGTTTGCCGCCTCAGGACGGTAAGTGTGGAAATGAATTACAATGTGGTCACTACCAACATTCACATGCAAACCTCTCACATTATGTTTTATTACTGTTGTCATGATTACTTGTACTTGTAACTTAAATGCGCGCTAAAGACTCGCAAACCAGAAATTACAAAAAGTCTAGGGTAAAGATCAGATCAATCAGAATCTAGCCGTATACGCGCAGCAAGAACTAACAAACAGCGACCCGAGCGAGGGTCTCGAAAATGTCATTTCGTTTTGAATAGAAAGCGCAGTTCTGCCGTTCTTGTGTGGCGGTAGTCGAAAGACGCCTTTTCGCCAATCTGGACGTCCGCCGCCGTCACCCCCACTGGTTCTGCATCCCCAACGAGGACTGGCAGGCTGCTTCCGTGTGTAACTAGCCGGTGAAATGCACTCGAGAATGCATTTGTAAATGAAATTTGAACTTTTATTTCTCTGGCAAGAATGATTTTTAATTGTTGCCTCTCTCTTTATCCCCATCCATATATCATCGGACAACAGCCGTGGCGCAGGAAGCGGAGAAGCAGAAGGACGAGCTCAAGAAGCAGCGGGCGAATTACGTGAAGAAGGTAACCCTTCTCAAAAAAGGAAATGAAAGTGTTGAGGGACCAGCGCGAGGACTTGGCTGCAGGCGAGGCGCCGCCCTCTCCGACCACCAAGAATTTTATCGAGGAAAACGATCGTCTGCAGGTGAGCCAATTCGAAACGCATTTTATGATCTCGGTGTAAATGAAATATTTGTATGGCAGGTGCAAATTAAGAAGAAACTGGACACAATCGAAAACGTTATAGACATGCTGAATGGATTAATTGGCTATGAAGACGATGAACCGATAAAACCTAAGTCCCAAGGTAGAGCACAGCCTGAGCAACAGGGTAGCCGGTCGCACTCTTCGAGTGAGAGCTCCGCTGACAGCTCGGACTCCAGTTCATCGGCTAGTAGTTCGTCCGATTCATCGTCCGACGGCGAGGACGAGGAGGAAACTGGCGGCGGGGAGGGAAGTCCCACAAATCGACTTAAGCACCGCGCCATTAAGTCAATGAAGTCAAAACAAAAACAAGGAGAAAATAAGCCTGTAACAGCTCCTGCACAAAACTACAATTTTGTATTTTTCGATCCGGAACAGCATTGGTGCGAGAGCTGTGGCGTTTTCCCGAAGTCCGCGCGAGATTATCTCAAGCACTTGCATGCCGAAGAGCACATGAACCGAGAGACTATAGAAACTCCTTGGCATGTGGGCATTGACCATGATCCCTTTCCCACATTCGAAAACGCGCCTGTTAAGCGAGTCCCCGTCAGAGGCATGCAATTCCTGGTACCGGCCAATGCTTGGTTCTGCAAGCTCTGTAGTGTTTGGATAGGGGACTTGCACTGCGCTTCCGCTCATCTCAAATCGAGACTACATTCAAACAAATATGAGGTAGGTTATCAAATTACGTTATTATAATAATATTTTTTTAGGCCAAATCTTAGGGTATTAGTTAGCCTTTAGAAATCAGATAGGTCTTTCGTATCGTTTATACATTATTACAATTGCAACCATTTTGATTTAAACTCTAAGAAAACCTTAAGCTGTTGAAGTTTTGAGCCTTATACGTCTAATACATTTACACCCTTTCAGATAATAAATAAGACTATTAAACCGAAAAAGTAAATAAATATTTTTGGTGAGCTTCTCCTTTCAAGCTTTTACGCTGTAATTAATTAAATGCCTTGTATCTGTTGCCGTTAGTATACATATCGAAACTTTATTATTAGTTACTAATGGAAAAATCATAAAACCGTTGTACGATTTATCGATTTAAAAATTTCAAATTATATTTACTAAAAATCGAAGAAGTGATATTGATCGATATTGATGGCATAGACACAACTTAGTAAATTCTTGGTACAACCGGAGAAATTTTTGAAAACTTAAAATTCAAAAAATTAAATTTGCTTTGGCAAGCCCTATGTACTCTTCAGTTATAACTTGAGTGTATTGTTTGTCCGATCCGTACCGTATAGTACCTCTCTAGTTCTGTCAACTTTTCCATTAATTTTTATATTTTTTTGCAAAAACTATAAGGTATACTCCAGGGGCGCAATTTTGTTAAAATAAGAGAAAATAAATGCTGTATAACTAAATGTTCAATGCTGTTATAAGATATGTTGGCTCACTAAATTTATTTTTAAATTAAGTCGCCTTCCTACAGGTTTTTTTTTTTCATCGCATTTGCTTTCCTTTTCAGTTCAATTATTTAATTGATTTTTTAATTTAGAATCGTGATATGTGATCAATATTTCACGCAACTAGAATAAAGAAAAGCTGATGGCGATATGAACAGGGTGAATATAAAGAGCTGCCTCTGAAACCAAATAAAAAAATCACGCAAATTAAAATGTTTTAAATATGTATACAATAATCGAGTATAGTAAATATAAATATAGTAAAATCAAATCGTTTTTTAACCTTTAAAGCATAAAATTTATTTATTACATTTGTCGAACTTAGGTTAAGTTATAACTGTTAGGTATGAGTATTATATAAAGATTAAATTTGAGTGTAACAATATGAAGACTACATTTAATTATGTACCGCGATTGAATCAGGCATAACATACTTTTTTTTTCTTTGAGCAAAAAAGCAAAAAATCGCGATTTAGACTGAAAAATACCCGTTAACTCTGATGATTAGTTTTAATTTGAGTGGAAACAAATAATCAATTTTAATAGTCATGGAAACATATTTGAAACATTGACAAGTAGAATTGGCATATCGAATCTCAGTTTTGTATTATCAAAGCTGTAGTTGTCGAGCACCGGTCATTTGAAGCCAAAACTTTAAACGCGCTTTTCTTTTTTTTACCAACAGTTTTCTCATACAAATTTTTTTAAAAATGTGACATTTTTCGGCTTCACGAGGTAGGAACCTGTCTTAAGTATCAAGCCTGATATTAAGCGTTTACTTGATTCAAAGAATTTTTCAACTAATTTAATGGCTCCCGTTGCCTGAAGCAGTAATCTGCAAATTTCCTAAAACTAAAAATAAAAAAGAAGCAAAATTAAAGTTGTAAATAAATTACAATATATATATAATTTTATTTACTGTAAATAACGAATTAAGGTTCATATCAGTCATACAGCTTTTGTAGGAAAAGTTTTGGCTTAAAATCATATATAAATTATTTAATAAAATAAACTTGAAAAATAATCTATTTTTTCAACAAATCAAAGTTAAGAACATTAACAGAAAAGATGACTATTCAAAAATGTATTATGAAGTGAGTCGTTTTTTAGATTTAAGTGTTAGCTTCAAGGGTATATCAGCTTCGGCTTGCCAAATCTTTTTTATATTTTAATGTGCATAAAATTTCATTTTATACTGACGATTAACGGGTATTAGTAATTTGGCACACTATACCGGAGCAACAATTTCTTGCAAGAAAATATGAATGAACCGGTTTTTATCGCTTTTCAGCTTATAGTTTTAATAACTCCAAGGGTACACGCAAAATTGTACATTATTTTGTACGAATTTGTCGATTTTAATCGACATTCTTGCTTTTGGAATCTTCTTAGGTTTTTTGGATCCTTTAATGTTACTTTGATTATATTTGGTCCTTTAGAAAGGTCTCTTCGCGTTGTCCCTGACAGCAGTTAGTTAGATATAGATAAGAGATAACAAAATGAAAATGTAAAATTTTAACTTAAAAAAGGTGTTGCAGTTATAAAAACAAAGGCTGACGTGTTTTTCTTCACCCATTTTTACGTAATACAATTAGAGGATTTTGCTTTGAGTGTTTTTCTTAAATATTATATTTAATTAAAATATTTCTTTTCGTTGTAGCTATTTATTAACCAAACTCCCAATTATGAAATCGTGTGGCAAACAAACCGCGAACGCGCTATGAATCAACAGAAGGAGCTCGATGACTCTAAGAATAAAAAGACCAAGAAGGACGACGACAAGACTTCGAAGAAGCGCAAGAAAAAGAGGTAAAATCCTTAAACAAAATGTGTGTATGAATATCTTTTTAAATGTTTTGTATACTTTTGCAGCGGGGACAAGAAGAAAAAGAAGCGTAAGCACGGGAAGAAGAGCAAGCGAGGTGCAAATGACGCCAACAGCTCAACGTCATCCTCTGATAGCTCATCATCGGAAGATGACAAGTCGCAACCAAAGAAAGGACGAACCGAAGAGCCATTAAGTGGTCAAGTAGATAAGCCAATTAATGCTGCCTCGATACGTGTGACCATGCGAAAACAGGAAACGCCCATAGTATCCTTGAAACCGGAAGTGCCTTCTCAGACGCTTGCGCCTCCGCCACCTCCAATCATAAAGGACTCCTTAAACACTTCGGGTCGGAGTAACTGGTCTGCTTCTACTGGCGAAGAACAAAAGGAGGAGCAAAAGAAGCGGGATGATGCCATGCTGAAGCAGTGGAACAATGTTCAGCCTGTAATAAGCGAGAGTGAGAAAAAATGTTTGAACAGCTCAAAGGCAGGCTGAAGAACAAGGGACCCCGGGACTCTGAGGATCATAAAATAAAACCGCATGCAGCATTCGCATCTGAAGAAAAGGGTAGGCGTGGAGGAGGTCGACGATCCCGATCTCGTTCCAAGCGGCGCAGTCACTCTCGCAGTGTTAGTCGCGGGCGGGACAGAGATCGACGCGATCGAGAGCGGGACAGAGACCGTGGGCGCCGGCGACGGTCCCGCAGCCGAGGCAGGCACTTCTCCCGATCGCCCATACGGCCCAGCCGGAGAAGTCGTTCTCGTGAAGGTCGAGGCCGACGTAGCCGAAGTCACTCGGACGACCGGGTAGAGCGTCCAGTAGTCAAGCATTCCGAGTTCCGGCCTCGATTGGCGCCCGAACGAAAACAGACGGACAGTAAGCGAGAAAAAAAGGATGCAGACAACAAGTCTAAGGCGTCAAAAACGAATAGCAATTCCCTGCCAGGCGGTAAGAAGCTGCCTTTCATTGGCAAGATGCCAGTATTTAAAAAGCAACCAGTTGCTGCATCCAACTATGATGTGGCTGCCGTCTACAGCAACGGGTGCTTAGAGGCACCTCCGCCGCCGCCGCCGCCACTAGGGGGAGCACCGGGGCAGGTAGCTGTGCGTCAGCCGGCCCCGACAGCAGCGCAGATTCAGATGGCCATGATGGAAGATGCTTTTGGCAATGCTCCTCCATTCCATCCCGATGCTGGTATGATGGTTGATTATGATGAGCTAATGCCAGACCCCGTGCAGTTTGCAAATTTGATGACTAGTTGCCCGCCGCCTCCTCCGCCGGGCGAAGGCTCTGACGGTGAGGTCCATGACCCAGAGGAGAACGAACAGCATGAGAACAAAAACAAAGAGAAGGATGTCTTGCCTCCCGGTATCGACGAAGCAGAATCTGATCTGGTATCGCAGCCGTTGGACGGCGCAGCACAACCACGCGACGGGGAACTGCCTAAAGATCTGGCCGAAGCCCTTGACATTATATTTCCCAGCGAGGGAGCTGCACCGGAAGCAGCAAGTGAAAACACTGAAAAGCAACGTGAGCCTAAGACTATCACCACGATCGTTGAAGACGATGCAGTGCTCAGTGAGCATAATCTTCAAGACCTGGCTAAGCAGGGTATTCACCTGGTTACCATTGATGAAACAAAAGCGACTAATAACTCTCCGATGAAAATATCGCAGAAGGACAAGCAGTCGCCGACACTTAATGGCAAAGCTGAGGCTTTGGTGAACATTAAGATTGACGCGGAGGATATACCTATGCCGAATTCCCCTCCAACAACTCCGTTGGCTGACGATGACTCAAAAAGCAAGTCTATGAAAACTCAAGCGGATATCTCAGAAATTCCGGAGCCACCGACATCGCCCACAGACAGTGAAAAGATGCGGCGTCAGGCGGAGCTCGAAGAATTGGCGATGCTGGGGATCGACAGCAGTGACATGGCGGCACAATGTATGTAGAACGGCTCTTAAGCCACTCCATCGATCATCTTAGACTTAACCCATTTTTAAAAGATCCAAAAATTCATTCTCATTAAATACTCTTCTATTTTAGTTTTAAATTAAACCAATTTTATATCTAAACTCATAGATGCGTTGTGAGGTTTTGTGTTGACTCGGCCTCCGCGAACGACAGGCAATGAAACCGCATTCTTGGATAGACAGATTGAATGGAACGTCGCCCATTAAAATGTAACAATTTTAGAATTAAGATGGACACCTATGTACGAGGGTTTATGTGACGGAGTGTTTTAAATAAATGCGCATATATGTATGTAATATATGTATGAAGAATTCTGGAATTTTTGTATTAGCTATTTTACTTTTCAGTTTTGTGATCACAAATACTTCAGTGTAATTATCAGTGTAACATCAAAATAAAGTATTTTTTTGTTTATTCAAATGGCACTTAACAAATATGGTTAACAACTACACATTCTAAGTATTTATCCACTTATCTAAGGGGCTCTGCATTTTTGTAAAAAATAATTGCTTTCTATGTACTAGCTTTTGATTTTTGTTCATTTCAATAGGTACACGATTTCTGTCAGTTTAATCATTCATAAAGGTGTTTCTCACATTATTAATAATAATACAATTAATAACTCTTGTAAATAAAGTTTTACATTTCAATTTATTAATTAAACGCGATATTCACGTTTTAGTAACAGATCTAAATTTAATAAACGAATACGTTTTGCTCGAATCGAAAACATCAGCTAAAAAAATGATTTAGATGAAATAATTAGTAGAACAACAATCTAGTATTAGAATTGTAGTTATGCGTACGTTATTGAGTTATAAATAATTTTAAAACGAAAGGTGAAGTGTAGTCGATGTGAATTTCGATCTGGCTGCTATAAGTGAGTTACGCGCATTTTCTGTCGCTGGACTTTTGGTTTAGAGCCGAGGGCTGATGGCTAAAACTATAAGTCTGTAATCGGTCCGTCTGCCACGCTGTATTTCGTTGCCAGTGCTGCGTCAGGTGTGGTGCCAGTTAAGACCGGGTTCCAATTTGGCTGGCTGGTCACCTGGGCACTCAGGTCTTTAACCAATTTTTCAAGGCTATTGTATTGTCATTGTTCGTTGCCACCAGAGCCCGTCGAAAGAGAAGAACAGAAATGCAAATTATATGAGTACACTGAGATTAGTTACTGGGCTTAGATTTGCTAAAGGATATTTTTGATGAGGATTAGTGCTTTCGAAAATGTGCATGCGTGTGAAGGTAAACTGTGCTGGGTTAGGGATTGGGAATATATAGAACAGAGCATAGACTACACCCACGCAATTATACGTTGATTTGCCTCCTTACGTGCGGCGGCTGCATCGCTTAGCTCCCGTTTAAGCTGAGCATGCTCCTTTTTGCGCGGCAGCAGTGGCGGAGGAAGCCCCGGGTTAGTATTATCCGAAACTAGCGCAAACACTGGAGGGCTCCGAGCTGCTTGCTGTGCCGTTTTGGCTGCCAGCGAGTGTTGGGTTGAGGTTGAGGGGGTCTGCACGCCGTTGCCGCGGGACTCGCTGCTCGAGCAGGACAGCCTCTTGTTGGCGGACATTGATTGCTCATCGCCGTCCAGACCGGCCTGCTCCAGAAACTCCTCCTCTATTTCATCGTCCTCTTCTAGTGAGTGGGTTGCTTGGTGCGGCGTCTGGTGCATCGTTCCATAGTGCAGGTTGAAGGACTGCGCTCGTCGGACTCCCAGCGCTCCGGACCCTACTAATCCGCCACCACCGCCGTTTGGAAATGGCTTTCGGGATCCACGGGCACGGTCGTTTTCGTAGATAATGTCGTGATAGGATTGCCGCTGGTTTATGCATCCAGCTAGAGCCTGACGAAGGTATTTATTTTCGGCCTCCAGGTGTGAGAGTCTCTTGTTCGTTTCCTTCTTCTCCAGTCGCAACTGCATTACGTGGGACTGTTGAAAATGAATATGTGCTATCAATTGATATGGGCATTTATATTTGAACCTACCTTCAGCTCATCTATATCCCGCAGAATTCGTACATTTCCTTCGTTCAAGGACCATTGCCGCTCCTCAACCATTGATTTGACTCTGAGGACGAACATAGGCATCAGTGTACTCCAGCTCACGCCCCTTGAACTACTTCTCTTACCGACTGAGCAGGGCATCCTCCCGCACGCGAGCGGCCTCTTTCACCTCCCGCACCACGTCGGTCATCATTCCTGGGGTGTAGGCGCCTGAAAAACCATAATCGGGTGTTACTGCGGTCGGCGATTTGGCACGTGACCAATCGGGGGTGCCGCTCGGCTTATACCTGAGTGAAAGGTGGGCGCTGGGCTGTGGGTCCCGCCCAGGCCACCGCCAAACACCAGAGGCTGACTTTGTGTGCTCAGTCCGCTCAAGCTATCTCTACGGTGCCGCATGCCCCCCGAGCCAACCCCCGCCCAGAGCTGGCCAGTGGGAGCGTGCTTTAAAGCTTCGATATCAACTGTGATTGTGTTTACGGGTGCAAGAGAGTACATAGAAAGATGTAATAAGCGGCAACAGATACTAAGTAAGTAGGTAGTAGTAGCAAGTATGTTCAAAAATACGATAGGTCGGTGTAACTAAGGCCAGTTGTAATGGAAAGGACACATTTAAACGGAAGAATGGTGACCAACAAATCGTTTTACAAGACCTCACCAAGAACAACGAACCTTTTGTTTCATGCAGATTGCGACAGATCTTGGAGTTGGTGTCATGCAATATGTTTATTTGTTCCATGAGCGCCGCAAAAAATTTGTTTTGCTGAGCCAATTCACAGCCGCTGCCGTTGTTGTTCCCATTCCGGCACTCAGGGGTGTTCTGGCCACTCAGCTTCGAGTCGTTGTCGGAGGGGTTAAGAAGGCACGGATCGCTAAATCGAAACCTGAAGTTGAGGCGAGGAGGAGGGCGTTATCAGACCGTCTATCATGGGCAGTGATGTGTCCTGACTCACCCCCTGCTGAAGTTAGGGTTGCTCCCGCTCCCATCCAGCACGTCTGTGGAATTGGGCTCGTGCTCGGACCCAGTACCTCCTGCCCCGCCCATCATGTTGACCAGTGGCGGCAAGCTTGCAAACTCCTGGCCACCATCGCCCCCGTAGCCCATGCCGTAGCCATTGAGGTTCTGGGGTGGGAACAGCATCGGATATCGGTGGCTGAGCGAGTGCGAGTGCTGTTCGAAGACAAATGGATATGGGTGAGTGTCGAACTTGAAATGGCATCTACTCACGCGCTGAATCCCCAAGCTGAAGGGTGTGCCAGGGACCATTCCGTATGGCTGTGAACGCTTCAAAAACTCCTGTTGTTTCTGGTGCTGTGGTTGTTGTTTCAGCTGCTGCTGCTGCTGCTGATGTTGACTCATGAACATTTGCTTATGAGTTGCTGCCGTGGGTGGAATAAAGTCCAAAAACTCGGACGAAGATGACAGTTGGGCGTTGGAGGCATCGCGTAGGCAGTTCTCCAGCCAGGCATCGAGGTGGTCCTTGGAGTAGCTAGGATCGGATCTGTTTGCTTTACTGGAATGGTTTTGGCCCGGTGAGACCACCGTTGCTTCGGCTTTTGAGATTGAAGGCGAAGCCTCTGCGTTGCGGGACTTCAGTTTCTTGCGCTTGGTGGCGTCAAATGCTGTGAAAAGAAATCAAGTGCTGGGATTACACATTATCGGGTTTTAAGAGCCTAACTAGGTATGTGTTGAGTAGCCCCACAGCTCTCCATTTCAACTCCAAAGAAATGCAGGCTGGCGAAGCAACAATCCAATGACTCACCGCCAATAGCGCCCGAGCTATTGAGCTTCGTTCAGCCCAGCCCGGTTGAACTCGAGTTGTCTCACAGAAATGTCGCGGGAGCTGCGGACAAAACAAGTTTCACGGCTTAGCTCGCGCTGCCTTTTCAGTTGTCAGACTTATTTTGGTTTCTGCCAAGTGAATGTTTGGTTTTGAAATTTGAGCAAAATTGTTTCTCCTTTGCCACTCGGCTGCGATTTCCATTTCTCTAGCAGTAGCAAGGAAACTAAAGCATTGCAGTAGTCTAGTTTTCATATTTACAAAGCTCTCTGCAAGAAACTCCTCAAACCAAGTATTTAATTATCTCCTGGCAGAGGGTATTATATATTAGTATATATATTCTTGATCAGCATCGCGATCAGAGGCGAAATACGTCTGTTGTTTTCAAGTAAACTAGTCTCTCAGTTATGTATGTAGTTATTGAATCGGGCAATTATATCGAAGAACTCTCATACGAGAGATCGAAAAACAAATAATCACGCCGTTGTTTTTGATCATATCGACTTACTTTTTTGAGCATAATACAAATTTCACAAAAATCTGACAATTCTAGCATATAGCCCCAATAGAAAAAATCGAAGAGTCTATATAGAATTAACGGGAAAATATTATAACATCGTTGTTTTTATCAGACAAACATATTTATTGGAATATAGAGTTTCCTAATGACTCTCGAATTTCGAATTACATTTCATGAAAATCAGACGAATATATCATATATGTAGCTGTCATAGGAATTATTAGATTTATTATTATTATTGGATATTGTATTATATTTCATATATCATACATATATGATTTTGAAGCTGCCATAAAAATGTCAAAATTATTGGAAAATTTGACTAAATTAGATGAGCGCTACTTAGTACACCGACCCCTGATGATAAAATGATCGAACTAACAATAGAATACAACAGGAAAAAACTTGTTACTTTGATTTGTTAATAGATTTGTGATAAGTATTTGTAAGTTTTTCATTGGAACAGATGATTAGAAAGAATATTGTCGACGGTAGGCCAAAAAACTACCACATGGGTTATAGAATTCTTAGACTGTCTGCTATCTCAGGAGGAAACTTTGGTAAAGATATTTCAAGTGATTATGTATATAAACACTCACTTACAAAAAACAACTTTTGGCATAAATTTGAGAATAGTGACTCAAAGTATAATAAATTTTACGAAATTGTTGAAGAAGTGCAAATAACCATTAAATAGTATCATTCTGGTCGATTCCACTTAAATGTTTATTTCTTCAAAATTAAAAAAAAATTGTAAATAGTAAGCTAATACTTTTGTTGAGAACACAAATATCTTATTAAGGTATTAATTAATAACTGTTCTTCTATGCTTATGGTCGCAGGTTCGAATCAAAGTCGGGGTCTAATTATTGAATAAATTTAACCGGAGAAATAAATTAACTGTAAAATATGCAAAAATATAAATTATTTATTACTAAATTTACGTCAACCATTTTTTTTTTTATTTGTTTTTCATTCACGTATTACTAATTTCTGTTAGATCAGCTATACTGGCGTCATAACAAAAAAAAAAAAACAAATTAAGTCGATCACTGACCGTAAACTCAGGAAGTGTGCATAGACAATGTCTTCTGTGTACTATGGTAAATAAAATGCTTTTGACAGTAAGAAATCAGAGCCAAACTTAATACACAATGTTCGTCACCCCTTTAGTGTCGTTCTAATTGTATGGTATGTCTTATTGTTTTTGGTGTTCTGTTTTTTTTTTTTTTTTGAAAAAAAACGGTTCTGATTGTAAAACTTCTCGTCGAACCCTTTCTATATAATTGCCTAATTTATGATTCTGATCATGCTTCATATCTTGTAAGCATTAAGCAATTCGTTAAAAATAAATATATATAAAAGTCGTTCCTATAAAGATCGGACTACTATAGAATAGTCTAAGGCGTACTATTTTTTATTAATTTATTTTCGCATTTGTATGGCTGCAGCAATCACGTTAAATAAAAAAAAACTGTTTCTTAATTTTTTATAATTTTGTCGATTCGATGTTTTCTACGGCCGTTCCGACTTATTACAACCTGCTATAAATAAAAAACTTTTGATGAAGTTTGAGCAAGATGACTTTGAGCTGAGAGACTAGCTTACATAGAATCAGACATACGTACATATCTAGATCAATTTATAATGTGATACTGATGAAGAATACGTATATATTCTTTATAGAGTATGGAATTGGAATTGGAAATTCAAAGTCATATATATACCATATAGCGGTCATAGAAATTATAGATTTAATCGTTCTATAATTAAAATTTTAGAATTGTTTTTTGTGTCTGGCTTGCTAATATACATCAATTTTATATAGATGCAGTATAGTATAAGAGTTTTAACTTTTTTTAGATAAATTTATATTTTTTTGAAATTTTATTAGGCTAGTTTGATATTTCACGCATACTAAATCAAACTACATACTTAGTTGACAAAAGTCAGTAAACTTAAAAAGGCCACAAAACACCTGAACTTTGAAAGTACCAGGGCGAACTATTAACTTATTCAGTTATCGCTGCAGTGCGTATTAGCAGCTAAGATGTGGGTAGACCTTGCTCACCTCTCTGAGTGCTGCCCAAGCCTATGCCGCTTGCGGCGATCTTCTGCACGGAGCTCCCGCTGTTGCTACCATGGGGAGGGCAGGAGCTACTACCCGCGATCAAAGGGGACGCGTCCGCGGCGGAGCCCAAACCTCCTGCACTGCCACCGCTCGTGCTCACCTCCCTCTGATTTGTGGTAGTCATTTCCTCAAGCAAAACGCTCTTGTCGCCTCTGTAATAAAAACAATGCAAATAACTTATCGTTTAACCTGGATTTCCATTCAAATGATTCGACATGCAATCACAAAAAAAAAAACAAAAAGCAAAAAAAAACCGTGAAAAACTTGATGTTTGCACTTGTGTACTAAGCGGAGTAGTTGAAGAACGAATGAACGTTGGACAGAGGAAAAGCAACAAGCATCTCCAAGTTACTTGTGCATAGCCGGAAAACACCTGTCCGTTTTCTGCTAACATTTGTACGAGCAGAGGTATGTACATGTACATTCATATGTATGTATTTACAAGAGGTAAACAAGCAGAATCTTTTTATATTGATATTCATTTACCGAGTAAAATTTATGTTTTCATGGGTTATTTATTAAAACGGAAACTTGTTTGTGAAATAAAAGATAGAGCTCCATAGTATCTGGTATTATGCAATCTTATTTTTAATTCAACACTCTAATTTTGATGGATTTGCAGCTTATATAATTTTTCATAGCTCATTCATTTATTTCTTCATAAATTGAATTGGAATTAAGGAAGCCACTTTTAAGGCAATTGCTGAGGCTTGGCGACATCAGCTGTATTTGCTTCATAAAATACTGAACATTTACCATTCTTTGAGATAAAAAGTGGTTAAAAAGTGCAGCAGGTGTTGCGACCAGCGTTGTCAGTTTAGCTTGTTTATAAGCTAGATTTTAAATAAAATAAGCTAGAATAAGCTAAAATTTTCCAGTTTCAAAGTGTATAACCGCAGATTTAACATAACATCAAAATAGCATTTAAAACTGGAAAATTTTAGCTTATTCTAGCTTATTTTATTTAAAATCTAGCTTATAAACAAGCTAAACTGGCAACGCTGGTTGCGACTTAAAGATATGCTCTTTGACGTCCGTGAATTTGCTCTCACTTTAACCAAATGAGAACGACATTGGCATTGATGCGTCGGGCGAAGAGTTTCACTACTGCTTGATGGCCCTGAAATTCGGATGGCAAGGTGAGTGTGAAACAAGACAAAAAGAAAAACATGCGCGTATTTGCTAGCCATTTTTGGGCCAAGTTCTTTGCTCTTGGAGGGATGCCAGCAAAAGGCACATGTTGCAATGAAGGCATTGCAACCAAGGGGAAGCACAACAATCTGCCAGCAACTCAAGTCTCAACATGCAAGGTGGCTAGGCTTACTTAGTGGCGAGTTATCTATGCAGCCGAGTTCACCAAAAATAAAGCAACAAACCGGTTTTCATACAGCTCTTGTGTCTCTTGCTAGACCCGGCTGTGTATTGACCTTTTCATTCAACAAATTTTAATGACATCAATAAGCGAAGCAGCGTTGTCAGTGGGGATGGCGAAGGCGATGGCAACAGCGACCTCATCCCGGAGTACCCTGACCCGAACACGATCACTGTCGAAGTACAAGACGTTACTTAAGAGCCGGAGAAGCGAATTGTTTGGTTTGTTGACCCTATCGCACAGATTGGAGGTTTTCTTGTTTTCACCGTTTTAAAACTATTGCATTTTTATATGTATTGAAGAAAGCAATAATAACAATAGTATTTTAACAGATTTATAATTGGCAAAATGTTCAACAAGTGTTGGTCCAAAATTTAAAGTAAGTTACATTCTTTTGATGAACGATATTTTTAAGAAAACGTACGTTTTGCTGTTCGAAAGCATGCAATTTATCCAGTGGTCTATTATTGGGAAACCCTAAAATTCACTCCGGTGGTACCCCTTTATGGTTTCTGCTTTAATTGATTTCACATGTTAAAAGATAGTTCTAAATAAAATAGTAAAAACAGCGGGGTGCGAATCTAAAGAAAAATGGTTGCTTGGAGCCGCACAACTCAACCACCCATACGACGGCCGTTGTAGGGACGGGTTTTCAACTTTCGCGTCTAGGGCATTGGTGTGGGAAAGACGCCTATCGAGTTTTCAATCCCACCCCCCTTGTTTCCCGTTGTCAGTGTCGGCTGCAAAATAAAAGCGAAACGGCTTAATATGACGTCGTCGAATGGAATGGTGTTTGTTTAAACCATTTTGTCCAAGACTCATTTTCTTAAAGCTTAAACGTTAACGAAACAGTTTAAAATTGCCCACTTCCATGGCCCGCTAGGCACTCCTAGCGACCGTTTAGAGCTAATTATATTATCAAAAGCAGAATCATCTCAGTTTGGCACACACAGCACTCACACTTGCACAGCGGCATTGGCCATTTAAATTACTTGCGTCACACTCGCGGATTGAATTGTATTGGATTTTGGGTAGGCGCGGGGGTGTGGTCACGGCTTAGCATTCGCGTATCTGGTCAGGGGACATTTGTAGTTTGAACAACAACCGATAATTAACCGCACAGGGGGTAATGCAAAACTCGACGAGCATTACTACTAAAGGTGGGAGCACATCGACATATCGCACGAATGCTCTTTTTCGTAAACATCGATTGCAGCGGTATTCGATTAACACTGTTACTTAAGCGCTTAAATACTGTCAATGTGAACTGTAAGCCGATGGCCAACCGTTACAAAAAACAAAAATCATGGTTAATTATATAAAACTTTAAATGGTTCTGTACTATGATTTTGTTTTCAAATGTAGTAAAAAAAATTTAAAAATGTTAATGTAACTTAGCTTATTATTAAGTAGGTGTGCAAGTAAAGCTAAAAGGAAACATGTAGTTGAATATAAAGCATATGTAAACTTCAGATTTTACAAGAAGCAAGTTGGACTCGTAGACGTGCAACTACATTTGAATTATAAAATAATGTAGGAGTTAACAACTCCCGAGTGGATATCTGAGGTATATCTTCCGCAGCATTAGTAAGCTATTTTGAATATTTATACCCATTACTCGTAGAGTGAAGTATTATTAATTTAAAAAATTTATTACTTCGATGATGTTGTTTAGACTTCGTAGATTTTATCGACTTTCCTTAAATCTTTTATTAATTCACAATTCTGTCAGAACAAATAATTCATTATTTTTCAAAAGGTGTTTGCAAGACAACTGAGATTTTTCGTTTTTGAATATGAATTGAATCCCAATGTGAGCTAATGTGATTATGGTAACCATTAAAAAAAAAGCTTTTGGTGACTGGATTCAAAAAGGAAAAGGAGCTCTGTTCCGTTGAAAAACATGTTATTGTTGATATTTCTACACGGAGCTAGCAGTCGAATCCCTGGCCACCTACAACTGTAGCAAGCAACAGTTGTTACTGCGATGCAACTGTCAAATGGGAGCTTTTGCGCACGCTTTATGTACACACTCTGGGGTAGAGGGATTAAGCTCACAAGTGCTTGCTTCGAGGCAGTTTTTCCATCGAGTGTAAGGGCAGCCTATTGAAACGCAGTTGAATAAATTCCGGTTCCTAGCCCGTTTATTTTTTTATTTATGAAAACCCAGCTGCCTGCTCTACGAGACTCAAAAGCTGTCCTTAAGACTTCGCGAAAACGAAACGGGAACTGTAAGATTTTAATTGCTCCTTTAATAAATTAATTCGTTTTAAAACCTCGATATAATCGTTAAAATTGATTGTGTGTAGATGCTTAAATAATTCAAAGGGCTTAATTCTCAGATCACAGCCTCCCAACAACTCACTTTCTTCGATCCCCAGCCGTTGTCCTGCGAAAAATCGATTCTAGTTATCCTGTGTTATTGGGCTGTCAAATTCCCGAGCTTTCGCCCTTGCGACTGGACTTTGCTTCTGGGGCAATGAGTTCCAAGTAGGGACGTCGTTTTCGCCAGGATCCTCGCATGAGCCAATATGATTGTTACGTCCGCTTCTGGCCTGGATAGCACCCCCACATTAGGTGCGTACCAACCAGCTCACCTCACTCACCTCCACCAGTCGATTAACCGTGATTTGAAACCTGCAGGCACCGTCGAAGTGACCACGCTGTTGGGCGCCTTCTTCGGAGTCCTTGTTCTGCTGCTCCTGCTGTTCCTGTACATCAGCCGGAAGTGCTGCTTCCACTACCGCCATGCCATTAACTGCTGCGACGAGCGCCACCTGGCGACCAAGTGTGTGCAGAAGATCAGTGAGTACCTAAGGGCTGGGCGGGATGACTGACCCACTGACCTGTCCTGGTCCTTGCAGCTCGTAAGCGGCGCTATGAGAACACCAGCTCCGACTCGGAAGAGGACATCCTGAGGCGCCTGCGGTGGCACCAGCAACACCAGCTGGGCGAAAAGCCCGGCGGATACGGGCTGGGGCTCAGCCAGGCGAACCCGCTGACGGCGCAGAGCTTCCACTACCACCACTCCGGCGCCGACCTGCAGCGGGTGACAGTGACGCGTGACCCCTTGGCCATCGCCGAGCGGGGCAAGGTTGGCATCCCGTCGTCGCACAGCGAGTGCAGCTCAAACGACTCCATGGAGGCCTTCGTCGACAGCCACACAGGCATCCTGACGGGCTCGAGCAAAGGTAGGCGGGACGGGGCGGACTTGGGGCAGCTGATTGACAGGCGTCGAACTTACCATCAAATGAATCTTGACAGCAGCAACGCCTCATCCTGCAACGACCTTCCGCAATCCGAGTGTAGAGCACCGAGCCAAGACGCAGGCATTGCGATACCAGCACCGGGTCGAACTGGTCGCTCCGCCCAAACTGGAGAGGGAGCGGGACAGCGTGGTGGTGGTGCCGATGGCCAGTACCTACAACCTTACCAACAACAACAACTCGAGTGCAACCGGCAACAACAACACCAGTAGTAACAACAACGATGACGTAAGTGATATTGAATTCGGTGCTTTCCCAGAAATTTCTTGAAGCAAGCTCTCAACTCTTGGTGTCCCACCAATTATTCAAACATAGATAGTAATAATAATTAATTCATTTCCAAATACTAGTACTAAAATAATGATTTTTATATTTAAACACTAGTAATTGGAAATTCATAAATTTACCTAACTGTCCGCAAAATAATAAAAAAAAAACCAATCAAACGGACAATGCAATCCTCATTTTTGAACTCCAATTTCACCTTTTCGCAGAGATTTTTCGCCGAATTTTTTATGTCCGTTTGCTTTATTAATAATAAACAACACACGCACCGTTAATTTTGTCCCATTCGCTTTTACCGTTTTCTTTTACCAAGCCTCTGAACCTTTGGAACACACCTCGTATTAAAAACAGGGGAAGTACGAAACACATTAGGACAAAGCCCAGAGCCCGAAAAACAAATGACAAAGAAGACAGACTTATCAAAAGTGTTTCTGAAAAATACTAATTTAAGGGCTCTGGTGGGATTTCAAACACAACATTTTATCCTCTCTTAATGACATCAAGAATTGTCAGTTAACTTAAACCAAAAAAACGAGACCGCCGATGTCAAAAACTAAAAGGTTGAAGAGTGTGCTAAACTGGTGTCTAGCCTGATTTTGAGGTATTTAGGTTCAGAAGCTTGGTAAAAGAAAACGGTAAAAGCGAATGGGACAATGTTGGTTAGCCTAAATGTATTTTGATCGACATTTCCGATGACTGCAAGAGAATAGCTTCCTCTTTTCTTTATCCTACATTCAATCAATACATGTATGTACTATGTTGCTGTGTTAAACTTTGAACTACAGCTTCTATTACAAGTACATAATTTTCACTCTTTCCTCCGTCCTCAAGCAGAAAATCTGTTTGACTTCTAAAAATAATAGAACAAATATTTCAGATGAAATTAATTTCTTTTGGGTATAAGCTCCATTAGGATATTTAGATAGTTTAGTTAGACATTTATATAGTTCAGTAAGATATTTATATAGGTCAGTTTAAAACGCCCCCAAAAGTTTACACCGGTGGTTATTTAAACGGCTATCAAGCCGAAGTCCGATCGCACTAATACTAATACTAATACACCTAACTCTTTCCATTCAAGGAGCCCCTGTTCGACACCAGCGACCTGCGCTCGATCAAGTCGGATGACTTGCTGATTGGGCTCGACGTGGACCCGAAAGGAGCACCCGTACAACGCGGACCCATTGAGCTGGAGCTCTCGCTGCTGTATGACGCCCCCATGCGAAAGATGACTGTGCACGTGATGCAGGCCAGAAGCTTGCCTCCGCTGGCCAGTGGTCAGCCCACCCACACGCAGGTGCGGATGCTGATGCTGCCTAGCAAAAAGCAAAAGCTCAAGACCAAGATCCGCAGCGGCGAGAACCCCCAGTACATGGAGAGCTTCCTGTTGCACCGTGTCAACCCGGAGGACGTGAACAACATGGGACTGCGAGTACGTCTATACGGTTGCGAGCGCCTACGCAAGGAGCGCCTGATCGGAGAGGCTTACGTGAGCTTCGCCACCGTGGACTTAGAGCTGGAGACGAACCTCTGGCTGCCGCTGGAGCCCCGCAATACCTCCTCGGGCCTGGGCTCCACTAGCGACCTGTTGAGCCTGGCCCGTTCGGAGAGCGCCGGCTCAACCTCGTCCATGCAGCACGGGGGCGTCTCGGAGCTGCTGCTGGGCCTGAGCTACAACGGAGTCACTGGTCGGCTGAGCGTGGAAATCATCAAGGGTAGCCAGTTCCGCAGTTTGTCGCTGAACAAGGCGCCCGACACTTACGTCAAGCTCGTGATGGTCAGCAGCATTGGACAGGAGATATCCAGAGCCAAGACCTCCATTCGGAGAGGCCAACCGAACCCGCTCTTCAAGGAGACCTTCGCCTTCCAAGTTGCTCTTTTCCAGCTCAACGACGTGACCCTGATGATCTCCGTATACGCCAAGAGGCACATGAAGAAGAACGAGATGGTCGGCTGGTTCAGCTTGGGTCTGAACTCGTCCGGATCGGAGGAAGTGGCCCATTGGGCGGACGTTTGCGAGATGCCCAAGGGCGAGATGCTGGCCCGCTGGCACGTGCTGGTGGACTCCTGATTCGAGCAGCTGGGCCAGTCCTCGGGACGCAGCGGCAAGGCCCTCCGGAAGCTGGGTCTCTCTGCGTTCAAGGACCGGTCCCGCGAGAAGGCTTCGAAGGAGTCGCGTCCGGAGGACGATTGCGCTCAGTTCCCTGCAGACAATGCAGTTGCAGTTGATATTGAGCCGGGCCTGGAGCTGGACTTCGTTTGAAGCAAGGTCAGTGCTTGTGATCTGTTTTTAAGGAGACGCTGCCCATGCGGCGACTTGAATTGTCGGGTGTTTAACCCAGGACGAGGCCGACTAAGGGGTTCGAGCGTCCGATCAATCTAGCCCAGACCGGGCTGTAAAACATTTGTAATTTGGAATCAATTTGGCACACATTTTGTTCGTAAAATGTGAGAAATATGGAAAACTAAAAAGGAATAACCTAGAATATCGAAATTTTTTACGCAATGGCACGTAAGTGCATACCAGTACTTAACATACTACTCAAATTTGAATTTTATGATTGTTTGTGATAAAGAATACTATATTAATAGCCAGAAGGGCGGAAAAAGTACATGTTGGAGATTTTGTGTGTACAATTGTGCATCTGTACTTCTTTACGGATGGGTGACGAATTTTTGTAATTAAACCTTTCTGCATCTTATATTTAAATATTAAGCCCGGCATAGGCTGCCCAAAGTCTGTTAAGACTAGCACTTTTTTATTACGAGAAATGAGAACAGAACGTAAATTGGAACAGTTGTAGTCAATACTTACAGAAATGTTTACGTACATCATACCTGCAAACTTACATACATACCTTAACACAACTAACTCTTGCTGTTTTGATCAAGAGCCATGCGCATGTTCCAGTTTTGATATCCACAAAAGGATGAGGAAAGTGTCGATACCTTAGAAATCAAACGCACAAAGACATCTTCTACGACCGCAGAAGACAAGTTGGCAAGCCAAAGTTGATCAAATCTTAGGGCATTCAAGTACTGCTCGGGAGCAGAAGTATTTTATTAAAGCTTTATTTCGATTAAGGCATTGACGGTGAGCTCTTCAATGAGCTGGGTACGTACGGTCCTAAGACTAAGGATTGGATTGTTTAAAAGTCTCAAACATGGGAGCATTTTGTTTTTGCATTGAACTGCATGAATCACATAAGTTTTACTTATAAAGAGAGAAAATTGAAAGCTTTAATAAATATCTAAACTAATTTATTTTTAAACTAAAATTAAATCGAAACTTATAAAAAAGCAAAACCTATTAAGCTATTAACATGCTCATGCGAAAAATTTAATATAAATTTGTATGTACAACCATATGAATGTATTTTGCATAGTGTTTATATCTTTTAAAAATCTGTATGTTTTGAGCGTCGAATATTTTATAAACGCAATTCAAGTGAATGTATGTTTGTTGATACAACAATCGGGATGTATAAGCTAAATCTAAAACTTTGTTTTGAAGGAAAAGCGAGGCTAAGCAGCCGAATGACTTATCAACTAATTGTAATCCTTAATGTCAGTATTACACATTTCTAAATTGAACAGTACAACAGCGGTTAGCCTCGCCACATGACGGGAAAATACCGTCAAGTTTTTTTAACTCTGAGTAGAATATCCCTCCACGAATTGCAAGCGAATAAAGTGATTTTTTTTTCTGAAAAAGATTACATAAATCTACTCTTCAATTTAAACAATTAAATTGTCATTGTTGATTATCAAAGGAATAATTTTAATATTACTTAATTGCCACTTAAAAATAAAACGATATTATATAAAAAACCTTAATATACATATTTATACCTTAATGTACAATTTAAATTACACTTTTTATTTTCTACGTTTTTTTCTTATCTTTCTTCCGCTTCCTGAGTAATTAGCCTCGTCGTCACTATCAACAGCTGGCTCCTCACCTTCCTTTGTGGATGTGTTTACATTTACGCCTTGCTGAGCGTCCCACTCCTTTCGAAGCTCACTGAGCATACCTGGTGTCAAGAGGCCCTGGGCGAGCAACCTTTCGGTAAGACGCCCACGCGACGCGCTGGGTATTCGTGGTTCTTTGACGTGGGTCACTCGCCGCATTGCGTAGCTCGATATCTCTCCGTCCTGGCTGGCTTCCGTGTTTTTAAGCAAGCGAGTTATTTGGAAGACGCCCTGCTGTATAATCTCGTCCAGTTCCTTTTGGGCCTCTCGCACTTTAGCTGCCTCGGGAAATAGGTCCATAAACCGATAGCTGTAAGAATAGATCGTGTTAGCTTGTTATCTACATGGGAACTGCGAAAATTGCCTTAGCCAAAGATACAGATCCATCACATCGAAAACGGCTTCCAGATGGACCAAGTCTAGAATAGTCTTCGGCAGCTTAAATGGCCAGCCACAATTTTTTTGGATGAACTCAAAGGTAATGGGTTCATTGCGGCTATATTGTCGAGCCACCTTTAGGAACATGGAACAAACAAATGGCATCTTGCGGTTGATAGGGGCACAGCAAAAGACGTAGCGGGCCCGCAAAGGCAGCGGAACATGTTGTATCATCTCGGCCAAGAACTTAAAATCCTCAATGTTACACATAAAGTACAGGGAGTCGTCAACCGTACACAGGTTAACAAAAATGTCCATAAGGTTGCTTAAGGACGAGTTTGGCAGGTGGTAGGCATAAAGCTCAATCTGATCGGCCGTCGGATGCAAGCCCGCCTGCTTCAACGGCTCGGGTGTCTGGGCCAATATGCGCTGCAGGGTCTGCAAATCCTCGGACTTGAAGGCAGTTACAAAGCCGTGCTCCCACTGTGTGCGGAAGCGACCCGCTCTTCCCGCAATCTGTAGAGCCGAAGAAACCGATATTGTGTCAATCTCGCGCTCTCCTCGCTCATTCATCGTCGGCTTGATCAACGAATAAAATATGATTCGCCGTATACTCCTGCAAACGAATATCGTGCGTATAAGGCTCAGTTGCTCAAAAACTAATTGTCGAGGCACTCTACTTACAGGTTCAAGCCCATGCCGATGGCGTCGGTCGCCACCATTACCTTGCAACTATTCGCAGGATCGTTAAACTTGGCGGCTTGCGCCAGCTTGGTGCCAGGAGGAAGGCCGCCGTAAATCACGGCCACTTCCTTACCCCTAAAATATCTTAATCAGCGAATCGATTCGATGTAGAGTGTAAAATACTGACCGTGCCTCGATTTCTCGCGATACGGTATATATATCGTGTTTGCTAAAGCAGACAATGCAATCGCCGGGCACGACGTTGTCCAAAGAGCCCAGAGCAGTGCTTTCAACAGTTAGTTCCGTGAGGCGGTCGTAATGCCGCACCTCAACTGTTTCGCCGGTGGTCTCGCATATCTTTTGCAAAAGATCCAATGCCCCTGGCTCCCCACAAACGTGCACCTCATCAGCGATCAGGCCGAGAAAGGCCCGTGTCCATGCCCACCCACGCTGGGGGTCTCGGATCTGCTGTATTTCATCGATTACAGCCACCTCATCTAAAAAAGTGAAAGCACCACAGGTTAGAAACTAGCCGCGGATCAGGAGTGACTGACTGGCTTACAGGGTGTGTTGACCGAGGTCATCTCGACAGTACATGCAACATGGTCGGCTGGCGAGCTTTCGCTAATTCCAAATTTGCGCTCCTCGCCGGTCACCAAGTCGCAGGGTGTGCCCCGTTCATTGGCTTTGTTGTACACCTCTGTGGCCAGGAGTTTCAGCGGTCCGCAGTATACACCAGACTTCGCAGTCAGGTACCTTTCCATGGCGTGGTATGTCTTTCCGGAGTTCGTAGGTCCAGCATGAAACACTATTTTCCTGGTTATGGCGCGAGCGTTGCTATACCAGTTGGCAGGCTGCCTCAGGTCTGAGATCTTCTTCAGGTCATCCATGCAGTCCAAGTGGGGAAACACGTTCTTTGCGTGGCGCAGGAAATAGGGAAAAATATCATCGATGTGGCCTGCTCCTTGAGTAATATCGCTGAAGGTTATGTGGAGATCCACAGGAAGGTTCTCCGCCTCGATGCAGTATCTGCGGAATGAGCCGAAAGCCTGTTGCTGTAAGTAGGCTTGTAAGGCGTGGAAAGTAAGACGCGGGTAGGCAAAATAAATAGGCGCTCATTTACCGTCTAGTCCGTTTTCGCTGCAGAGTGATTTGATTTCGCGGCGTTGAGTGAATTTGTTGAGGATCTTCAGCAGTTCGGACTTTTCCAGCTTGCCCACAAGTTCGGAACCAACGTCTTCGGAGTCGGCGCTGGCCTGCACCTGCACCGGCTTAAACAATGCGGATACGTTCGTCTCCGATTTTTTCCGGGATAGTTGAATGGCAGCCCGGTGCAGCCTTTTCGAATCTGGAGCGACGAAAAAGCACGGGCGCAGACAGCGCGGTTGCCGCACAACGCCCAGCAGGCTGAAGCAGCGCCTGCAGTTTTGCATGGTTCTCCAGTCTGCTGGAAAACAAGTCTGGTTTTAATTCAGCAAATCGCGTAAATACGATTCGCAAACCCACGTTGTTGGCTCTGATATAACAGACCGGGCTGTGCAGCTGCACAGCTGTTTAAAAGGTGGTAACTGTTCATGCGTTTGCTTTTAGTGACGTCATAAATCACAGAAAGGCGTTGCCATATCGATCGTTTTTAAAAGTATTTACGGAACTTAGGTTATTGTATTTGCAACCGCTTGACTTTCACCACATTTCTTCTTCAGAGATTGAAACACAAATTTGAATAAACGTTTCAAAGTTTTTAGCTTTTGAGTATCTTAGGAATGCTTAAAGTTTTAGCATATGCATTCCATTGCATTCATTCCGTTGCATTTGCTTAACGGTCACACGATCAGAATATACCTTGAATTTTGAATTTACATAAGTTTAACTTGTTTTATGTTTTAACCAATGTGTCCTGCAAAATGCTGATAAGTAACCACCAATTCTATTCGTTAAACGAATATTGCTGAATTTCAACCAAGCCAATAAGCTAGGTAAGTGCTCATCTCTACTGTTCATTTATATAGTGGCAACGCTCTGCATTGTTTGTCAGAACCAACATTGCCAACATAGCTATTTCTGCGCTAGATTTGGCGGTTTTCAAAACCAATATGCGGGATAAATTTAAAACTAGCGGCTAGCGGTTATAATAGCTATTTTCAAAGCGATACTGACGGAAGTTTAGCCTTTTAATAACATTTGGTACCTTCTTGTATTTTTGTGTTTAATGATGTCACACTTTAATAGCTTGAAATATTTTTGCATTGGAATGGTAAAGAACATCGGTAAGTTAAAAGATCTTTACAGTTTTATTGAGTTTTACTAGTTTAATACCATCACTATCTGGGAATTTCACATTTTCAGCACAATATATTTGCAATAAATTCATTGGACAACAAAATCATTCCCGCTAATGTTAATATTGATACATATTTTTTAATTGGTTAACTTGATAATAGCATTAATTAATGAATTCAGCAGGAGAAGAGGTCCTGATTGACGATAAATAAATCAAATTAGTAAACACATCGTTTCGCTAACGAAGCGTTATAATTTAGCTATCATCCAAATTTTAGCTTCTTTATGACCAGAAGAGTTGGCAACACTGGTCAGAACAAAATGACTCACTTGGACTGAAACAAAATACGACTTTAGTAATTATTCATTTGCAACAGTTCTCGGTTTTGGCAGTGCAATGGGCTTATTTGGCAAAACTCCCAGCAAAGATCCCAAAGAGCAGGTAACGAGACAGTGCGGCCCGAAGACATTCTCGGAAAATGATGTCATTCCAGTTGTTTTGATTTTAATTTACATTGTTTGCACACCGACTGTGTTGTATTCTGAGCTCTGTTTTGTCCCTTTAATTTCGTATATGTAGGTGCAAGAGTGGACGCACAAGATACGGAAGGAGGGAAACCAGCTGGATCGTCAAATTCGGAGCATACAGAGAGAGGAGGAGAAAGTAAAGCGCTCTCTGAAGCAGGCGGCGCAGAAAAATGATCGCGACACCTGCGTCATTTTGGCCAAGGAGATCGTGAATGCACGAAAGGCCATCAACCGCATATACACTTCAAAGGCGCACCTCAACTCCATCCAGATGCAGATGAAGAACCAGCTATGTAAGGGGACTCTCCTTACGCCCGACTCAACTAACTATCCCTCCTTCTAGCAACCCTGCGAGTAGCTGGATCGCTCCAGAAGTCCACGGAGGTCATGCAGGCCATGCAGAGTCTAGTGCGCTATCCGGAGCTGGCCGGTATAATGCGCGACATGTCCAAGGAAATGATGAAGGCTGGCATCATCGAGGAGATGCTGGACGAGACCATGGACTCGCTGGAGGAGTCCGAGGAGCTAGAGGAGGAGGCGGGCAAGGAGGTAGACAAGGTGCTCTGGGAAATAACGGACGGCAAGCTCGGAGAAGCTCCCTTGCCTCCAGAGGCTACCCCGGCGGACAAGGCGTCTACTTCTGCAGCCCGTGTCGAAGTACCGGTGGAGGAGGATGATGAGGATGAGGGTGAAGAACTGCAGGAGATGCAAAGCCGTCTGGCTTCGTTAAGATCTTAGAGTGATTTCTACTGGGAAGGCATTTAGATTCAAAATTAGAGGCAAGTGATTACGACTGGCAGGCCCTTTCCAAATCTCGTCAGCGCTTAATTATAGAATCCAAAATAATTTTCAGAAACTAATATTCAGTTGTAGTTTAAGTGTTCAGTGCCCCAGTTCAAATTGTGTTGAACTGCACACGTTTTACTCTTAAATTAATACAAGTATACTTTATTTATTGTATAATTTACTTTCTATTAAAAATCGATCATTTGCTGTGGCATGATTTTCCCAACCAAGCTAATTTTCGTGGGCAAGGCTTAGGCCCTAACGTTGTCGTTTATCCAGTCCAGGTACGCCGCAACCCTTGTGTACACCCCCGGCCATCCTCTTAGGCCGCACGGTGTGGGACCATAGGAAACCACGCCGGCGATGTAGTAGTTGGAGTTCCCATTGAAGTAGTCCTCGAGCAGGAGGGGACCTCCGGAGTCACCGCGACACGAGTCAACACCCTCCACCCCGCCGGCACACAGCTGATTGGCGGTAACAGTCCGACGTTGACTGGCGTACCGCTCGTTGCAGTCGCTAGTCGGCACCGGACTTAAGTCGGCCTTCAACTTGATGTTGGACGTGAAGTTCGTCTCGGTGCGACCCCACCCGGCCACCTCCAGCTTGCGGCCCAGGAAGATGTCATCGCGCTGAGACGGCAACGTGGGCAGGCACACTGGAGAAATAAAGTCGCTGTAATCAACTGCGTACTGCAGTCGCAGCAGCGCTATGTCGTGCAACTGGTCCCGGGAGTTTCCCGGGTACTGCGGGTGCGGAATCCGCTCAACCACCGGGCAGTCGACGTAGGGCTCGTTACAGTCCCGCTGTCCGTTCTTGGCAGTGGTGCAATCCGGATTCGTGCTAGTGTCCCACTCCCCAAGGCGCACTCCTGTTAGTTGCCAGTCGCTGGGAATGGCGGAGACGCAGTGCGCTGCCGTCAGCACATATCGATTATTGATCAGCGATCCGCCGCAGTGGTGGCCCTTCAGGTTGCCGGCTGGAAAGGAAAGTGGGTGAACCTGGGACATAGCAGACGCAATTACCTACGCTTTGTATACTCGATCAGGGCCATCCAGGGGAAGTCCCGCTTGCCCGTCTCCCTGCCACCCACTACACGATCTCCGAAGTTTTCGCCGCAATTTGGCGGTTGGGGCAGCAGTCCGGTGGAGGGGCGCTTTGAAGGGTTAGTCGGCGGCCGGTTGGGTTCACAGCATATCTGCAGCAATGGAAAAATAAATTATGGGTGTTATTACAAAAATGTTTTTGATGATGTAAAAGAATTCGAACATTTATATGGAAAATTGGTATTTGTATTGCAGTGTTCGGCGTTTCAAATCAAAGACAAAGTAATTAGCTAACAAATAAATTTCAATATATCAATATCAATAGCAATATCAAATGAGGTCTATTTCAAATGTCCAACCTAATAATGTCAATGATCTTTGCATAAAATAGTATGAAATTAATTGTGTTTCTTGAAGAACGTTTGTAAAGGTTTTTAATTTTACGGCCTTAAAAATAACATTCATTTTATAACATCTTTGCCATTAACGCTATTGATTTATTTGTCCTGGATCATCATCCAACTCGATTTAAAAATATACCCGCCTGTTTCTACGCTGCCATAGGAAAGATCGAAAAATCTACATGTTTTTTTGAAAATAGACTTTTTTAACGACTCTTGAATTTATTTCGAAATTTCATCAAAATCGGAGGTGCCTCCTTCACTGCGTTGCAAACTTCTGACTGAAATTATAAAGGTAAGAAAGGAAAGAAAGGAAGTTAGCTTCGGCGATCCAAAACTTATTTACCCTTGCAGACATCAAATATTTCCAACCAAATACATAGAGGCTAAACCACATCGAAGATTGTTCACCTGACAGCTATACGATACAGTCGTCCGATTTTGATGAAATTTAATTTGAATGGGTAGAAATTTTATTATTCTGGGTAAGCGCACTACTACCCAAATGATAGCTTTATCTAACCCAACTAACTTTAAATTACGAAATACTTGTTTGTTAAATGAAAAAGCTATATCATGATGCTGCCATCTTAGAAATTATACAAAATTATACAAAAAAATTCATGTTTTTGGCTCGCCGTTTAGAAAATTGGTACGATAAAAGATATTAAGAAGTTAAATTGTATAAATACATATTTGACTTCTAATCATATGGCTGCTTTTGGGAAAAATTAGAAAATAATAAAAAAGTCAAGACAGGCAGGGAATAATTATACAGTACAGGCTATTGCTGAAGTTATAAGGATACGGCGATCGGTTTTTGTTGGGTAAGAACGTTTGATATACCTAAGTTCTTAGTGCAATCGTATGGAAGCTTTTTCTCAACGAAGTCAGCATCTTTTCATATTTTAAAATAGTGGTATCTGTATCTGGTTCAAGAAGCGACACTTTTATTGCAGAATTGAAGTAGTTCTAGTCGTGGATTGTCCCAAAACTTATGGCTCTTACAATTTTCAAGAAATATTCGCTTTTAAATTGAGTTCGCAAAAGGTATAAACACTTTCTGTCATATGTAACTTAAGGAGGTACAAATATACTTTCTGTATATTTACAGACATATGGAGCCACTCTGTAGAATCGAAAAAGCTTTATGTTCCGGTTACACTCATTGGCAAAATTTCAGAAAGGAATCGGTGAATGGGTTGCACTTACAAGCACCTGTCCATTGCGGTAGCCACACTGACTTTGTTGGAGAAACCTGCGTGACTCGGTTGGAACTACGCCGCGCTGGACCAGTTGGTAGAGATATCCACACTCTGTTAATTTTATGCAGATGCCGCTTTTCTCATCCGGCGTTGAGCAATAGCCAAAGATTTCTGGGAAACAAAGGTGAAACCTGGATCAGTGACAAGGCGAGAACTGGTGCGGGCACGGGGATTCTCCCCGCTGAGCGCAGCCCACTGTCATCGACCCGCTTTGACGGGGTGAAGTTCAGCGCTGATAGGCGATTGCTTTGTTCTTTAGATTGGTGGGCACAGTCCTCGACTGCGACTCGGGGTGTGGCACCACTTGCCTTGGGCGAAGGTGCCGCTTGTGGCCACCGAGAGCACCGCCAGTGCGGCCGAAAGAACGAGAGGACCCATGCTGATATTGCGGCCTGACTGCGCTGACGTATGTGGAGGAACGATCCGCTCACTGGGTGCCTGCTGGAAACACACTGACCGTGGCTGGGAACAATGAGTAGCTGAGCTGAGCTGCCGAGCTCCCCTCGTTCTAAGGCAGAGCTTATCAGCGGTTCTCCCCAGCAACTGGTTACACTCGACGAGCCACCGGAATCGAGAGAGCAGAGTTCTCAGCCGATTCTCAAGCAGTAAGTCCCGCTCACAACTTCGATATCTCTACGAGGCAAACAAGTCTGGCTGCTTTCTTGCACTCTTGTTGCCTCTGCTCATCGGGGAAGTTTCCGCTAAGGCGGAGCAATCGGTTTATAAATCTGGTGCACTCAACAATACAGATTGATATATTGATTCTTCCACTAAGTCTCTGACGCCCTTTCTTCACTGCTTCTGACTGCAACTTCAATGCCTTAGAAAACTTTTTCGGATTCACTGTGAATATGGGTTGTTTTACTACACTAGAATGTGTAGTACTTCATTTTAAGGATTCGCCAGCGTGGTTGAATGCATTACTCAACACTCGCCCATAACTGGTAAGTGTGACTACATGACCGGTAAAACATCTTTCATTCATTAATTAAAATTTGATCCTTTTTGTAGCATTTATTTGATGTATGTTCGATTTTTATGAAATTTAAATTTTTAAAAAGTCACGACTTTAACGACTTTCCATTTGTTGTATTACGACTTTAGACCTGTCCTATGATAATATGACTTCCACATGAAATTTAATTAGAAATTTCAAGAGTAACGACTTTATAATTTTTTTTTCTCATTTAATTATCTATCTTTCATGGCAGTTGTGTGATCGCGACTCGAACTTCCAAGCCCATTATATTTTAAACTAAAATATAAAAGCGGAGGTCACATAGCTGCCGTAGGGTTATAATCGGAATAATTATAATGAACAAACATAATCCTAACTTCGATGTTAAACAATCTAATAAATACAGAATAAATTATAAAGCGAGAGGAAACCCGAGTGGCTCAGTATTAGTAACTATCACTAGAATTAAAACTATCAAAGCAAAATGCAGTACCTTTAAAGCCGTGGGTGTCTCAGAATTAATTTAACTTCGTTGTTTTTAAACATACATAACTATACTATATAACTACGCATACCATAATGTCCCATGGGAGAGAAATATAAAATATGTATATATTTCTAGTCATGTATTTTAATTTATTTTCAACATTCTAACCAGCCAAATCTTAGAAGCTGTAGCTGACAACACTGTGTGTCCTGACGACGATGAAAAGATTACTAAGTCCAGCGGAAGCTGAAACATTTTTCTATTTTGCAAGTATTGGTCTTTAGTAATCTTGCGTCTGAACGTTACCTTAACACGTTTGTTCTAGGCGCATCTCCGTATAAATGTACAAAAACCGGATTGAAGTGAGATTCGTCACTACGTGCACCGTCCTCAGGGATTTTACTTAAACACATGCTAAGTTGTTAGCCAAAGCAAGGGAGCCTCCGAATTTGGCCACTTACAGAGGCAGTGAGCTGAGTTGAAAATTGCTTTGGGGGCGATTGGCTGTAAATGTGGGTTTCAATAAATGCGAAAAGTAAGATAGATGATTTCAATTTGTTACAAGTGCTTTTAAGTTAGGGCCGAGAGGGCAGGATGTGAACTGAAAGGCACTTGGGCGAGCTGCCCCCACAGTTGGAAGCCGGCATCTCCTGCCTGAGGGGTGCGTGTCGTCCTGTCGTTTGCTTAGTGGCCATTAGTTTGCTGATTTAATGCCATCGGCCACTTCAAGAAAGAGTGGTCGTCGTCAATTTTACCATTTCACTTGACAATGCATTTCATTAGGGCTCACCTCCGGCTTATCTCTGAACTGGACTTCCGCTACTGCTAAGAAATTAAATTGAAATCTGTGGAGTATTGCTGTCGCCGATGCTGTTGTTTTGGGCTAATAAACACGGTTCTTCACACTTGGTTGGCTGCTAAGTGTTTGGACGTTGAATTGTGTGGTCGGCCTGATGCTTTTGTATAATTAAAAGCTTTTTCTGCATTATTTATAAGACTCAGCTTTAGCCGCCCAGTGCTGCTCTGTTGTCCTTCGGGCGAATTCCACGCCACTCCTGTTAATGTTTTGTATTTTGTGTTGCTAAAGCTAAGCGGAGTTGTGCATTTAAAACTGTAATACCTTTTGTAACGGTAGTTCATTCACCATTTTTAAGAAAAATTGTTGATTGTTTTTATGGATGTTTCGATTATTCACAAATAAATTAAAAATGTTGGCTCTTATTAAGAGAATTTTTTATTTCTCTCCCTATTTATTTTGTTCCATGGTTTCTTTGGAATTGTATTTCAGAATTTATATGCTTGTATATCTTTTAACAGCATACTATGATTTTACCTGAAAGGGTATACTAAGTCCTTTCGACCCCATGAAGTATATGTATCATCTGACGCCAATCTAACCAATTTGACTGTGAAATTCTACTTGCACGATTACTCTTCTGTCGGTATAAGCATCTTACAAACTATAATTAAAATAAATTCGGAGTGAAAATGTTCCATTTGAAACATTTAAAGCGTTTCCTAGTTTTTTCATAGACATTTGATCTTTCTATTCAGATCAAATCTATATTTTTCATTTACCATTTATCTTAAAGTCAGGCAGCCAAAAGCCTCTATTATTTTACCCCCATCACATTACTAACTTGTTAAGCAAATTAAATTTTCCCTTGCAAGGGCGTGAAAACTCCTCGCTGACAATGTAAAAACCAATTGCACAGAATTATCGATGAACTTTTTTAATTAAGCAAAATACGTGTGCTGGAATTGAAGGCACGAACAAAGGTAGTTTGGTTGATCTCCTCCTTCTTTCATTCCCGTCGTCATTTGTTTGGATTCAATTTTTGAATGACAAGACAAAATAACAAAATTTGGTTTTTAAGTGGTGATGTTAAAAATATTTCATTTTAAAAACAGATAGTGTTTAAATATTGGTTCAAGAAATTATCAGGAGGGATAACTGCTTTTGAAGCGGTCGCTTTATATAAAACCGCTCAGCCGATGAGGTCTGTATTAGGTAGGGATGCGTAGTAAGGTCTCTTATAACATAATTGGGTGCCCAAAGTCCTGCACCTAAGCATTGTTGTCCAGTGTAAAGGAGCAAGGACTGCGGTGCTAAGCAATTCCCGCAGCCAAGTCAGAGCGTGGCAGAACGTTCGCATAGTCATCAGGCACAGAGAAGTCTTCGAATTCCAAACACTTGGGAATTTGATGTCTAAACAATGCGTCCCGCAGAACGACAGCAGCGTGAATTGTTAAGGAAGAGTTTTACTAAATTCCAATAAAGGCGTCCCGGAGTGGGGTGAAATGATATGCGGAGCAGTGGTGTCATTTTTTTCTGAGCAAAAAAAGCTGGATCAACGAAAAAAAAGCTAAAAAAAGCGGAATACCAGAGAAAAAAAGTTAAGAAAAAAGCTGATTTTTGTAAAGCAGTATGTACCTATATATAAAGCTGCATGTTTTTCATTAATAAACCCTCAGTTCAGCACATTAATGTACAAAAATTAAGAATTATAGTATATTTGAGATATCGTCAGTATTAACGACATCATCACTTGGATAAAAATTCTTTTGTTCAATTGTAGTTAGGCAGCTGGGTGGTAGATTGTAGTTAAAACAGCACTTATTGTTTCGACGCAGCCCCTTTCTTAAATTTTAAGTAAATTAATTTCCAATTTCAAAATCTTAATAAATTTAAATATGGACCTTATACTTAGTATAGCGTTTAACGTTTCAACGCGCATGCTATTTCGAATTTTTGTTTTAATTGAATTTACTTGACTGAATACCCGCTCGACGTCGGCGTTTGACCAAGGCAGAGACTGCATTTGCAGAACAACTGAAGCCAATTCATTAAAACGGCAGTTTCCGCCAGAATCCCGGTATTTCTGAACTTCAACCCAGAACTTTATTGTATCATCCTCTACTAGGTATATGTCGTTTTATTGATGTTGGGAGTACCAAAATACTCAATACTTTTTAATTTTCAAAAAAGCCAGAATTCCCGCTGTTTTTATATTTTTCCCGCAATCACACTTAAAAAAATCCACATCTGACGGGAAAAAAGCGGAAATGACACCGCTGATGCGGAGGTGCGAAGATGATGGTGGATGAGAATGCGAGTGTCGTTTGGCCATTGTTGAGCTCGCACGCGTAAGAAACAACTGCCATCCAAGCAATGAAAATAAAATTCAGCATTCCCAGAATTTTCTCATAATGCATTTAAAAACTCTTTATTGGAAATCAACTCTTTCTATATTAAAATACAATTCAACAGTAAATACATTACAACATATTACAATGCAATACAATACAATTCAACTCGCACAATATTGTAATCGCTACGGCAATCACTCGACCCGCATATGCCAAATCGATAATGTTGGTAAAAGAACTTTGGCCTATGGGTTATATTGGTTTCAAGATCCATGGCGGGGAAAGTCACTTTCTTGAATATATTTTCGAATGGCAAGAGTGCTAATTTAAGCTTCTTAACTTGCAAGACTGGTAACTATGAGTAAGTTTCTTTTTGGTTCTTTAAGGAAATTCAAAGATGTATCTTTAAATAATTGCCATTTTGAAATTATACTCTATCAAAGGCTAGATGCTTTTGCCAAAATTTCTTTTAACGTAGTCTTGACTTGGAGTAAGAGACTTACAACCAAAACGAAAATACACGACGAGATGGAAAATATCCTGATATAAAAAGTAGGTTTAATGACTTTGATGTACTTATGAAAACTATTGTTCGAATTCGATTTACTTGTATATGGGCCTAGATAATGCGACTCTTGGTAAGCTTCTTGTGGCATCTTTAAAATTTGATTTTATTCGTCTATAATTAAAATTAGGTATTCATGTATATATTGTATCGCAAATTTATGATTGATTAGGGTATAGAAACTTTAATATATTATTATGAATTTCTTGTATATATATTTCTTTATTTATTCATTTACTTGATCATATCAATATATGTATATATGCAAGTAAAGTTCATAAAACTTTTAACAATAATTTCAGTCGGTCATTTGGTATGTAAATTATATATACTTAGACTATGTAATTAATTTCGAATTGTGTTTATTTCTTCTCTTTTCATTTTGTTCGATAATTCTCTTATTTTTATTCAATTTAATATGTAAATCATGTAATATTTAAAATTAAGACACGAAATCGTTTAAGTTAGATATGATTGTTTTATTTGAATGATTGATGCTAAAACGAAAGGTATCTTTTCCAAGCTCTCAGAAAAGTAGGCAAGCTGGCTTTTCCCCGTATAAAAACGAATAGATTGGAAAAGATACTTTAAGATCGGCTAAGCCGAACCATTTATTTTTCCTATTGTATAGTACTGCCTGTTATCCTAGTGGAAATGTGAAAAACTTGTAGAAACACGCATTTATCGTTGAGCAGATATTTGAATAAACAAGAAAACGCATTCTGCATTCAGCAATACGTTTTATTGTTTAAGGGAGCTTAACCTAATACTAGATTTCCAGTAGGGTCAATGGAATCTCAGGTACTTTAAAAATCTTATGAATTATTTGGCAAACAACAAAAACTTCCGATCGATCCAGTTTTTTACTCGAATCATATTTGAATGCTATAAGAAAGTGCACTTGGCACCTTTGAAAGACTCTGGGTATGCGGCGAATTTGCTATTCTAATTGCTTTAAACTAATGTCGTTGTTGATTCGTCTCTGATTTCACATTTGGTTTCTACGACTCATTCTAGTCAGTAATGCAGGTGTACCATAATTTAGCTATCTTCTAATCGTAGTAACCGAAGTCCTGCCAACTCGTTTTAAGTACAAAGGAACTCTAACTGCTTGATTGCATCAATGTGCGTTGCTTAGCGCTTAACTAAATATTTCTACTTCTACTCAACACTGTCCAACATTTCCGAACGTGCTAATACTAAAATGCGGTTTCTTACGCTTGGGTCCTTCTACTACTTTCTCAAAGAGGGGACCGCTAAAACTGTCTTATAGTTGGGTTGTACAATAATGCAGGCAATAGGGCTAATCGGGTAAAAGTGTATCCACATTTCGAAGTGTAAACCTAGTTTAGACACAAGTTAGTATAGCAGCCATGGAATGTCCTGGGTGGATCAAAATCTGGCAGGTAATGCACGTTGAAGGGTTGAAAAGAGCATCGAACTTTACTTTACTCTTCCACTTTACTTTACTCTTCCACATATGTATACACATACACAAGCGCCCAAGTAGGCAGGTGCATATGTGTGTGTGTGTTATCTGAAACCGAACCCGAATCGTGGTATGACTGTCATCTTTGAGACTTTTGTTCAGAACAAGTTTCTCAATGGGCAATTTTTAAAAGCATCGCTAAGACGTTTTTTCAACTTGGCTGAAAATATAAACAAGATCGAATTAGTAAATCTGTGTACCAACCCAGCGAAAGGCTTGATTAACTTAAAAAAAACTGCCTACTAAATTGACATGGTTGGCTGCATAAAAACCGAAGGGGGCAGAGCAATTATAAAAATGAAAGGGTAGAGTCTGTTTTGAGTTTGATTGTTTTCACCCTCGGAGTGGAAGGAGAAAGAAACAGGTTCCCTAATGGATTTTCTTTCAGTTTGCTGTGGTGGTCGTAAACTTTGTCGTCAGTGGCTGCGGTATCTGAAGAGGAGACTTGGGTGTTCTTGTGGCTTTGGTCGGGACAGATGTGGATGTTGTGTGGTGAGGTATGGGCACGAAATTGATTGGCTACGCCACTACTTACCTTTCCAGGACGATGCAGAAGGCCGTTACACAACAGAAAGTTACAAAGCCTAGGGAAATCTAATGTGATTCATACAGTAAGTTCATACTTACTCTTTTTGTGCCTAACCCCCAAGACGACAGGTATGTATAATAGTACATTACTCTTCGGGAGAATTTATACACGTTTTGGCAAGGGGTTTTTAGTTTTTTAGGTCTGACAACACGGCTCCCGTCAAAACATATGTATTTTTACGGTGTCATCGGCAATGATAGCCAGCAGGATATTGGTCTATCAATGTGGTTCTGACAGTAAGACTCATGGATGCACATGAAATCAGGTGTGGTCTGTTTTGAACTGCAAGACAGGCACTCGAGGAGGAGCAGAGTTAGACATAGATAGACAGATCGATAATGACAGATACAGAGAGATAGAGAGAGGAAAGAGAGTCACGTACACATAGATAGAAAAACATATAGACCAACAGTCATGCCAAATCAAGTTCGCTATACGTGTCAGATATCAGGCAGGCAGAGAGAGTCTGAGTCAGAGAGTGTAATAAAACATGTATTTGGTCGCTTGGTGTGTGAGGTAACGGTGATGGTAGCGCCTGGAAATAATGGCCGACTCGCAATTAAAACCAAATGTATAGTTGTGTTTTCTCATATATATTTATACATATATATCTTTTATTATACCTTCTTTGTTTGTTTTAATTAAATGTTCAAAGTAACAATATAATTAATCAACTATTAACGATTTTCTTAAGTTTTTTGGTTTTCTTTCTGTTTCGTTTATTTCTTTGTTGTGTATAGAACGTCTTTCACATCTAATAATGACTTGAATGGTATTCTTTTCAACATTATCATATATAATTTTTGTCTGTTGTTTCTCTATTAAATTCATTTCCCTATTAAGTTACACATATACATAGATAATAATGTTTTTTATTATCCGTGGTTTCGTGAACTTTCTGATATACATATAATTACATTTTCATTACTGTAATATTAACGGTAACATAATATTAACAAATTAGAAATAAAACAAAACCGGCTGAACCATTTAACATTTCAAACATTTATGATTACGTTAAAAACTTGGTTATGATTGAATAATATTTTTCAATTAGCTGTGTTGGTTTTCTTTATTCATGTTTATTTAATATGTTAAACAATTAAAGTGACCTTCAACTTCAACTTCATATAAGTATCTGAGAGAAAACGTAATAGCTATAGTAGAATCTAGGTAAACATTTTCTATAAGTATTTAGAAAGCCATTATTTTGTAGATTTTTAGTTTCGAGTTTGAAAAGATCATAGCTAAGATATCTGGGATTCCGATTTAGTAAAAGGATAGGTGCGATAGGGGAAACAAAGCTAGGGATTGCAAGTACCTTTGCTTAGGGTAGAATCACCTTTTCATCATCAACTAATCGCTACTCTCATGGTCTAGTCATCTGAGCCACGTTAAGGCATTCATTCGTCAGTTTGATCGTTCCTAACTTTGTATGGAGCGAGGGGCACTAGAGGATTGCTTTATTAGGTTGACAGAGAGGGGCGTTGAGCCTTTTTACTTAATTGCTGTCTTGCCGATATGTGTAAAAGAAATTTAGAATCGGTTCGAAGAACGGTTGGGCAAAGCTTGAACTGACTATTAGCCTTGAGTTGAAAAGATTTTTGTACCTATTTGGATGTTATCAGCTGTTGCATGTGGATACAAATAAGTTTTCCTATTTTGTTTTATGCAACTGCCAATACAAGTTGTAGTAAGTACATACACTTCGTTGGAGTTTATTTGATCTGTACATAATTTTAAGCATTTACAACACCATATAGCCATTTAAATGTATGTGACTAGTGATCATGTATGTATATATGAGCGTGGTTATGCACTGGCATAGATTAATTCACAACGTTCAGAGAAACATGGTAGGAAATGTCAGCTAGCAAATTGCGATGATCTGTTGTTTATGTAGCTAGTCGATAGCTTCTATTGTTTGCTATAGTTTAGTAAGGTTCATCTCTTATAATACATATTTAGATACTTCTGTAGATGTAGTTGATGTTGTTGTTGTTGATGTTGTTCTTGTACTGGCTGTAGGCGTTTTCTTGTGCTGTTGTTCTGGTTGTTGTTGATGATATTTATAAAACACCGAGAGTACATGTCTGAGAGGGACCATCAAGTCGTAGTTGTGAAGAATTGGTAGAATTGGTAAAGTTGTTGTTGTTGTTGATGTTGTTATAATAGTCGATATTGTTGTTGTTTTCGTGTTGTTGCAAATGTTGTTCAAGTTGTTTTCAGATATAGAATTTGAGGCAGAGTAGAAGTGGCGCAGATTAAAGATTTAAAAGAGAGTGTTGTAAACCAAAAGAAGAGAAAGAGAGAGACAACAGAGAAAGAGAGAGAGATATATATATATATAGAATGCAGTGTGATTAAAACATTTAATATTATTTATATATATGTAGCTTTATTTGGTTTATTATTGACTAAAAGGGCATTCGACTAGGGAACTATATCCGGTTTCCCGGAACACAGATGTCCCTTCCGATTGCAAGGTTGCATACATAGATTATGTGGGTAAGTGGACTACTGCTATCGGGTCGACTTATTGGCTCCACAGTCAGGGAGCAGCGTTGTCAGTTTAGCTTATTTATAAGCTAGAATAAGCTAAAATTTTCCAGTTTTAAATGCTATTTTGATGTTATGTTATGTTAAATCTGCGGTTATACACTTGAAAGTGTAAAATTTTTAGCTTATTCTAGCTTATTTTATTAAAAATCTAGCTTATAAATAAGCTAAACTGGCAACACTGTCAGGGAGGGCATTGCACAAATTGTGGCACAATTCAACGGTGCGTATGGGTGATGTGATAGATGCATGTATGCTGATATTGATAACACACACTCGACGTATGTACATCCATGCGATCTGTATACGACAATGCGATCTGTACCTTGGGATAATTGCAAGTTGGGAGGCCAACTTCCGCCGGGGCCGGGCCTCGTGTATGCGTATGTACAATTTCGGTGGCTTCGGAAGGACCGCTTGCCGGGGTGTAGGTAGTAGGTATGTAGTATGTCGGTATGTAGTCAGTATGAGTTCAGTATGGGTACCCTGCACAAGCAGGGTACTGCTTGAGCAGACGACGGACAGGGTGTTGCGAGGGGTGTTGGGTGGAGATACTTATATACATATGTATGTATGTCGAATGCTTTGGTGTCTTAGTTTCTGGTGGCCGACTTGCATGCATGTTCTTGTGGTTCTTTTCCAGTTTTTGGGGCTCTTCCAGAGCTCTCTTGGAGCCAGGGAGTTGGCGGTGAAAAATGTATGCTAAATGTATCACAGCATTACGCTCTCGAACTGCCTAGCATCTCTTATAAGCTATTGTCCTTGTCTAAGTGGCTACTGCTATATATGTATCTTTTGTTACATATTGTTGTACAATATTTCCTACGGAATAGCCGTATCAAATAAAAACTCAACCGGCGTGGATACAATTAAACGGTAAATGAAACTTGGGTTCGGTATTATTATTCATATTTTAGTAGGGGTAGGTATATAGGTAAATAGTAATCGTATTTACTTACATTTCAGAAGCATCAATCAGAGAGATCGTTTACTATCTCAAAGAGTTTGATAATCTCAATTGTAGTGTAGGTATGTTGTTTGTATAGGAAAGAAACAAAATGTAACAGCTGTTAAAGATGTTTTTCTCGAACTTTCAAAAACAAACTGACTGAAACTTTTTCTTTTATTTCAATTATTTTTTGTTATTCAACAAAGAATTCAGAGAATCAGCAATAATTTCAACGTATCTGCAGTCAATTCGTTTGCAAGTATATTAGTTAACTGGTGATTAAATTCATGAAATTTTACATATATACATAACGGATGCATATATACTTGAATGATAATTTCAACAAACTCGCCGATTTAATTCATATCTTTCTTTACTCATACTAATATATAAGTAGATGGATTTAAGGTCCAAAGTGATTTCAGCAACATACTTCGACGGTTCGACATGATTTGGCAGCCTCCTCTGTCGCACCATTCGCTTAATTTTGTTTTTGTTTATTTTTTTTGGTTAATTTTTCGTTTGGTTTTTATATTTTTCTGTTATTTTTTACTCGGCTCTATTTAGGTTCAAACGTCATCGTGCCGACCCGAAATATTCGTTAGCTCATTATTTCATTGTATGTTATCAACTAAACAACGATTATGTACTGTATATTGGGTTTGAGTATAATACATATTTATCGAAGCAAAGTGATTTGAATATTATTAAAGGCTTTCACTATAGTTGTTGGGCTTTAAATAATTTTGTTTATGTTTTAGCTACTTTAAAATTCTTTAGGAGTTCACCGTCCTGTTCGCATTTTGATTTCGCATATCTGCTTCGTTTCGGAATATAGCTGTCTTCGATTTTGGGATTTAGCTTTTAACAGGCTTTACGTTGTTGCCGGGTTACAGTTATTTTAGGCTCTAGCTTTTTAGGGTTTTTAGTTGGTTATGCTGTCCAATATAACTTAACAGATCTCATATTAACAAATCCAATTTCAAGTCGAGTTAAATCAATTTCTTTTTATGGGTTACATGTTATCGGTATTATTTGTATTTTTCATTACTTTTATTTTATTTGCTTTTATATTATGATGACTGACATATCACTGCATGACACATTTTCCCTCTATTTGAGTTTTTAGCTCATTTACTTGCGTTTCTATTTGATTTTTCAGTTCTGTAAAAGAAATTGAGTATGGAAACAGCAATAAATAAGCATATTTTGTAGAGTAGACTACAAATGTTTGGCATGTTAACTGTTATGTATATGTATTAATGGATGCTCATGTACTGTAACTGGTCTACTGTAGCTGTAATTGTAATGTAGAGTAATTTTTGTTTTTTTGTTTTTTTGCTTAAAACACTAGAGTCGAAGAAAGGAATCGTTCGTAAACAAATTAAAAAATTTAAAATGAAAATAAGAAATTTAATTGCAGACTTGTCTTGTTTATGTAACGATCGTTAGCTGTAAGTGAGAAGGTCGCAGTCAAAGTCAGACTTAAGGTTAAAGTTATAGTAAGATGGCGACAGATTGATGGAGATAATAATGACAAAGATGTAAAACTTGGTGCGGAGAAAATACACATACATATGCAGTATATGAGCAATATATATATTCTACATAAGATTTAGCATTATGTAAAAGACATATAGTACACATATTGAAAGGAAAGAGTAACGAGAGGGAAAAAGTTTTGTAATTGTTTCTCGTCCATTTATCGTAGGTTTTTATTTTTGTTTTGGTTTAATGTTAAATTACGTTTACTTTGTTATGAGTGTTAAGTTACAAAATGCAGTTAAGCACACAAGCACAGGTTTTAGTTAGTGTTATTAGTATAGTAAAAGTGCATTTGGTGATATTGATGTTTGAAATCAAAGTAATTCGATGTGTAAATTTATGGCCCCGAAAACTATCTGCTCTAACCTAATTGAACTCTCACATAACACCTTTGATAGTATTCTATGCTTATTGTCTTTGGTTCTTCACGTTCACGTTTTAAGCAGAATATCTTATAGATTATTTTTACAGAGAACAGGCGTAAGAGACAAAAAGAGTGGAGTATTTGAAAATTGTTATTGTTCATGGTGTGGGAGGCGAAAGAATAGTATCGAATACAAATGTATTACAACATGATTACCACACAAAAGAAAACATACGTTTTACGAAAGATCGCACTTACCTTCTATTCTAGTAAATTACATAACATAAAACCTAATTACAATTACTTTGTTTTCTAATACCGATTACATTATTTCAGTGTTCACCCAGAATTTATACGAAATAATGTGTGTAATGAAAATAAACTGTAAATTTCAGTGTTCACCCAGAATTTATACGAAATAATGTGTGTAATGAAAATAAACTGTAAATAAGACGCTTTCCTTCTGTAATCGCTTACAGATTCGGTTTTTGGTTAAAGTTTGGGAACCAAATAAAATACATAATGTGAATGGTGTGCACACTTGTTATATTAGGATGTATTCGATAATGTTTATATTCTTCGTTGCATTACAGTTGAAGATTAGATCTTAGACAGATAGGGTTGCAGTTAGAGTTAGCTTTAGAGTAAGGTTTAGGGTTAAAGTATTAGCGCACATGGAAGAGAGTACATAGAGATAAAGAGACAGATAGATAGCTTGGTTAGTGGACAGCTCGTAGAGAGTTTTATTGGATAGTTCGATTGCACTTAGATACGAGAGACACACACAGATGCACAAACATAAACACAGTTACTACTTTCGAGCGCCGTTGGGTATTTAGCTGATATTATTCGGTTTAGGTTTTGGTTTTGGTTTTGGTTTTGGTACTGGTTTTTGTTAGTCAACATGTTTAGGTATTGTCTGGACATGGCGAGACTCGGTTTAACCGCTGGCAAAGTAGTACAAACGAAAATAAACACAACTCAAAATCGGATACGGTTACAGAAAAGAAGGAAGCGGGCGGAGTCGAAGGCCCGTCACATTGTTGGGTTAGATTAGCAGTAGATAGATGTCAGTAGTTGAGCAAAAGGCGTCGACAATCGACAGCGACAGCGATAACTTACTTGTAAAATCGTCGAGCTCTTCCTGCTCCGCCTCGGCGGCGAGTTCCTCGGGCGTCTTCTTTTTCCGCATGAGGGGATTGGGCTCTTCCTGGGGCGCCGCCTCCACGATTTCCTCCTTCTTCTTGATGTTGTACTGAATAGTCAAGCGAAGGCGTTAGTTCAACAGGTTGATTAGACCGGTGCAAATGAGCTAGACTACATTCTTATCAGCTAGCACTTGGCAGCCGCTCCCTCGATGTCTCGCTCCTTTGAAGTTCAATCTGACTCCGTTAGGGAGTCGCTCAAGAAAAGGACTCCCTACTAGAGTCAATTTGAGCTGCGTCAGGAAGTCGTTCTCAAAGTCGGCGCGTTCTTCACTGTATTTGAGAGTTCACACGAGCCCGCTTACCCACTTACCTTATCGCGAATGTCCTGCCTCATCTTCTCGCGCTCCTCCTCCATTTTCCGGTGCTTCTCCTTGCGCCGGTCTTCGGCCTCCTTAATGGCCTCCTGACGCTCCCTCTCCTCCTCCTCTGCCTTTTCCTTGTCGTCGCCATCATCGCCTCCATCTCCTCCTACAGCGCCTGTGAGAAGGACAGGATAAATGGGTTAGTGAGGACCTTGCATTGCCACCTAACTATCTATCTAGGCGATTGCCCCTTGCAACCATAAAATCATTATTACTCAATGAATATATTTAGCAATCTGATCTGGGTGACCCACTTTAGATCGCAGTTCAAGCCTGACATTTTGACACACATCTTAAAGGCTTGCTCGTTATCGTCTACCGGGGATTTCCATTTTGATAGTTGACTCTTGGGGCACCTCAAGCCGATTCCTCGGCTTCCGCAATGAGGCGGAATACATAATCCTTGGAGCTGCTGCTAATCGACTTCTCTAAGCCATACAACATTTTTTGCTAATCAATCTTTTTCTTTTTGACTATAATTTTTGTGTTTTTTTAACCCATCACTTCTCAGCGATAGATCAGATTGGGGTTTGAGTAACTTTTGGATTATCATTTTATTGATATGCGACACAAAAGGTTAGATTGAATTGAAGTAGAGTTGTTTCTTGCCAGTGGCGTAGATAGGGGGGGATCTGGGGGATCAATCCCCCCCTTGGGTCTGAGAATTATAAGAAAATGAAATCGAATTTTTTCCAGGCATGTGTTTTAATGTAAGCATAACATTTTTGAAGCGCCAATATTTATTTTGTCTCAATGTGCAATACGGCAATTAATGGTAAAACTCTCAAAATTGAAAAAGAAACACACATTTTTACGCGATGACTGTGCATATCCCCCCCCCCATATCAAAAAGCTATCTACGCCACTGTTTCTTGCATCTTTAAAAAATTTCCATTTGAAATGCGATACATTTTTTTTTCTGTATCGGTTACACAGAATCTGCAACCTGCAGGAGTTTAATTACGAGGGACTTTGAGTCTTATAGTTTTTAACGCTACAATATGCCGATATATAAAAATTAAATTTATCAAGTTATTAAATCAAAAGTAAGTGACGGCCTTAAAAAAGTTTCCTCCTGCTATAGTGTACCCATATGTTGAGGAGCTGCATTAACAGTAGTCTTGACTTCTTGTAGTTTTGTTGAAAAACAAAAATTTTCCAAAAGCCCAACTGTTTCTCCACTTATTGATTAGCAGCTGCTATTCACATGGGTGTCCTGCAGCCAGCTCTCCGAGGCCCTCCTCCAGAGTCCTTTTGGCGCTGCAGCCCACCCACCATCCCCCTCAAGCCTTGAACTCTCTGCTGGCGCTAAAAATCGATACGTGATGCCTGCAACCGCTGTGGGCAGCCCGCGCCACCGCCATCGATTGATTTTTCCCGTCCCAGTGGCTCGATGGTGCCACCATATGCTTGCGGGTCACGTTACGTGGGGCGAGCGAGGTGGAAAACAGTGTAATAGCTGCAATGACTTACATGGGGCACAGTTTCAATTTCGTTTTCGGTTTCGGTTAGAGTGACAGCGTTTGTGTGTTGTGGCGAGTTGAGTAGTAGTTTGGTTGAGTGGTGGCAGTGTTTTGGGCAGTGGGAGAAGTCGAAGGCAGGCGGTCCGCCACCGGAAATCGAAAGGCAGGTGTTGGCAGAAAGGCAGACTGAGGCTTAGACTTGCACTAGGCACCATACCAATGAAATTCATGATTTCAGGGCGCCCTCCGCCGCTGCTATCTGTCCGTCGTTGGGCCTTCTGGTCTCCGTCTCCGTCACCGAACCCGAGTGGATGCAACCGTTGCCGCAGCCGCTGCTGGCACTACTGGTCGCGCCCTCAGCCAGGAGCTGCAGCTCTGGCCCGCTGGCTCTGCCGCAGCCGCAGTGACGATGGTGGAGGTGGTGGTGCTGGTGGTGGTAGTGGTGGTGGCTCGTCCATGGCCATTCAATCGATTCGAAGCGGCCGCCCGAAGTGCAGTGCGAACGCGACCACGAGTGTCTACGAACTGAGGACAGGAGCTGCGTGCTCGGCGGCGGCGAGTGAACTTTAGCCGCAGGAGTGCGAGCCCGGAGTAGGAGTGCTAGCAGTCCTGGTGCGGCCTTTTATGTCCTGGCGCCGTGCAGGCTGCCTCAGTTGCGGCGCTGTCGACGCCGGCCCGAGCGAAGAAGTCGTCGTTGTGGAGGTCCTGCGACTGCGCGGACCCTGCGACCCGCGTCCGCTTCCGACTCTGGCCTGCCCTGCTTCTGCTCCTGCTTCTGCTCCTGCTCCTGCTCCGGTTCTGGCTGCGTTGCTGCTCTGCCCGCCCCAACGCAGCCTCCTGCAGAGCGAGCAGGACGCAGCATCGCTGCCTGCGCCGATGCGCAGAGTGCGAGCTCCTTGCTCCGTGCTCTTGAGCACTTTTCGTGGGGCGGATGGGGAGCATCGTCGGGGATGACGATGACCACTCTCGGCGCTCCTCCCCGCTCCGTTTCGCCCTCGGCCCTCGGCCGCTCGGCTCGGCGGGTGCAGAAGGCATCGCACATTAAATTGAATTTATAGTCATCAATTTGCTGAATGGCTTTGTGAATGAACTTTTCGGGGTGACTGTGACTTGATTTGCAGACGCATTATTGTTTTCATAAATTAGTCAACGCATTTTATAATAAAAATTGATTTGCGAAAATGGTGTCAAATAGCAGGAGAAGCAGCCAGCAGTAAGGGAGGGTGGACCTCTTTTATGGGACTTCGTAATTTGCTTTATGAACTTTTACGAACTTCCTATCCTGCTCCCTCGGACCCCATCCCACCTCCACCTCCAACTCCACCTCCACCGAGCTGGGAGTGCGACTGTGTTGGTGCGGACACAGCTTGGCCCAAAGCTGGCGGCGAAAACCCTTTAAACTCGCTCGACTCCAGCTGCAGACTCAAGATGGCCCCTGAATAAGTGCTCAATTCAATTAAAAACTAATCAAGCCTATTGTAATGCAATTATCATGCCAACATAATTAACACCGCTTGGGCGAGGCGCACTTCCCATTCTTGGCATTCTCGGACTCCGGTTTTCCTCCGGTTTTTCCCCCACTAATGGAAATGGAAATGGACAACCCGTTGGCGAGGGCCCTTTAAGGCGGCGGAGCCTTCAATTTGCATGGCCCGTGGTGTTCCTGACAGCCCCAAAATCTGTCGGCCTGTCCGCACAAATTGGTTGTTGGTTCTTGGGGTTTCTTGCCTCCATTCATTGTATTTTTTGCCGTTAAAAGCTTTCTTTCGCTGCGTGTCATGGGCGAAATGAGGGTACTTAATGCCCATCTGCCGAGCAGCTGGGTTGGGTTAGCCCGACTCCGCCGCTGTGGGTCGCCCCCAGTCCATCACCGGGTGTTTGTTGTTCGGCAGAAGTCATAAGTCTGATATACGGCCGCAGCTCCGGCTAAGCCCTAGAGTGCGTTTTATTGCTTCGACTGCTGTTTTGAATACCAACACGTCAGCGCGACCCACTGGGGAAGACGTGGCGCTATGGAACGCGCTCGAGCCCGAGGAGGAGCTTCGGAGCCGGCGTAATTGTCTTATCCGCACCCAGGCGGATGTCGGATGTGCTGCGGATGCTGGGCGGGTGACGTTCATTCGACTTAATACACGCTCGCCGAGGAGCACTACATTAGAGCTTCATTCCATTTCCATTTTTATTGAGGCCGGGGCCCCACCTCCCCTTCCGCCCTTCCCGGGATCCCGGGTGGCATGGAAATGGAAATGGAAATGGGGAGGCGCGCTCATTTGTGTCAAGTATGCTCGCACCCTCGTCCTTTGCGTCCTTTGGGCTGCGTAATTTCGCCGCCTTCTCCACAAGGAGTTGGCAAAAAGGCACGAACAGCAAATTATTTTCCTGCCTAATCCGGCTCAAGGCACTGAGCTCTGCCGGCGCCCAGGAACAGCCCAGGAACAGCCCAGGAACAGCCCGTCCTGGCCGCATCTGGGTCAAAGGGACGCCGCGCACTAATGGCAGGAAAAGCCAAAGGAAGCCGGTCCGCAATGCCGCCACATGTGGGGAACTACGTGCCACTTCCAAGGCGACACTGGCTTAATCATCCAGTGTTTTCATTGTCATAGTCGCTGACGGCTGACGGCAACTACCCCACTCCGGCCGTAAGTATAATTTAACAGCCTCCCATAAGGGCCCGATATCCGCTTATGCCCGTCGAAGTGGGGAGGCGTCGGCATCAGCAGATGTGGAGGCAAGAGAAGCCTTGTGGAAGCGTTCGAGTGCTCGGACTGTCTTGTCCGAACGAAGGAAGGCATTTCGCCGCCGCAACACGATTCTTCCCCAGTGCCACCAATTAGTTGCGGGCCCATCCGCAGTCGTGAAGACATTTCCACCCAGGGAAAGGGTCGCTTTGGCAGGCATGTCAGGAATGCCACCGTCATGCCGGCGAATGGCGAATGGCGAAGTTTGTCGAAAATGCACAGCTCTGTGCGTCGTGTGGGCTGAAGGCCGGACAGCCGCATGCAAATATTTTTATTTCGGTCTGTGCCAGCCGGGATATTTCAGGAATTTTTAATATACATAATTTATGCCTGCCGAGCACCCTTCTTCCGGCCAATACGCCTTTCGCAGTGCACTGCCCCCTTTTGAGCCCCTGTCCCTTGTTCAATAACCCATTTTGGGGATACAGCCAGCAAGAGGATCGATCTGAGCAGGAGATCCCCATTCCGTAATGTGTGTCAAAATGCTGCTTATCAGTGGAGTCAAACATAGAAACAGGGAGTGGTGTTTGGTGGGGTTTCGCAAGGGACTCGGCTCTATTAGCTGGGCTAAATAGAGAGATACAGTGTAATGTGTATACTAAGAGTTATGTTTCCGGGTTTTCCTGCTTCTCTAGTGGTCTTTGGTGTTTTAAAGTACAAATTGTTACGCTAGTTTAGTAGATACTTTTACTTATACTTTACCTCATTGTAAATTCGTAGTATATAGGTTGTAGTTGAGTTGTAATTAGAGTAGTTATAGTAGAATAGTAGAAGATGTAAGTAGTTTTGTAGTTAGTATGGTTCCATATTGGTATAAGTAGTACATAGCAGTAGTAGAAGTAGTTCGATAGTAGAGTAGTAGTAGAAGAAGTAGATAAAAACGCTTTAACAAAACAGTTTTCGCAGAAAGCAAGAGTTTGAGAGTATACTTTGTATCAAATCAAAACCAAATTATATATTTTTAGTACTAAATGAAATCGGAGAGCCAAACTCAATGCAATGCTAAGTATGCTCAGTTCTAGGATAGATTTTGTAGCTCTTGAATAGATTTTGTAGTTTCAACCAAACGAAATCAAGTGTGCTGGATAAGTGTGGCGCCAACTTGTGTATCGATCTAATAATCCCAATTGCAGTTTACTGCCAATTTAAGTTATATGTGACTGATCTGCTCGGAAGTCGTAGATTGCCATACAGAATTTCAAATGTATTTTAGCACGCCCAAGATTTTTTGAATGCAAACATAATCAGAACGAAAGGGCATTTAATATATGATTATTTATCCCCAAGGCGTGCGCTTGCGAATAGTATTTGAGGGTCAGCGTGGAAGCGTGGCAAACTATAAAGTATAAAGTACTGAAACTGATGGCAGCAGGACATCAGGCACCTCCCAGTTCAACGGATGCTAATCATGAGCCTGTGGTATTGATTGCAATTTGGAATTTCGGATAGGTGAACTGATTATGTGATGCCGCTCTGATTGGTTGCTGATGGAGGAAATGCATGTCCATTATATTTAATATAAGATGGACACCGTGAATAGCATCAAGACTAAGGCATACGGATAAATAGTTGGTCGAGTAAAATAAGTTAATAGGTAAGTGGAGAAATTACCGCCTGCAGCATCTGTCGAGCGTGTGGTCGGAAAGTAGAGGAAAAGTATTATTAGTATTAGACTTCTGTTTGGAGTATTGTGACGCTTTATGGGTGGAAATTCAAAGTGGCAAGTTGTGTGTAAGAAAAAGGAGAGATACTGCGGGTTGCGGATGAGTAAGGGAACATGTAATGAAATAAGGAGGAAACTACAGCAGTTAGGAGTCGGGGATGGACAGTTCTCTCACGGAGATTCTGGTTCGCAATGGACAAGTCGGACAGAGCGATCCCGGCTGTTCAGTCCAAGTCCAAATTACGGCCGTGAGTGCTCGGGATCGGGATTGGCTTGGCTTGGGCGTGGCATTCTGTATGTATGTGAGCACTAAATAAAAGCGAAAGAATGTCGAGGGTGGCTGGTAGGTAGTAGGAAGAAATTGTAATAGAAGAAATTGAATTGTGTTCTCTGTATGTTTTTTATCGGAGCGGTGGCAGCTGTGTTTATTGTTGGCTTTTGTTGTTCGAGGTGTGTGTTGTTGTGCCGTGGAGTTCAGATCGGGTGGGAGGGTGTTAAGGAAACTGAGGGGGTGGCAGGAGGGGTGGAAAAGCAGAGCTTTTCCGCAGATTGCTGTGCACTTGGGAGTCGTTCTGTGTGTGTTGGGCTCGGTGTGTTTGTCAAGCTCTTGTGTTCGTGTGTTTTACAATGAGGTAAAGTTCGGCTGTGAAGGCATTGTAGGAATGAACAAATATATTTTACTATTGTTTTGTTTTGTGTGTGGCCAGGACGGGTATTTCTTTCGGAGGGAAGTTTGTAGTATGGATTGTACTTAGGTTTAATAAGATACGACAGCGTTTTATTATATCATATCAAACTCAGCTCAAATGGCTATTTGATATTATTTTGACAACATTTTGAAAAACCTCTAATGAACATAGAAAAATTACCAAATACTCGATACTTAGTTTAGTCCAGTTCTAATTAATAGTTAATTATTTATTACCGAAATATGACTAGGTATTAAATGAGAACGAAATTCAAAATATTGCCATTTTTATAAGTAATTTTTATGCCTTTATATATTCAATCAATTAATAATTTTGGACTGGATAATGTGGTGTTGTGCAGGGCTAAGCTTAAGTAAAACTTTATATAAATAGTTCCATATGGAAATCCTATTTTACTTTAGATCTTGAACGGGACTAGGGCCAACTATTCGTAAATTTAAATCATGTCTTCATGCTGTTGCCAATCAACACAACCTGGGTCTCCATTCAAAATAGATACAGAAGCGGTGAGTTGTAAACTAAATAGGTAGTGCAATAAAAACACATGTTGTACGCTATCAAATATTAAATTGTTGTTAATGTATGCTTTAAGTCTTTTAAAAAGTTGAGCTCTTGGTTTAAAAAGTACGGAAGACTGGTTGGGGTGGATGTGGCAGAAACTTACGCACTTTGTTCATGGGACGTTGAGGTGGAATTTTATGAACGCTTACCTGAAAATAAAAGACAATGTTAGTAAAATGCGTAGTTCAAGGCGCAGCAAAAGTAGGGGGTCGAGTCGAAACGAAATCATAGGATACACTGTACGAAAACCCAAGTTCAAAAAGCTTAAAACCATTGAACTTTCAGGACTCTTGCGGCCAAGCCGTTTCTCACTGTTCTGCCAAATCGGGCGGAAAGTTATAACAAATCCATAACTTATCCTTACGTAAGACAGGCAATAGTAATAAAGGCTAACGCGGGCTCAAATAAATTGTCTGATGGCGAGTGCGAATAGTTGACAATGGAAACGCATTAGCTGGCACCCCTCCATCCCCCCTCACGGTCGCCGGCTAGATCTGGAAAATGTGTTTTCCATGGGAGGAGGGCTTTGGAAAGCCTTTGCTCGACAATCGACATGTGAAGCTGCTGGGACAACAAGCTCGCAAATAGCTGAACAATTTCCGAGCGCAGGCATTCCGCTCATGAATTGAGTTTTATGGGCATATAGTATTTTATTTCGCTTCCATCACTCAGGCGCATTTTATGTCGAAAATTAAGTAGCCGCCTGCTGCATCGTTGAGAGCCGAAAGTAGTCGCCATCCGAAGGACATGGCAGAGGCAGAGGGTTCGGAACAATCTGAGTGTCCTTACGAACGGGTAAGTGTGTAAGTGCCGCCCAGTCTCCCACTACATGTGTGCTGATTCGCTGATTCGGTTGCCCGGGCTTATGCCCATGCTAATAGCGTTTCCATGTTCCACGGACGTGGCCGTCACTGCCAGACCTGACAGCCTAATGGCCAACCGATCCAGCCGCATTCTCGGGCCGAGCCGCAGCTGACAGCCTGCAAACACGCCGGCGGGTGATGGAGTCGCCTTTGGGCTTTGGGCTCCGTTTCTGGGCAGGGGAGTGTGACAAATTCAACATCAATCTGCACAATTAACTGTATCAATTTGTCGGAACCACTTTCCTGCGCATTCGTGCAGAATTTTTGCCTCGATAAGGACCCGGCAAAGGGGCTCTGCTCAGCTCGGCAACTGCAACTTGGGGCACAGCCTTGGAGTCAGTGTTGCCAACTTGGCTATTTTCTGGCCAGATTTGGCTATTTTGCATGACCTAAAACTAGAAACCACTCAATTTTGCAGGAGCCTGTTTTGTTGGCTATTTCATAAAAAAATGTGCTATTTTTTAGCTATTTTAAATAATTTGTTATATTTGATATTATTTATTTATTTATAGTCGACTAAAAAACCGTCGACCTTATATTTTCGGAAATCGTATATTGGCAATAGAGACATTGTTTGTGGCTATGCTTGGTTGGAGGATCACCAATTTAAGGACTGTGTTGCAAAAGTTTTAACTAACAAATCAAATAAGTGCCTTTCACAGGTTGGTACAATGGGAAAGTATTTGAGTTCCGAGGAGGCAGAAATTGGGCAAATTTTAGGCAATTTGCTTAACGAAGAAGAATCATTAAATAATCAACACTGAATGTACAAAAATATAAAATTTTATTATTGAAAACTAACAGCTATTTTAATTTACTATTTTTGAAGAAATTTAGCTTTTTTTTCGCTATTTTTTTTTGCTTGCACTGCTATAAATGACCACTCAGAGTTGGCAACACTGCTTGGAGTGCCGCTGCAGCGCCGCTGCTTGCAAATTGAATGAGATTATTGCGTGGCAGTCGGAGGAGGGTGAAGGGGGAGCTGCTCTATGTAAATGCTCCGACCAGAATGGGCTCGCATGTTGTCGGCTGATAAGCATTTCGACTTGAATACTTTCGCTCCTTCCTTCGCTTTTTTCCGAAAGCATTCAATGATTTTCCGAGCGATTGCACAGCCGCTGATTAAACAGCAGCGGCAATGGGAACCCAATGACTTTACCTAATGCGGATGCGGATGAGGATACGGACAAGGACAAGGATGCCGATGCTGATGCCGATGCCGGGGATGGATGGGAATAAAGATTGGAGACTGGGGACGGGGGGCCTGGCTGTGTATCTAAAAGCGTTGGCCACTTTCATGTGTGGTAATTTTTTGTCGCTGCGCAGCAGCTTGAAAATGAATTATGTATACCCGCACGTCCATATCAAAGTGTATTGATCGGGTGCCAAAAATAAAGTGCTCAGGGGTGACTCGGCGCTCGGCGCTCGGGCTTTCCGGTGCGACTTACCTTTAACGGCGCTTAATTGGTTTCCAACCATTTGCTTGGCTATGAAGGCCGCCATCTTTGGGCTGTCGCTCGGGGGGCGTGGCGCCTGCTGGCTGGGCTGGGGTCCTCGGCTCGAGGAAGTGCACTTGCGGTCCGAGCTGGCCCTTAGGTCCTAGTAAGCTGAAAGCGGCAGAGCAAAGAGAAAAGAGCAAATTAATTTGTGTGTGGCAGGACAACGGAGCGGTCCCGGTCCTGGCCCGCCTGCCCTGTCACCTGGGCCCGCCTGATACTTTAAGCCGCTTATCTTAAATGCCTTAAGTCGAGCTCCGCCTTCCGCCCACCGCCCTCCGACTTCTGAGAAGTCGACATTCGCTCGAAACATTCGCTTGAGACATTCGCTCGAGACATTCGCGGCCGCCCGCCTTGAGCACCGGACTCTTATCCAGTTCATGACTCGGCCTCCGAGTCTCAGTTTCAGTGACATCCTTATTCCTTATTGATTGCAGCTGTCACTGCCCCCTGCCGCCCTCCATCCCCTTTCGGGTGGTGTACTTAATTCGGGAAATCTAATATCTCGGTCCTGGTCGTCTAGCACAATAATGCCGTAATGAATGTGGGCTCCGTGTCTTCCAGCCAAAAATTTTCAATTTTATTAACACCCCTGGCGGGCAGCAGCTTTGGTGGCAGGACGACCCACCAGCACAGCATCCAGAGCCAGAGTCCTCTTTCTGTCTCTTTGCAGCCATGTATTAATATTTGCGCAAATTGGGCTAACGAACTTAAGCTGGAGGCGGCAACTTGTTTCTGGCTAGCTGCGCAAATTAAAACAACACCAGCAAACGAGCAACGAAATTAGTCTGACATAAAAACCATTTCTGTGCGGGAGGTGCCGGCCGCGGGCTGGAGCCCCATTTGGCTGCTGCCGGCGATCCGCCTCCGCCTCCGTTTCCCGTCCCAGCTAATGAATAAAGCCGGCGCTGCAGAGCGCTTCCCTTCCATTTTCCGGGCTCTGTAGCTGGCAGGCAGTGACAGGCAGTCAGTCAGCCAGCAGCTGAATTGTTTATTGGCTAGGGCATTTGCAGTTTGAAAAGTTCGCCTTAATCCTCAGCATTTCAGAGGGGGGAGCAGGCAGGCAGCCACTAGTCAGCCGAAAGTGAATTGGGGAACGGGTTTAGGGGGCGGGCGAACATTCCGGGCAGGACGAACACACCTGACTTAATATATGTAAATAGAAGCGAAAATTTATGGCATTCGTGCTTAGAATTTCATGGCCGGGTGACCGAAGGTGTGGCCCCAAGCAGAACGAGCTACGCTTTCTTATCCTTGGACGAAAACCAACCCAGGCTGACCCAAAGACCGCTCGGCTGGCTATCTAATTACGTTTGAAGTTTTCTAATACGGAAACGAGCAAGAAAGCCAAAGCCAATAAACACGCAAATGAGCCCTGTTCGACTCTGACTCTGGGCCAACCCGTCAACACTGTGGACCATGAACCCACAGCCCGGGTCGGAGTATCAAGTATACGGCCTAGCCGAATATCAAGTATACGCGATGTTGGCTTTAAGCCACTCGCCCTTTTCTCGAGAAAGGAGTCTGCCTGAATTGAATCTCGGGCTCTTTTGAGAAACCGAAGGATTGTGTAATCAGGTTGGAGCTTTTGACTGCCGCCAAGCACTATACGCGTGAAAATGTGCGAAATGCGGAAAAGTTTGCACAAATATTTGACGTAGAGTGCGCACAAGTTTGGAGCCCTCTTGACGCATTCTTTGGACACTTTTCGGATTGGTTGGGCAACTCACTCACCACTCACCTGGGCTTGGTTCAGCAAGTATTCCGTTCAGATTTCCGCTGCAGATTCCTGTGTGTGCGTGGATTTGTTGGTGAAGGAGCAAAGTTCGTTGGCAGTCGGCCCAAGTGTTTTTTTGTTTAAAGGAGTCCACGGAGAAGAGCGTGCGTTAGGCGGACAGGGTTTCTGAAAGGTAACAAGACACAGGAGGCATGAGACAACTGTTCGCTGTTCGCTGGCCGCGGCCCTCGCTTCGATTCGATTACGGTCGGTGGCCCGACCTCAGACCTCAAGCCCATCGGCTGGCGCTATTTAAAAATAGCGGACACACACTGCCCCCCAGGGGTCGCATTGTTACTGTTGTTTCTCTTGTCGTCGCCGTTGCTGTTGCTGTTTGTGTGCTGCCGTGCCACTGCTTTGGTGCTTTGTTGCTTTTATCGATATTTCTTTATTAGGGTTTCTTTTTTGGGAGCGTGCACGTAAGTGCCCTTTATGTCCGGGTAAGGGAGGGGGAGGGAGCGGATGGTGGGGGGGGGGAGGGGGTCGCAAACAAACAAGATTTTTACGTAACACCCGCAGCAAACAAATTCGATTGAGTTCTGAGTGCTTGGCACGCCAGCCCGAATTCTTTTGGCGACTGCCCGCTCGTCGTTTTTTCACCGATTACATAAAGCTGCGCTGGCACTGGAGCACTCAGTCAGTCAACTGGCCGTGCAATTGAATTAGCTCGATACAATAAATTCTTTTAATCAGTTTAGACTTTCATTCGAGCCCGTGGCTTTTCGTCGATTTTTAAACACCACGACGGGCCAGAATCGACATACGTATACGTGATATGTGCACCAGGCCCCTATGTACTCGCTCACTCGCTCAACTCCGCACTCGCCTGCTGCTGCTGTGTGTGTGTGCGACTTTGTGCGAATTTTTGCGTGTGTGTGTGCGTGCGCCCTGCCAGTGTGTGTGCTTAATACTTTTGCTTTGCTTTTCCACTTTTCACCTAGGCCGTCGCTATGTTTTATTCGGCGCTTCTTACTTCATGCTATGTTCGCACTCTTCTGCGCGCCACTGCCGATTTCCCTACATGGAAAACTCGGCTCGACGCCACGCCACCGCTATCGCACCGACTGAAGCTGCGGCTGCGGCAGCGGCAGAGGCGTCGGCGCCGACGTTGGCTGCGGCCCCAAATCGAATAAGGAACCCGACAAGGGGGGCGGAGCTTTGGCCCTTTCCGGAGTCCGCGGCTCGGGCTTGAGTGGAAACGAGTGTAAACGAGAGGAAACGAGTGGAATATAAAACTTGAAGAACTTGAAGAGGTATAACGGGACTAGGCGCTCGTTGGAAGATGAAGCGCTGCTGTTGTTATTGCCAGAGTGTAAGGACTGTAAGACTGTAAGGAGCTGTAGGAGCTGCCCCTCCCCCGCCCGCTGTGCTGTCCTTATGTAATGCCAGTTGGCTTCTTGCCTCGCTGCGACTAATAGGATATTTATCTGCTGCTGCCTTTCCTCTGTTACATAATTCGATTCCCCCTCCCACCACCATTGCTCTCTCGGTTCGCCATCGCTTGCTCGCTCTCCCGCTCTCTCGCCATCACCCTCTCTTGACTTTTTGACTTTGAAATCAGCAGCCGAAAGCGCTGCCTACTTTCGGGCGCTGGCGCCTGCGCCGAGTGCCTGCTGGCGATACGATATTGATTCGGACCCCCGGTCGTTTGCGTGTTTCTGTAACTTTGGAAACGGGCCAGGCGCTGCTGATAAGAAGCTCGTTCCGCCGTTTAGGCCCTGTGCCAGCGAGTCATTATCATCCCACTCGGAGCCAGCTCCTCCGGACCCGGACCCCCGCTTCACCAACAGCCTTTGTCCTCCTGTCAGTCGCCAGTCCAGTGCGTTTGCATATGTAGATACCACAAAGGCGCAGGAAGGCGGCAGCGGAAGCCCGCTTAGAGGAGGAAATTGCGAAGTTCTGGCCACGTCCGTTCGTCTGCACTCCTCCTTAGCCTTGGCAAGTGCATCGTGGCGCGGGGAGTCGGGTCGTCTTGCGAAAGGATCCACCAGACCTCTAATTAGTGCGACACAAGCTTAGTAGTTTCCGGTCCAGCGCCACTGGCGGGACCCTATTGTTTTCCACTCAATCAGTTGTAGTTTCTTGGCGATTCGCCAGACTGCTTGGTGTGCGTGGGTGGGTGCGACGGCAAGGGCGAGGGCGAGGGCGAGGGCTTCCTCGCCTCATCCGGCGCTTTCCTTTGGCTTATATACCAATCAATTATACTCCAGCCAGCTCTTGCTGCGCAACGCGATATAACCGTTCCGCCACAAATTGCTTATTACTCCTGGCTCCGCAGCGCGACGCTCCTTGCTTGGGATGGCAGTCACGTCCTGGCCACCAGGGCATTGCTGTCGCTGGGGTAATAGTCCACTGGCCACTGGACTCGGCCGACGGGGGCCGGGAAAGGGGAAAGGGGAAAGGGGGACGGTGGCACTCCGCGGAAGGGCTTAGAGGTAGAGGGACTTAGCGACTGTATTCACTGCCTACCTACAAAGTCGAGGCACCGATAACCGAAGGAACTTGGGTATTTTCCCTGTTGGCAGTGCACGCGGCACTCAGCAATGTCACACTGATTGTTACTAGACGACGACGTCGCATGTATACAAACCGAAAAAGTTCGCTCTGTGGCCGAAACTACATTTACTGCCGAAAAGGCCAAGCTGTTAGCCAGTGTGCCGTGGCAGTTTGTGGCAGCGGAGAGAGCCCCAATGGCTCAGAGAGAATGGCGGCGAGCGGGCCGCTGCTGTCAGTTTTGACAGTTGACCCCAAGCCAGGCGAAAGCTTGCTGCTGGCCGAAAGCTTTTGGCCAAACTGCTGGCTAATAACAACTTTCCCTTTTGGGCCGCAGAGAATCCGCTCCAGATTGCACACACCCCAGCACGCACTTCTACACACACAAAAGCCCACATGGGCTCGCAGTCTGGTAGGCCCGTAAACAAATTGCTTTATGGGCGCACAACCTCGCACGGATGCGGAACCGGCGACAGGTTATCCCTCGCTAATTTCTCGTCATGTGTGCTCCGCCTCCTTTGTGGCACCCCAGCCGGAAGATATCGAGAGATAACGGCTAATGCCGGGATGTTTACCCGATCCGCCGGAGATTCACTCAGGAATCCTCACAAGGAGCTACTGTAGGCGCGTGCGTGCGGGAGGCGAGGGGGCAATTCATATAAATTACTTAATTACGACCTACACGTCATCGTGCGGTGTCGAATCCCATTACGTTGATTAAAATCAAACCAATTCCGCTTCTTGCTACCTGTTCCGCAGGCGCTTATCCCCGATTAAGCCCTACTCAAGCCCCGTCGAGGTCCTCATTGCCTATTTGCCTTGGTATTATGATTATTTTTGGTGCTTCTGCCGACGGAAGGCAATTGGCCACATTTGGCGCACTGCTGTTGTCAGCTTATTTGGCCCTAATGACTGCCAGGAGTCCCGTTCGCCTGGAGATTTCGCCGCAGCTTTCCAAGGATTGCGGTCGTACTTGGTGCCATGGACGCAAAAATTGAGATGTCCTCGGGGGCCGATTGGAGTGGAATCGATTGCATTTTTCATGGGCAGCCATTCCCGCAGCAAATTGCCAAAGGGTTCTTGAACAGAACTTCTGTTCTCCTCTGCTGTTCATTGAGAAATGTACGCTTCACTCGAATGAAAGAAGGAATTGCGTTTGGAGGTAAAGACTCCCCTTAGTAAATGCTTCAGTGCTGGCCCCAAAATATGAACGGTGCATAATTGCGCCCGCCCTTGTTAATTTTGAATGGCCATCCGCCAAGTGAGGTTGATAAGTCTGCTGTCACAAAATAATGATATCGACTACCCGCCGCCCAACGCAGCCATCACTGGAGCCCGGTCGACTCCTCCCCAAGCGCTCGTTTTCAATCAATGAGGATTCAGCAGCAGCGTCGCAGAGATGACAACTCAACTTCTCTTCACTTCAGCCGCAGACATTGTCATTTTTGCCCGGCAAAAGCACAAGCTGGCCTGGCTGCTTCGGGCGGGTTGCGGGCTTAAGCCGGCAGGATGCGGCAGGATGCGGCGGCTTTGGGGGGATGACTGGCTGAGTGGCTAAATTTAAAACGGTTTCATGTTGTGATTTTGACAAATGATAATTTTTCCATGTGCTCGTGTCAGTCTTTGTGTTTGGCATGTCAGCTGAGACTCGGCTGGCACCGAGATACTCGTATCTCTGCCGCCGTGCCCGTGCCTCCATGGCGGTCGATGAGTTGGCTCATTGTGCCGGACAGATAAATGCCAGTGCCCCGTCCCTGGCCGCGAAACGTTCGGGCTCATCGCCGCTTTGAACCGACTATCTCAAAGGCTCGTTAAGTAAGCAAGTTGCCACACACACACACACACACTTGCACTCCGGATCTTACACACACCGAACGACGAGGCAGAAAAGTTTCAGTTTCGGTGAATTAAGGACTTTTTTGGAGCTCCACTTAACCGCTGGCGGCGATATCAGGGTAAGCAAAAAAGTTCAAATCCCAAACAAACTACCCACATTGCAACAATATATATGTTCCAAAGCTGGACATACTTCAAAGAGTGTATATACAGTAGAGTCCGCTATAGCGACTTTCAAAATACCGACGATTTCGTCCTTCGTGTCGTGCCGATCACTGATAAATACATAAATTTGTTGGTATTACTTCGGTGTGTTTTTCTCTGCACGTCGCAATATCCGGTTGAATTGTGAAAATATTTATATTAGCCCATTCTTATATAAATCGAGAAGGGAAAGTAGCATCGGCAAGTGGAATTTTTTAATACCCCTGCAATCATCACAATCGCTCACCGAAATGCATGAAGTCTAAACAACATCGAAGCTTTGACTATGACAAGAAAGGAAGCTTGCTTCGGCAAGCCGAAGCCTATATACCCTTGCAGCCATCAAATATGTCGAACAAAATACATAAAGGCTTAACAACATAGAAGCTATGACGTTTTTATACCCTTGCAGAGCAAAAGGGTATTATAATTTCAGTCAGAAGTTTGCAACGCAGTGAAGCAGACACCTCAGACCCCATAAAGTTGCTGAAACTTTACCAAAATGTGTGTAGTTATTGCACGCAGTATATAAGTCGGAACGAGCCGGATCGGCCGACTATATCGGATAGCAGCAATACGAGAGTACGAAATAAAAACTTCTCAGGCAGCTGTTTTTGATCGGATCGACTTGATTTCTTCCAGATGGCATTTTCTAACTGCTATTAAATTTCGGATTAAATTTTATCAAAATCAGATTTCTCTATCATATAGCTCCCATAGGAGAGATCAAAAAATATATATATAAATAATGGAAAAAAATTATAATGTCGTTGTTTTTAATCTCACGAGCATGATTTTTGGAACATCAATTTTTTCAATACTCTTAAATCGAGAAAAAAATTCCAAAAATCTTTACCTACTACAATTCATACCTTTCTCGTTCGTTAGAAAAGTAGGGCCATATTGTTCAAATTTTACCAAGGATCCCTAATTTTTTTCAAAATGAAATGTAGCCTAAAAAACTTGTAAGTTATAAAATTTATTAGAAAAATAAAATAAAAAGGAGTTTAAAATCTTTAGGGGGAAATAAAAGTTTCGGCTTGCTGAAGCTAGCTTCCTTTCTTGTTTTTTAATTAAAAAGAATTGTTTTACTCAACAATATATATATATAATACATTATTATATATATAACATATAGCAATGTACATGTCGAAAGCATTATTACCCCAAAGCCTAAAGTTGTGTCTGGGTAACCATAGCGATTACAAAGCTTGTTATTTTTTGTATGAATTGATTGAAATTGGAAGGAATGTGGCCAATAATAATGTGAAGCCAGGTGACTCGTAGCATGTCCGAAGTGGAGACAAACCAAAGTGTCGAAAAGGTGGCCAATAAGTTGGGCCAAGAGGAACTTGAACTTCCTTGGCCCAATTTCGAGTCGCGAGTTTGCAATCCTACCGTCAACAGTGTCACACTTGAATGGTCCACTTTGCAAAATGCATTGGTCTACAGGGTGGAGAAGTTCCACAAACGACTTGGCTGGCTGCAGGTGGAGTGGAGCAGCAGCTCACCAGTGGATGTCACGAATCTGGAGGAAAACTTCGGCTATCGGTTGCGCATAAAGGCATTTCGGGTTTCTGAAGACGGGAGGCGCTACGTGGCTTTGGCTGTCTCCCCAGACATAATTGTAATAAACAGAACAACAGCTTAGCACTGTTTAAGCTGGACCTGTCCTATAAAAACAAGTTATTTATCACGGGAAGGTGTTATTGGTCCCATTGCCCTTACATGTTTTCATTTAAGGCTTCTTAACGTTGAATTATTAGAGATTAAATAAGCAAAATTTGTTTGGCTATGACAAAGAATCTCAAACAACCCTGTGCTTTAGTAATCCGAAATTTATATAGTATAACAGCTAAAAAAGAAAGGCAATTTACTCCAACTTTATTCCTCAAGCTATAGGGAAGTATATGCTAACAAGGAATGCATTTACTTAGATTTGACTAATAATTTTAAAACCAGGTATATGATGTCGAGCAACATGCAGAAATGCGTAACAACACCGAAGCTTTGACGATTATCTTTTAGTTTAATATAGATTTTTAGACCTTTTATAAGGAATATGGTATAGTAGTCCGATTTTTATAAAATTTTGTTTTTGATTCAATAGTAGTTAAGAAACTCAATACTCCAAAAATCTTGCTTGAGTGATAAAAATCAATGACGTTATAATTTTTGTTTCACTAATTTTAAATGGATTTTTCGTCATAATATATTCATCCGGTTTTATAGAAATTTAACCTAAGAAAGCACTATTTGAAAAAAGTCATGTCAATAGAACTTTATTTATTTATTTTGTTAGTTTGTTTTTTGTTATCACAAAGATCAAGTTTTTGGAGTCTCTTAACGCGCTCGTCGAATCGAAAAATTCTTTAGCAAATAAATATAAATAACTAGAGGTCCTGTGCCCGCTTCGCTGGTCAACACAATTTAACAACATAATAGTCAATGTTGCACGTCCAATTCCTATTCGTCTAACAGCAGGCATTATTTCAAATTGTTTAAGCTCGCTCTATTTTTTGTTTAAATATTTTTTTACCGACTTCATCGATACACAAAATCAACGCAGCTATGATCTTTTTTTTTACATACAACATTGTGTACATCTGTTGAGCCGCTAGCGACTTTTCCAGAAGGTTTTCCCAAAATTTTCTTATGCTTAAACCTTCTTCTGGTTCTAAGCTATCTCCCTACCAATTTTCAGCCAAATCGGTCAAGCCGTTTTCATGTGATGCGATTGCGCACATATTTTGTCTCCATTTTTATATATATAGATAAACAAATAATACAAATAAATAGGGGATGGGTCCATAACACATTTCAGTAACCTTATCTATATTTCATATTTAAATACACCAAGCTTAAGCAAAAAGTGCAGATAAAAATCGAATACCTAATATAGGTCGTTAGAAATCATTATAGATAACAATATGAAAAAAATTAGTTCTTATTTTTGATTAGAAAATTTGAGATTCAATTTTAAAATTTAAATTCAGATTTAAAATAAATTTCAGTGAGAGACTTGTAAGAAAATATTGTAACGATTGTAACGTCCCCAAAGTGTATACCTGACTGAGACCAATCTTAGGGAAAGTGAGCAGGTACCCTTGCCCCTAACACTATTATCTTTATTGGCATTTCTTCGATTGAGTAAGACTTGTTCTTCTACTCGCAATCCAGGCTTGCACGACGGCAGCTTTGCCATCGACCAACTGCCTGAACCGCGCCATCAAAAAGGGGCAGCAGTTTCTGGTGAAGCGCATGCTGCGGCGGCGACCGAGCTTGATAGAATACCCGGCTCCCAATGGGCTTCTGCCGCTGGCCAATGCGATTATCCAGGGCGAGATGTGCATCATAGACGTGCTGCTCTCGGCCGGCTGCAGCGTTCATCTGGGAAGCCCGGCGAGCGGGCGGACTCCGCTGCATGTTGGTGAACGCTCGAAGCTCTGCTCTAATCGCCCGTCTTACGATGTACTCCTTGCAGCTGGCCTTCTTCCACGGCCACCTGCCGTCGGCGCGCATTTTGCTGAACAAGAAGGCCCGCCTGGAGGCACGGGACGCCAACGGGATGACCCCCGCCCACTGCGCCGTGGACGCCGATCAGCTGGAGATGGTGAAGTTCGCCCTCGAGTCGGGGGCCGACGTGGAGGCCAGGGACGTCTGCGGCTGGACCCTCCTCATGCGCGCAGGTGAGAGGCGAGGGGCGGGATCTGGAGGGGCTCTGATCAAATGGAATTTTAACTGGCTTTCGGCCGCAGTGGTTATGAACGCCGGCCTGGAGCTCATCAAAGTGCTCGTTACCCACGGCGCCGACCTGGCGGCATTGGACGGCGTTGGGCAATCCTGCACCGACTTGGCGAAACTTTACCGCAGGCAGGAGGCGGCGGATTACTTTGACAAGGTGCAAAAGTTCCGGCTGGAAAAGTCTGTCGCGACCGCAGACGCGATGGCGAAGGCACAACTGCAATAAGTCGCCACACAAAGGAGTTCCTGGCATAAAGTAAGCGAAAAACGGAGGAAAGGCTCTAATGAGGGTTTTGAACAATCGCATTTTGCAAAGGAAAACTCTTGGCTTTAAATGTTTTGGGCCTTACTACGGAAACGGGGCTCCATGCTGTGCTGCTTTATTAAAAAGGCTTTGGTCCAGTGAGTTCTTTAATTTTAGAATTACTTTCGCTACAAACTAATACATACTCTACTTTATTGGATTGGATACCGAAAGCGTGCATATGAATATTGTGCAATAGAGAAGGCTAGCTGTGTTCCTTTTTAAAATCAGACACAACTCATGGGGTTTACCGTCTGGAAACCACACGAGTATATGTCAAAGAAGTCCTGGTTCTGCTTGAGGCCCAGATAGAAGACGTGCTCGGCCAGATCCTTGCCGAACTCGCAGAAGTTCTGGGCGTAAAGTGTGAAAAATATGCGCCTGTTGTCGAGGTGGTGCTTCTGGAGGATGCCGTTCTCCTGGTCGTAAATCTCTTTGTTCTGCGCCGGCGAGCTCGTCCAGGCGCTGTAGTCTATCCAGGCGGCTCGGAAGCTCTTCAGGTAGATCACGGCCAGCATCCTGGCCTCGTCGAGCACATTGACGAACTGCGGCAGCCGCAGGCACTCAACCTCCTCCCGGAAGCGGGTGAAGTCGCGCTGGCGCTCCCGGATGTTGAAGAGCATCATGTACAGGTGCACGGTGAACGTGGAGTAGTAGTAGGACATGGGCTTGTTGCGGCTCTGGTAGAGGTACATGCTCCAGTCCAGCATGGTTCGCTGGACGCCCAGCTCGAAGGTTGAGTTCTGCTTGCGGTGCAGCTCCAGGTTGCGGACGTTGTGCTCGTAGCTCTCCCGGTAGATGCGCAGGTCCCGGTACTCGCGGCTCAGGTCCGCCGCGTGGAAGTAGACGCGCGGCGTCCGGAACTTCTGCTTGTAGGTGGCCAGCTTGTCGAGGACGGGGTTCGACTCGCGCTCCTTGTGGTTCCTGGCCACGAAGCGGTCCAGGATGCCCAGGAAGTCGTCCAGCTCGTGGGAGCCTCCGCCTCCGAGCATGTTCTTCGTGACTATGTAGCCGAAAAGGGGCTTGAAGTACTCGAATGTCTCGCGGTAGCAGTCATCCAGGCCGCGGTGCGAGTTGCAGGAGATGAAGAAGTCCATCAGCTTCTGCTTGGCCTCGAACTGCTCGGGGTCGTTCTGCAGCTGGGTCAGCAGCTGGATGAGCTCGCCCATCTGCGGCATGTGGCCTGGGATGGGATAGGGGTTCTGGCATTAGGCGCTGCATCGACCGCTGCATCGACGTCAACATACCCATGATCGAGAAAAGTGGCCGGTTGCGGCTGCAGACGTAGTCGAAGTAGTTCTCGCAGGCGTACTTCTCGGGGTTGATGGAGAGCCTCAAGCGAGCCGCCAGGCTCTCGAGCTCCTTGATCCGCAGCTCCGAAAGGTGGCGCACGTAGCCCACCTGCGACTGCCCACTGCCAGGCCAAAGCCCCAGAACCAGGGCTATCGACGCGACACACGCAAGACTTGAGACTGCCATTGTCCAACTCCGGCTGCGATTGCTCCCAATCGCTGGCTCCAAGCCACTGTGGGGCCAGCTGTGGCCCCAGGCCCATCGGACCCTCGGCGGATGTCGGGCTTCGGCGCACAGTGGCACGCTACAGCGATAGCGGGACAAGATCTGTGCGAAGCTGGTACACAGAAAGAAATTATCTAGATCGATAGTGTGTTTACTCGTAATCCTGAAAATACGCTCATATGTACAAACAAACTATACAATTTTATTTATTTATTTTATTTTATTATTTTCCCAGGGCTACAAGCTATTGCTTATTTATTATTGCCCTAGTCACATTGAATTTAAATTAACATATATATATGTATGCTCAAAGTAACTTAAAATTATCATTTAGACATTTAAAATTTAAAAAGGCTTTGCTTGAATTTAAGATCGAATTAATTTTAGTTTTTATTTACTTTTTCAATTTTAATCTTATTTTCATTTTTAATATTATTTTCATTTTTATTTTATTTTCATTTTTAATTTTCGTTTCATTTTTAACCGCTTTTGTCGTTGTTTAGTTTTAGTTTTTTTAGTTTTAGACATGTAAAAACAAAATTCATATCTATACCAGTCGCAATTGAACGATTTTTTCTGCTTTGCTTTTTCAGTTCTAACAAAACTGTTTTATTGAGTGTAAGATAGAAATTCTTTAAAACTTGTTTTAATTATTAGTACTGCATTGGTATTGGATTTTTTTTAAAACAAGTTTTATTTTTTTATTACTTTTTGTCTGTGTAGGAAGGGCTTTGGCAAACTCAGAGTGATTTAAATACTTATCTTAAGGTGCATACCCAACGTCGAAACAAAATTTGACGAATCGACGAGCTTAATACAAAAACGGAAATAACTAAACTAAAAATAATTTAAAAACGGATTTTCAATTTATTTTCCCAAGCCGCCTAAGCACGAACAACTGCGCAAGAGAAGACTTAAGCAAATTTTCCCAGTTCAATTTCCCAGTTAAATTTCGGAGTACCACGGTATGGATTTAATCCGGCTTTAGTTCCATTTCAGTGGCTGTGCCAATACGTATTTCCGACGAGATAAGCATGTCAAGCCCTATCAGTGAAATTCACTCCCGCTGTGCTCGAGAGCGCCTTGTTTACTTATTTGGGGAAAATATTACAATTCGGATCTGGCCGAGGCGTAGACATCAGTGCGCCGCTGCTCGAAGATGGGGATTTGCCGCCGCACTTGCTCGACCATGTCGAAATCTGTGGATGAGCGAGCGGTCAGCGTGGATCATTGCGGATTACGCGCGGTTGAGCGGAGAACTCACCGATTTCCTCGACGATGAACTCGCAGCCTTCGCCAGCCTCGCGCTGCACCTGTGCCCAGGGGTTCACGACCATCGAGTGGCCGTAGGCCACGTACCCCGACATGTTGTTCCTGGCGGGCGAGCAGGTGACCACGAACACCTGGTTGTCGGTGGCCCGGGCTCGCTGGAGGAGCTCCCAGTGCATCGGACCCTGGCAGATGCAGAAGGCGGACGGGTAGACCAGCATGGAGCAGCCTGGGGGATACGAGAGGGCTTGACTTTGCTGGGACTGCAGTCTGCAGAATGCGAGTGCGGCTCACCCATGTTGCGGTAGATCCTCGCCAGCTCCTCGAAGCGCTTGTCGTGACAGATGCCGATGCCAACCTTTTGCTTCCCGATCCGCACCACCGTTGGCTCGGATCCAGGCGTCAGGACAGCCGCTTCGTCGAACTGCACGCCGCCGCCGTTTTCGGGCTCAATGTCCATGGTGAAGAGGTGGATCTGCGGACGAGGTCACTCGCTCAGACTCGGAGGTCACTGGCCCTCTTCTGGCACTTCTGGCTTACCTTGCGGTGCCGGCCCACCAGGCCCCCGTTCGGCGCCCACACGGTGCAGGTGTTGTACAGCTTGTCGCCCTCGCGCTCCACGATGCTGCCGCCGATCACGTAGATGGCCAGCTCGCCGGCGAGCTGAGACAGGGCGCGGCAGGTGGGACCGTCGGGCACTGGCTCGGCGAACTTGGGGAAGTGCTCCTGCCCGTACGGCGCGTTGAAGCTCTCCGGCAGAACGGCCAGTTCCAGCTGTGGGTTGGCCGCCTTCAGCTGCCGGACGACGTCGACCGCCCGCCGCACGTTCTCGGCCACCTCCGGTCCCACGGGGAGCTGCAGCAGTGCGAGTGTGAGCCCTGCGGAAAGGCAACTTGGCTAAGAGGAACCCCCGACCTGCTCAGTCGACTCACGGTTGGCCATTCTGTTGAGTGAAGGTAGATGCAGATGCAGGCGCAGTGACAGCCAACTGCTCACTCTACGCCGGCAGGCTGTGTTTTTATAGGAGCTTATGCCTTTATGTGGTCACTGATCACTGATTGAAATGCAGTCAGAGGTTGGCGAGGCACTTGAACCCCCCTTAGATAAGGAACGGGCGCATATATTGGGAACATGGTCGTTAGCACGAGAGCACTTATTGGCGAAGATTAGAACTTGAATCCGATTCACGGCATCAAAACAAAAGCGAACTATTTAAGTAAATGTTCCTCCTTGAAAGTCTAAGTGCAACGCACTATTGGAAATTGGTATTTATACTATATAAGGCGCCAAAATATCTAACTAATTTGCGGAACGGCATTTAATTACTTCTTTAAGTGTTTGCATTTTTCCCCATAAGTTCCCATTAGTTAAAAATTGAATCCGAATCGTACTTTTCATTTGAACTACAAGATTTAGTAAAGGGTCTTACTGGTAGTCGTACGAAATCGAACAACCAACACCTTACTGCGGACTGCAGTGACTCGACATTTTGCACTCAAATGAAAACGAAATAGGAGGGAACGCGATAGTCGAGTGCCTTGACTTTCAGATACCTATTACTCAAATAAGCAATGCCAATACCCAGCGGGAAAAAGATGTGGAAGATATGCCATTTTCCAGAGGTTTCTTCATACAAGCGGAAGGGCAAAAACCTCCTTCACCCCTTACATTTTTGCCGTCTCTCCTTTCAAAATACACGGGGGTGACACACAAAAGTAAGGGGTGAAGGAGGTTTCTATGTAAAAAACCACAGGTTTTTGTGTTTTGTCAGAAACCCACCCTTATTTAGCGGACCGAAATTATCAACTACAACCCCTACGCCTGCTAAAAGAAGCAGGATTTCCAGTACTCTTAAAACCTAAAACCTACTTCAAAAACCTACTTCTCACTTTCCCGCTGGGTAGGCATGCCAACGGTGAATCTCGATGTCCATATTGACAGCAGGGTGGTGGGTGTAATAGTAGTAGTGTAATATTCTATACATTTTGCTCGATTTTCTATAAAGATTGGACTACCATACCGTACAGCTACAATAACAAGAAAGGAAGCTGGCTTTGGCAAGCCGAAGCTTATATACCCTTGCAGTCACCAAATATGTCGAGCCAAATACATAGAGACTAAACAACATCGAAGCTATAGTATGTCGATTTTTCTATGAAGTTTCTCTATATTCGACGATAGTTCATATGACAGCTATGTGATATCGACGTCCGATTTTTATAATTTTAATTCGAATTTCAAGAATTTCAAAAATTAAGCTTTTCTGATGAAAAACAACGATGTTATCATTTTTTTCTATATACATTTTTTGATCCTTCCTATGCCAGCTATATGATATAGCTGCCGAATTTTCTCACCATCTGGAAAGCAAGTCAATATGAATAAAAACAACGGCGTGATAATTTTATTTCGACTTATATACAGCGTGCAATAACTACACAACTTTTGGTAAAGTTTAAGCAAGATTGCTTTGAAACTGAGAGACAAGTTGACATAGAAACAGACAGAAGGATCGATGTCCACGTCGAGTTCCATTCAGATCGCGATGCTGATCAAGAATAAACATACTTTATGCAAACTTTAGACTGAAATTACAATATCCTCTGCAAGGGTATAATAATTTGTTTTAATATATATACACATTTTTTAGTATACATTTTATAGGTAATGGGCTTTTAAAACCTATTGAGAAACAGTTTTGTTTGTGTTTTTTTTTTTATTTCCGACTGTCTCAGTGGAGTTCGCTCTTAAGACAATTACTCAATAGATTTGATAAGTGTTATCAAAGATAAAGCAGTACGGCATATCTGCAACTAAGAAATGCAAAAGCCACAACACTTTTGATCAAAACTCATATTAATTACCCCAACGAAATTCGCCAGAGAGGCAACAAAGAAGCCGGCCCTGATAAGAACTTCCTTTTGAGATTGCAAAATGATTAATGACAAGGATTTTCTCAGTTTGGAGGATGCTAGATGCCAATTTGAGAGCCGAACCGCAACATCCACCTGCAGACTCTACAACAAAAGTAATGTGAGAAAGATAGTAGTAATACAAATGGTTTCTGAGACCCACCTCAGCCTTTATAATTTCGCCGCCATAGCAGTATATAAACAATTGCAGCATGATGGAACCGAAAAACGATGCGTACAACAAGAGATCCATAACGGAGTCCATGTTCTGAAAATAGAGAACTTACTCTGCTGTAATCTTTTCCCAGAAAAGGGTAGGTTAGTCCTTCTACCCACCGTCACTAGCTGATATATTATCACGCCCACTTGCAAGGACGTTATGACGAACTGGCCAAATACTGTGGGTGTGTAAATCGATCGCAGTTTTCTGGACAAGGACAGCAGTAATACATGATAGTCCACAATTGATTTCAACGCCGCTTGAGTCTCCTTTTCGAGTAAAGCGAACTGCGAGCCAATGATCTCTCCTTGCAAAGTTTGAAAGTGGGCTCTGAGATTAATGGCGAACGAAATGAACAAACCGTCGACGGCAGATGCGTAGGCGACAACGACAACTGTGACTAGGACGGTGTACAGAAAACAAACTTCGTATCCGGGACTGTTCACGTCGTTGAATGGGAACCTGAAACGGACGAAATTATTACACCCAAACAGGATAGGGATTTCCTACTTCATCGGCATGGGCAGCTCCCTGATGTAGATTGTGCCCCGCCAGCTGCTAGCCACAATTTTCACGATGGGTCCCAGCATGAAGTAGAGCCCTGTGAGGCCGCAGGACAGGCAATAGGCCTTTCCCAGGGAGGATGCCAGCTTGTTGGCTTTGCCCACGAAGTCCGATCCTTCCCTGTTCTCAGGCCCTTGGCTAGCTGTTCAAATGTTGAGATACGCTTAGTTTTCATTAGTTTATTGTGGGCTACTTACTTGTCTGGTGCATTTTCCTGAAGCGCCAAATCATTTCCCAAAAGTCCTGCTTGTGCACCAGAAATGTGCTGATTTTTATGACCGTTAGCATGTTGGTGAGCACTACGCTCAGACAGGCTGTGACCTTCTCCATGTCATTGCGGTTGTGGACAACGTAGGAGATCAGTGGATACTGCGCCGAAATCACGAACACCAAGGAGCTAATGTGCTTCAAACTCAAGGCTCTGTCCCCTGAGTCTTCCACATTGTAGCTGTGTCCCATTGCCCGCAGGCAGTTCTCTTGCAGTTGAAAAAGACTGGTCATGACTCCCCTTTGTGAAATGTCAAAGGATTCGGCGAGCTACGCGTCTTATATATGATTTTTACATATTTTAATTACATTATTGATTGACTAATTATTTGTTTTGACAACGGTGCATCGAAAACTCTGAACTAATAACCATGATTAGCGTTGTAAAAACAATGTGCTGACACGATAATTACGTCATTAGACGTTTTGATTTGAAAATTGCTAGCTTTCATTAACGATATACATATGAAGCAAGACCAATTTGTAGCCAGCTACGAAATTATCTGAATGAAAGTTCCAGATACTTTACCCATCAAAATTGTTCTTTTTAAACTGTTTTATTTAGCTCATTCTTGGGTCAAAATTAGAAATTGAAATTTAAGTACCTCCCTGTTGTCAGATTGATCTGAAATTTGGTACACACCTTCAGTTCCGATGACAATACAATATAGTAGTATCAATAACATTGTAAATCCAAGATGGCGGCCGCAAAATGGCGGATAACGTAGGTTTTATCAATCCCATTAATATGGGTATCAAATGAAAGTTCTCAACCAGTAGAATACAATGTACTATATGTAGCAAGCAGCCCTATGTACATATACCTATTGTTAAGCACTGCTTGGTAAGCAGTTAACGTTATTGTGTATCCCTTAAGTTAAGTCATCCTTTATGTCCCCCTTACTCCTTTAAGAAACACCATGTAAACCCATCTCTAAGTATGTACGTCTCTCTCTTGCACATACAAGATTGGGAAATAGGCTAAGCATGAACAGAGATGATGAAATAAAGATCACTTTTGCTGCGACCACTGAAGAGAAAAGACCCTGATTGTATCACTACATATATAAAATTAAAATCCAAGATGGCAGCCTCTACAAAATGGCGGATAACTTAGGTTTTATTAATCCCATCAATATGGGTATCAAATGAAAGTTCTCAACCAGTAGAATACAATTTACTATGCAAAATTGAACCGCCGCTACCAAATGGTTTTTATACCCTTGCAGAGCAAAGGGTATTATAATTTCAGTCAGAAGTTTGCAACGCAGTGAAGGAGACACCTCAGACCCCATAAAGTAATGGGTTTTTAAAAACTATTGAAAAAACAGTTTTGTTTGTGTTTGTGTATTTTTTATTTCCGACTGTCTCAATGGAGTTCGCTCTTAAGACAATTACTCAATAGATTTTATAAGTGTTATCAAAGATAAAGCAGTACGGCATATCTGCAACTGAGAAATGCAAAAGCCACAATACTTTTGATCAAAACTCGCCATTTACGTAATTTGACATTAAGCAATTCATTTAGCTTCCACAGAAATTAAAAAATTGATGGAAAATTCGCAAAGCAAGAGATTAACTATGTATAGTACTTTATCGCTTTAATAATTTGAACATAACTTCCTCTTCTTATGCATTTAATTGCGGATTAAACTTTAAAGGAGATGGCCTCTAAAGACAATCCAAAAAGAAAGCAACTTGTAGTTAAATTCAACAGCAATTTATTTATTATTAATAACAACAATTGTCACAGGGCACTGTGAAGTCGGGTATGGGGAACCGGGCTCAACGGTTAGAAGTTGGGTGGCAGGTACGCATTGCCCGTGTGCGATCCGGCGGAGCCGGTGGAGACGATCTGGCCGGCGCCAGTGCCGCCCAGAGCGGACCCGGCGTCGCCGTGTCCCTCGCTGCCGCCCAGGGCTCCGATCACGGAGGTCACGGGGGCCACTCCCTCGTCGGTCAGCTGGCTGCTTCCGCCCAGGGCGTCGTACTGGGCCTGGATCTGCTGCTGGGCGTGGGCGGCCTCCTCGTTGGTCTTGTACTTGATGAAGAAGACCTCCGGCTTGCTGGTGGAGCTGGCCTGCTCCACAACCTCGGCCTGCACGTCGCTCTCGCCCTTCTTGCTCAGCACGTAGATGACGGTCTTTTCCTCGTTGGCGGCGGGGCTGATCTTGATGGTCTTCCTGTTGTTGCGCTGGGGCGACTTGATGAAGACCACGTTGTAGTTGCGCTTGGGCACGCCCACGGTGATGTGGCGCTCCTTGTAGTCCTCGGCCTCCTCCGGGGCGGAGTGGATGAAGAAGCGCTTGGACACGATGGCCTGCTGCTGCTGCACCTGCTGTCCCTGATTCACCTGTTGCTGGAGGTGGTGGCTCTGCACGGCCGGCTGCTGGTAGATGGCCTGTGGCTGCGCCGGGGCCACCTGGGAGGCACCCTGGAAGAAGGAGGCGCCGCCGCTGGTGGTGCTGATGCCGCCGAAGCCGGACGGGCCTGGGTTGTAGTTGTAGCCCTGGGGCGCGGCCAGCGCGACTGCGGAAAGGCACAGGACCTAATGGGCAATAAGAGGGGATTAGTTCGGTAACCAGTCGACGTCACTATTTGCCCATTCCGCCTTACAATGAATCCACGCATCTCTGGGCTTGGTTGAGCTGGTTGAGGGGACTGGGGCTAGGTTTGACTTCCTTGGTGGTTCGCAGTGAACTGTATGACTTCTGAAAGGCGAGTGCCGCTTTTATACATAACTCACTTTTCGAACTCCGACGCCGGCACCCGAAAGTTAATAGGTGAAGTTCAGCAAAAGAGTCATGGTCCACAGCGAAGCAGGCAAAACAAAAATCACAGCCTCCATTTGTTGCATGTTCATTGTATTTGTTTTAGCCCGCTTCGTCTTCTGCTGCTCTTCTTTGCCATTCACCTTCAAGCCCCTTCGCATCCCTCATTAAATGGCGAGACTGGCTTGTAGTTGCTGGCAATACACGGCCAATTAGCGTGGTTCCCCCAGCAGAGTCTTTTGTTGTGGCGCTTAATTGTTAGCCCCGATACCCCGATACCACGATACCCCGATACTCCGGCACCCCGGTACTCCATTACGTTGCGTTTGGCCAGCGACCACGGCTGCACAGTGCGACGATTAAGTGGTATTAAAAGTGTAATTGCATAAGCACTAAATCGATATTAGCTGAGCAGGGAGCTCCACATGCTGTGGATACGGATTCCGATTCGAGTTCGTCGTAGGCAAAATGCCCATTTCCATTTCCATTTCCATTCCCAGTCCCAAGTCCCGGTTCCGGATAAGCCATGTCCGAAGAAGAAGCCACCTCTGATGCGCGTTGTCAGGCTTAATTAATGGCCCGTCGAGCGCAGTGTTCGCCGGGTATTGCAAACCGATCGTTTCTTCAGCGGCTGCAACTCGGTTCATTTATCATGTCCAGCGGTCAGTCGGACTTTCTTGATTATGTCTTCAGCGCGTTTTGTTCACATTTATGCACTGATGTTTTCGCAGAGCTGAATATGCCGTGCCATTGAACACTTGCCGCCGGTGTAATGAGCCGTTTACTTGGCGACCTGAAATCGGGCTTTTGAGAAGACCTAATGAATATCTTCGCATTTCCAGCTTAGACAAAATCGATTTCGAGATGGGTCGGTGCAAACGCTTTTTCTTTGGCCGCCGAACAAAGGCCGCTGAACATTGCGAAAATCGTGTGTGTAAGTCGGCCTAACAAGTTCTGGGAAACATCATTAATGACGTGCGCTTACATCCTCAGCATTATTTGTTGGGTTGCAGTGAAAATATTCAGCTTTCTATCTGAAAACATCAATGGTTTTTCGGTATATTCGGGCATCGACTATTGACAGTGGTAAAAGTGTTTTCTACATTATTGCGAGATACACCACAAACTGACAAAAAACATTAGCGGTTTGTTTCTTTTCCAATTAAAAAGGCAAACAATTCGGGTTTCAGCACAGATAACTATATTTTAAATTATATTATTTTATATAATCATTATTTTTTAAGCAATGGCATATTTGTCCAAAAAAGTTTTTCCAAATTGATATCATTTGAATATGAAATTGATGATAAGTCAATTTTAATATTTAATTGATATAAGATTTAATATCACATTGGTATTACCTGTGTATCAATTTAGACATTACTTAAATATTCGGTATATCGAACATAGATTTTGTATTACTTGTGTATCAATTTGATATTACAGGAATATTAAATCTATATCTTATCAAAAACGGCTTTAACTTTTCAACCCGATTACACAATTATTACCTGACCATGTGTAACATGAGGAAGGGCCTTCTTGGGCCAATATTGTAAGTATTTTGAAAACGATATTGATGTAGGATCGATATTATTGAATATTTGACATAACATTTTTGTTCATTTTTTACAAATATATCAAAATAACATTATTGTGGATATATATTTTAATATTTGAAAGTTTACAATAAATTTAAAAAAATATTTAATATTAGTCATAAAATGTTACCTAACTTTGTGAATTCATGAAAATGGTATCAATATTAAAGTAACATGAAAATAAAAATAATTTTACACGGAAATATAATAAATGTATATTATATTATAATATAAAATAATAATATTATAAGTATTAGTATTAAGAGATTACAAAATTAATATTATTAAAATACAATATTAAATTCATATTTTAGCAAATAAAAATATGATTATTTGTTATTATAAAATTTATATTTTTATGAGTTACATTATTTTTTGATTTGCTATTTCTTTTATATTTAATTTATATTATATCAAAAATGCATGTTACTTAGATGTTACTTATATATTGGGATTATTGTAAAAATCAATTTCATATTATATCAAATAACAATTTCATATTAATTTTGTGTAAAATTTTTTTTACTTAATTATTAATTTGATATGTTTTATATTAGTTAAATATAATAACAAATTTATATTAAATAACAATTTAATAACAATAACAATAAATATTTAAATACTAAAGATATTTTAAGCCAATTGTCAAATTGATGTTAAACATTTAATTAATTATTTTAATATTACTAAAATATTATTAATAATGTTTTAGTATTAATATTTTATGTAAAATTATATTTAAAAATTTATAATAAATTGAGTTTATATTGAATATTTTATTGATATTGTATTAAATATCACATTTGTATTACCTGTGTGTCAATTTAGACATTACTCAAGTATTTGGTATATACAGCATAAATTTTGTATTACTTGTGTATCAATTTAATATTACAGGAATATTAAAACTATTAATATGTGATGTAATATCATTATAATTTTTTATTAATATTAAATCTATATAAAGTGTACTTATAGTACCTCTCTAGATTTGTGGAATATTCCAAAAATGGTTATACCAATTACTCTTAAAGTAAAAGGGGGATGAGTCTAGTCTTATACATAAGTTTTATTTGCAAGGATATACAAGCGTCTTCTCGCCGAATCGAGCTTCCTTTCTTGTTTATATCTTTGTTGAGCTCCACTGGTACCAAGTTTTTTAAGACAGTTCTAAGAAGAATGTACCTACACTATTTAGGGCAGTACCAATATTAGAGTTAGACTAAAATGTTTTTGTTTGGCTATCGACCTATAACGACCAATATCTAAATATGGGAATTCCACATTTTTACGGTAACTTTCAGATCCAGTCACCCCTAAAAACGCATTTTGAGGTGGGAAAATCTAGTTATTTAACAGATAAGCCTAATGAGGAAAATCAATTAAACGGAAATAGTATTGTTAAAAACCACATAGACCTATTTCTAGGCCAGCCGTCGTCACGTTAGCATTTGTAAGCTTTTGCCAAGAAAGCGCTTCAACGAATTGTATTCGATGTTTGAACCCATTTTTAATAACTTCGAAAGAAAATGTTGAGCTTTGGCGCGCACATTTTTAAATGGTATGAACTAAACACAAATGGTTTTGTTTTATCGTTGTCAAGACGTTAAAATATCGAATAAAGCATAATGGGTAATGCTGTTAAAAACGAATTAAAAAATAAAAAGCGAGTGTTGAAGAGATTATTATTATTAATAAAGATTAACAAAAAATGGTTAATAATCAAATAAATCAACCCACTGGGTGCCATTATCAAGCAATCGGCGATCATTTGCCGCGGAATCCGCCAATTCATTTTTGATGGCGATGGGATTTCTATAATATTTTAATTATTTAATTCAATTCGTGGACTAATGCTAGCGCCATAAGCCTTGACCATGTTAATTTCCAACGCACGGAAAGGTAAGAAAGAGAAATTAATGGAGTTTGCAGTTTGACAGGGAAAAGCCATAATCGAAGTACATTTGTGTGGTGGTGTATTTAAAGAGTGGCAAAAAGTCGTGGATTGCGCAACGCTTTAGCTTTTGTCTTTAGGTTTGAGAAGGAGAAAAGCGGCAGGAGCTGGTGATACACACAATTTGCCCATTGTTACGCCCCCCACAACTCACATACGAGCGGATGGCTTGCACAATCTGAGCTGAGGGTCTTAATTGTGATGCCGCGGCATTTGCGTACTCGTAACATATCGCAACATATCGGGGAGGAAACGCACGCCACTCGGTAATTTGAAGGGATTGTGTTTCATCTTGACCCCCGCGCCAGCATTTGTCTTTTGATAAATCTCCAGTCATACATCAAAACATCAGCATCATTCGCTGGCCAGACAGACAGTCCCCGCTGAAAGCACGACCCACATTTGCGCAGACTATGATGGACATTGATTAAAGCCTTAAGTGTTGTCCGATGGCAGCTGCTGCTGCTTGCCAAAAATTGGCTTCAACTGTTCCCAAAATGAGCTGTCTTAAGTTGGGCAACCATGTCTGGTCCAATTAAATCTGCACTCTCAGCCAAATGATCCGACAGCTTCGCTAATTGGGTCATCGGAAATCAAAGCAATTTATAAAATTCACAAACCAAAACTGCTCAAGTTGACGCCATTCCTAATGAGTCTATCGTGTTATTTGTGCGACCCAAGATTTTGCGTCGCAAAAGATCTTCAATTATGACGGGTCATCAGCAAATAAACCCAGCGAAATGGTTGGCCCTCGAAATCTCACCGTACGAATCTCTCCGCACCGTCGTGTATCTGTATCTATCACATTTGACTTCCGGCTGCACGGCTCATTGGACTTGGAGTTGGGCTTAAGCCCAATCCGAACTATGACGCAGGCGTTTGCACCGCTCGAGAGCCCGAGAGCTCAATGATTTTCGGCGACTTCCCAAATGTTACCGCTACCTCAAGGTTGCCCGAAAACGCAAGCGAGTTTGTAAAAGCGGTGGATCGGTGGCTCGATGGCTCGGTGGTTCGATGGCTCGGTGGTCGGTCTGCGCTCACATTTCGTGCGGTTTGAGCCGCATTAGTGGTTTCAGTTTCATTTAAACTTTCCGACTCATCAGCCCAACTTTTTCGTAAGCGACATTTTCGGCATATAAGTCTGGGCGGCCAGTGATTAGCATTTAGTTGAATTTTGATTGTCAAGGGACTGGTGTCGTCAACTCGATTGGAAATGCATTTCTTCATAGTAAGCCCTCGGAGTCATCCGCACCTATCCAGCCCCGCTTGACCAGCATCGTCCCTTCTGCTGCAGGTACCCTTCCTCCTGGGCTTTGCAGCGGCGGCCCCGCAAGGATACAACTACCAGGCCCAGGCTCCACAGCAGCTCCACTCGCCGGTGCAGCTGCCTTCCATCCCGCAGTTCGCCAGCCTCGCAGAGCAGTCGCTCCTGCAGCAGGCGCTCCAGGCGCCGCAGCTGCAGCAGGTCCTGTCCGGAGGAGGTGTCGCTTCGTCCTACTCCACATCAGCCCAGCAGCAGCACGCTCCCGTCTACCAGCAGCAGCAGCAGGTCGCGCAGCCCTACCATGCCCTTCCTCAGCCCCAGCAGCTTCCCCAGCAGCAGCAGCACCTCGTGTCCAAGGACATCTACGTGCATGTGCCGCCGGCAGAGGAGCCCGAGGAGCGCTACCCGCAGCCCGTCCTGCCGCCTGCCCCGCCGCGCAAGCACTACCGCATTGTGTTTATCAAGGCGCCGACGCCCAGCGTCAGCAAGGCAGCCCTGCGCATCAAGCAGGCGCCCGTGGAGGAGAAGACCATCATCTACGTGCTGACCAAGAAGCCGGACCCCCTGGACCTGCAGGCGGCCATCGAGGAGGCCGCGCCCAAGCAGCCCAGCAAGCCGGAGGTCTTCTTCATCAAGTACAAGACCCAGGAGGAAGCTGCGCATGCGCAACGCACGATCCAAGGTGAGCAACACCCACGTTGGTGCGATGCTGTTGGGCTCTCTGCATACCCATCAATATGCAAGAAAGAGGTCTTCTGCCGACTTCGTTGCCGACCACATCATTGTCATTAGCGTCTTTTGTGAGCAGTGTGCTCACGGATTTGAATATTTTCGGTTTGCTTACATAACTGGTGGCTGGCACGAATGCCAAATGCACGGCCATCTGCCAGCGGAATCCTTCCCTTCACCGCATTGCTAACGGGGTTTCGTCGTCTCCTTTCAGCCCAATATGACCAGCTGGGGGGCACCTCGCAGGTCTCCGATGAGGGAGTCGCTCCCGTCACGTCGGTGATTGGCGTCCTGGACCACCAGCGGACCAACCTTGCCGGGGGGGCCTTGGCCAACAACTACCTGCCGGCCAATCTGCGCACCTAGATGAACTAGATGAACACCACAAAAGAACTGTCCTACTCTTAAGCTGCACCTTTTGTATATACCATACTTAGATAAATAAAATGATAATAGCCCGAATCTGTAGCCGCATTCGAGTAAAAGAGAAACTGTCAAAACAGTTTTCTGAGGCCCATATTACCACATCCATTAGCCGAATGATCTGTGACGGCCAGAGCAGCGGGAAACCGGTCTCAAAAATTAGCATATGATTTGTCTTACGTAAGAGCGATTAGGCAACATGAAGACTTGATTATTAGAGCTGCTGCCAACTGATAATGTGGGCTATGCGATCTTTCTCAAGTGAAAGAAGCCAAAGCTTTTTACATAAGATGCCCAATGACAGCTCATTAAAGTGGGTTTGTTGAATAGCTTAGATTTAGTCGACATTTCACTAGAGCAAAATATATTTCTCAGTGCAGAAAAGGGTCAAAACAACTCAGATTCTGGGGACCCAGCATCTGGAATTAAGGCGCCTTGGAAAACTTTTGTGCAATTTCCACAGATTATTTAGAAGGGACTATAGGCTTTCGATCGACGTTTCTTTATTCGACTCTTCTCTCGCACTTACAATAAATTAAAATGAACTAAAATGGGGTATAAACAAAAGATGGAGCGATTGTGGGTGGGCAGGGCACACCTCTCATTTGAAGGTCTTGGCCGGCACGTACTTCCTGGACGGCACGGAGGGTGCGAACGAGCCGGAGGACTGCTGCACGAAGGAGCTCTGCTGCTGGATTCCCTGGCTGAGGGCCGGCAGCTGGGACTGGACAAGGACTGGAGCCTGCGACTGCTGCGGCCCGAAGCCGCCCAGGTTGAGGGAGCCGCTGGACACGCTGGTGATGGGGGCCACACCCTCGTCCGAAATGTGGGTGGCGCCGCCCAGAGCGTCGTACTGGGCCTGGATCTCCTGCTGGGCGCGCTGGGCCTCCTCCTGGGTCTTGTACTTGATGAAGTAGACCTCGGGCTTGTGCACCTTGGCCTCGGACTGGGTGACCTGCAGCTGCTGCTGGATCTCGGTGAGGTCGGGCTTCTTGGAGAGCACGTAGATGACGGTCTTCTCCTCGTTGCTGGACTGGGCCCGCTTCAGGGCGGCGGCGGTGTGCTTCAGGTTCTGGGAGGGCGCCTTGATGAACACGATGCGGTAGTTCTTGCGGATGGGCACGCTCTCCAGCTGGGGCTCGTCCTGGCGCAGCTCCTCGGTCTCCTCGGGTGCGGAGTGGATGTAGATGTCCTTCGTGACGATCGCCGGCCTCTGCACATACTGGGTCTGGACGACCTGCTGCACCTGCTGCACCGGCTGCACCTGCTGTAGCTGCTGCACCTGCTGCAGCTGCTGCTGCGGCTGCTGGTAGACTATCTGCTGCGGCTGCTGCTGCACGATGGGCAGGGGAGCGGGAGCAAGGGAGAGGACAGGAGCGGGAGCGGGAGCCGGAGCAGGAGCAGCTGCGATGGTCTGCACAGCCTGGATCTGGCCCAGAGTCGAGAGTGCGCCACCGGAGTATATTCCACTTTGCGAGACCGGTGTCTGCGGACGCAGGTTGCCGATGGGAAGGGCGGGCGCCTGGGGCTGGTACTTGTATCCCTGGGGAGCGGCGACTGCGAGGGCCACCAGGCACTGCAAGGACGAGATGGGGGGTTAGGTGCTGCTAGGCCAATGTCTGCAGGAAGCCCATTCCTTACCGTGAGAACGAGGAACTGCTTCATTTTGCACTTTAGACTGTCTGAGCTGCAAGGGTCGACTGATGCCCTGCCTACCCAGTATCTATGTTTTTATATCTGGCCAACGGTGCTGCGTTTTCCCCAAGAAAGAAAATATTGGTAGGCACTAACATAAGCGGTTGAATCCATAATTGGCTTGACAACTTCGAATATGTAACATACCCCGTTCGGCGGCGGTTGCCAAATCACGGATCCGTATGCGAAGCTGCACTGGCTTTGGTAGTCCGGGATCTTATCTAACCCGACGCCCAACATGGACACCAACGCGGTGTTCACATTTAAATAATCGTCTTATATTCCCCATTGTCAACGCTGAATATAATCAAATGCAAAATATTAATAGCTATGGCGCCGCTTGAACCGACTAAACTGGGATAATAGAAAGAAAGTAATTTTTATGCATGCAAATCCAATCACACTGGTCCGAAGCTGAGCGACCGATCTGCATTCATTATCTTCCGGTGAGAAGAGCAGGCCAGGCCAACGGAGTGCCGAAGCTGTGTCCAAAACACGCTGGGTCGCAGATGCATAAATTATTAACCTAGTGTACAATATCGAATACAGTCCACAAACAACAAAATGTAGTAAAACCATACTTTTAGCCATCGCTTTTTGTTTGTGTCCAAAGCGCATTTTATGCGATGCGAAACGCAATGTGCATTTGTAAACGTGAATTGCATTTTTAAATGTGTTGACACTTTTTTATCCCAAAACGTTTTTTTCTATTTTTTAATTTTTCGATTGATCATTTTGTAGTGCAATAGAAACCTAAGTTGTACTCAACTTTTATCCCAGCTCTTCTTCCACCCAATTTCTTTTGAAGTTTGTGTTTTTTTTAATTAATATCAAAGCTTTTCACTGCAATTTTTTTTATATTTTATATCAACTTGCGAATTATATTATCAATGACCAAAATCAAACTCGAATGCATTTTGATTTCTTTTTAAAGATCACAAATCAAGCTTCAATTTCCAATATTACTCAATTTCGTAGCACGTCAGAATTTTGGGGTATAACTTCTCAAAAGTGGCCAAACTTGACGTGATGGGAAAATTTCGACTCCGGATTCGTGATCAGCACGAAAAAACCTTTCGGAAACACGATATCGCATCTTATTCGCAGCGCAAAAATTGAAATTTGCAGAGCAAATCTTTTGATGTCTTTTTTACCAATAACAGGAATTTTTGTATAAATTAAAATTTTGGTAATTTCCATTAGGTCAGGTTCTTAACTGGTTAATAGCAGAGTCGAGTTACCGGAAAAAATAATTATGATTTGGAAGACCCTTTCTGAAATAGCAAATAGCTTATAACTTTGTCTCGACTTACAGTTATACCTCCTTATACCTAATATAAGCCCTTTAGTGATTTTTATATCTAGATCGATTTTTATTACTTATTACTTAGTTACTGAAGCTACTCATCTACTGTACTCTTATGTCTAAAACCTCCTGTGCGGAGGTGGTAAGTAGGAGCTGGTCGATGGTGCACCTAGATCGATGCCTGCCGCTGACCCGTCCAGAGATGCCTTGGAGGCGAAGTCCAGAACCGGGCCCGTGGATCCGGCGTTGTGATTGCTGGAGGCACCTGGGAGCAGGTCGTACTGGGCCTGGATCGTCCGCTGGGCGTTCTCCGCGTCGCTCTGGGTGCGATACTTCACGAAGTGCACCTCGGGCTTGTGGCTGACCTGCTGCTTGACCTGGTTGAGCTTGCTGGCCAGCTCGCCGATGTCGGCCTGCTTGTTGAGGACGTAGATGGCGGTGCGGTCGTCGGACGCGGAGGTGGCCAGCTGGAGCGCCGCCTGCTCCAGGCCCTTGTTCTCGGGTCCCTTGATGAACAGGACGCGGAGGTTCTTCTTCAGCAGGCCGGCAATCTGGTCGTCGGAGCGGGAGTTGTCGAACTCCTGCTCCGGAGCGCTGTACGTGTAGAACTCCTTGGTGAACTCGTTGGCCGGCACAATCGGCTCCGACAGCTGGGCTGATCCGGAGATGGGAGCTCCAATCAGGCCTCCGTGTCCGTCCCCGGCTTGCGAGACTGGGGTGTAGTCGTACTGCCCCCTCGCCAGGGCCAGAAAGCACATCATCTGCAATTGAAGAGATGTCAGCAAAATCACGGAGTCAAAAAACACTGAGCTTACCACAAAAACGCGCATTCTGAAGAAATATTTCGGGGCAAAAGGTATTGTGTGGACGGTGCAGCGGATGCGTTTCCTTTGCTCAAGATTGCATTCCGTCGTCGCTTTTATAGGGATTGCTGCATTTTAGTTTTCGATGCAGATACACATTCCACAGCAAAACGCAGCTGGCGATTTGGAAACTCGATCATCTCGTCGGTGAAGGTGTTGCAATTAATACGCCCGAAAATCTTTAATTGGGCCAAAAACTTGACACATTTGTAAGGTGGAGAGATGTAAATCTATTCAAATAGGCCAATCGTCGGCACACTTTATGCGCAATATGTGCAACCGACTGGATCTTGAGTAAGAGTGTCTCCATATGCGTTTTTTGTAGCAATAAAAAGCAGTTGCACTTTTAATTTACTATATATTATATGTTTCCTTGGGAATATTGAAAGATTTCGTCCTTAAACCCTTAATTTTCACTTCATGCTCTACCAGAATAAAGCTATTTTTATACCCTTCCAGAGCAGAGGGTATTATAATTTCGCCATATTTTTTGTTGTAAAATCCAATTAAACCAATTATTTTATAACTATCAAACAAAAAATTTTTAAATTATAAATTTATCTAACTTCCGTGCAAAAATATCTTACTTTAAACAATAAAGAAAGTTCTCAGTTTTAATTTTTTCTATTGCAGCTATATTAAAAAGTAGTCCGATCTTTATGGAAGTTATTTTTTACTTGTGTAAGCAAATGCTTAAAACGCTATTCATTAATTTTATTTTATAAGATTTTTGGGTTTTACTGGTGGCACACTGTGATACAGTCTTCTCGTATAAAACTAAAGGCTTATTTGCGAAGAAACTGATAGACGGATTGACGGACGTTGTATATTAACTTTGTTAGTGATGCTGATTAAGAATATACTCTATATTCTTTATGTGTAGGAGGTGTTTTCTTTAATGTTTGGTGTTTTTCAATTCAATGGATTGATCGTGGATTATAAGTACGTATCTAAAAACTATACATTTTAAGTTTAAATATTGCCTTAAGTTTAAATATATAAATATTGCCTCTTGTGATAAGGGGTCGTTCGAATATTACGTAAACAGATTTATTAATTACATAATTATTATTATATTATATATTCTTAATCAGCATCACAATATGAATCGAAATATGTGTGTCCGTCTGTCTGTTTCTATGTAAACTACTTAGTCTCTCAGTTTTGAAGCTATCTTGCGGAAATTTTCTAAAAGGTGTGTAGTTATTGCACGCAGTATATAAGTCGGAACGGGCCGGATCGGCCGACTATATCGGATAGCTCCCATACAAGAGGTAAAAAAAAATAAAGGATAAAAAATTATTACGCCGTTGTTTTTCATCGAACTGACTTGATTTCTTCCAGATGGCGTTTTCTAATTACTATTGAATTTTGGATTAAATGTTATCAAAATCGGATAACCCTATCATATAGCTGCCATAGGAAAGATCAAAAAATATATATAGAAATAATGGCAAAATAATCATAACGTTGTTGTTTTTTATTCCACGAGCATGATTTTTAAAATATTTAGTTTTATAGTAAATTTTATTAAAATCCGACAACGTTATCATATAGCTGCCATAGGAATGATAGAAAAATCTATAACGAAAATAAAATGATGGCATCGTTATTTCTCAACAGAAAATCATGATTTTAGGAATATAGAGTTTTCTAACGACTCTTGAACTACGAATTAAATTTGATCAAAATCGGACAAATATATTATATAGATGCCATATGAACACTAGTCGAAAATATGAAAAATTTGTACTAATATGGTCATAGCTCGGATGTTGTTTAGCCTTTATGCATTTGGTGAGCATTTATCAAATATGACTGCAAGAGTATATGAGCTTCGGCTTGCCGAAGCTGGCTTCCTTTCTTGTCTTAAATGTATTTATGAATGAAAATATATTTTTTTCAGCGAGTTGATTGAGACATCTAAATCTGTCAGCCACCCAGTTATGCTATCTGTTTAAATCAATACCGACACAAATTTCCGAATTTATCATAGATCTGCCATAGGATCTCCTAGGATAATAAGCTGACCTGGTACTAAATAATATACAGCTTTGATATTTTTAGATAAACCTTCATTAAAAATGATATAGGGATTTTTTGTATAACTCCATAAAGTATATGTATTATGAGTAGATTTATATCTTTCTGTCTGCCTGTCCGTATGAACGTCGAAATTTTGGAAACTGTATTTATAGAATATTGGGACTACAAGAGCAGATTCTTACACCTATAAACTGTGACGCCCAGCTTTGATGGCACTGCATTTTGGATTCTGTTACTAAGAAGGCGGGGGGTACCCTTTTCTTAAATGCGCCACGCCCATTTTTATGCCCACCAGCCGTGTGGGGCGTGAACGCCTTTCTGTTTGTATGTGAAGTAATAACATTTTTAATGTCAATTTGATGAACTTGTTATCTTTTTGGGTCATTGTTCCTATATGCAAAACCTGATTTTTAAACAGGGCGTTTAGCCCTGACAATTTTGAAATAAACTAACTTGTGTGATTTGGTTGACCCGCTTGAAAAACATCAATTTTTGCTTTTTAACTCATTTTAAAAAAAAGTGATTTACTAACCCAGAATTTGTATATGACGGTTACTATTGCTAATGAACTTGAATCTGAAATATAAAATGAGAATACATTTTTGTATATCAAATTATGCAGATTGTTCCTTTTGCAGATTTGTGATATATCCGTGTTTTTTCCAAAAAACTCTGTTACAAAGTTTATGAAAGGAAAGCTTTGATTCTTATTGCTTATACCTCTAATATTATTTTTTTGCAAAGCAAATCGTGGCCCTTCTGACTGATAATATTGTACCACAAGGAGTTCAGCATGTTTTTATTTTCTTTAAGTACAACACTTTATCACATTTTTGTATGAGTATACAATATATGAATTTTTATTTTTTCATTTTTATGAAACATATACAGTTTATAAACAAAAACCACTACAATTCATTAATTCATTTAGTTATCAGATCAAAGCCATCCGGCAGCAAAACTACGCAAATCATAGCTATTTCGTATAGACAACAAAATTCCAAACTTGTTTAGTATGCTATGGTATATACAGTGATTGCTCCAAGTTATTTAACACTTTAAACTAGATATTAATATAGAGTAGAAAAGTAAAAAAAGGATGAGACATCTAGGAGCAGAGAGCATTTTGTTACAATAATATTTGCTAGTCTTGTGGTAATTTCTTTTTAAGACAGCTGCTTAAGGAAATCGAAGATACATCTTTGGAGACATCACTGTTGATTATAAAATATTAACCTCCATCATTGCAAATTATCACAGTTTTAATCGTTAATGAAGTTATAAAAGAGAGGTCCGGATCTGGCGCGAGGGTTAGTCAGTCTCGAGATCAGCGATAGAATGAAGGCAATCTGCGTAAGTTGTGAGGCTTTTGAAAAGGGATTATTTCATAAGACATACCCCACTGCGACTTAGGCTTTAGTGATCCTCGCCCTGCTGGCCGCAGCCTTTGCAGCTCCAGCTCCAGCTCCTTCCCCTGGCAACGAGCCCACCGTGTCCGTGCTTCGCTACAGCAACGACCAGGACCTGGAGAACATCCAGCGGGCGATCATTGCGCAGTACGAAAGGATCGGGGGACGCTCGGAGGTGCACGCCCCGCAGGTGGCCCGGGTCGTTGACCTGCGGAGCCTTGGAGTAAACGTGTAATGCTCTCCGAAAATAAATCGTTGATTTTGAGAACCCAAAACCCCAAAACCGCCGATAAGGCAGTGCGTGTTGTGCTACTTGGGATTCATTCGGTGAAAGCTTCAGTCTGCTCCCGACATTCGCCGCGTTCGCAGAGCCCCCGAAATGGGTCTCGCTGTGTTTCTGGGTCTGATATCAGTTTTGGGGCTCTGGTGCCTGGCCCCTTCTCTCGGTCAACGCCCACCACCTCGCCGGCCTCGCCCAGATGGGGCGGCCATTCGCTTCCCTGTGGAGCGCGACATACTCTTCCCGGACTCCCCCCCGCGAAGGGCCTCGCCAGCCGGAGGAGAAGATGTGGTACCGCATAACCGACTTCCAGTTCGGCCGGGTGGAAGACCTGCCCCGACCGAGGCCCTTGCGCATCCCCCCCGCCTCCTCGGCCAGGTCAGCCTTTTCCCCCGCCCCCGGGGGCTTCAAGAAGAAGGGCAACAGGCGACGACGCATCTGCGAGCAGAGTGAGTGATTCGGAAATTCGAGACCAAGGACGCGTGACTCACTGCCCCGCGTGACTTGTCCCCAGAATACTCGGAGTACGTGGAGCGCATCTTCCCCAACGATACTGCGGTGGCCGCCGACGCCAACGACGCCGACTTCGACGGCCGGGTGCTGGCCAGGCCCGGTGAATACCCCCACATGGTACGGCCACCCGGCGCTGATAAGCCTCTGCTGCTGTGGCCTAACCCAACCCCCGAATCTGTTTTCGCAGGCCGCCGTGGGCTTCGAGGATGACGCAGGGCGGGTCGAGTACAAGTGCGGCGGCAGCCTGATAAGCGAGAGCTTCGTGCTCACCGCCGCCCACTGCACGTCCATATACGAGTGAGCAACCTAGTTAAGCCCCCACCCTGACCAAGATCCCAGATCCCAGATCCCAGATCCCAGAGCCATCACCGCGACTAAACTCTTCCGCAGGACTGCCCCCAAATGGGTGCGCATCGGGGACCTCAACCTGGTCGTCGAGGAGCGCTCGCTGGAGGCGCAACTGGTTCGGATCGAGCGGATATTTACCCACCCCAACTATAAGCAGGAGCTGTACTACGACGACATAGCCCTGCTGAGGCTGGACAGGGAGGTGGAGTGAGTAGACGACCCCAGGGCGACCGAATAGCCGCTGAACTTGCTAACGCGTTTCTGTCAGGTTGACGGAGTTCGTCAGGCCGATCCGACTGTGGGTCTCCCCGGAGCTGCCCACCACCATTGCCTTTGCGATGGGTTACGGGGCTACCAATTTTGCGAAGGCCGTGACGAACCGCCTCACGAATCTCAACCTGACCATAGTGCCCAACGCCGAGTGCAATGCCGAGCTGCCGCCGATCACAGAGACGCCCAACGGAGTTTTGGAGAGCCAAATCTGCGCTCAGGACTACATCCTCAACCGGGACACCTGCCAGGGCGACTCGGGCGGTCCGCTGCAGCTGAATCTTCCGGGTCGCCGCCGCCAGCACAGAATCCACTACCACCTGATAGGCGTCACCTCGTACGGGGTCTTCTGCCGGAGCAGCTATCCTTCAGTTTACACCAGGGTGTCCTCCTTTTTGGACTGGATCGAAACGACTGTGTGGACCGATCCGGTCTAAAACTGACATGTGTTAGCCCAGACGTGGTGTCAATAAAGAAGAAAAAAGAGAATGGATACCACATGTAGGCTACTTCTTGAACTGCTGGGTAGAGAGTGAAAATGCCACAGATCGTAAGCGTTGTTACTTCAAGGAATAAAGTCGTACAAGGAGGTGACTCATTTACAATTTGTATGCAGGGGGCTGACCTCTTTTGAAGGACTTATTTCAGTCAAGGCTCTTTTGCGAAGAAGCTGCTGACATTATTATAAACGAGAGGGAAATTTTTAAATTTTTTTTCAAGTTTGGAAACCTAAAGTTTGAATACCAATTCAGATAAAATAAACCAAAAATATGTGACCAAATAGAAAAAACTAAAAAAATTAAAACATTGAGACTACTCAAGTAACCATAACTATTCCCATTTTTTAAATTTCTTTTACTTTTTGTACTTGGTTAGCGAATTTAAAGTAATAATTGACTTAACTGAATGTTGATAAGGTTTTATTTGAGCCAAATTAAATCTAAACAAAAACACAAGGAAAACATAAAATAGGAAAGGACGAAAACCGGGCAAACCAAATTTTGTTTACTTTTTTTTTTAAGTTTTTTTTAATTTTATGGGTATAAAAGATAAAGGTATTGTGTAGGTATTTTTTGGCCGGGCTATATTTTTATTCCTTTAAGTATTTCGATATATTAAGAATTAATTCATAAATCAAGAGATGTTGGAAAAAATTTTTAATATAAACAAGAAAGAAAGCTAGCATCGGCAAGCCGAAGCTTATATACCCTTGCAGACTTCAAGTATGTACGTCGAACAAAATACATAAAAGCTAAACAACATCGAAGCTATGACGATTTTGCTATTCATTGTCCATATTTTCGACATTCTCATGATTGCCTGATGAAAAACAACGATGTTATCATTTTATTTTCGTTAATTTTATATACAATGGTGGCCGTAAGTATTTTGTCAAAATAAAAGTGAAATATACTCGAAACCTGAACTTGCTTCTTTTAACTTTTGGTATCAATGGAAAGGTAATTCAAATGCCGTTTGAATGATACCATACTTTTCTCAACTCATTCGATATTTATTGAAAAGGGCAATTTAAAAAAAAAAGTCAAAAAAAAACTTTTTCCCTCGGCTTTAAAACTAAAATTTTTGGATGCAAAAAGTTTCTTTAATCAAAAATAATAGGAACTGCAAAAAGAATTTTTCAAAAATATTTTTTCTTCTATTTTTTATGATTTTTTGAAAATGACTAGAAATACGATCTATCCTCAACGGCTTGAGAATTTTTTATTTCATTCCCTCGTACGGGAGCTATCCGAAATAATACATATGGGTGATTCCATATCAGATTTACAGTCGATATTGGGAAATTCGATGAGATATTTTTTTCATGCTCTTTATCGAAAATAAATCGACACGTATTTTTTATTTGGCTCAGAAAATTTTTTTGACAAAGTTATGATTTTTTGAATTTTTGATGAACTGCCCTTTTTTTGATGACAGTCGCGTTTTCCAGCCCCAATAACTCGAAAACCGTACGTCGCAGAAAAAAATGAATAGGAAGAAAAATTTCATCCTTCCTTCTTCTTTGCAAAACTTTCGTGAAAAAATTTTTTAAACAATTTTTCACCACAAAAAGTTCAAATGTTTATAACAAATTCATTTTTCTCCAACTTGGACATTTTTGATTTTTTTTTTTTCACAACAAATCCTTCAATTTCTTCTGATGAACATACTAAAATTTCAGAATGGGATCAAAATTAGTTTTTGAGTTATAGAATTAAATAGCATTAAAAATTCATTTTATTGACCCTTACTATGCGCGCGCGAAGCGAATTGACGCGCGGACCGTGCATGATAATCTTTAAAATTCTATAACTCAAAAACTAATTTTGATCCCATTCTGAAATTTTAGTATGTTCATCAGAAGAAATTGAAGGATTTATTGTAAAAAAAAAAAAAATCAAAAATGTCCAAGTTGGAGAAAAATGAATTTGTTATAAACATTTGAACTTTTGTGGTGAAAAATTGTTTAAAAAATTTTTTCACGAAAGTTTTGCAAAGAAGAAGGAAGGATGAAATTTTTACTTCCTATTCATTTTTTTCTGCGACGTACGGTTTTCGAGTTATTGGGGCTGGAAAACGCGACTGTCATCAAAAAAGCGCAGTTCATCAAAAATTCAAAAAATCATAACTTTGTCAAAAAAATTTTCTGAGCCAAATAAAAAATACGTGTCGATTTATTTTCAATAAAGAGCATGAAAAAAATATCTCATCGAATTTCCCGATATCGACTGTAAATCTGATATGGAATCACCCATATGTATATACAAGCAGCTTTAAAGTGGGGTAAGGTTTTAACCATTTTTTTCGATTTTTTTTTTTTTATTAAGAGAGCAATATGTCGAGAACATTGTGTAAAATTTTTGAGTCAATTAGAGTCAAACTAACGGAGTTACAGAGTTTTAAACGACCGATTTTCCCTAAAACGTTATTTTGAAAGTCGGTGAACATCAGAACTCAAAATCTAATGAACCGATCCTTTTCAAATTTTTAACACAAATTCTCAACATAAATACGCAGGTAATCAGGAAGAGTTCTTTTAAGAGTTTTTTAATTTTTAATTTTTATTCTATTTTAAAAAAAAAAAATTAACACCGATTGTTTTTAACTAAAATCGCACTTTTCACTTTCAAGTGCTCCCAAAACGAGTAAAAATAAATTTAAAAAAAAAACTCTTCCTGATTGCCTCGGGAAATTCATTATCTTTACAACGAATATTGCCTTTTTTTGTAAGATGATCCGTTAACGCCCTATGATGTTCACCGCAAAACAACTTTTTCTTAAGGCGCTTCGGAAGATTAACAGCTATAGGCTTATTTCTAAATATTTTTTAATAATTTTTTTTTCTAGTACTCTTCAAAAGTTGAACAATAACATGTAATTAAGCTCAATAAAATAAACTTACTCATTTCGCCGCAAAAAAAAATCAAACATAGCCCTTTTTTTGGCCTTTAAAACCTTACTGTCTCCTTCAATGCTTTGCAAACTTCTGGATGAAATTATAATACCCTTTCCTTTGCAAGGGTATAAAAACATGATTATAAGGAAAATAACAACAGCTTTTAGTCTTCTTAAATCTTTTCAATGACAGCTTAAATTTTGTATAGTTATATCGAGATAGTTTTAAAACTGAGAAACTAGCTAACCTAGTCTATTGAAGTGTGAATATTAATTTATGGTGTCTGAATTGTGTCCTCTGCAAGATATACAAATTGCAACTGCAACATTTTAAATTTGTTGGATTCATTTATTTTTAATGGGCAAAAACAAACATATTTTTGGTTAATTTTGCTGAGTATTTAGTCTGTGGGTCTAGACCTCGTTGTTGGCATCAATGATCTTTTGCTTCATGGCTTCATAGGTGGGCAAAGTCTGCGGAAGGTTGAAAACAAAAGTGTGAAAATCAACCGAAATGAAAAGCCCCGTTTATCACCGATAAGCATTTGTTACATGTGTTAGCAATCAACTTACTATTCCGCTGGTGAGGTTATTAGTATGGTTATTGAGTTTTGAAGCAGTGGTGATGACAAGCAAAGTGGTGATTGGTGAAAAGCAACGAGTAAATGGTGAGGACTAGCGCCGGCCGGGCTCCCTCAGTCGCGTCGACCTACCTGCCAGTAGTTGTCGTCCCAGCTGGGGAACATGCGCTTGAAGACCTGCGGCTCCTTGCCCTGAGGGACGCGAATGAGGCTCACGGTGTCCATAGAGCGGGCACTTGGCTCCACGCGGATGTAGCGCTAGGAACAGGAAAAACAAACCGAATTAGATGGGAAAAAGGGCCGTGAAGATCGGGTGTCTACCTTTGCCATGTCCAGAATCCTAGCATTTTCCTCCTCGGATGCGCCAGAGCCAACCCACAGGTAGATCTCGTCGCCGGCGTCCAGTAACATAACGTCGTCGGGGTCCAGGTCCTCCTGCTCGTACTTAGCCACCTCCTCAACCCGAACAAGCCCACTGGAGCTCAGTCGGCAGTGGAAGAGACGCGGCTCCAGCAGCGGAGCCCCGATGTCGCCCAAGCTGCGATCGTACTGACCCTCGCCGTTCAACTCCTCCCAGAACTCCTCCGGCTCCGCACCCTCCTCCACCTGCTCGAGCTCGGCGTCGTCCCAGTAGCGCGCGAAGCGATCCAAGGCGGCCTTCTTCTCGAAGGCGGATGCGCCCAGGCCGTTCCAGACGAAGATCCTGTGCGACTTGCCGGAGAGAAGGGCGAACGCGTCGCCCGAGGCAAGGGAAGAGCTGTCGGCGGGCACCTCGCTGGCGTGGATGTCGCTCTCGACGGTGCCGCGGATGCGGAAGAGCTGCGCCGTGACCGGCAGGGCGGTGTAGGAGGTCAGCAGCTTGCCCTTGAAGACCTTGTAGACGTGGCGCGGCTCGTGGCCCTGGCTAGTGAGCACCAGCAGGCCGTTCTGGAGCACCGCAGCAGCTAGGCCTTCCTCGAAGGCGCGCTCTTTGGCGGCGAGGGGGGCCTTCGCTCCCTGCCACACGTAGATTATGGCGCCTGTGTCCCCGTTGTTGGCCTCGAAGTTGTAGGTGAGGACGTAGGAGGCGAATCCCAGCAGGGGGAAGGTCCTCCGCGAAGGAGACGGTGTTGACCTGGACCCCGTCGGGCCGGGCCACGTACTGTGTGATGCTTTCCAGGCTGTTCTGACCGTGGTCGGGCATGAAGCCGAATGCCCGGCCGCCGCTCTTCTTCAGCTGAGTCACCGCGGCGTCGATCTCATCCACATCCAGTGACTCGTCAGAACCGATGCCCAGGGCCGATCGAATGAGGCGGGTGTGCGCCATTCCGGCGTCACGCCAGGTGGCAAAGTACTGCTTGAATGGTGCGGACTCGGCGCCCTCCACGATGCGATGGATCTGGGTCCAGGCCGGGTACTTCTTGGAGCGCAGGAACTCCTGCGCCTTGGCCATGGCGTCCGTCTTCTCCTTCTGCGTGGCGCCCTTGCCGACCCACACGAAGATGCCGGAGCCGGTGTCCAGGATGAAGCACTCGCGGGTGTCCAGCATGGCCTGTGTGAGCGGCTTCTGGCCAACTTCGTCCACCTTCAGCTTGCCGCTGGCATCGCTGACCTTGTAGAGCGTAACGGCGGCGGCGTCTGTCCTCTCGAAGGCGCCATCCTCATCGGCGGTCGACTCCTCGGGCACCTGGTCAGCGGATCCCGATCCGAGCACATCGAAGAACTGCTGCTTGTCGGAATCGGTGCTGAAGTCGTCGATGATCTGGACGCGGGCTCGGCCGTTGTGGTCCTGGTCCCTGATCTGGTTGGCAGCGCTGATCGCCTTCAGCTTCTCCACGCGCTTTGCCTGGGAGCCCACATAGACGTAAATGTCGCTGCCGGCGTCCAAAATAAAGCAGTCGCCCTTGTTCATCGACGAGACGGACAGGTTCACCTGGCGCACGCGCACATTGCGCTTTCCCTTGACCTGGAACAGGCGCTTCTCCCCCCTGGGCGTTGGTCTCCACGTGCTTGAAACCCGTTCCGACGCCACCCTGCTCGTAGCGAACTCCTGCAACGAAAGCTTTTTAGAGGGGATCTTGGACTGGTACCGACTGGGCGGGCTCACCGTTCTTGAAGTAGCCGAGGAACAGCTGCGACTCGTGGTCCTGCACTTCCCGGTGCTGCACTGGGGCGCCGTTCAGCAGGTCGTCCAGCTGGACAGTGAGGATGGCCGCGGCTCCGGCCTCATCGGTCGACGTCTCGGATCCCAGCCAGAAGTGCACGTCCCAGGACAGCTGTTTGTCCTTCTTGTTCTCAATGGTCTTGGGTAGAAAAGAGGTTTTTCGAAATGTACATTATTGTTTGATCGTTTGTGTTAAATTTTTAAGAACTTAAATAAAATGCAAATAAAATCCAAAAATTTGGCAACATTCTAAATTGTTAACCAATTAATAAATTCGTTGAAAGATTACCATACAAGTGTGTTTAATGCGTATTTAGCATGACTTAGGATTATATTTTTTACAAATTAAACTCTTAGCATTGTTATTTCATTGTTGGAAAATAGTTTTATTATTCATTTTTTGAGTTATCGTTTTATAATTAAAAACCTGTCAACTCTTTTAAAACCTTTTACATTAAATGTATAATAGCTTGGATTACTTTTTCCGTTAAATGAAATGGTTTTAATTAAGTATCTAAACTTACGTTGAGAATAATAAACGAATCCCCAGTGAAGAACTTGCCATAGTTATTTTTTGGGTAGGCAACAGGCTCAAAATTCTGAAAAGAGTCAAACAAATATAAGTTTACAGTGAAACGTTTTGATCGCTTGTCGAAAACAATTTTTTAGGGACCGCCTGCTTCACGTTATAAACAAAAGCTTCCCATTCGAACTCAATAAATTTCGCAGATGTCCGAGTTAATTAACAACAACAAATCCGGCATCAATGTATACATTTTAGTCTGGATATATATATATATATGTTTCGGAGGGAGTGAATGTATTTATGGACACATGGCACCCACATTGCACGAGTTTAATGGAAAGACGGGAAAAGCGGCTGAGCGGACGGCACGGGCCGCTAATTGTGGAAACTCATGTCCCCGCTCTTGCAGCGCTTTCTCCCCGCCGTTTTCAGTTTTCAATTTTCAGTATTCAGTTTTCCGGGCGCCGCTGCATGAGCAACGCATTCGTGCGTGGGCTGCGGACTTTCCCAGCGGTGTTAGCAAGCGCCAGCTATTTATACGCTTCTGCGAACCCGTGCGGTGTGAAATTGACCCAGACATGACTTACCTCGATGCGCCAGATCTCCAGGCCTGGAGTGCGACCCGCGTTGGCGAAGGCCGGGTTCATGATGCGTCTGCCGGGCTGCTTGCTGTTCTGACCGGATGGCTGGATCTGGCCGGTTGGCACGGGGAAAGCGGGTCGGGCGTTAAAGGTGCCGGCGGAGCAGAGGGACGAGAGGGCAACCAGCAGAAGCAGGCTGAAAACAGACAAGAAAATGTCCCTCTGAGTGTATTTGTTTTTTTTACTTAGAAGTTTGCGGTTGCACTAGCATTTCAATCTGGTGCGAGTTGAATTCGGACCATGAGGGGTCTCTAAAATAATTTTTGCAAAATCAAATCAAAAATATTAATCCAGATACGTGTCCTTCTGCTTGTTCAACAACTCTTTAAGGCTTCTATTCAAAATTGTTATACCCTCTGCAAGGGTATTTCAAACCGATTAGGCTATCTGCCGAAGGACTGATAATGAGCTATGCACGGCTGAAAAACTTGCTGCACATTGAGCTGTGTTCTCCCTGAATTCATCAACTTTATTGAAGCTGAAGTGAATTCAGCTGAGCAGTCGCCTGTTGAGACTGTGAGTCATGCCCAAAAAAGGCAGTAAAATAATAGACACAACGAATTCGTCACAAGCGGTGAAGGCGAACCCCGACCACTTCAGCGCACTTACTCTACTTCAGAGGAGAATATTTTTTGTTTTTGTTTTGGATCTCTGGGGAACCTTGTTGGCTACGTTTAACTCTTTCGGCGGAGCTTTCTAGTCGGCGAACTGTTCGCTTGCATTACCTGGAGATGACTGCCATGCTGGTGGCGCTTGGCGCTGCCATGTCGAGTTTTGCCTTCCTTCGGCTCGACGGAGGAGGGCGGGCGCGGTGAGGAGACCCCGCCGCTTTGTTTATTGTTGCGATAAATATAACAGGTCGCGTATAGCGTATACGCCCGATGTGCGTGGCTATAGGGTACACTGTATTATTTGCCTTTGTTTTTATCACAGCGTTTTTGTTTCCAGATCAAACAGAGACGACTGTTGCCGATGAATCCAGCTGAGAGTGTGCAAACTGTAATTAAGAGAATCGTTAAGTCAGTTAAGAGCTATAAGATCGGAGCTTGCAATGTTCAAGTGCGCGATTTTGATGATCAGCTACCCAACATAAAAATATTGGAAGTTATAACTTCACGGTTGTTATAACTCCCCCGAACTTGTTTAAGGGGTTATATGTATACCTTTTTCAGGCTCAAAAAATCGAAAAAAAAATTTTATGATTTTTTTTTTATGTACATACTTTCCACAATTTTTCTGCAAAATTTTTTTAGAGATCGGGGCACTAGAACCTTAGATACAGCCGTTCATAGCGCACGGTGTACATGACTACCTAATGTCCACCTAAAACTTTAAACGCGATTATCTCGTAATCTCATTTTTGAGAAAAGGTCATTGCGGTGAGCACGATATCTCGGTAATCATCTCATCGATCGATTTGAAATTTTGGGGTATTGTTTGTAGTTACAATAGCTAGTTCACTGTAACTGTAAAAAATTTTTTTTCGTAAAATCCTTCGTTCACGAACTAGGTAACACTATATACTAACGTAGTTTTTTTTTTTTTTTTTTTTGAGTAACATGCTAAAAAAAAATAAATAAAAACCATGTATTTCTCTGGAGAAAAAGGTATATAACCCCTTAAGCTCAATGGATTCATTAAATGTGTATTAGCGGGGGTCCCACACGTTGTACCAAAACATGCTGAAAATTTGTTTCTTCCCATGGGCTTCCATCTCCTATGATATCATTCGAATTCGGATCGACATTGTGAAGTTTGATTTGAGCATAAGGCAACGTAAGAAATGCGACACGCATGTTTTCGTATAATGTCATTCAGGTAATTAGTTTTGCGACTTGGCTCGCCTGTATATGATATCACGATTGCTTATGTCAAGCGACAAGCCCATCAGCCCTTCCTTGCAATTTGTGTCACAGTCCCAAAAATCAAATACATATGTACAATTTTATAAGATTCAATGAAGTTCTTTATAAACCTTTTGGGTCCGAGAGCAGATATTTCTTCCTGAGGCGCAAGGTTGTAAGAACCTAATTAACTTAAACAATTTAGAAATACCTATTGAATACAAACTATACCCATTTTGGGCATTTGCGGTCACTTTCTGCGTTAAAAATTGTTCGCAGACTTGAATAGGAATTGGGGTTTTGGTACTTTGTATACAGAAACAAATGTATATATAAATACATATGTACCTCCAAGCCTAATTTGTGGTCTAAAGATGGCAGCTTGCTCATTAATCAAAATAAATAGAGAAACATGTCACCAAAGCATGTTATTAATTACAAACATTTTTAACTACACATTTCTCGTTGTTTCCGCTGAGAAAATATATTTTCTGATTACAAACACATACTTGTACTTGTTTCCTATTGAGTCTAAGGTTCCGACCCCAGTTCACTTTATTTTTTCAAAACAATTGATAAGCCGAAACAGTATATAATCTACAAAAAATGCCCAATAAACACACATATATACGCAGAAGCGTATGTAAGTGATTGAATTTATGTAACCAGCCTTTATTTCGACTGATTTAGGAGATTACTATTTACCTACTCCTAACTGCGGGATCGACGCAACATTGCGTATACAGAATCTCTACCGAATTTCCAATATAACCCAAATACTTTTAAGCAAACTTACTTGTAGGTCAATACGACCAGCGCGATTTCAGGCGATCCCGGTACGATTGGTTTCGAACGACAGACAGAGCTCTGCCCCAGACACTAAACGAAAGCCAAAGCTCGTCTTCGCTTTTATAAACATTTTCTCAAACCCGAATCACGCTCACGGCAGGGCGCGGACGCTCTCTGAGGTTGCTGCCGATTGATAAGCAAAGCTTTGGACGATAAGTAATAAACTGATCTCAAAACAGAGTGAAAACAAAATTGAAAAAATCCCAGAAATGATTGTGTGTTTACTAATCCCCAGCTCTGTTTATTCCTGCGTCGTAGTAACCTTATACCTAATTGGTGGCAGAGGTTTAGTAATCCGCCGCTGTATTCGACAGATAGTCGCGACGTCCTATGTTTGATGCCTGCTTGTTCTGGACAGCCTCTAGTTTTGGACACTCCGTAATGCGATGGCCAAGACCGCCGCAGTAGGTGCAGCCATGAGAGTCGCCCAGGTCCAGGTGCTGGTGCTCGGCCTCTGGCGCCAGCTCGTCCAAGAAGTCGGGCACCTGCTGCTTGCCCTCTATAAGCAGGTGCTTCAGGTCGAGAAGCACCGACTGCTCGGTGATCTTGTTAATGAGCGTGGTGGCTAGACCCTTGGTGTTGGAGCGCCCTGTGCGGCCTATGCGATGCACGTAGTTCTCGATATCGTCTGGCATGTCGTAGTTAATTACGTGCTGCACGTTGGGGAAGTCCAGTCCCTTCGAGGCCACGTCGGTGGCGACTAGAACATCTTTTTTTCCCACGCGGTAAGCATCGACGGCCCGCGACCGTTCTTCCTGATCCTTGCCGCCGTGAATGGCCACCGCCTCCACACCCTTAAGCAGCAGATACTCATGTATGCAGTCCACGTCCTGCTTCTTTTCGGCAAAAATCAACACGGGCGGCGCTGTCTTCTGCAGGCAGTCCAGCAAGTAAACCACCTTGGCCTCCTGCTTTACGTACTCCACTTGCTGGGTGACATTCATTGACGCGGCACCCGCGCGGCCAACGTTTATTGTGACCGGCTTTACTAGAGCTGAGCGGGCAAAGTTCTGGATCTTCTTGGGCATAGTGGCCGAGAACAGAAGCGTCTGGCGTTGGCCCTTGAAAAAGGAGAATATCGTGCGGACGTCCTCCTCAAAACCCATATCAATCATCCGGTCAGCCTCGTCCATGCACAAGTAGCGGCACATGTCCAGCGTGAGGATCTTCTTGTCAAGCATGTCCATGAGCCGCCCAGGTGTCGCCACCACAATGTGCACACCGCGAGAGATCACGTCTAGGGCTTCGCTCACCGGTAGCCCACCCATGGCGAGGCAGGAGCGCACCTCGGGCATGCCGCAGGCCTGAAGGTGCTTGCTGTAGTGCTGGATAATCTCGTGCGTCTGCTTGGCCAGCTCCCGGGACGGACAGATGATCAGTCCGTAGGGGCCTTCGTTCCGCTCGAATGGCAGGCTGTACTCCTGCTCGAGGGCAAACATGACAACGGGCAGCACAAAAACCAACGTCTTGCCGGAGCCGGTAAAGGCGATGCCGATGAGATCGCGGCCCGCCAGCACAGTGGGCAGCCCTTGCACTTGAATCGGAGTCGGAGTCTTGATGCCCTTGGCCGCCAGGCCATTTAGAATGCCTTTGGGGAACTTCATTTCCCGGAAACTTCGAATAGGCGGGCTTGGATTTTCTCCCTCCACAAGGATCCTCAGTTGCTTGCGTACAGCCTGGCGCTCATCCTCCGACATGGCTCGAATATAGCGCGGCGGTCGCCAGGAAGTCTTGATGGGTTCATCGTACTGAATGCCCTTGGCTAACTCGGCCACGCCCATGAGCGCCTTCTGCTGGGCAATGCTTTCCATGATCTTTTCCTCCTCACGCAGCTGCTTTTCCACTGCGCTCAGCTTCTTTGCCTCGGCGATCTTCTTCAGTTCCGTGTGCTGGTCCAGCAAGCTAATGTTGTACTTGCGGCCCCATGTCTCCGCGTCGTGCGCTCCTTGCGAGTCGTCCTCGTTCTCGTTTTCGCTTGAAGACTTAGGCTGCGAGTTCTCCGAGGCCAGTTGCACGATCCGGCCCAACTTCATCAGGTGCTGCTTCTTACGTTCCTTTACCGGTACATACGGCACGTACTCTTCGTTGTCTTGCTCCCCATCATCGGAAGACTTTGAGGATCTTCGGTACCGCTTCACTTGTGACATATTTGTGAATCTGTATTTTTTACGTTTGTTTCGTCTAATTGTAAACAAATCCAACAGCCAATGTGCCCGTTTAAAATAAACAGCCTCGAAATATGCTAGGGCCACATTAAGGTAGATATGAAAACTATCGGGTTTCCACTATTTCAGAACGCAAAAATACTAAACTAATAATTAATAAAATGGTTTTTATCATTAGCATAAAAACGTAGACGTTTCAAAATTTTCAGGTTACACTGGATTTCACAGAACACCTGGTAATTATTTACAAGTGCGGTGCACGGTAAATACGGCTTAAAAAAATAAAGTAAAATATGGAAACAAAGTGTTTTTTTCTAAAACTTTGAAATCCGTTGGCCGAGAGTGAAAATTTTACACCGTTTTTTTGTTATTAACGATTAAAGATGCGATTTGTAGTACAAACCGTATTTGCATGTGATGTGCCGATTATTGCAGTCGTCTGGTGGCGGATTATTGCAATACATTATTGGTTCAGTAATTTTTATGTTTAAACTTAATTTGATCTTCTTCGATTTCTTCTTCCCGCAGCTGACAAAAGTTGAAAACAAACAAAAGGAACTTTTGATTTTTGACAATAAATATTTGAAAGCACCGGGGAAATAGTAAAATTTGCGTTTATTTTTGTTATAATTTGTAAAAACGTTTGCCATACATATTCAATGCGTAGTGTGACGATTTTATCAAATAATATCGATATGGCTCCCACAAAAGGTTTTGAGCTATCGATATTACCTATATTACCACCACCATTTTTGACTAGGAAAAGTAAGCATTTCTTTTAAGACCTACAGATTATTAGTAAGGAATCTAGACTTTTGCCGCCATGTCTATGTCAAAAACCACGAACACCTACAATCGGCAGAACTGGGAGGACGCCGAGTTTCCGATACTGTGCCAGACTTGCCTGGGCGACAATCCGTACGTGCGTATGATAAAGGAGCGATTCGGCAAAGAATGCAAGATCTGCACGCGCCCGTTCACCATATTTCGATGGTGTCCTGGTGCCCGGATGCGCTTCAAAAAGACTGAAATATGTCAAACATGTGCCCGTCTGAAAAACGTGTGCCAGACCTGCCTTTTGGACCTAGAGTACGGTCTACCCATCCAGGTGCGAGACGCCGCTCTGAAAGTGGCGGACAACATGCCACAAAGCGACGTCAACAAGGAGTACTACATTCAAAACATAGATGCTCAGCTGCAGGACGGTGATGGCACCGAGGCGGCCGGTGCTGTCGGCCGATCTCTCGCTGCCAACGAGATGCTGTCAAAGCTGGCACGCACGGCTCCTTACTACAAGCGAAACAGGCCTCACATCTGCTCCTTCTGGGTGAAAGGCGAGTGCAAGCGGGGCGAGGAGTGCCCGTACCGCCACGATAAACCCAATGAGCCGGATGACCCGCTGTGCGAGCAGAACATCAAGGACAGATACTACGGGCGCAACGACCCAGTGGCTGAGAAGATCATGAAACGTGCAGCCTCGCTGCCAACTCTGGAGCCACCGGAGGACCGCAACATTACCACTCTATACGTTGGAAATCTTCCGGAGGAGATCACAGAGCCAGAGCTGAGAGATCAGTTCTACCAGTTCGGAGAGATCCGGTCAATTGCACTTGTGCCACGCCAGCAATGCGCTTTTGTGCAATACACCAAAAGAAGCGCGGCCGAATTGGCCGCCGAGCGAACCTTTAACAAGCTGGTAATCCAAGGCCGGAAGGTGAGCATAAAATGGGCACACTCTCAGGCGAAACAGGGCACCGCCGCGAAGACAGACAGACGCTTTGACGTGACCGGCATTCCGCCTCCCAGCGCAAAGCCAAACGATTATTTCAATCTACGACAAGAGCAGATCAACGTCATGCCCGCCGGCATGAAGCTGCACCAGCTACCATCGAACCTGGTCCCGGCATCGGCCTACCAGATGTACGGCCAGCCGACCTATGCTGCGCCCTACGGCAACGCCACTTCCACTTCTGCATCTGCTTCGGGTGTGAGCCTAGACTCCATTTCGATTCCGCCGCCTCCTGGACAAGTTCCGTATCCTAGCCAGGACGCCAGCAGGATGGGCGCTGTAAAAAAATAAAACCAGAAAAAAAAAACTTAAAAAAGAACACATTTTTATAGCAATAAAAAAGTCAATAATATTTTTTTCAATTTGTGCACGACCCAAATTTTTGTCTAATTTTTTTGGGGCTGGCCAAGTTTTGTATCGTAGTCAGTATGCTAGCAGGATGAAAAATAGATAAGTTAAGATCTACCCTTGTCCCGTAAACAATTTTTTTACAGCATTAAATACACGAATCTACAATAAAGTAAAAATAGTTACGCGGTCCAATAAACTAGTGTTCCTATTTCATGGAGGAAGTGTTTGGTGTCATGACTGTTTAACAAGACTCACAAAATGGACATTTCTTCCAAAAAAATGTCATCCACATACAATGCAGTGAATGCGATTTTAAAGTACTACTCTAAATTTATTAAGTTCAAATACATATTTGTTTAAAGCTTTTAAATTATAGATTTAATTTCAAGGGCATATAAGCTTTGGTTTGCCGAAGCTAGGGATCTAAGGATTTCAGGTCCAAGTTCCTAAGTTCAGCCAGTAGTTTGTAAAACGTACAATTTCAACACTAGGTATGTATATACATATAATTCTGATCGCTACTTAGTAATTTATTTTAGTGTATTTTTCAGGAAGTAACGATGGGATGGAATACATGAAAAATACCTTTTAGGATTTTATAAATCTTTTACGAATAATCTAGTCGGTTTCAATGGAACCATTTTTTACTTATTTACATTTTGGGATTAGATATGTACTTCCGAGGTTTTCGACTATTGCAGGAGAAAATCTCAACTAGTTTTGTTTTTTTTTTTTTTTTTTATAGAAATCCAATGTAATTTATATGATTTATATTTCGGGTTCTAAAGCATGGGTTTTTGTAAGCTTGAGTCAGATAGAAATCTTACTTGTTAAGCCTTTAAAGTTCAAGTGGTACCTTACTCAACCTATTAAGTAAGTTTATACAAAACTTGACCCAGACACGGGCTACAACAAAAAATCATAATTTGACATCTGCGACTATTTGGGAACCCAATTGATATTTTAGCCAACAGCCAATAACGACATCTTTCAACGTTGGGACTTTGGGACGAGAGACCCGATTCTATTTAACCGATGCGGAGTGTAACTTTCAATGTTTTAAGACAAGGGCGTCGCCAGCCGATGGCGCAGGGGAAAGTTGACTTTACCTACCACAATTCATATATTTCTCGTTCAATAGAAAAGTAGGGTTATATTGTTTACATTTTACCAAGGATCCCTAATTTGTGCAGCTGCCCCTCTCGGGCCCCCCTGGCGACGCCCTTGTTTTAAGAAGCTACAGGCAAGTGGTATTCCCAAACAAGTGATTAGTGTCTTCTTGCCATTCGCAATGAGACGCGTGCATCTTGGCGACAATTTAAATACTCGTTGGGCAGATTGCTTTTATTGCGTTCTGTGAAGTCTGCTGGCAAACACGTTTTAAACACGCCGATTAGCCGAGTTCCGTCATGGCAGCTGTTTTTCTTGGAACTATCGTGCACTCCAAGTCCTTTAGCGAGTTCGAATCCTTCGAGCGAGGATTCCTTGCGGTGTCCGCCAGTGGAAAGGTGTTCAGATGGACTCTCCCGAAAACCTATTATCCTAATAGAATTTTCGTTCGCAGATAATTGGAATTGGTCACGACTACCAGGCGTGGGAGTCCAGTAACCCAGTCCTGGCCAAGGACTTGGAGGTTGTTCGCCTATCGGACTACCAGTTCCTCATGCCGGGTTTCGTAGACTGTCACATTCACGCCCCCCAGTTTGCACAGGTAGGCCTCGGATTGGACATGCCCCTTTTGGACTGGCTGAACACGTACACTTTTCCGCTTGAGGCTAAGTTTTCCGACCAGCAGTTTGCACAACAGGTCTACAAGAGTGTTGTCGTAAGTATCAGGCGTATCAAACAGATTTCTTATCAAGTGGGTCGGCCGACCCACACACAGATCGCCGTTATGCGCTGATAATGATAATGTGACACCCCAGGAAGCGACGCTGCGTTGCGGAACCACGCTGGCGTCCTATTTCGCCACCAACCATTTGGAATCGACTCTCATCTTGGCGAGGGAGGCTGTGCGCCAAGGCCAGCGGGCTCTCGTGGGCAAGGTCTGCTCCAACTGCAACAGTCCGGACTTTTACGTGTAAGTACTGAGCGTGACGGACTTGTGGAAAGGTGTCTTGGAAATAATGCGTTTCTACACAGGGAGACTGCAGAGGAGGCGGTCAGCGGCACTCTGGCTTTCGTGGAGGAGATGAAAAAGCTCGGCAGCCCTCTCGTGCTGCCCACGATCACGCCTCGTTTTGCTCTCAGTTGCAGCAAGGAGCTGTTAAAGGATCTGGGCGACATTGCGAGGCGTTTCGACTTGCACATCCAGAGCCACATAAGCGAAAACTTGGCCGAGATTGAAGTCGTAAAGGGGATCTTCAAAACTAGCTACGCCGGTGCATACGACGATGCTGGCCTGCTCACCAATAAGGTACCGCTTTGAAGCTCCGGTTAATAGCCCTGTGTTTTTATCGAGCTTGTCTTGCAGACGGTAATGGCGCACGGGGTGCATCTGGAGGACGAAGAGGTTGCTCTCTTAAAGGCGCGCTGTTCATCGGTGGCCCACTGCCCCGCGTCCAACACAATGCTCAGTTCGGGCCTGTGCGACGTTCAGCGGCTAGTAAACGCAGGCGTGACCGTGGGCCTCGGTACAGATGTTTCGGGTGGAAACTCAGTATCCATTCAGGACGCCCTTTTGCGAGCCTTGGACGTGTCCAAGCACCTGGACTTCTTCAAAAAGCAGAACATCCGCGGAATGGGTGAGGCCAAGACACAAGACCCCAACTACGTCCAGCTGAAGTACAAGCAAGCCTTCTACCTGGCTACACTGGGCGGCGCCAAGGCGCTTTCCCTGGACCACCTGACCGGAAACTTTGCATTGGGCAAGGACTTTGATGCCCTTTTGGTGGATGTAAGCGTCTTAGAAAGCCCTGTGCGGAGGCTTCATGTTAACGAGCTGGTGGAAAAGTTTATTTACACCGGCAGTGACCGAAATATTGTAGAAGTATTTGTTGCCGGCAATCGCGTTAAAAAAGGGTGTCAAACAACATAAGGCAATTATTCTTTTAACAGTGACGTTTCACAAGGAAACGTGCATATAGAGAATTTATTTTTATAGCGACAAACATTAAATGCTGAAACTAAATATCGAGCTAAGATATCCTCCAACATACTCTCCTCTTATGTACACTTGGACTCCTAAAAAGTAAAACTAAGTTTACATTTCATACTCGGAACAGTTCTGTACATAAGCTTTACTCCTAGTTTCCATCAATATTAGTTTAATCACATATTGGCTATAAAGGGGTCAGGACATATCGTATTTTATCTAATTGCAGCAAATAAAGTGTATATTTCTATATACGAAACATCGATTTGTATGGGATGATGGATAAGGCGTGCAATCTTCGCGTAATTTAAGTGGAAGATCGCCAAGGTAAGAGGGCCTCCGTTTCTTAATTTTCAGATATTTGTTCTGTTCGCACTGCTGTTGGATGCAATAGGAATGTAGGATTTGGCTTTGCTGTTATACAAATTAAGTAAAATGTCCTCGGATGTTTAGAATTTCAAGGGGTTCTTTTAGGCGATTTAAACTGCCATCGCCAATACTCTCGCTTTACAGTTTAAAGCTTGCACTCTTAAATAGATTTACACTAGATTCAGCTAAGTGAACGTAAATTAGGACTATCTGCGATGAATATATAGCTATAGGATGCGTTTTACGCATTGAACATATTCTGCTGCGTGGCATCGTTTTCGAAATCGGTCCATGCATTGTTCAGTTCCATAAAAATGAGTTTAGCAATCTCCTCGTTTTCGGTCCCATTGTGCTAAAAATATGGTGCATTAATGGAGAACCGGTTTTTATATTAAGAGTCGGCACCAACCTTGTCAGGATGCACCGCTAGACAGGCGCGACGGTAGGCCTTCTTGACCTCAGCCGGAGTCACCATGGTGGACATCTCGCAGCGCTGCCACTTGGCGTGTTCCCACAGCACGGTATGCATGGAGCAAAGAAGCGCGCGGATGTTGTTTTTCTTACCGTCGGTCTGAAAAGTTGCGATTAAGACGGTGCGGGTTTTAATGTCAATGTCCAGCTAGCTTACCCATTCCATAATGCGCACTTTTTTGGGGTCCATGTCTCTAACTAAATCTTCTTTGCGCATTTCATTAATGGACCGCGGACCCTGGCTCATTTTGCTGCCAAAGGAATAGCCTTGTTGACCTAGTATGTCTGCAAATATGTCCGAGCTCTTGGTTCCGCCGACACCTGCTTGTGTCGTCGGCTTTGGTGAATCAAAGTGGACTCGACTGTAGTCTGGTCGCGACTGGGCAGGAACCGCCTGTGGCTGCGGAGGCGCCCTGGCAGATGTAGTCATCGGCTGCGACTGCTGTTGCGGCGGTGTCTGCTTGAACGACACTTGAGGCTGCGAGGAAGAGGGCCTGTGGGTGGGGCTTGAAAACTGAGTAGGCTGGGGACTGGACCCAACAGGGGACTTTCCACTCAGCGTGCTGCGATTGAAGTTTATGTTGAGTCCTGAAGCCAGGTTTGCAATGTCCGCGAAGGGATCTGCAGCTGGCTTGGCCGGCTGGGTTGGGGATGGTTCGTTTTTGGTGACCGTTGGCCTATTTGCAAATGTTGGCAAGGAGCCAACGAAGGGTGGTAGGTCTGATCCGGTCGAAGGCTTTAGGCTGGGTGCGTTGGCTTGGTCCACAGAACCAAAAATGTCGAACAGGTCTGTGTTGATCTTGGGCTGCGGCTGCTGCAGAGGTGGTGGCGGCGGAAGTATGTCGGGAATCGGCGCCGAGCCTATGCCCGTGGAGTCATCGTCTCCGAATGCGCCCAACAAGTCGAAGCTGGCATCTGTGCTGGGCTTGGCGCTGGCCAGAGGATCCGCTGCTGGTGCGTCACTGGGCTGTTGGTTCAGATTGAGCAAGTCTATGGGCGGGGAAGGCTCTGGAATGGCCGTTGGTGGCTCATGAGCTGTCTCCGTTACATCGGGCAAAACAAGAGGCGAGCTGGTGCGATCACTCTTCCGAGCAGCGGGCGGTGGCGATGAGCGCACGTTGGGCTTGGTCACTGCAATAGGACAATTAGTTCAGTACAGTGATACTAAATAATACCAAATATTTACCAAAATTGTCCAGCATTTCGGCGTACTCCAGGTCGGAGCTGAACAAAACTGCTGGTGATCGCGGAGGCTTGGCTGGCACCCATGGAGGCTTGTGGCTGGGTGGCGTTTCCGACTCAGTCACAGCCAGCGAAAGCGACACGCAGAAGCTCGGGGTCACTTGCTCAGGATCTGGCAGGTCGTCAAGGTCTTGGCTAGTAAACGTAATCAGCGTTTCTGGTTCGGGGATAAACCCCGTGTTTATTTGGAATTGGCATATCTTAAGGCCTTGTGGACGCACCATTCCCTTTCGGGCGTGGTACAGCACCACCGTCACATCGCCACAGACAGTTAGGTTGATTGGCAGCACTATCTTGCCAGGCCCGGCCAGGTGCAAGCTGCAAATGGTGGTCAACCAAGAAAGTGATTAAGATTTATATTCCGTTTTGCATTCAACCCAATCCTACCGCATCTTTTCGTAGTCCTGTAGTGTGCTTAGCAACAATGTCTCGTTGCAGTAGACTTCCATGTAGATCCGGCAGCCGTCACGCGCCTTGGTCATCTTAGGAACGGGCTGGCAGCTGAGCGACACAAGGTTGGTGTTCTTGTAGTGCGGCAGCAGAGGCGTTGGCCGTAGGATGTCGCCGAAGTAATACAGGTAGCGGAACTCGGAGGGACGCAAGTTGATGGTGTGCCTCTTGACGGCGAACACCTGCACCGCGTCCTCAGGCTCGTGGAGCAGATCGGCATACATGAGCAGCGCGCAGATGACGGTGGCAGCAGTGCATCCGCCCGAGTCTCCGGTCTGCACGATCACAATTGACTTCGGGTCGGCGTTGAGGAAGTTGTACATGTCAGCCGATACGGTAAACAGGCCCTAAAATAACAAGATGTTTAAATTAATTTTATAAATAAGGTTTTTAAATTATAAAATTGAGATTTGACCTATGTACGATTAACTGTTTTAAACAACGGCTGAAATAAGGATAAAAATTTTAAATCCGTCCTTTTATGTCGATGGTTTTTGGATGTTCCCACAAATTATACCGCGAATACCGAGACTGGCCTTTTTTTTATCAAATAAAAAGTGTCTTTGTTTCACAAAGCCTCATGCCAATTCTGTGAACTTGGTTTAGTATGGTGGGCCAATGTTATTTAAGATATTAAAAATAAAATAATTACCTTTGCGGTAATTAATAATATGGGTATAGAAACTGATCATACCGTTTTTTTGTATTATTTGGTAATGATGAATTGCTTACTTACATACAATCGAATGTTCTTTTATTTCTCACACATCTTCACAACTAACCTGCAGATTGGGAGCATGAGCCTGTGGGCAGCCATAGACGGAACCTGCCTCAACGGTGCGCACGGGTGGCGGTAGGCGGGGCACTGTGCGCTGGCCAAAGTTGTAAATGCTTATCTTTTGTGGGGCAAAACGACTTTCGAGCGATAGCCGCACGTCTTCTATGTTGTTCGTCCTGTACGCTGACTCGAAGCCATCGGACGGACAGGGCATAACCAGGATCCGTGAAGTGATGTGACTGATGTCGAGGTCGTTGCGGGCGATTGATTGCTGCATTGTCTGCATCACCTTGGTGGATGTATCCTTAATGTTCTTAAGTAGCGTTCCAGCTCCGCCTCGCAGCGACGACAGCAGACTTCCGTGTCCATTATTGGCGGTTGGAGCGGTGGCGGCGGGTGTCGCTGTTTGGGACGCAGTATGCGTCGAGTCTGTGTGAAACTCCGATTGAAGGGAACTCTTTCGGGAGGGGCTCTCGGCTGGCAAAGATTCGATGGGAATTCCATGCAGATCCAGAGGTCCTTTCAGCGACCAGTTGTGGGTCTCAGCTATGGCTGCAAGGCGTTCGAGCACCATGGAAATTTCCAGCCGCTCGGCAGGGTTCACTTTAAAGCAGCCCCTGATTATGTCGCGGAAGCACTGGTACTGTGGATCCGGAGGAAGTATATAGTTGGCGTTAATGATTCGCAGCTTGCCGCCATCCTCGTAGGGATGTCTGCGGTAGCACAGGAAATAGAGGATGCAGCCCAGTGCCCAGATGTCTGCTCTCGGCCCAATCGGATTGTTGGACCAAGTGTCAAGCATCTCGGGCGCCCTGTACATAGGTGTGGTCACGGTGTTCAACTGGTCTTCCAGCATGTTGCGCTGGTTGGCGCTCCACTCAAACGTGGGAGAGAGCACTTCCTTTGTGGCGGAGCCAAAGTCGCACAGTTTGATCTGCTTGTCGTTACCAATAAGGAAGTTCTCGATCTGCAACCAATTCAATAATGGTTACGGCGCTAGGTATTAATGTGGGGCAGTCTAACCTTTATGTCTCGATGGGAAATTGGCGGTGACTGCGAGTGCAAGCAGGACACGGCGCGTGCCATCTGGTAAAAAATGCGTAAAACCAAGGGCGGATCGGTGGCGGCGCTGTTAGCTCTAAAGCAGTCGACCAGGGAGCCGCCTGAAAAGCATACGATTAAGAGTTCAGGCGTTCTTGCAAACGGGGTGCTTCGTTGTTGGGTGCCCTGGACCGCACTTACCTTTGCACAGCTCCGTGAGGAGCAGGTACTGGGCCCCCTGTTGCGCAGCGGGAGCCGTGTAACTGGAGCCCACGAAGGCGACAATGTTTCCGTGGCCGGAAAGCTGCTTGTGGATTTCGATTTCGTTGACGATGGCCGAGCAGGCCTGCTGATCAGCCCCAATAAGGCGCTTGAGGGCGTACTCGGCGCCACTTTGAACATCTTGTGCGACGTACACAAAAGCGTATCCGCCTGAAAAAGGGGTGGAAGCGGAAGAGGCTATAGATATCAAAGAGCTGATAAGAGGCTGCTGACATGCTAATTGCAGTTGGCGTGCCAAAGGGGGCAGTTGCCAGCTGGTTGGCCGCTATCTATGTATGAGTTTCCTGCAGGGCTCTGCCCCTGTCCTCCGCCAAAGTTCGGCACATTCCTCGCCCGGCTTCGTTGCCTTTCTTATATAAGAACTGGTTTGTCAAATTCCGACCACTTTGGTCTGACTCGGGTGAGTCACAAGTCTTGGAACGCGTATGGCTAATGGGTAATGGGTAAGAGACTCAGTGGCAACGCACTGTGGCCAATATGCGGATGCGTTCCATGCACAGGGGAACAACTCGACTCGAAATCAGAAAGCGTAAACAAAGCACTGACAGTGTTTTTTTTTTAAGAGCCGTTGCTGTAGCTGGTGGCTCCACTTCCTATCGATTTTTCCCCGCTTCGCCCACGCCCCTCACCTTCGGCGATGACGCACTTGATGCGCAGCCTGTGGCCAGCCACCTCGACGACCTGTCCCACGTAGTCGTTGTCCAGTCTTCCCCGAGGGCACCTGCTGCTCCGCCTCCTCCTGCAGCCCCGTTGGCAGACGGACTGCCCTCGCTTGAGGAGAAGTAGTTGAAGTTGAGCGACTTGAAGAAATCGCCCATTGTGCTGGTGGCCAACGCTAGTGCGTTTTCTTGACGCGAGCTGTCTGACTTAAGTTATATGGCGTCCGCAGACGGAACTAAAACATTTTGGCTGCACTGTGGCCACAAAAAACAGAAAGAACAATGTACAGGGCTGGGACGGTGCCAGTTCCACAGTAGGTGTGAGTGGACTCAGTGAACTCCGATAGCTCTTTGGCGCAGCCCTGGCCTGCTATCGATAACTCTGCAATTTACTCTTATCGTTGTGAGGAGATACGTCTCTAGAAACTGGAATAGCCGCGAAAATTTAAAAATGGTTTTACTAGAAGAATTTAGAAGACAAATTAAGTAAAAATACTGGAAACGTAAATTTGAATTGCCTCAAGGTGCACAATATGGGAGTTAGCCAGAATTTCATTTTCAAACTTCTATTATATTTCGGATTGAATTTTATCAAATCGGATAACTTTATCATATAGCATTGTTTTTCATAAGACAAGCATGATTTTTGGAATATTGAGTTTTCTAACTACTATTCAATTTCGGAATAAATTTTATCAAATCGGATAACTCTATCATATACATACATAGCAGCCATAGGAAAAATCGAAAAAAAATTATAAATTATAAAAAAGAAATTATATCGTCGTTGTTTTTAATCCTTGAATTGAGAAAAAATTTCATTAAAATCCGACAACGATATCATATGGCTGCCATAGGAAAGATCGAAAAATCTATATAGAATTAATGTAAATAAATTGATAACATCGTTGTTTTTTATCCCATGAGCATGATTTTTTGAAAATCAAGTTTTTTAACAACTCTTATATTGAGAAAAAAGTTTCATAAAAATCGGACCTCTATATCTCATACCTGCCATAGGAAAGATCGAAAAATCTATATAGAAATAGCGGAAATAAAATTATAACATCGTGGTTTTCTTGTTTTTAATCACACAAACATGATTCTTGTATATCGGGCTTTTGGATTACTACTACATTAAAAAAAAAATATTTGATAAAAATCTGACTATATACATCGACTTTATAGATCGACAAAGTCCTTGTAAAATAATAAAACAAAATTACAACGTCGTTGGCTCGATTTATTAGGTATACAGTTTTCTAACGACTCTTGAATTAAAAATTAAATTTTATCACAATCTGACAATTATTCTGATGATTCTAATCATGAATATATCGGCTCACAACTGCCCTCCTACCTGTAATATACTGTTCAAATAATTCAGTATTATGCTTTCACTGCACGAGCAACGAATATTACAAAGAAAGCTTTTAGATTGCATTTAAAACTAAAAATTGTAAAATATATTTTGCAGTTGTTTATCAGATGCTTATATTAGCTGGCATTATATGTCTGATAAATCTAGTCGTTTTATGTTCTTATACTCATTATAAGAACTTGTAAGTTTTTACTTCATCTTAAGTGCTTTGTCTTCAAACCCAAAATATCTGGATTAAACTGTTTCACTTGGATTAAAAGTCGCACTTACTCATCTTTCGTTTTTGTTTTTACTTAATTTAATGGCAAATTTCATACTTTTTGATCTTAGTGTAGATACGACAACAAACTAAGATCATTCGAAGGCTGCTCGAGCGTACATGAACAATTCAGTAACTATTTTTCTGAAAAGTCTTTGCCCTTTGAGTCGACCGTGTAAGCTCCCGCATTTTCAGTTGCACATCAAATATTGAATAATTTGTCAACCACATGTGTCTTTGAGCCAATTCAAGGCCCGCTCGTGAAGTTCGAGCTCGGATCGCGCTTCAATGAAGAGCTGTTGGATTCCGGTGCAGATTGGTGAGTCGTTGGAATGGGAAACGCGGAACATGGCTTGGAAACCTTCCCCGGGGTTGGGACCCCTCCCCGGCACAGCGTGAAAATTAGGCTTCTTTGTTCGGGTGAATGGGAGCTGCGTTACGTTACACTTGGTCCGATGACGACTACGTAAAGCTGCAAATGGCCGATATAGCCATAGGTTTGCGCAAATCGAGCGACGCCGGTAGGTTGACACACTTCAAAGTGTCAAGTGCGCAATTTGCCACTCCACGTAACGCCTGCAAGTCGTTCAAATGCAAATAGCCCCGCTGATAAGGCAGCGGACCCATCGGCCCGAAAGCGGCTCCGAGTGCAGGCTCCGTCGCTCCGGACCAGCAGCTGTATCGACCACATCGATCTGGCGACCTAGCATTGACACACTTTCTGGCAATTGCACCTGCCGTCGGCCACCTAATGTAAGACAATAAACATTTTCCGAGCCATTTGGCGGGTCGGTGGGCCAGTAGGCCGGCCAGGGCTTTCCCAACTCCACAGTGGGCAAACAGCACAGGCACTCTGTTTGGACACCTGCGCTCGAGAACACGCTCCCGGGAAACCCTGACTTGTCAAGCCCGCCGACTGCGACTGAAGCAACCATGCCCTGGCCCCTGCTGAGTGACTTATCCGGACTGCTCCTCCTGCTCCTGTTCGCCTTCCTCGGCCCGCCGTCCTCGGAGGCCCAGTTTCGTCCCATGGCCCCCTTCCCGTTCCCCGTTGCCGATCCCGATCCCGATCTGCGACTGGTGCTCTTCAACCCCTTCACTGGCCAGCGGCTGGAGCCGCTGCGCCACCCGGCCCTCCTGCGGGCCGGCGGAGAGCCGACGGTGAACGGAAACCTCGTGGAGCTGCCGCAGCTGTGGCAGCCCTGCTCCTGCGGCGAGTTCTCCTGCCGCTGCTGCGTGGGCGTGGCTCTGGGGCTGGGCGGCTCCCTCAGTCAGCGGCTCTGCGCCGCCCTCGAGTACAGCCAGGCGGACCTCGGGCTGCGGCTCAGCGTCGAGCTTAACCAGCGGACGGTGGCCGCCTTCGGGCTCTCCGCCCGCAACCCACCCGACTACTGCGTGCCGCTCCTGCTGCCCCTGCCGCTCTTCAGCTGCTTGCGGCTCCACGACATCCGGCCGCTCGGCGAGGGCACCATGCAGGTCTGCCTGTCGGTGGTCTTCAAGGTTCTGTCCAGCCAGTTCTTCGAGTACCGGTTCAACTGCCTTCGGCTCGGCGCCAACGGGGTCTTCTTCGATCGCGACGCTCAGCAGGATCGGGAGCAGGATCCGGAAGCGGTGCAGCTGGGATCCGAAACTATGGCGGTGCAGGAATCGCCTGGGCAGCGCGGCAACGCGCCCAACAACAAGCTGGCCGGTGGGAGCCGCTTCCCCTTCCACGCCCTATAACGTTTAGCCGCTCCCTCTCGCAATAATTCATCGTGGTCCACGCATGCCCCAATCTGTTACATGTTAAGTGAAAAAGTGAAATTTTTGTTAATTAAAAAGCCCTTCATTCAAAACCCCCGCGCCTCGGTGCTGCCGACGCCATGAAAATGCGAAAATTGGCAGTAAAACGCGAACCCACTGGGGTTTGTCTGAGCAATGAGCCATGGGCGATGAGCGACTGCCTCAGATCTCATCGCACATACGTACCTACCAGCGGATGTAATCGTTCTGCGGACCACTTTCGTTAACGATCGCGCCATGGAAACTACTTTTGGGGCAGGCAGTTCAATGGGGAGTGGCAGGCGCCGACCCTTCGACCTGTGCAGACGCAAATGCCTTTTGGTTTTTGGCAAAATTGGGGGAACATTTTACGGTGAAGATGTGTTTGCGCTTGAATCCTGGTTGTTAGAAGTGGAACAGCAACACAAGAAATCAAAGTATACATATTCTCTAAGCACAAATCAATAAGTATCACAAGCCTCACTTATAAATTTCGTACCATTTGTTGATATTCTCGATTTTGCTGCTGTATTCAAATTATGCATACCCTGCAGTTCCAAAATTGCTTTGTCGTCGATGAAATGTGCGAAGCCGCACCGACGACAGCGGGGGTAGGAACCGTTGCCGCAACGATGACATTTCATAGAGACATTTTATATGGCATTGCCGTTTTCGGTATACATGTGTTCTAAGAGTGAGCAAGAGAGGGAAACTTAGGAATATCCCTTTTCCTTTCCTACACACATGATTGGTAATTGCCACAATTCACTTGTGAACAGCCAGAACTGCAGGGAATATTTTAAGTTTATTTAAGTTAGTAGAAGTCGTCCAGCATTACACAGAAGAGGTAAATTCTACTTACTATTGCTATAGGTTTAATTTCTAGTTTTGGGTTTTCGACAATTCGATGTTTCTTGAATCATATCATAATATATACATAGTTTGATTACGTTTGCCTTCAAAATTAAAATGTTTCTTGAAAAAGCAAAGCTTTGATTATTAATGGATTACGTTTGCGCATTTTCCTAAATAAAAGTCACAAAAATATTTTTTTTTGCACTCGAATTTACTTCTGACGAATATCTTGTATTTGTTTTGTGTTTATGCTACGATGAAACAAACACAAGACGCTTTAAAAAATTATTTTAAGTGCACATACATATATTTGTTTTTGGATTTATAAAAGAACAAAATGATTTAAATATGTATTTAAATGTTTTCTTAAAAGATTAAAATTAAAATCATTTAAAAAGTAATTCAGTTCCACTTCTGACAAACATTTGTCCTATGATTGGTCTAAAAGTAACAAAAACAACAAAGCTCTGTTAATTTTCCTTTTTATTTCTTTAAAAGTTTTCTGTGGCAGCTACTGTTAAAAAATAGCAATTTTATGCTCTTTTTTTTTTGGTTACAAAACAACGATACATTTATTAATTTTGATATTACACTTCAAACATAATTCTGTAAAAGGTGACGTTTTAGTTAAAAACTGGGTTTAAAACGAAAAATAACAATATATAAATAATAAATTTAAATATTGTGATGTTTTCAACTCAACACTGTGCCATTTTGACTCCCGAAAAGCATTTGGCAAGTCAGAACTGGCTGCGCCCATGGAATTCCGCGTATCAACAAACGACAGTGAAGATGTCTAGTTGGAGTGACAAGACGTTTAGGTTAAACCCCTTGGAGATCGCCAAAAATACAAAAGCAAGATTAAGACAAAGCGTGTACATACAAAAGATGGGAGCTCCGCAGCTGCACGTCGTTGCACCATGGGACATCTGGCTGTTTGGCTGGACAAAATTGGCAGGCCGTTCAACTGTTGGGAAATCGCCAGTTAAGCAACCAAAATCAGTAAGAAATGGAAAATTGTATTGGAAAATTGGTTGATAAAGCTCATGTAAATCAAACTAGTGTAAATCAATTCCAACTGAGAGCGGCGGGACAAACTGGCAACTGTCAGTAAAAGGTGGGAAGCTATTCTTTGTCAAACACCCTCCCCTTGGCCGCAAAACACGGGTCCGAAAAGCAACGGAGAAGGCGGTTTCGCTTTTAAGTTGCCAACCGATCCCATGGTGAATCGATAGCTACAAGATGTTGGTGTAACCAACTGATGCCGCCAGCTCGCTGGCAGCGACGCAATTGCGCAATTGCCTGCTCATTTCGGCTGACTCTTTTTTGGCGTGCTTCAGCTTTGTTTACCGCCTCGGTCGCAGTCTCAGTCTCAGTTAATGCGGCTGTTTTCGAGAGCAATTTCGGCTGGGGCTGGCTTGGGGATGGCTTTGGCCCCGCTCGACTCTGGTGTCTCTGGGCCCGATTGGGCGGGATCGGCCGGCTCCGTTCGCCGTGAATCTGGCTTCGCTAGCTATCGACTGAGACGAGTGCTGTGCTGGTTAAGTATTGCTGGCTGCGTTCGTTAATGCTGGCATCGTTGGCATCGTTGAATTTACCTTCGCTGCTCCGCTGCTCGGCAGCTTGGCTGCTCCGCTGCGGCGTCGGCCTCTAAACATATGTATACATAATAATTTTTACTTTTTTTCTGCTGTTTTCCAGCTCGCTGCTTTTTTACTTGCAAGCAAGAGTTTTTCATCCGCCGTCAGTCGTATTTCGGTTCGCGCTGCGATCTGTCGCACATTCAAGTCGCCACCGCTTGCGGAAAAACCCAAGGCCGTACCCATACCCGATCATCGAAAACTTTGTCCTGTGCAGCTGAAGAAGCGGAGTGTCAGCGGCAGCCCCTGTTGGTCACATCGGACTTCCCAGAAGAGAAAAGTAAGTTGTGTACCACGCTGCGTATGCGTACTGTCCCCCGAGGAAAGTGCCGTCAATCGTTGCGATGCAAGGCTGTCGATCAAAACGCAGGGAAAATATTGAATATGAAATATTTCCGGGAAGCCCAAAGAGCCGGGGGTTTTGCGGGACTGTTGGCAGACTTTTCTGGTCGGTTTGGACCAGCTTCCGTCGCGACAGCCCGACCTACCCCAAATGCTACCAGCGAGCTCGAGAGTCTCGGCACTTGAGTTGCGCACTCATCCAGACGATGACAGCATTTCACACTTCAGCTCGTGCGTGGGCCCCGGAAGACTTCGGGGGGAAGGCGGTGGGCCCACCACCTTTGACTCGGAGCTGAAAGTAAGAAGAGTTTCACTTTCAATTGCGACACCGGGTCGCTGGAGAGCGGGATGGAGGGCGACGGCCGGGCTGGGTGACTAACACGTGTAATTAAAAGATGCTGAATAAGTCAGAAAACATAATTTGAGCGCTGGGCTGGGCTGGGCACCTGAGCGAGTGTGCCATCTGCGAAGTTTACGATCCCTGGGATTCCATTCGTTGTCGTTTCATTGCCCAGAGTCTGCGCAGAAAGTACGAATGTGGATAAGTGAACGACGGACGAAAATCATGTTAAGTTTCTCACTTTTGGGTGGGAAATGTTAATCATAAAAAGTAAAAGTGAATATTACGAGTCGCGGCAGCGCCAGCTTCGTTAACCGCACTCGCCTCTGCATTTGCATTTCGCGACAGCGCTGCACCATCTGGTAGCCACAGAAGCGGTCGCGGTCGCAGTCGTCGATAACAATAAGCAGAGCTGGCGACCGTTCAATTGCCGGCTTTGGCAGACTCCACAGAAAGAAATTGGGGATTGAAGAAAAATTGAAAATTGAAAATTCCGATTCTAGGTAACATTAAACGTGTGTTTAGTCAGGGGGCATTTCTGAAACCCAAATCTGTCAATCTTAAATTGCGTTCGATTAAGGTAAACATAGTTGTTAGTCGCACCATTCATATGCAGTCCACTCATTTCTCTTTTTTTTACCTGTTTGGGTTTGGTTCAAGATCATTTTGATACTGTATTTCGATAGTTACAATTTTTAACGGACTTAAAATCGGTTAATCGATTGTTTTGGTATTTTTTCCGTGTACCAATGCCACCGACCCCTTCAATTCGAGCCCACTTGGCTGGGGCGGCGACAGTCGTAGGCGTGGTCGCTGCTTTTGATGTCTGATCGCTTCACAATGCATGAGCCGTTGCGGATCAAGCTCGGCTTGATTGACACCTGACATGGGCCCAAAGAAGCTATTAGAGCGCCAGTCGGGGCTTTCCCCTTCCCCCTCCCCCGGCGTTTCGGGGAGAGAGTTGCGTTCGCCGGCCAAATATTCTGTGCTCCCTAGGAGCGGGGAGGACGGAGTGGGCCAGGCACATCGGGCAGAAATCCATCATTAGATGTGCGCCGCCTGTCGCGCCCTGATTTGCATGCAAACGACGCAGAAATGCGAACCGGAGGATTCCCAGAGCGTCGGGGCTCGGTGCACGTGCACGGCCAGCTTGCCGGCTCTGATTTCCGACGATTCACAGCGAATTATAATTGCAGGCTGCATTTCAACACTCGAGCCCGAACCGCTCGGCCGCTGTTATGCGCCGCTTATGACCATAACAAGGGTTATGGCCGAGATAAATGTCTGGCGCGCTTCCGCCGCTCACTCATCGCCCCAAATCTCGGCTCGCGTCTGTGATGTAATCCCCAACGGCCGAGAGTGACCGAAAAACACGCAACGCCGCTGACCAAGACTCCAATTCCGTCGAGACGTTGGAGCGTGCAGTTGGCGGCGAGCGAGGAAGAACCCAAACTAAAGTCTTTAACCCGCCAGCGTTAGGCCAGATTTAAGAAACTGCTGCAGTGCAGTTCTCTCAAACTAAGTCCACTAAAATATGGAGCATCGTGGTTTGTGAGCATAATCACCTGCAAAATTAGATTTGTAACTTTTTTTACTTAAAAAACACGGGAAACCATAGAAAAAATCATAGATACTGGGTAGAAAATAGCTTTTGTTATTGATAATCATATATACTTTATAGTTTTTTTTTTTTTCAAATTATGAAATAATTCATTCAAATTGAATGAACTGGAGAAGCCTTGGAAAAATGGCCGAAATGATTTCGTCCTTTAAATATTATAACTTTTTACATTTATTATCACCAAGGGTTTTAAATTATTTAACCCTCTACTGCATGAGCATAGAAATAATAAGGGAAAAAATTTTTTGAATGTAATTATGTGTTTATTAAGGCCAAAATAATATATTTTTGGACTTTTTTTGTGGGGGGTGGCATAGTTTGGGGTGGGGGGATATGGGGCCATATATGGCTTTGTATGCATTCAGCTTATTCCATAGTTTGCCATATATGGCTCTGTATGCATGTATACATTAATTCATGTGAAAGTTGGTGAAACAGTTTCTTTTGTCGTTGTAGCATAGAAATACATTGCATTTCTCACAAAAGGTGTATGAGCGGAAAGAGCAATCATTTTTGCAGAGTTGCCTTTGCTTTTTCCAGGTGGGAAAATGGCCAATATGGTCCTCCCGAACAGAATTCAATGGAATTTCCTGGTGCTTTCGTCTTTTGCTGATAGTAGGAGTACCTTCCCTACTTGTACACGGGGATGAAGTTGGAGTCATCGCAGGTCGTCCGCGCTTCTTTACTTTTCCTGCCTTGCACAGGTGCTCAGCTATAAAAAGCTTGAAATCGAAGAGTGGCATATATTGATCTGACTTACGACGCCATAGAATCCATGAATTCACTACGCACATATTCTTGAGCGCAATTGAATTCTATAAAGAATCCAGTAAGTCAACGCCACCCATATACTTATTGTAAACATCAACTGCCTTAGGAGAGTTGATTTCTACATTGTGCATTCATTTCTAAAAGAAAACAAGTGAAATTGTTAAGCTAATATGCTAAGAATGCATATGTACATAGAATATAAACATGCACGCGTTACTGCATATGGAGCCATATATGGCAAACTATGGAATAAGCTGAATGCATACAAAGCCATATATGGCGTCCACAGTTTTTTGCATAGAATAGTATATGTGATGCTCACCTATAGTCAAATTCTATTTTTTATGAACGAAAACTTTATATTCTCTTAGAAAAAAAATACTTTTCAGTGATAAAACTGATTTTTAGTGTAGTAATTTTTATTTTAGTTTCACCGTAATTCACTTTCGTTCGTCTGCTTGAGGCGCGAGCACAAAACTGATCGAAACTTGATATAAGGCATCACAAAGAAGTTCTGAGTATAGACATCTTACATAAAATAGTTGAGAGAGATTTAGTAATAACAAACGAACTAGTATATGTACCGTTTTATTGCAAAAAAAATTATTGAAAGTGAGAAGCCATATATGGCTTTGTATGCGGTAGAGGGTTAAGTGATTATGATAACGAAGCCCACATAAAGTGTCTTTTTTTGACCAGTTCAAGTTGAAAGTATAGCTCTGACGGGTTTCAGTCAATCGTTAGTGTTTATGTGTGCGCTAAAGATTGAAGTTCATTTTGTTCAGGCTTGAAGAGTCGACTGAGTATTATCAATGGGCTGATCAAAAATGTTATATTTATATATGTATATATTACTGCGTTGGAAAAATTATAACTTAACTTAGCATAACTTGTATTTGAAACTTTGGCTCTAAATAATTTTCTAAAAAAATTCTGGTACAATAGGCTAGTTCTTTTACAAAAATCTTTACTTATTATCTTTACGTATGGCAATATATATATTAGGTTGTGTTACCAATACTAATGGAAACTTATTTATAACTTCCGATTAGGATTGAAAGTACAATAGCAAAAGTTAGTAAATATGTTTCCATATTACCTGGGTAAGAGGTGTTTTTTCTTAATTGTATTCTGGCACAATGTAATCTTTATGCACTTAAACAAAACAGCATCAAAAAACACTTTTGACACTTTCGAATGGGGTCATCAAATTAAGCTTCGAGCATTTTCTGTTTCCAAACACTCAATTTTAACATTTTCTGTGTTCAGGTGGGCTAACCAAAGTCTTTCAATAAGTGCGTAAAAAACGAAAAGAGGTAATCTCACTTTGCTGTCAAGTTATTTTAGTAGGGAAGAAGAAGGGGCAGTTGCTGGCAGGAGCCAATGGGAAATCGCAACTCTTGATCGGTGACAGCTTCCGAATAGAGTCCAATGCCTTCTGGAGGTGAGCAGAGACAAAGCTGCAGAAACGCTTCGGCGGAGTCGGCGCAAAGAGACCCCACTTGGTGCACTCGGCCGCGTCGAGTTGAAAGTGAAAGTGTTGCCGAGCAGAGCAGAGCGATTTGGGTCGACGAGCAGCCTCTCGGTTAGCTGAGCCACCCAGAGCTCCAGCTCCATTGTCAGTCCCGGTCGCAATCCCAATAATAGACGCGGTCGCGAACTCTGGCGCGCATTACATTGGAAATGCAATTTACAATTTACTTAATTGTTTCTTTTTGCTTTTTGTCGGCCAATTTGCCTTCATTAGTGGCTTATTGGCTTGTTGGCAGCGCGGCCGCGGCGTATGCGTAATATCTTTGCCAGCGCCCGATCTCAAAAATTGGCTAATCATCGGCTAATCGTTTCATTGACCGCTCACAGAAAGCAGCTTAAGTTATTCTCGATCAGCACTGCAGCGGGCAACACTGGTCGTCATAAACAGTTTGACGAATGTAATATAATATTTACATGTAATGTTATATTGTACATTTCAGTGAAACAGTTACATATTTGGAAAATTTTACATACATATATGGATGGAACTCAAACAGATTTAAGTAGAATCCATGTAGAATTTCGACCAAATAAGGTTTATTTGGTTTAAGGTGTTTTACTCACAATGTGGGTAGCAATTGAAAAAACAGATTTATAACGTGCAGTTTGTTTGCTTCTTCAGATGATTATCTAATGAGCATGCTGCATGCCCGACCGCCTTGGTGGGAAACGGGTTCTTCGCCGGCATGCAGACGTGATCTCGTTCGACACCTCCTCGGATTTCCCGCATTTCCCTCCTAATTAGGCTTTTCGCAGGCAGCCAAAGTGTTGCTCCGCTGCAGTTTTAACTGCGTTTGCGTGCTTGTGCTGGGTGCGTTGGGCTCAGAAAGCGAAACACCAATTATAACTGCAACTTTCGTTTGGCGCTTTGGCATGAGGAAATCACATAAACTGCTTGAGTGTGCCGGAACCGTCGATCCGTCTTTGCTTTTCGTAAAGAGATTAAAAAACTCTCCTAAAAGATACAAAATCCTTATAACACTACCTCAAAATGAATCCAGAAGCTTGCAGTACATAGCTATCTGTTAGCTCAAAGGAGTCAACATAAGAATATTAGGAAATCAATCCAAACGAGTTATTATTAAAGACATGACTGAAACCACGATATGTTTTACTGACTTTTACGTGCAGTCCATGCATGATTTATTTTTACGAAAGTAACTATGCAAATTTTTGTTTTTTTTTTTTATAATTTCGAATACAATATACGAAACTAAGCAGCACTAGTTGTTTGGTCCAAATCGCATGTTGGGGTGTGTCAAATTGAGTAAATTAACTATCATATATTTGTATACTTTTCCAAACGTGTTATAATTTCTTTCATAAATTAAACACTCGTCCCCATTTGTGTTTTATGCTTGATCGACATCAGCAGGCGATGTATAGCCTTAGGTTTTTCAGATATATGGCTGAAAATTAACCAAATGTCTTGTTTTTACCAAATATTTGGATGACAGATTTGTTTGCTAGCCTAACCATAAATTTCAACATTTTATTTATTACTAAAGAACCTATATAAAACGTTGTGAAAAACAAGAAAGAAAAACGTACGGAACGGGCCGGATCGGGCGACTATATCGGATAGCTCCCATAGGAGATGTTGAAAAAAATTCTCACACCGTTATTTTTTATCATATCCTATATTTTTTTTTTTTTTCAAACTGCGATAGAGCTAAACAAGAAGGGTCAAAAACGTTTTAAGTAAGTTTACTTGAACTCTTTTAATCTATTTGAAACGAAAATCTGTACAAAATCTTTTCAAAGGGATGAGAAAATGATCTAGTCGATTATAGGATTTAGTTTTAATGGCAAGTGTGTGATGTGTTTATAAAAGAAGAAACATTAAAACATAACTAAATATCGAAATCTACTCCATTTCACAGCGCACAACCCACGAGACAATGTCAATGTCATGCTGTTTGGGATGGCCCGCCGTAGTTGTTCTCGTAGCCTTTTTGGCAGGATGTCACTCCCTATCGAGCCAAAGCCAAAGCGTTACTGGAAAACCAGCCCTCATCCGGACAGAGCTTCGCTTTGGCCGCAACCTGGACCCTGCGAAGGTGCGGGTGGTGAACGTCAAGTCCAGTAAGGGCGAGGACGTGGAGATCCTGGTCGGCAAGAACAGCCGCAAGGCCCGCGCCGAGGAGGCGGCTGGCTCCTTCTTTGTGCGCAGCACCGACGTCAAGAGGCCGGTGGTCCCGCGGACCGCGGGCAAGGTCTCTGGACGACAGCTGACCTTTGAGCACAGCCCAGCGTTGCTGAAGCAGAGCGCGCTGGCTCAGGAGCTGGGGGCCTATCGGCAGCGCAAGGCGGAGGCGGAGCAGCGCCAGGCGAAGCTCATCCAGCTGCAGCTGGCCAAGGCGCAGAGCAAGGCGGCGGAGCTCCAGGCGGTCCCAATAGAGTCTCGTCGCGGCGGCCGCCAGCTCGCCGCGGACGTCTCCTGGCAGCCCTCTTACGCCCAGCTTCCGACGCAGCCCATTCCGCGCAGGAACTTCTCGTCGGCAACGGACCGTCAGTGGCAGCCCCTCGGACTGGCCGACTCCGTGGAGGTCCTGCCGCGGGGGCAGCGCCTGGGGCCGCAGGGTTCCTCGGTCAGCTTTCCCAGGGATATGGAGCTCGCCGCCTCCGACGTGCAAGCGTATTTCGTGGCTGACCGGGATACTCGGGCCTACGCCGGAAGCGGAAGCACCCAGGGACACCGGCCCCAGAACCTCATTACCAAGCACAACTACAACTACAACGTCCTGCCGCAGAAGTCCAAGTACGTGACCTACATGCCGCACTCCGTCGTGGTGACCGCCAGTGCGGGAGTCGCCACGCCCTCGGCCACCCTCACCCGGCGGCCAGGACAGACGGGCAGCCCGCGCCCGCACCACAACCCCATCGGGCAGAGCACCCACAGCGTGGTGGACGGACCCGCCGTGACGCTGATTGAAGGCGTTCGGGTGCCGGACAGCGCCGAGGACAAGGTGAAGACCTGGCGCAACGCCCGCGTCCTGAACAACCAGTTGGTGCCATACCCAGAGGGCTACACGCCGCCGCGGGCCCAGATGCCCAGTTTCGACCGATAGGACGACGATCTGGGATCACGACGAGGGTGTTGGGTGCTCAGCGGTTGTTGCTATTTATTGACCAGTCCATTGTTAAGCTATTTATAAACGTTGAATTAAAGTTGTCAAGGAACTCTTCCTGGTCTCTGGTCTATCTCATGAATTCGTTGACGGTGAGCACCCGGATATCCGACTTGCGAAGCAGGAGCCGGAAGCAGGAAGGCGCGTCGAACGTCAGGAATACTACGTGCACTGGCGCTGTCTGCATGAATCCGTTCTCGGACAGGGTGTAGCGGTAAGGCTTCAGCAGCTCCAGGTACACAAATACAGCTGGCCGCTTCACCTGGATGCTAATGCTGAAGCTGTTGCGAAAGCCGTCGGTGGTGTTCAGGCAACTGCGGGAGGCAATCTCATACTGGGGGGGGAAGAGAATGTTAGGCAATGAGTTCCGTTCCGTTGCAGGGGGATTACTCACCTCCAGATCGGGGTCCTCAATGCCAACTGCCGCGGAAATGGGGCTGGGGAAGTAGTTGGTCCTGGAGATGACCTCCTGGCCGCGGCACAACAGGAGTTCCAGAAACGAGTTGGTTTTAGTAAACTGTCCTTGCAGCAGTTCGCTGAGGGGGATCACCTTGTCGTACTGCACCCCGTTGGGGTGCAGGGTGACTGCCCAGGAGGTCGATTGGCGCGGCAGCAACTGAGACCACAGGTAAATGTTGGCCACGACATTCAGCTCCTTCGTGTCTACCTTTAGGTGATCACAGATGAGCGAGATGTTCAGCGAGTCCGTGGACCTTTCGTAGAGGGCTACAATGGCAATAGGCGCCAAAAAGTCACGAGCCCAGTAGTGCAGCAGCTGGAAAGGGGTTAAAAAGTTAGAAAGTTAATAAATCAATAAAAAGAAGAAGAAATATATAACTTATAACAGGACCTTTGGAAATAATACAGCAATGGACAAAGCTAGATCGGCTTGACTGCTCCACATTATTCCTATAAAGTATCTGTATATTAGTTATTTAAATAGTTATTCACACAATTCGTAAGCTGGCTTCTCCTTTTTACCTCAAAGTAAAAAGTACTAGCTGTTTTTGGCAACATATTTTTATATTAAGGCAGGTTCTCTCCTTGTGGACCAGAAAAAATTCACTTTTTTAGAAATGTTTTTTGAGAAAACGGTTAAAGATACAAAGTCCCTCGGTGGCGGTATGTCGGTTTCCTAATCGGAAACACCAAAACCGAAGGGATTATTAATGTGTACCGTATTATCATTAATTTAAACTCATACAGGAAAAAAATTTAAATTGCAAAAGTTATGAGCTTCAGAAAAAATTACGATTTTCGCGTTTTTTTCCACTTATTTTTTTTTAAATAATAAATTTTCAACATTTTTGGCTGATCGTACTTAATTTATTAGAAAAACTATGAGGAACATATAAAAAAAAATTGAGAACGATTGGTTTATCCCAACGCCTTCAATCAATTTCGTAAGGTCGAAATATGTGGTTTTCAGAAAAACGCCTTTTAAGTTTTGGCTTCAAAAGACCGGTGCTCGGCACAGCTCCTTATAAAGGCCTGTAACTCTAGTAATTATTCAAATTTTGATCTGAAAAAATCTATTTTTCCCCCACCTGCCTTAAGGGGCACAACTAGTGTGACATTTCAAAAAATCTCTTTTTTTCTTTCATATTTCGGTAGACTACACCTTTAAAAATAACATATTAAAATTTCAAAACGATATCTCAAATAGTTTTTGAGTTATAGCATTTTTAAGAGCAGCCGCTCGTATAACAGTGAATACGATCATTTTAACTTTCAACGCGTTTTTCTTGAAACAGCATTTTCCGAATTTGCTGCAGTGATTACTCAAAAACTAATGATCCGATCACTATCAATTTTTTTTTGCTTGTTCTATGTATATAGTTCTCCGTACAATGATTTTTTGATCTGATCAAAAATCGAATTTTGGCAGCCCAAAAACGACCAAAATTTTGGGTAAAATTCGATTTTTTTTTAACGCCGCCATACTGTCAATTTTTGTATAGACAATATTATCTAGTTTATCGAGAATTTTTTTTTTTAGTATCATCTACGGAAAAGGCCTAAATCACTGCAGCAGTTAAGGACTTTTTTTACCGCCGTTGGAGATGGACTCTAACTTAAAAAATATTTAATTTTTTTCTTTAAAATTTTCACTGAATATTTGTAAAAAATGTATGTATAAACATATTCTGAAAATTTTGAAATATTTGATAAAGCAGTTTTTTAATACAAATTCCCAAAAATCACCTTTTTTTTTTAGGCCGTCACACTAGTTGTGCCCCTTAAGTATATTATTTTGAACTAATTTGCATTAAATTGAATACTCAACAAATGTCTTGAAAATTTCTAAATAAATAAATTCAGGCTCGTGTAGGCTATGCCTGACATCACACCCAGCTATAAGTACACCTGAAGCTCACCTTCCAGTTGCCGTAGAAATCAATGCCGGACCAGGAGGGGGCCACCCAGACGTCGTTCAGCTGCCAGTAAAGGGCGCCCATGGTGTGGTGTGGAGTGTCCCGAAGGCTTCTGTACAGTTCTGTTTCGACCTTGGTGGCCATGGCCTGGGCGACCTGGCTGAAGTACACCAGAGCGATGGCGTAGTTCTCATCCTCTGGCAAGGGGAGCGGTAGGTGTTTCTCCACCAGGGTGATTACGGGAATATTTCCCAGCGGATGATGCTGGCGGTGGTCGATCAGGGAAACAAGGTCGTCGTCTTCGTTCTTGCTGCGCTGCCAAGCATAGGCACCGGGAAAGCTTTGAAATCCATACTCACTGACAAATCGGGGCCGTGGATAAGTCTCCGGATCCCATCCGTCCTTAAAGTAGTCGTAGAAATGCACTGAAAGAGAGATCTGCTTGAGAGTTGGACTTTTGAAGACTTTCACACTTCTTACCATCGCCGTTGTAGTTGTCCTGCGGGTTGGCAGAAATGTAGTTGTCCTGCTCACTGGCCTTGCCATTGGAGGGCGAGGAAACCAGGGGCTGGGGTCGAGACTTGTGCGACACTAGCTTCAGCTCGTGTATGACATTGGCCAGGTAGAGCTCCCGGTACTCGCCCTCAAATCGATCCTTATCAGCAGCAGTGCCGTACCAGTTCTGCACCAAGGCAGCTTCGTTTTCGTTGTTGGTCACAAAGATGGCCACGCTGGGGTGGTGCGACAGCCGCTTGGCATTCTGCCGAACCTCTTCGCGCACTGATGACAAGAATTCGTCGCCGACCGGGTACATGGCGCATGCGAACATCATGTCCTGCCAGATCAGAAGGCCCAGGCTGTCGGCGAGCTGGTAGAAGTAGTCCGACTCGTAAACACCGCCTCCCCAGACCCGCAGCATGTTCATGTGCGCTTCCTTTGCTGATCTTAGCAGGTGCCCAACTGTACACGACCAATAAAAGCAGAAGGAGTCTAAATGATTTTGTGAATTCTAAATTAAAGATACAACTTCGGACATTCGTTGATAAAGTCCTCTTTCCTACTCTGCAGATGCGTATACACATTATACCCCAAATTATTATGTGCCCCAAAACCAATATTTCATGCATCATTTTGATAAAAATCCCTCAAAACAAAAAACCAAAAAAAAATATTATACAATAACAAAATTGGTAAAATTAAATTCATGGTAGGACAGAAAGTTGGGTTGATACAATGTGTATCAAATTGAACAAAATTTATATATGAAACAATGCAGTTTTAAGCTGACAACTTTTTATTTATATACCCTTGCAGAGCAAAAGGGTATTATAATTTTAGTCAAAAGTTAGTCTCTCATTTTTAAAGCTATCTTGCTGAAACTGCTCCAAAAATTGTGTAGTTATTGCACGGATAGCTCCCATACAAGAGATTGAATTAAAAATTCTAACGCCGTTGTTTATGATCAGATCGACTTGATTTCTTCTAGATGGCGTTTTCTACCACTATTGAATTTTGGATTAAATTTTATCAAAATCGTAATTCTATCATATAGGTTTCCATACTAAAGATCGAAAAATATATATAGAAATAATGGGAAAAAAATTATAACGTTGTTGTTTTTCATTCCACGAGCATGATTTTCAAAATATGCAGCTTTTTAATAACCCTTGAGTCGAGAAAAAATTTCATTACCATCCAACAACGTTATCATATAGCTGCCATAGGAAAGATCGAGAAATCTATATAGAAATAACGGAAATAAAATTATAAAATCCTAGTTATTCAGCAGACAATCTTGATTTTTGATTTCTAACGACTCTTGAATTTTGAATTAACAACATCGTTGTTTTTCATCAGATAAGCATGATTTTTGGAATATAAAGTTTTTTAACGACTCCTGAATTACGAATTAAATTTCATCAAAATCGAACAACTATATCATATAGCTGCTATATGATCAATAGTCGAAAATATGGAAAATTAATAGAAAAATTGTCAAAGCTTCGATGTTGTTAGCCTTTATGCATTTTGTTCGACGTATTTGATGACTGCAAGGGTATATAAGCTTCGGCTTGCCGAAGCTAGCTTTCTTTCTTGTTTTTACTGATTTTGTTTGTTAACTGATTTGTTTATAAATGCCTATTATGTACTGGCTATTTATAATGTAATTTTACATGGACTCACTCTGATCGTTCGATTGCATTTCGGGCAGGATGTGGGAGGGGATGTAGTTGCTCCCCTTCATGAACATGTCCACTCCATTGACACGGAAAAAAAAGGTGTTTCCCATTCCATCTGCAGCGGGAACCTCGATCAGTTGTAGCGTGCGAAAGCCAACTCGGAGCGACTTGTGTGACTTGGTCTTGGACCGAACCTCTGGCTCATTGGGTCCTAGCCAGGCCTTTAAGGTGAAGTGAAGCGGGTAAAGTTTCTGCTCGCCGTAGCCATTGGGCCACCAGGTCACGACTTTCTCCTGCGAAGCGATGCAAAGCAGATGCCCTTGAACAGATGTAGCATATCGAGCCAGCAAATTAGCAGGCGGTACTCACAATTGGCACGGCCTGATCGAACTCAATTACTGGTGCCAAGTGGCTGATTGTTTTCGATGCGTATTCGTCCACGACCACCGGATGGTCCAATAGCTCACTGCAACTCGAAAGGTACATGAACAGAGTGTTTAGGTCAATTGAACCAAAGTCACCTACACAGCGTACAGAACAATTCTTCCGTTGAAGTCTTGGCCGGCCACCGCATCCAGGTAGCAGCGTATGTGCATGTTCCAGTGAGTGCCATTGATGAGGCTGACATCCACGTCCACGTCGCGCAGGAGGGCCACCTCATAGATCTCCAGGGCAACGTTCTTCCAGATTCCAGCGGAGGGAGCTGCGGGACCCCAGTCCCAGGAGAAGCTCGCTTGCATCTTACGCAACATGTTCATGTGGCAGACGCCGTGGTAGCGTTCATTGGGGCATTCCGGAGGCACGCTTCTATTCCCATTGATCAACACGTTGGCCCTCGCCAGCGCAGCCACTATGGGGGATTGGATCTCGACCTCCAGTAGGTTCTCTTTTTGCAGCAGGTTGCTCACGTCGAAGGAGTAGCGCACAAACATGTTGTCCGTTCTTCCCAGCAGCTGGTGGTTGAGCCGTATTTCCGCCACGGTGTCAATGCCGTGGAAGGTCAGGTTGATGTGGCCCCGGCTGTAGTGGTGGACGTCGACTGTGAAGTGTTCGAAAGGGAAGATAGAGGTATAACAAGAAAGCTAGACATTAGATATTATAATAAAGTCTGCCAAACAAGGTCTTTTGTTTAATTTAAGGACATACAATGGTGGTCAAAAGTATTTTTACAAAATAAAAGTGAAATATACTCGAAACTTGAGCTTGCTTCGTTTAACTTTTGGTATCAATGGAAAGGTAATTTAAATGCCGTTTGAATGATACCATACTTTTCTTAACTCATTCGATATTTATTGAAAAGGGCGAATTTTTGTGAAAATCTACTTTTTTAAACTTTTTCCCTCGTCTTGAAAACTAAAATTTTTGGATGCAAAAAGTTTCTTTAAACAAAAATAATAGTAACTGCAAAAAGAATTTTTCAAAAATAATTTAATTAGTCATTTTCAAAAAATCATAAAAAATAGAAGAAAAATGTTTAAAGGCAACCAATTTGAAATATAATATTTTTATTTTTTTTTTTATAACGTGTAGAAAAAGGGCACACTGTACTTTTTGATCTGTATACTATCTGGAGAACCTATAATTAAAATATCCAGCCGAGAATATGTAGCTAAACATTTTTGAGAGTGCAGAATCTAGTAATTAATACGCAGGAGAGGCTGTTTTTAAAATGGTATTTTAAGAGTGACGAATTGGGTTAAAGTGTGTAGATTATAGTGATGGGTAAGCAGCCGAGAGCCTACTAGTTTCCTGTTATTATTTTTCTATACATTTTATACAGACATAAAGGAAAATACATTCAGCTGTATACAAGAATTGTTAACTTAGTATATAAATTGGGTTTCGCAAATCTATTTGGGAACCTTTATTCAGTGTAAAGTTGGTTAATTATGGTGAGCCAATTGGTATTTGAGTAACTTACACTGGAAGACATTCGAGTAAGTCCAGTTGTCATATCCCAGATAACGCAGTGCAACGTCGTTGTAGGAGTCCAGAAGTTGGGATCCGAAGGCGCTGTATATTCCCGAGGGCGTTGATTGGTTAGCAATAGTCAGGGCTGTGAAGAAAGGCACGTATAAATGAAGACCATCACAATTTACTGCCGAAACTCACTCTTCCGATACTCATAAGTTCATTTATTGTTTGCTAAACAACCCGTCCAGTTTAGCTTATCTCGCACAATATCAATTGTTGTTTAAGATTACACTGCCCAACAATTTTAACGTGTAAGAAAGTAACTGAAAATTGATCTTCGGTTTCTAAAAGTACCCTGTAATGTAAATCATGACTCTGCTATCTTGCTAGCGACTTGAATTCGTATTTGATCGTTTATAGTCTATTTCAGGAGTCATAAATATTTCTATATTTTGAGTAGCATGCAGTAGCAAGAAGCTATAAATTACTTTACAAATTATTTATATTTTCTTTTATTTTTACTTGAGGTTGGTTGAATACTACTTGTATCCCGAGATACATATAAGATGAGCTGTAACGCCTAGCTTTGTGTTCAAAGCTACATATGTATGAACATCCACTTTTTTGAGTTTGAAACATTTGACTCTAGTTGAATATTATAAAACCCTCGGGAAGTGTATATATTTATGTTATTAATATTTTGCACTGTGAAGCCAAAAACTCTCTTGAGAGCAGCTTTATAGTAGTTGTACTTACAGCCATTTTGATTAGTTATCGTCCAATTGTCCAGCTCTATTACCTCCACCTTATCACTGTGGGCGCCGAAAACAAGAAAAGTGAAGAGAAGTCCGGTCAAAAAAACGCCGGTGGAGCCGCCTCCGGTGAGTCCGCATCCATACCGGCCCTTCATCTAGCAATAAAAGGTCGCCTGATTCCGTGGGACTATTTTAGAGATGACTGTCTCCCCCTTAGCGAGCTAAATCAGAATTGTATGTGTACGCATATAGCGCCAATCGAAGCGAGGAGTTGTGCCACCGACTCACAAACCGCGAATGCACGAAGATTGGAATTGTTGGAGCATGGTAGAATAAGTATAAGGTGCTCTCGTCGGCTGCCGAATCGTTCGGTTTGAGTCCGTTAGCGTTCAGTGCAAAAATAATCCAAACACACGAACGAAACTTGGGAGTCTATCGCAAGTTGCGCTGGTTTAAAATTGCAACTGAGTGTTTATATATGGACATGCACGAAGATTTGGAATTGTTGAAGCGCTAAGTGAGAGAGTGCGAGAGCCGCCGAGAGAGGAGAACGCCTTGATAATGAAATAAACTTCAATGTCATGCTCTTCTGAGCACATCAGCTGTTTCTCAAAGGCTGCTCTTCAAAGAGCTATTCCACATATGAAGCCGCCAAAACACTTTTTATCGCGTCGCCTGCGAAATGCCCTATTCGACCATAGTCAGATCGCACCGTGACGAAGTGCTAAGAGCCCGGTACACAGGTTAAAAAAAGGTTTGCTTCAACTAAGAAGTTACATCTTATTAGAGTATTTTATTTTCGGGGCTTAAATTAAAATTTTTTTTTTAAGGTACATACATATGTTTTTAGACTTGAAGAATGTAACGATTCAGGCTAGGTGGTAGGTTGGGGTAAAGGGACGCACGCGGAATTTGCTCGGCCATGCTCGTCGACAAGTGGTGGTGGTGTTAAAAAAAAACTGACTATTAGGCGCGATGTGAAATTTCTAGCTCGGACGAATCATTTAAAAGAAGAAACGTGTACCATGCTCATATTCTTTTCTTCTTTGTGTAATATCGCGGTATAGCTCTGAAGGAATTTCACGCAAGACATTTAATTTGCTTTGCTTGGCGGTGAACCGCACAGTGGGTCGCGCGTAGCAGGGAAATTAAAAAAAAAATGTTCCGCTGACTTAAGCCCAGGTTCCTCTAAAAAACGTATTTGTTTTTCAATTAATTTTATTTTTATAAAAAATTTTTTTACATATGAAAGTATGTATAGTATACATGTATACATGTATAGTTGTACCATGGACAGAAGCCACTGTTACGTTAGCCTCCCTATTCTACCCCCAACCTACATGACATGATCGCCTCTCCTAGATGGCGGTAGCAAAGTATCTAAACCCTCAGAGCTGCTCCAAGCGCTACAAGAAACAAATTCCTGAAAATTATTATTGTTAACCACCACAAAATAGCCGCTGAATTTGTTTTTTTTTTCCTTTTTCTTGAAGCAAAGCAGGATTTTAGGAGTTCAAGCCTCTCCTTTCCTGAAATACAAATAATACATATGTATGTACATATAAATATTAACTGTTGCAGAATGCGACTTGCGATGACAAATTAAGCGTTCTTATCTTATTATAAAAGTCGCAAAAGAAAAAAAATAATTAATCAATAACCTTTCTAAAAAACATATGTATGTACAGTAGAATCCGCTTATAGCGACTTTCAAGGGACCGACGATTTCTTCGTCGTTATACCCGGAAGACGCACTAAGCAAAAGGATATAAGTGTATAAGCCTGTCTGGGGACCAATCAAGCCACCGAGTTTTCGTCGCGATACCCGGACGGATACTATAAGCGGAGTTGTTATAACAAGATTCTACTGTATTTATTTTTTTCAATTTTCAAGGACTAATTTTGCGGCATGCAGCTATCGCTGCACACGAACGACCAAAATTAACATCTTTAATTTTTTTATTCTACTAGGTTGTTTAATAAGTTTTGTCGTTCGACAAAAAAACCCCAACTTTATGATTCAAAATAAACTTTTTTATTTAGTATAATCTCCCTGAACATCAATACACTTGCTCCAACGATCCTCCAATCTATGGATCCCATCGCTGAAGTGAGAATCCGGAAGATCTTCAAAATATGCCTCAACCTCCGTTATGACTTCTTCATTAAATGATGAAAAACGCTGGCAACCCATACATTTTTCAAGTTCTGGAAACAAATGGAAGGCGCTGGGGGCTAAATCTGGTGAATATGGGGAATGCTTCAACAATTCGAATTTTAATTCATGGATTTTAGCCGTGGTCAAAATGCTCTTGTGACACGATGCATTGAAAAATAATTTTTTTTTCTGCAAACCGGGTCTTTTTTCACGAATGTTTTCCTTTAACTTGTCCGAAAGGTGACAATGGTGTTCAAAATTAAGTGTTTTACCGGTTTGCAAGTAATCTACAAACAAAATTCCTTTCGCATGCCATTACTTTCTTGGCCGATTTCTGGACCCAACCAGGTTCACACCATTCTTTTGCCCCATGTTTTGATACACGATCATGATGATAGACTCAAGCTTCATCCATTGTAATGGATCAACGCCTAAAATCCATTTTATCCACCGCTCCAAATGTTGCTGAGAAAGTCGGCACCCATTGTGCAGACAGCTTTTTAAAGCCCAAAATTTCACTTAAAATATGGCTGACACTGCCTAAAGAGATGTGTACTTAGAGCCTCTACTAAACCTCTCTCAGTCAATCGGCAATTTTCCAAAACCATATCCTGTATTTTGGCTATGATTTCTGCTGTTGATGTGCTTTTTGGATGTCCTCCAGGTGGATCGTCTCCAAGGCTTGTACGACCATGTTCATTTCGGCAACGCACCTTTCAACTGTTCTAACTGAAGATGACCATCATTATACACATTAAACACTCATTCGTGAATTTATTTTGGTGCTAAATCTTCCAAAATAAGAATTTTATCACTGCACGATATTCAATTTTTCCATCGTAAAAAATAATGCGACACGGCGACATCAAATGGCTTGTAAACAAAGATTGAATTGAACTTATTGAGCAACCTAGTAGATCTTATAGTTCGCGAGGCAGATGAAGGTCGCAAGTGCTTCCTTGACCTGTTAAAAGGTATAAAAAGGGTACAAAGGAAAGTATGACTGTTTACATTTTATTTTGAGACACACATAGTAAAAAGATATTTCATGTTAAATACTGATTAATGGTTTGCACTCTTATATGACTGGTAGTTAACGTCATGCATTCCGAGTCGTTCTCAAACACCAAGTGTATAGTTTTTTTAGGCTGGATCTGGGTAAATCCATTTGTTGAAAACTTGTGCCGCTCTTGGATATAATCAGGGTGGGACAGCTCGAGGTATACAAATAAGGCGGGAGATTTCACCGTAATGCGCAGACTGAAGCTATTGGTGTACGGAGAAGTTGCCGTTTTGCAGTCCTGGCCAGAAACCTCGAGCTGCACGAAGTGCAAATAGACGAAATGTTTTAAGAGCTTAGAAACGCTTTTTTACGCTTACTTACTGTCAACTGAGGATCTTTTATGCCGATAATATTCTTCAGTGGCACCGGATAAAAGAAGTTTTTTGCCACGGTCTCGCCACTTTGGTCCTGCAGGACGATCTCCATAAAAACTTCTTCCTTCGAATGGTTCTCGTACAGCAAATACTCCAGGGGCACTGGGCGCACCTCAAGGTCGTTGGACCCCTGAAAGTGAATGGTACGCTGTGAAATAAAGTGGCTTACATTTTCTTACCTTTTCTTACCAGTCCAAATGCGCGGGCTATGGTTTTTTTAGCCACCAAGCCCGACCATAGATACGTGTTAACCAGCACATAGTACAACTGCGAGTCTCTATGCTCCGAGAAGTCCTCCCTGGTTAGCGTGATGTTAAGGCTATCTGTGCTGCTATCGTAGAGCGCGATTACACTCGTTGGTGCCAGGAAATCCCTGGCCCAGTAGTAAACTATCTTAAAGTTTCCATAGAAGTCGATGCAGGACCACGTGGGGGCCACCCAAACATCGTTGAGCTGCCAAATAAGCGCACCCATAGTATGGTTTCCGGTGCGCAGACTACGGAACACTTCGACGCCTGTTTTGGTAGCCATGGCCTGAGCCACCTGGCTAAAATAAACAAATTTCTCGATATTCTCGTCCCAATTCTGGGGAACAAACGGTAGTTGATAGGCTATAAGTTGCAGCATAGGTATGAATCCCTTGGGATCGTGCTGCCGGCTCCGAATGAGCATTGCAATTTCTTCGTTGCTTCCTTCGGCACCATCTCCTAGTGCCCGCTTCCACGATGACATTATTGGCAGACTGGCGTAGCCGAACTCCGAAACAAAACGGGCGTGGGGATACGTCTCAGGGCTAAAGGCGTCTTTGTCGCTCCAAAAGTGCACTGTAGGCAAACACAAATGTACAGGTCAGTATTCGTCGATTATGCAATATCGAGCTGTAACACAAAAAATACATTGTACGAGGTGTCTTCAAAAAGTATCGCGATTTTTGAATTTTCGCGGGTTACCTCGTATCGAATTTCGATTTGTTTGTTGCGTATTAAATAAAATAAATAAATATTTTTTGACTTGGATTGGGATGCAGTAAGTTTTAAATTGAAATTTTTACTTTTAATTCTCTTTCCAGTTTAAATTAAAAAAAAGTTCAACAAGAAAGGAAGATTATATACCCTTGAAGTCACCAATTATGTCGAACAAAATACATATGTACATAAAGGCTAAACAACATCGAAGCTATGACGATTTTTCTATATTTTCGACGACTTTTATATGACAGCTTTATGATATAGTCGTCCGATTTTTATGAAATTTAATTCGTTATTCAGGAGTCTTAAGAAAACGCATTATTCCGAAAATCATGCTTGTCTGATGAAAAACAAAGATGTTATAGTTTTATCTCGGTTATTTCTATATAGATTTTTCGATCTTTCCTATGGCAGCTATATGATAACGTTGTCGGATTTTAATGAAATTATTTTCTCGATTCAAGGGTTATTAAAAAGCTCCATTTTTTGAAAATTATGCTCGACGGATTAAAAACAACGATGTTATAATTTTTTTTCATTATTTTAATATATATTTTTCGATCTTTCCTATGGCAGCTATGTGATAGAGTTATCCGATTTAAATAAAATTTAATCCGAAATTCAATAGTAGTTAGAAAACGCCATCTGGAAGAAATCAAGTCGATCTGATCTGATTTTTTATTTCATTCTCTCGTATGGGAGCTATCCAATATAGTCGGCCGATCCGGCCCGTTTCGACTTATATACTGCGTGCAATAACTACACAACTTTTGGTGAGGTTTCAGCAAGATAGCTTTAAAACTGAGAGACTAGTTTGCGTAGAAACGGACAGACGGACAGATAGACAGACAGGCAGATGGACAGACGGACAGACGTATTTCGATTCAGATGGTGATGCTGATCAAGATTATGAAGATCAAGATGTGACTGAAATTATAATACCCATTTGCTCTGCAAGGGTATAAAAATTAATTTTAAAAGTCCAGTATTATTTCTTAAATTTTAACTTAAGAGAATGAATTAACTATGGTTATCGTTCTATCATTTTGAATTGGGAATGTAGCCAGCTTTGGCTTTCCGATTATTATTCCGACTCACCGTCACCAAAGTTTGGACTTTGCAGGTCCAGATCTTGGCTGGACTCGGCGATGCCCATTGAAGGGGTGGAGATCATGGGGCCAGGCCGTGGACTGAAATCGTCTCTGGCGATAACTTTGAGCTCTTGCAGTATCGTGCCAATAAACAATGATTTATAGTCACTCTCCATTCGTGTGGCGTTTTCCCCGAAATCGGATTTGTTGGTTGCCAGGAAAAGCTCGACCTCGTTGTTGGTCACGATCAGGGACAAACTGGGGTGATATGAGAGGCGCTGGGCGTTCTGCACCGTCTCCACGCAGACCGAGGACACGAAGTCACTTTCCAGAGGGTAGGCTGCTTGGGAGAAGGCCATGTCCTGCCACACTAGAAGCCCGTAAAAGTCCGCCAAGTCGTAGAAGGTCTCCGACTCGTACAGTCCGCCCCCCCAAACGCGAATCATGTTCATGTTGGCCTCATGAGCCGCTTTAAGCAAAAACTCCACTAAAAGAATCAAGGGCCATTAGTACAAATGTAAGCTCGTAAAACACAAACATTCTTACACGCATCCGCATCAGCTGACAACTCTGGAAGAGCGTGGACAGGCACATAGTTGGCTCCCTTCATGAAGATTGGGTGTCCGTTAACCCGAAAAAAGAAAGTCCTGCCAACGTCTAGTTCCTCGAAAAATCAAAGAGATAAATAGCAATAAAAGGAAAAAAGAAATCAAAAAATCAAAGCAATTTGGGAAAACAATCTAATTGTATAGAAGTTATTACTGCAAGGGCTTATAAGCTTTAGCTCGCTTCTTGTTTCAAAAAATAATTCTACACTACTCACGGTCTTTATCCTCTACCAGCTCTATCGTGCGAAATCCAACCTTTAGGAGCTTCTGGGACTCTGTACGCGAGCTTAGAGAAGCACCGTCTTCGCTGGCATAGCACTTTACTGAAAAAAGCACTGGGTAGAGTTTTTGTTTGCCGTAGCCATTGGGCCACCACAAGGTGACTCGGTCCTAGGGAAAATTGCGATTATTCCAAGTGCTGTGAAAGTATATAAATGGTTTTACTTTAGGTATGTGTATTTTGAACTCTAACACAGGCGACGCGCAGGACACCCTTTGCTTTTCAAGGACGTAGCGTTCGTCCAAAAGGTCACTACGAGAATAACAAGAAATAAAGGGTATAACTGAAGTAGGGCTTAACGTGCTGTAGTTACTTGGCATAAACCACCAGTTGGGCATAAAAGTCTTCCGTCGCTGGTGTGCTAAGGAAGGCTCGGCAATCCATCGTCCAGTGAGTGTCGTTCCGGACGATGGCCACATCGATATCACGTAACACGGCCAATGCGTAGTACTCGACCACGACTGGCTTCCAAATGCCTGAGGAGAGTGCTGCTGGGTTCCACTCGCCGCCGAAGCTCATTTGCATCTTACGTAAGTGGTTCCGATGGCACTCGACATCGCCTCGAGCGTTTGGGCAGCTGGCAGGTCCGGTGATCACGCCCAGCTCCTCAAGTTCCCGGGCGCGCCTGCTTGCCTCCTGCAGTGGCGAGAGGATCTCGATTTCCAGAAGGTTTTGGCTGGGGCTGGGCAGCAGGAGGTGGCCAACGGCGAACGAGTACCGAACGAACATGTTGTCCGTCTCCCCAAGGAGCGCTCCGTTCAAATGCACCTTGGACACGGTATCAATTCCGTAGAGCGTCAGGTTCACCTGGCTGTCGAAGCCCACTTCGGCGCCTGCGGATCGGGTAGCAATCAGGTGACTTGGTTAAGGGTACTCTGTTACCCACTGTTGAATCTGGCGCTGTAGGTCCATGACTGGTTTGCTATCCACCGTAAGGCGACATCATTTCCCGGGTCCAGCAGGTCTCCATAGGTTTCCTTGAGCGCTGTATAAACGCCGCTTGGTAGTCGTGGCACCTCAATCTCTATGGCTGATAAAACACGGGAGTGGTAAACAATGAGCACCTAAATTGGTTTAAATCACAGAGACTATAGTACTCGAAGTACTCACAGACTATTAATTGCTCAAAATACAAGCGCTATCAAAGTCAACGCAAGCGAACATGTTTTTTCCCATTCCTAGTAGCGTGTAAATTGTTTTTGTTGAAAAGTATGAAGGCAAGTGTAACTCGTATACCCCTATGTATATTCGTTTACAACTTAAAAAAAACATTTGTAAATACGAGTATATCCTACAAATAGTTGACTAATCTGTAATGTCCGTCCGGCCATCTTTTGTCCGTATAAACGTAAGATTTCGTAAATTATAATCACTCCTACACCAACAAATCACAACATTTTTTGGGGCCACATATTTGATGGCAAATATTTGCATTTAAAAAGGAATCTAGCAATTCATAATTTTCTCTTCAAAAATGCTAACTACGTAAAACTTTTTAAGTCGGTGTTTCACAGGTCAAGTAACGAGTACCTCAAGGTCGGGCACTGGAGTGTTATTATTGTTTAATCTTATCATGGCAATACATACATACACACATACAAATACATATTTCTAAAGAGACTCGATCAAGCATAAAAATAAACAAAACCGAGAAAGATGTTCATAGGTCACTTACAGGAGCTTTCATTCCTCAATGTCCATTTTGTAATCTCTTGGACAAGAATGCTTTTCGCGATGTTGCATTGGATTAATGTTATAAAAACATATAATATAAAATATAATCTTATCATTTTTATCGCGATTCGAATTGATCGGCCGTTAACATCTTAAAAGCACATTTTTTTTAATATTTATTTTATTGAAATCTTATCAGTGGCTGCCGGACCTCAGCTCCGTTCACAACTCTTTAGCTTTCGGACGCACGTTACCGCTCCCGAATCACTTGATTACTGCCAGTTGAAACCATCTCAAAGCAACTCAATTCAAAGCAGCGAAGCGATTGGGTGTGGTGAAATAGATCGATAGCGGGAAAGGTAGTTATTTCGGCATGACGACTTTTAGATACGTTTACATTGTACACTTACAAAATGCCTAAATTAAGAACAATGACCGAATCCTGGGACTACAGAAACAAAAAAGTTATTAAACTTTTCTGGGTGGACTTCGGCAAGCAGAAGCTTATATTCCCCTGCAGTCATCAAATATGTCAAACAAAATGCATAAAGGCTAAACTTCGGCTTGCCGAAGCTAGCTTCCTTTCTTATTTTTCACTAATGTGCGTCATTTTTAAAAATTTGACGATTTTTCTATTAATTTTTATTACATATTTTAATTTTCGTCTATAGTTCATATGGCAACTATATAATATAGTTATCCGATTTTGATAAAATTAATTTCGTAATTCAGGAGTCGTTAGAAAACTCTATATTCCAAAAATCATGCTTGTCTGATGAAAAAAAACGATGTTATAGTTTATTTGAGAAGAAATCAAGTCGATCTGATCAAAAAAACCGGCGGTAGAATTTTTTGTTTCATTCTCTCGTATGGGAGCTATCCGATATAGTCGGCCGATCCGGCCCCTTCCTACTTATATGTATACTGCGTGCAATAATAACTTTAAAACTGAGAGACTAGTTTGCGTAGAAACAGACAAGAGGACAGACAGACGGACGACGAAGTTTGCGTTGCAAACTTCTTCCTTTGCTCTGCAAGGGTATAAAAATGTTGTTGTTAGTTGGCATTTTGATCTGAAATTGGGATCTTTTTTTTAAATCGGAAAGAAATCATAGTGGTTCAGGTGATACAATTTAAAAGAACTACTTTCGTTTGGCCTGGCTATCTACAAAGATATTCAAACACAATCCACACAAAAAAATATACACAGGTATGGCCAATAATTACACTGGTCAACACAAGTCTTGTTTCCTTTATTTTTTTTATCTGTTATTGGGTATTTCTATGGCCCTGAGTATGAAAAAAATACTGGATGATTGCTAACAGCTTCAGTTTTTGAAATATAGAGATTTATTATTTTGATAAAAAAGTACAGAAAATTAATAAATGATGTTAACAAAATTTCTATTGAACACTATCAAATGATCTTTTATGCGATTTTCTTGAATGGACGACTTTAGGTAGATCACGTTGCAAACTCCAGCAGTAGTCTGCCATCATATGTGAGTCCCACCGCCCCTGATACCGCTCTTCCATTGTTCGAAGATCCTGATGGAATCTTTCACCCTGCTCCTCACTAAAATCAGCTAGATTTTGTGGAAATCGGTCTAAATGTGAGTGCAGGAAGTGGATTTTTATGCTCATGTTGCACCCTAACTCTTGCAAGTTCGATAGCATGGACTCAACAAGCTCGACGTGGTTGTCAGATTTCTTTTTGCCTAGAAAATTACTCATAACCAAAACGTATGACTTCCAAGCTTTGGATTCGACTTCATTCATTGATTTGACAAAATTAGGATCTTTCACGAGTTGCCTAATCTGTGGCCCATCAAAAATACCAGCTTTTAATTTTTCTGTACTTAATCCTGGAAACTTGCGTGAAAGAAAATTGAAACAATCGCCACTTTTGTCAAGCGCCTTCACAAACTGTTTCATTATCCCGAGTTTAATATGAAGTGGTGGAAGTATGATGCGATCTCGGCTAACTAAAGGCATATTTATAACATTTTTTGTACCAACTTTTAGCTCTTCCCGCACTGGAATAATATACAGCTTTGATATTTTTAGATAAACCTTCATTAAAAATGATATAGTGATTTTTTGTATAACTCCATAAAGTATATGTATTATGAGTAGATTTATATCTTTCTGCCTGCCTGTCCGTATGAACGTCGAAATTTTGGAAACTGTATTGATAGAATATTGGGACTACAAGAGCAGATTCTTACACCTATAAACTGTGACGCCCAGCTTTGATGGCACTGCATTTTGGATTCTGTTTCTAAGTAGGCGGGGAGTGCCCTTTTCTTAAATTCGCCACGCCCATTTTTATGCCCACCAGCCGTGTGGGGCGTGAACGCCGACTAGCTGCTCTATTTCTGCATTTGTATGCCTTATGTAATGTGTTGTGCTTTGCCTTGGTGGTGTTGCGATTCGAGCCGCTGAAGCCAAAACTGACTTTAGCATGCTTACGGTTCTGTTAATGTCATCTTCGCCGGTTAGCTGTGATGTAAGTTCGATGTGCGCACTTACGTATTTTTTGAATTTGAGCCAGTTTGGGCTTTTAGAGGTTAACATGACGGGGTTGTCATTACTAACTGGCTGTTGGTTTAAGCTAAAAAGTACAGGCGAGTGATCTGATGATAGATCCGAGAGAGATCTGGCGCTAATCAGATTCCGTGGGATGTTTTTTGTAACTGCGAAAGCTATCAAGTCTGGCAGTTTTCTGGGGTCGCTAGGCCAGTGTGTAGGTGATTTATAATTGCATAATACAGTTGTCTACCTTTCAGCGTAACGAGGAGAGATCCCCAGTGCGTATGCTTGGCGTTATAGTCTCCTGCTGCTATGAAGTATTTGCCTAGTGACGTTTACGTTTTTATTTATAGTGGAACTGCCGAGTGATGATCGGGCTGCTGACGAAAAGAAGACATCAGGTGTGAGTTTAGAGGGCGACTTTTTAACTCCTTGTATACTGGACAGCCTCTGTAGTTTGCTGTATGGTCTCCTCCGCAGTTACTACACTTTTTGCTATTTGGCTCATTTAAAGAGAGGTTGCGATTGTTTGTTTCGGTTACGTGTGTTTGAGACTGTTTTTACGTTAAAACCTTTATCTTTTAGTGCCTGTTCGACTCCAGCAATGATTACGTCTGGTTCGATTCCTTTTATAACAACTTGCTGACCTTTACTACTTTTTAGCTGGTAGGTATAGTAGTTCTGTATAAGCGACTTTTCGCCGTTTATTTTTAATTTATATCGGGTTTTTCCGGAGCACAAGAGAAATAAATGCACGTCTGCACTCGCCGATGTTCTGCTGCATTTTCAAAATATGGAGCTTTTTAATAACCCTTGAATCGAGAAAATAATTTCATTAAAATCCGACAACGTTATCATATAGCTGCCATAGGAAATATCGGAAAATATATATAAAAGTAATGGAAAAAAATTATAGGGTCGTTTTTTTTATACCCACGAGTATGTTTTTGAAAATATGAGATTTATTAATAACCCTTGAATCGAGAAAAAAATTCATTAAAATCCAACAACTACAGTAGAATCCTGTTGTAACGAGTCCGCTTATAGTGTCCGTCCGGGTATTGTGACGAAAACTCGATGGCTTGATTGGTCCCCAGACAAACTTATACACTTAAATCCTTCTGCTTAGTGCGTCTTCCGTGTATAACGACGAAAAATCGTCGGTCCCTTGAAAGTCGCTATAAGCTGATTTTACTGTATATCATATAGCTGACATAGGAAAGATCGAAAAATCGTTGTTTTTCATCAGGTAACCATGATTTTTGGACGATTTTTTTAACGACCCTTAAATTACGAATTAAATTTGATCAAAATCGTAGCTTTAACATATGTAAGACTTACAATAAATACCGAATATTAAAGTAATGCCATTTTCAAGCTTTTTTTTCTTTTAACTGTGATTCTTCTTTTAATTTTTAATAAAGTCCTAACATATGTATATCTACGTAAAGGTAATATTACAAACTTTAATATACCATTTTTAAAATTTCGAGTTTTCTTAGTATTAAACATGTTATTCGCGTTTAAAGTTGCAAAAAAAAAAAACCGAATATTAATGTGATACATTGTACAATTCTAACAGCGTGTTTTTAAGCTTAAATTTGGCAGTATTGCTCTATTTTTTTTTTGGATATATTGTTGGATATATTTGATGACTGCAAGGGTATATCAGCATCGGGTTGCCGAAGCTAGCTACTTTTCTTGTTTGATCTCTCCAATGCCAGCTATATGATAGAGTTATCCGATTTAATCCGAAATTCAATAGCAGTTAGAGAACGTCATCTGGAAGAAATCAAGTCGATCTTATCAAAAACGGCTGTCTGAAAATTTTTCGTTTTATTCTCTCATTTGGGAGCTATTCGATACAGTCGGCCGACCCAGCCCGTTCTGACTTATATATATACTGCGTCCAATAACTACACACCTTTTGGGAAAGTTTCAGCAAGATAGCTTTAAAACTGAGAGGCTAGTTTACTTAGAACCCGACAGGAGGACAGACGTATTTGGATTCTGATCGTGATGCTGATCAAGAATATATACACTTTATGGGGTCTGAGGTGTCTCCGTCACTGCGTTGCAAACATCTGACTGAAATTATAATACCCTTTACTTTACAAAATTTCGATTCTCTCTAGCGAAAAATTGAAGACACTGCCTTTGCAGGAAATTTTGTTGTTAAATGTAAAATTATTTTTTCAGATTACAAATAATTAATGGTCTAGTTTGAATCAAGGAAAACATTAATAAAAGATATAAGAAAAAAACTCGACATTTCTAAAAACAATTTGCGAATTTCCAGCCGATTACAGAACTGCCTTTTGGTGGTGCGTCATTGACACCAATTGTAAATTGGGACCACCAGGCTAAGGTTAATTCATTCAAAAGACAAATAACGCGCAACAACAGGAAACTAAAACTCCGTCTTTAAGTCAATAGGGGCGTGGTCGATATCGAGGCGAGGCCGAGTGCATGGTTAATGAAGTCGTCTGGTGAAAAAAATTGTAAAAGGCCATGAAAAAGAAAATTCAGCCACAGTCTCGCCGGAATGGCCAACTACTATCGACGCAAGAAAGGTGACGCGGTGTTTCTCAACGCAAAACCCCTCAATAGTGCTAATGCCCAGGCATATTTGTACGGGGTTCGGAAGTACTCCATTGGATTAGCGGAGCGATTGGATGCAGACTATGAGGCTCCACCGTTGGAGAGGAAGAAGAGCTCCGAGAGCACAGCCTCCAATAATCCTGAGTTCACGCCTGTGAGTGTGGCTTCTTCTGCAATACAACGCCATTTAAAGTCAGGTATCCTGCTTTCCAGAGTGTTTTCTACAGGAACATAGCACCTGTCAACTGGTTCTTAAGGATTATTGGCGTATTGCCCATTGTTCGAAGGGGTCCTGCCCGTGCCAAATTCGAAATGAATTCAGCCTCCTTCACTTACTCAGTGGTTTTCTTTGTGCTCCTGGCGGTGAGTAGTTTTAGTTTAATTAACTAACTCATCCATATATTCCATAAATATATGGTAAACTTTAACCATACTTTAACCTTTAAAGGCCAAAAAAAGGGCCATGTTTCATTTTGGCATCTTTCCATACACTTCGCACAATTTTTTGGGAACTTCGACCGCTTTTTATCCTTTTCGGAAGTAAAAAAGCAAAATATGCCGAAAATGCTCACTTTGGTCCTCCATGTTTAATTTGCTATAGCTTCCACAAATGTTATCGAATAATTGCCAAATTTTCGTCGATAGTACCTAAGACAATAAGCTTTAAAAAGATTCTAAAAAGTGTGACCCTGGTGCTCGATTAGTCGTAAATAAATTAGATTAAAAACGATTACTAAAAAAAACGACATGACTTTCTTGCCAACCCAATATTATAATTTCAGTCAGAAGTTTGCAACGCAGTGAAGGAGACACCTCACACCCCATAAAGTACATACATATATATATATTCTTGATCAGCATCACGATCTGAATCGAAATACGTCTGTACGTTTGTCCGTCTATCCTGCTGTCTGTTTCTACGCAAACTAGTCTCTCAGTTTTAAAGCTATCTTGCTGAAACTTTCCCAAAAGTTGTGTAGTCATTGCACGCAGTATATAAGTCCGGAACAGCCCGGATCGGCCGACTATATCGAATGCCTCCCACACATGAGAATGAAATAAAAAATTCTCACGCCGTTGTTTTTGATCAGATCGACTTGATTTCTTCAGGATGGCGTTTTCGAACTGTTTTTGAATTTCGGATTAAATTCTATTTAAATCGGATAACTCTATCACAAACATTTCATTTTCCATATTTTCGACGACTGTTCATATGACAACTATATGCTATAGTCGTCCGATTTTGATGAAATTTAATTCAAAATTCAAGATTCGTTAAAAAAGTCTAATTTCCAAAAATCATGATTGTCCGATAAAAAAATGATGTAGGAATTTTATTTCCGTAAATTATAAATAGATTTTACAATCTTTCCTATGGCAGCTATATGATATAATTGCTTGATTTTTATGAAATATTTTTTTTTTGTAATGTATTTAAAAAATTCGACGTTCTAAAAACCATAGTCGTGGGATGAAACACAACGTCGATAAAAATTTTTTTTTCATTATTTATATAAAAATTTCTCGATATTTCCTATGCGAGCTATATGATAAAGTTATCCGATTTTCATAAAACCATTGTATAAGCTTCGGCTTGCAAAAGCCAGCTTTCTTTTTTGTTAATATTAAAATAGTCGAAGCCGTTGTTCTTAACAGCGGGATTTAATGTTATGCTACGAATCGTAAGTTACGTTCAATGAAATCATACTGTGATATCAGTAGCTAGTAGCTACCTAGGCATAAGTTGTTTCTTGTGATTTTTATGACATAATGAAATATATTTCTATTAATATTTGTATCTCTTTATTTAACTCTTTCAGTGCTATGTTGGCTATGTGGCCAACAACCGCATCCACATCGTGCGCTCTCTGAGCGGGCCCTTCGAGGAGGCGGTGATTGCCTACTTATTCCTGGTTAACATCTTGCCTATTATGATAATTCCCATTCTGTGGTATGAGGCTAGGAAAATAGCCAGACTCTTTAACGACTGGGATGACTTTGAGGTGTTGTACTACCAGATTTCTGGTCATAGTTTACCTTTGAAACTCCGACAAAAAGCGGTCTATATAGCCACTGTGTTGCCAATCTTATCAGTGTTATCAGTGGTTATTACCCACATTACCATGTCGGATTTGAACATCAATCAAGTTGTGCCGTATTGCATCCTGGACAATTTAACTGCTATGTTGGGAGCCTGGTGGTTCCTTATCTGTGAGGCCATGAGCATCACGGCTCACCTTCTGGCGGAGAGGTTTCAGAAGGCCTTAAAACACATTGGCCCAGCTGCGATGGTAGCCGACTACCGAGTTTTGTGGCTTCGATTAAGTAAGCTTACCCGGGATACTGGAAACGCCATGTGCTATACCTTTGTTTTTATGAGTCTCTACCTGTTTTTCATCATCACTCTTTCGATTTACGGACTGATGTCTCAACTTTCAGAAGGATTTGGCATCAAAGATATAGGACTCACCATAACAGCTTTATGGAACATTGGACTATTATTTTATATCTGCGATGAGGCACATTATGCATCGGTAAATGTGCGAACTAATTTTCAGAAGAAACTTTTGATGGTAGAGCTAAACTGGATGAACTCGGATGCCCAGACAGAGATAAATATGTTTTTGCGAGCCACTGAGATGAATCCATCGACCATAAATTGTGGTGGCTTCTTTGATGTGAACAGAAGCCTCTTCAAGGGACTTTTAACTACAATGGTCACATACTTGGTTGTTTTGCTTCAGTTTCAGATAAGCATTCCCACTGATAAGGGAGATTCTGAGGGTACTACCAACATCACAGTGGTGGATTTTGTCATGGACAGTATGGATAATGATATGACTTTGATGCCAAGCACCTCTGCAATCACCACCACTTCAAAAACCACTTTGGCACCATTTGTAAAACAAAAAGGCAGAAAGGGTTAAGAAATCAATATTAATAAGGCAATTTTCCAAATAGATATCGCATATATTAAACATATGGGATAAATTACATCTGTTGCTGAGGCCAAAAAAATAAATCTCATAAAAATTTCTTACCCTTTAAAGCATATATATATATTTAGGGATGTTGGTTTAAACCGCACTTATGTAAGTATTTGTCCAACTAAAGGCAAACGTTTAAATTGGTAAAAGTGATTTATGCCGTTATGATTTCTTAGAAGAAAACAAAAGAGAATACTCCCTGTAGTACTGCGCGCTGGTTCGTAGCTGGTGAAATAAGCGCTTACCAGCAGACCACCCCTACTTACCCATCGGGCCCAAGCAATGCGATCTTTCATTTCCGTTTTTGTGTGAAATGTCCGCAAATAGGGTCAATCGCCACCGTGTCGTATACCAAGGAACTAGTGAAATAGTGCCCCATATTAAGGGAAGCAGGGCCGGCGGAAGGTGTATACCGGGTGTTGAGCACTCCACACGCCAAATCTTAGCGGGTGTGGAATTCAACACCCCAAAATGCTTGACTTGTAGAAAAAAATTTATTTACATCCATTATTATCAGTTGAATGTATGATTCAAAACTGTTTCTCCGGCCCTGCATATAGAGTATATCGAAGAAAAACGAAGAGAAATCCCGCCTCTACCACGGCCCAATTAAATCAGTTTCTATTTAAATAGATAGATAGTAACTCTCCCAAATACTTCCCAAATTAAGCATTTTCCAACTTAATGTAAAAACTACTTAAATAATTATGAGATTATCATAAATAAATCTTTTCAGATTGGTACTTACTCAGTTAGCTCCTTGATCTGCACTGCAATCTTTCGTCTTCTTGAAGTAAGATAATCACCGCAACCACTTTATTCGCAACATTAACACTTAACACTTTACCCTGAAATTAAATAAGAAAAAAAAATAATAATAAATAATTTGTTACAAATAATAATAGTTAGAATTATTTTGTTAGTAAAACAGGTATTTACCTCTTTGGGTTTTTTATTCACTGCATTTTGAAGTTCACTCCAAGCAGAAAGGAATAGTCATCACTGTAATTAAAAGAAGCATTCCAAAATATTAGTTAAATTATTTTATACAAATCGGTTGTTTAAAAAATACTTACCCCAATGAGGTGATGCACTGCATCCTGGAGTGGAGTTCAATAGAAGATCACGCCATTCATAATTGATCCTGCAGCCTGTTGTCCAGTCCATTTATGTGGTGTCAGCATACTATATATTTCCGGTAACCGCATTCTTACAACTATTACTATATATATACTATATATATTTATATTATGTATATGTCCCTACTTGTTTACAATTATTAATTGTGTTTGATTTTCATGTACTTCAAGTTCAATATTTGATAAAATTTACCTTTCAAATTTCTTTCATGTTCTTAAAAACTTTTAGATCTTTATCTGTTTCTTTTAGTTTCTTTGTCAAAATATTTATGATTTTTTAAAATATATAACTTAATTATTTATTGTCTAAAGGATGTACTCACTGCGTAATAACTTTGGTGCAGTGCATCCTGATGTCGAACTTCAAGTTACAAGTTGGATGGTGTCACCAATTATTTTCTGCAATCAGCCAAATACACAACCAAAAACCTGAAAAAAAAAAAATATAAAAAAAAACTTGAATTAATTAACTGCATTTTTTTTACAAAAGCCACGTCATCACATAATTAAAAAAAACTGCAACTCACCTTTTCAGGTTTGGATGCCCTGCATCCTGGAGTCCACTACATGCAGGAAGGGATCGAGCACCTTTAAGTTCATGCCAAGTCAGGTCATGATGCAGTGCATCCTAGGAGGAGTCGACCCATGGTGCACTGCATCCGGAAGTGGACTCCAGTAGGTGGAGTCGACCCAAGATGCACTGCATCCGGGAGTGGACTCCAGTAGGAGGAGTTGGCCAGATACTCTCTCCCACTCTGGAACCACGTCACTAAAACACACGCACACACGCACACACACACACTTCCAGAGACCGGAAAAAGTTTCTTGGAGAAACTGCCGGTCATCCCGGAGAACTGAGAAATTGGCCAAAATCAAGGGGTATTCCACTACGAATCAGCCAGAACCACTTGGGAATTATAGGTGCAAGAAAACGAAAAAAATAATTAATTATCATTGTCGCTGACGTGGCCATATTAATTTAATTAACATTTAGTTAACATTACATTTACATTATATTAAATTAACATTATTTTAACATTAAATTAACATTATATTAATACTAAATGGATTTTAATTAACATTTTACATTTAAAATAGTTTTTTTTACCTGTTGCATTTTTATTATTTTTTAAAAAATATATTCTGTTCAATTCAGGATCCATCATACACTGGTCGGCATATATATTTTGACAAAATAAAAGTGAAATATACTCGAAACTTGAACTTGCTTCTTTTAACTTTTGGTATCAATGGAAAGGTAATTCAAATGCCGTTTGAATGATACCATACTTTTCTCAACTCATTCGATATTTATTGAAAAGGGCCATTTTAAACAAAAAAGTAAAAAAAAAACTTTTTCCCTCGGCTTCAAAACTAAAATTAAAAATAATGAAAATTTGTGAGGTCATCACCCCACTCAAAACTGTTTCTACGGCCCTGAAGGGAAGTAATGTAAGTACTTACATGGGACCCCATAGAATGGTCGGTAATGTAAGTATCCATTATTAATTAAAAAATAATAGAAGTAACAATTGTTGAAATGCATTATTAATTTACTTATTTTTTATTTTTAAATAAATACATTTTCTTCATTTTTTTTGTTAACGCTAGAGTTTTTAAAGTGCCTCTTTTTTGGAGCTGCAAGGCCTTTCGCAGCTGGTCCTCAGCTGACCCAATACCTCTAACTGCATTTATGGAATCTGGGAATAAGAAAAATTTAATGATTATTAATCTTAATTCAAATTTATCAGGCCTGATTATAAATACCTACCAATCATAACACCATAGAAATCTATTTCCTTTTTTAAGGCTGCTTTCCCCTGAACACCATCTACAAAGAAAGACAATGCCATAAATTTAAAATTTTGCTCCAGCATCAGTTTAAAATTTGTTTTTGCACAGAATCGAAGGTCTGCTCATCACTTAGGCATTTTACCGAACTCAGAAGGTTGCAACACAAAAGAACACCACCAAAGTCGCCAGATGGCTAACCTAATCCATTAAGTCAATCACATGTCAAGACCATAGCGATAATACAATTTGAGTTGCCCGAACACCTCAAAGCACTCAATCCGCGGCAATCGCGGTATTAGAATATAAGCAGACAGGGGTGTGCGCTTCGTTTGACGCAAATCATATAAAAGGAAGCACCACCGTTTCTGGTCACCAGTCCGCCAAAGGAAAAGGAGAGAATGCGACTCAGGAGCTGCATGCACTTCGTTGCGCTGGCGATGCCACTCTGGGCACTGGCCTTCTGCCTCTTCGTGATGGTGCCAGTCCCAGCCCAGTCATCTAGTTTGGAGATCGCAAAAGAGGAACGGCGGCTACAGGAATTGGAGTCAAAACTGGGAGCAGAAACAGACCAGTCCAACATAAATTTGGCTGGACCATCAGTCTCGCGATTCGGAGATAGGCGCATGCAAAAAAACCCTAGTTTTGGTAGAAGGGTCCCACTGATTTCTCGACCTATGATTCCAATCGAGTTGGACCTGCTGATGGACAATGATGATGACCGGACAAAGACTAAACGGTTTGACGACTACGGTCATATGAGGTTTGGAAAGCGCGGAGGGGACGATCAGTTCGATGACTATGGCCACATGCGCTTTGGCAGGTAAACTTAAGCCAACTGTTTGTCAACGGGATGTCATCTGGTTTTTTACATTTATGTAAATTGTATATATACTTATATATTCTTAACGCCTATTAACTAGTATTTACAAAACAATAAATGTGCGCATTCCGAAAATGGACCTATCATGTTTTTTTATTTTGTACCCAGAGTTAAAAAACGGAGTTTTAGGTGCACAGCTATTTCATTCTTATTGGCTGAAAAAAAAAACAAATCTAAAGTAATATTCGTAATTGTCTCGTTCTTTTGAACCCAATCGCCTTTCTGAACAAAATATAAGCAGTCGGTAACTGGTAATATCAATCATGTTTACAATGTTTGTACATTTCCCATTATCGCTGTTGTAATAACAGTTGCCTATGTCATAATAATAATAGGGTTTAGTTGCATGCTGTAAAAAACTAGTTTTTAAACTAAGCAACACGAGGTATTTTAGTGATCATTTCTGGGGATTTCCTGGCATGATTTACATCGCTTAAATATCTTTCAATGAATTACAAATTTGCGTGCGTAAACACCCATAGACGGAACCCTTTTCAAAACGTCATAATTTATTCTCAGCAAACTAGCTTTTCAATAAATAAAAGATTTTCCTTAGAATTTTTCACAGCAGTTTATGTCTTGACAATAAAAAGTGATCTTCGAACGTTTGGAGTGCAAAAACAACGCACATAAGAAAAGTACTGCTTATCAGAAGAAGTCCGATAAGGAAACATAGCCAAAATAAGTAGTAACAAAATCTAAAAATGTTATGAATACCCTAATAAACCAACAAAACTTTTATGGAGCCTACAACTGATTTTTGTTTACATATTTCGTATTGTTTGAGTCGTTTTTCGTAGTAATACAGCAAACACCGTTGTAAAACAAAAACAGAGAAAAATTGAGAACACAGCGATATTCTCCAAAGCAGTTTATAGTGAGCGCAGGCCCCAAAGCTCCACATTTCGATTTCACTCTCAACTGGGGAGAGCTTTGGCTCTCGCAAAGTGATGATGTCACAAACAATCTTGCTCTCGCGAACCGGCAACTCACATGTTATATCTCACTTTGGGTGCGACGCTCGTCTGGTGCTGAATAAATTTCTTGTTGCTCGTCGCCAAATACTAAAAACAATTTTGGAACTTATAATTAAAATTATAATTAGCACCAGAATAACTAAAGTAACGTTTTGATTACTTAACGGGCTGCCAGATGCCTTCTCAATGTACATTCGAGCTCGATCGCCCCGAACCGATTTACTATAGCGGTGAAACGATCAATGGAAGGGCTATTCTGACCACAACCTCCGAGAAATCAGTAAACGGTAAGTTTAAACAACAAACAAGCTAAGGTGTATGAATTTCTCCTTATCGCTATGGTAATAACAGGTGGTTTGCGATAATATTAAGCCGGTTTTTGGAATGTACATAGTTGGGTGTTCTATATACGGCGGATTTAGAGCTAGAATTTGAATGGCTTTGGATATTGTGAAGTGCTTAATTGCATTTTAAAAATACATAGAAATTGAAGCGCTTGATGAGCTCAGCTAGTCCCCCAAAACACACGCAATCATCGCCAAACCATATGCATTGTCATTTTTTTTGTTTTCTAAATTATTGGACTGTTCCAACAAACAACCAAAAAAGCTCTTAAAAGAACATATTTGTATGTATACTTAAAAAAGAGACGGAGATAAGAAAGCAACAAGTATTTGATACAGTGGGTAAGCTACCGGATAAACCGAATTAGTTCAGTGCATTCGTATTTTTATTGACTGTTACCAATTGAATAAGCAAAATACATAGTTTAATAAAGCAGCCGGGCAAAATGGAAACCGATAAAGCATAAGTGTGGGCGTTTTATTAACTCGGATTATTATTATAATGTTTTTTTGTAGTATTGTTCAAAATATGCATCCCATGTGCATAAATAAAAATATATAAGACAATAAGTTCGTCAAACATTGTGAAGTTATATTTAACTTATTATCTACAGTATTATATTACTAATACGGAATTCAATTTATAATTTAAATCTTTTTGTTAGGGTGGAACATAATATGTAGTTGGTTGAGCATTGCGAAGTTAAACAAACGAATACAGTATGCTACATAGTATATATGTACTATAATAATAATAATACTGAATTCAATGAAAAATATTATTAATTTTATTAATTCCTTTTCCTTCAGAGGTCTACATACTCTTCGAGGGCGAGGCGAAGGTGCGATGGGAGGAGAGCAAATCGAGGAGAGGCAATGGCAGGACGCACCACTACACTGAGTACTACCGGGGCAATCAGACGTATCTGAACACCCGCACCAATGTTTTCGGATCGGGGAATCTGCCACCAGGAACGCACATCTACACTTTCTGCATTCCCCTGCCTTTGGATTGTCCCTCTTCTGTGGTGGCAAAGTATGGAAAGATTTCCTACGAGGTCTCAGTGGTCATCGATCGCCAATGGAGATTCAACAACGTATTCAAGCAGCCTCTCACTGTACTGCAAACCTACAACCTCAATATGAGTCCTCAACTGCTGGTGAGTCCAAAATGATCTTCATTTGGCGACCAAAATAGATCAAAAGATCAAGATTAGGCAATCAATTGCATAAATAACAAAATTGACAGCAGAGAATATTCCATTTTTGCAGGACTGAACGACAGAATGGTTTAACATGAGTCATGTATAGATGGACATAGGTTGCGTGTTTTATAAACGTAAATTCGAGCAAAAAACAATTTTATATTATAGGTACAACCCTCTCATGTGAATTACTTTTTTAATAATTAGCTTTGTCAACCCCATTGTGAAAGATAATGATATGATAGGTCAGCAAACATTAAAGGCCATCGCCGATATCAACTAACTACTTTCCCAATCAAAAATTACTTTTCTTTTACCTTTTCTCCGAGTTAAACATTTTTTATTTCATTGTACTGCTAATTAATACCCGGACTCTTTTGAAAGTTTGATAATATGTATTTTCAAAATCCGCATTTATCTTTGTTCCAAGATTTCATAAAATCAAATAATATGTTAGTGGACTTTTTTGAAATAAAAATACAGGTTTAATTTTAAACAATGCTGGAGTTATAAATTCCTTAGGATTTTTGGCGATTGTTATCTTTAAACTTTATTTTCTTAAGCTTGACTTGATTCACCATCTTATTCCACAGATGCCCCTGATGCGCGAGGACATTAAGCACTTCTGCTGTTGGCCCTGCAGCTCGGGTCCGGTTCTCTCGACCCTCACAATACCCTTTGGTGGCTATGCTCCTGGTCAGAGGATCCGCTTCACCCTAGAGATCGACAACCAGTCGGGTGGCTATGACCTGGACGGCATCGAAGTGAAACTGAAGCAGACCTACGTGTTTCAGGCATCCACTCCTCACCATAAAACCCGCGAGAAGGATCACATCCTGAACGAGAGCTGCCAGCAGGAACGGGTGCTGCGTCTCTCGAAGAGGATAATCGACGGAACTCTGGCTATTCCCGCGGTACCGCCGTCCTCCCGCAACAATGGCATCATTTCCGTCAACTATAAGGTGATCCTGTCGATAAAAACCGGCGACTGCCACGTGGACACTGACTTCGAGGTGCCGATTGTCATTGGCACTATCCCATTGATCCAGAGCGCGGAGGACCCCTCGAATGCAGCTCAGTGGATACCCCAGACTCCTGATACTCCGGCCGGAGCTGCTGCAGATCTTCCGCCCAGCTATGATAACTGCAGTAAGTACACACGATTAGAGATAGAATTTATATTTACGTCATTATCGTGAGGCTCTAGGTATGACAACTTTTCTGATTTTATAAAAAAAAAAAGTTTAAGCTTTGTACATATTAGATTATGTTTTTAGATTTGTAAAAAATGTTTATATGTATATTTTACACATATAAACACTTTCAATTGCCAAAGTATTTCACATATTACTAAGTTGTTTGTTTATCCCACAGAACCACCGTCCTTCGAGCATGCCACCAATGCTGATGACAAGTTTGTGGATATCGATGTGGACGAGCACAATCGCACGGATGACTTCATCCCCCGTTACCCGATGTACACCAACTTTGCCATGCCTTCGGCGCCTCCGCTTTCTTCCGAGGATCCGGATACTCCTCTACTCCAGTCCCCTCCAGTTCTGTCGCTTCCTCACAACGCCACTGCCCCATTCGATGGCGATGGTAACCCCAACGATCGTCCTCCGGCATCTTACGGTTGGAGTTCCAACCAATAAACAAAAACCTACCTCCGATGTAATCTCACTGAAGGATTTTATTATTTACTTAGCTTAGCTATTTCGCGTGTTTTAAGTTTAACCTCTCAAAAGAAGATTACTTTAATTTAAGAAGCGTTTGTTAATCGTTTATTTGCGTTGTAAAAGTAGGTTAAAGAAAATTGTATCGCCTTAGTTCCTTCAAAAGGATATTCTCTCAGGGACAGACATTTTAAAAAAGTGGATTAAAATATGATATTTCACAATTGTGTTACCATAAAAAGTTAATTTGTAAGACACTTAAATATTTAAATAAACTCTGCCATAAATATTCATCTGCTTTGTGAAAGTTTTTTTAAAGTATAAAAATCTTATGCATTCAAATGTTGTTAATTTTGAAATATAAACAACTTAAAAATAAATGCGTTTATTGTAGCATTAGTCGGTGGTATTTTAGAGTTAATGTTAGCTCAAGAGTTTTGTTTATCACGTTGTGCAATAACTATTTCTTTGTCCCGAATCTACGAACAAAAATACTTTTTTCTTTCGTAAGCTGTTTGATTGGGCTTTAGTTAGTTAAATAAGTTAAATTATATAAAACCCTTCGAAATCCTATTTACTATTTTAAGTAAGATTTGACCTAGGATATTCTATTCCACAAGTTGTTCTTTAATAGGAGCACAGCTCAAATCTCTCCGTCTCTCTTTCCTTTACTCTTTTAAAAAAAGGTGGCTTCTTAAAAATGTAAGCCATACCGCCTCAATGAAAATTTTTGCGCGTCAACTCAAAATGCACCACGACCCCCAGATAATATTCAAGGGGGTGCTCCAGGTGCTTCTGGAGCGCGAGTACATTAAGCACTTCTGCTGTTGGCCATGCAGCTGGGTTTTGGTTCCTTTAAAACTATCACTATACCCTTTGAGGGATACTTTCCCGGTCAGAAGATCAGTTTCACCCTGGATATCGACAACCAAATGATCCCACCACGCCATCATGTGGTTGGAACTCGAAGCCTTAGGTGAAGAAGAAGGTTTTTTCTATGTGGGGTAAAAAATATCAAATATTAAATGTTAATATTACATTAAATATAACTCCCTTCTACTTATTTATAAACCCAGAAACCAAAATCTATGTGGTTCTTTGTTATTTTTGCAAAAAACGTATTAGTTTATTTCATAAAACTACTGATTTGGGTGATGAAATAAATATTTAATATTTGTACGTTTACTTTTAACTAATAAAATAAATTAGAAGGCTTTTGAAAAAAAATCAATGGGACTTGACTTCCTGCGATTGAGCTTGGTCCATTTCGTAGTAGACGTAGCGTGGCCTGAAGTCCAACTGCTCACCGGATAAGTAATGTTTGTTGGTCTTGTTCAGATTGGTAGCCACCATGAATTCGGCTTCGCGAAAGTTCGAAGCTAAAGAAAGAAAACGAAATATTTAATTAAAGTTAACTTAAGCTTAAATATAAGAAAAACCTACCAAGAGAGTTCATTGAGGAACTGAAATTTGGGGTCATGTTAAGTGCCGTTTCTGCAGGAGGCGTTGGTTCCGGAGCACTGGCATCCAGCGTAGTTTGCATCAGTAGTTTTCCCGGACAAGGAGGCGTCACGTTGCCAATGATCACCGGGATCCTGCAGGCGATGAAGCGCTTCTCTTGCTGGGTCCTCACCAAAACCTCTACTTCATAATCCAACTGCAGACAGGCGCATCCTGCCAAACTCAAAGTGGCCGAGGTTTGGGGAACTTGCAGCATGTGGAGGTGCTGGAAGTTCTCCAGTTCCCCACGAGGCAAACTGTGAAGCTCGTGGCTGCTGCTTACGATGGTTTGGCGCTCCACCTTGGTCTCCTTGCGCTTGGGCTTGTTCCTCAGTTGCGCCACATAGGTGCTGATCTGAACGAGGGAATAAACCACCTCTCTAAGCGGCAACTTCTCCGGATTGTGTAGCTTAACGTGAACGGAGATGCCCGCTCCTGGGGAGTATCCCTGCCTGGGAATCTGGATCTGCAGGTGGAGTGGCTTCACCCAGAACTTCAGCCGGGGAGTCTGCTCGTGGATCTCCGCTCCACAGCTCCTTGTTTCCTGGCTGAGACTGTTTTGAGGGAACACCTGCAACTGGCGAATGTGGAGCACCTCCAACGGACGATCTGCACTGCTGTGGATGAGCACTTGGAGGGTGTAGCGAATGTGTCCATGTGCTCCTTCAAAGTTCCCTGGACAATTCTTGGGCAGCTTCACGTGGAATCCGTAGTTGTAGGTGCCCGCCTCCATTATCTGCGGCTGCGAGGCCTCCGAGCCAACAAAGTAATCGATTTTAGCTAAATAATCCACGCGATAATCAAAGTCCAAGTTCTGACTCTGCCCTTGCGGCTCATTCTTCTTGGGTTTTTTCTGTTTTTGCGGCTGCTGCCAAGCGGTACTTGCATATCCATTGGCCTCCAAGCTTATTGCTAAAATAAAGGAAAAGGTGAAACAAATTATAGTTGTAGTGCAGCTGAAGTTGTGAAAGCATATTTAAGTGGTGTATTTTATTCAAATACTTTTAAATTAATTGTATTTTAATTCCACAATGACTATTCAATAAAAAAAAATACAATAAAATTTATAATATATTGATTCATTTATATTTGAACGCAAAGTTGTATATAAAATAGTTGTTATAGAAGTGACCTTGCATTTATTTATCTAAAGTTCAACACAAATCTTTATTGTTTACAGAGCCTCACCAAAGTGTCAAATAGTAAGTTTATTATATTTATATTTAACTAACATTATAGCTCTCACTATAAAAATCCGATAATAAATAGGCGATCGATAAGCTAAATAAGTGGAGGTATTAGCAATTTAATTTTGCGGCGACAAGCGATATCAGCAACTTATTTGCCAATCAATAAACCAAACTAGATCTTGGTGGGTGAGTCACTGGCACTCGAGGAGTTTATGGCTCGGAAGCCCCGTGAGTCACGCTGCCACTTACCTTTGATTAAGGCCCGCTCCGAAAGGGTCAAGTAGACATGGCCGTTGACCGTCTCTCCGGCCCTGTAGGCTCCCCCTGGGATTGTCCAACTGGATGTCGCAGCGGTGGCTCATTTCGGACACTCTGCTCCCTGTTGACGGCTCGACTGCTGACCGGCGTCTGGCACTTGTTGCCAATATGCTCGCCCATTAAGAACGCAACTCGACGCGTTCTTATCGCGATTCTAGGTGTGGGTGCCACCACCACATCCACGGCTATTATCGACAAAGCCGGTATCTAATCTGGGTATAGGACGTTGCCAGCGGAGTGCGCGGGTGACAGGCCTTATCGGTTATCAAACGATTTGTAATTTAATTAAACGCATTACATCGGATGTCAGGTATAGCCTACCTATGGGCTATCCGCGTGGATGACGGATTCAAGGACACCCAATGTCAGTGATGAGCAGTCCTTGGATGAGTGAACTTGTCATCTTGATAAAAGAATAATATATTTTATATTTGTTTGTCTTTGTAGAAAGCTCTGGCTATTGAAATCTACATATTTATAATTTTAAAAGTAATAAGACCTTAAATGTATGCATTTTTAAAGGCAGCATCATAAAATGTAATTTAATATTTAAAAGATGCATTCAGTCAAAACATTACTTCAAAATCAAATTAATATTAATCACCACCAGCCAATAATAGAAAACCTAACCAATTAATTGGTTTGTATACTGCATTTATTTATTGTCCACTTAAGAACGCATTAGGTGCACTTAGGGTAATTAGTAAATGTATCAAGTCGAATATTTAAATGTTTAATGGATGTAGAGAAGCGGTAAATATGTGTGCTAGAAAAAAGGGACTTTGGCACTCAATAAGTTCGATTCGATCAATTTTGGATGGCGCGATGAAAGCTCCCTAAAACTAGACGACGGACTAGGATCCGGCCTAAAAGTCCTATATAAGCCTTAGTCTTGAACACTTAAGTTACTCGTTACTTGGCGTGGTAGTACGTATGTATGTATATAAGACACTTTATCCCTAAAACAGATGCTCGTCCTGCAAATCCTCCTCGGCTTCGGCAACTCGGGCTCTGAGAATTGGCCGGTGCACCTGGGCAGTCACATCCAGGACCTCCGCCTGCTCCTCGGCTTCCTGCTCCTGCTCCTGCTCCTCCACATGTTCGGATAGAGGACCGCAGAGGGATCCAAAGGTGTCCAGACTCCTGCCCGTGTGATCCGTGTTCAGGGAGCCGTACGATCTGTACAGGTGCATATCCAAGCCGGAGTCCTCGAACCCGTGGGCTGGAGCTGTCCCAATGAGTGTGCTGAAACCGGGGAACTTGGGTAAGTGGATGCGCTGCAGAACAACCGCGTTGTTGCTCCCCAAAGTCTGCTGACTGCCCGCCAAGGTGGCAAAACTAAAGGAGGGCGGAACTGCAATGGGAAATGCATATAACCGTTTAAATATTGTGAATAGCAAATAGTTGCAAGGCATTTTTAAACCTTGTATATTTTTAATAAATTTTATGTTAAATGTAAAGGGATCCCTTTTTACTGAAAAACTTATCTTCTTTCGTTAATTGTATGAAATTCATAAGCGTGTATTCCTTTTATCATATATAACTTTAGATTAACAACACTATTGAAAAGCTTTTGTTAATATACTACAAGGGTCAATACAATTTAAAAGGCCTTAATGAGCTTCCCCTCTTTTTAACTTGTTGAGTCATTGTTCCACTTCGGAATTTTATAAATTTGTGAGTCTATTATGTTAAAAATCAAAAGAAGATTTTCATTTGTAGATAACTTTTCATTGTTAATTTTCTTAAACAGCTGTTGTAAGGCAATTATGAAATGAACAACAAAATAACTATTGTTTTTTGTATTACTTGACTTTAATATAAAAGTCATGGGAAGCTGTTTCAAAACAATCATATAATTTACGAAGTCAAGTTCATTCTGAAATTAATTTAGTATTTAATTTAAGAGGCGGTTAAACAATCACTTTTAAAATTAGCATTTATATCTGATTTTGCGTAGCATATAAAGCTAGATATTGCACACTCTAAACAGTTAAAACAGCTTCAACAAAAAATATCTAGGTGTAATGGAGATCCGAATGACACCTCCTGACATGATTTCTGGCTTAATTATCTGATCTGAAATGGGTTTTTCATTAGTAGACTTACGGCAACTGTCGTAGGAGGGCGGCTCGTCGTCCTCGAGCGTCTGATGCGGTTCATCTCGGGCAGTGTCCGCTTCCCCGGCGGACTCCTCCTCCACCGTCGGCGGGCGGGGGGTCACCCGCTCGATCAGTCGCTGTCTCTCCGGCGTGGGCGTCCTCCTGGCGGGCTGCTGGGTGTGGACGGAGTCCCTCAAGTGCTGCAGGGAGGTGGTGCCCACGATGATCGGGACGGAGAGATCCGTGTCGTAGTGGAAGTAGCCCGTCTTGAGCTTCACCTGCAGCGTGTAGTGCAGGAAGACGATGTAGTTGGGGTTCAGGGTGGAGCGGGGAGTGTCCATGGGCACGCAGATGCTGGACTCGTACTGGCGCTTGGAGAGGCGCAGAGTGCGGTCCGTGATCAGCTCCTTGACCAGCGTCTTCGTGTAGAAGTTCCGCTTGACAGGCTTCCGCGAGAGGAAGACAAAGTGCTGCTTGATGGACACCTCCACGCCGATGATGTCGTAGTGCGGCGACTGGTTGTCCACCTCCAGCCGGAAGGGCACCTCCTGTAGAGGAGTGAACCCGGAGGCGGGCAGCGTCAGAGTGGAGCAAATCGGTCCCGAGATGCAGGGCCAGTGGCAGAGATACTTGAGGTTTTCATCCTTGACAGGAAGCTGGTGTAAGGAAGGATGAAAGAGATATATCATTAAAAATTCAGTTTATATAAAAGAACATTTTAAAAACTTAACGCAACCGTGGGATTTGAGAATTTGCTTGAATCTGTTCGATTTGATTTGGATTTTTTCAATAGTTTCAGTCTGAAACACACACTTTTTTATAATTCCAAATTATAATCGAAAACGCAAATAGTTTAAGTAAATAACCAAAAAAATACTTTTTGAGTTGGAAAGAGTTCTCCTTATAAAAAAAGGTTCTAGGTTGAATATTGTTTAAGACCATTTACAGGTTATTGTTTTTATAAGTTGTAAAGAAGTTTTTTTTGTCAAGTTTTTAGCATTAAAGATTTTTTGTTTGATTTGGATTTTATTGAACATTTTTTTGTAAAACACACACAGTATTTTAGTACAAAACTATTATTGTACAAGCACACACTTAGTCATTTAAAAATGAGATCAATTCAATTGATTTTTCGGATTGATTCGAAATACAACAAAGAAGGAAAAACTATTTTCTTTGTTTTTAAATAAAAACGAAATACCAATTAAAATTTTGGCCACATTATGAATATTGTTTTTATAGGATTAAAAAATTGCGCACTAGGAAATTATATCACACCCTAACCGCGAATTTTTTTAATATACAGGCCAATAAATTTTTGATCAAAATTAAATATTTTTTTTTTGGCACATGTATGTTATTCAAAATATTGCACTTTTTACATGAGATTATTGTTGATAGTTTGCTTGATGATTTTGGTAAGAAAATCTCTATTCACCCCACAGCAACCCCATATAAACTCACTGCGAATTCGGAATTGTAGTTGAGGTCGAGGGTCTGCACCACGTTGATGGGCTTCCGGAAGACCTCGTCGAAGCCCCAGGGCTTGTCGATGGTCAGCGAGATGGTGTAGGCGATGTAGCCGTAGGGACCCTTGCAGGTGCTGGGACAGTCCGGTGGAATCCTGAGGGTGAGCACGTATACGTGGACTCCTGCCCGGAAGAGGCTGTTATCGAACACGTTGGTGCGGGAGTGTAAATATTGCTGATGGCCCGAGTAATTGGCCGTCTCGCTCTTGCCGCTCATCGACCACTGAACCTTGGCCTCGCCCTCCAGAGTCACATATACAGCTGGGAATGGTATAGTATTTAGTATTCCCCACTGAGATCGGGTTCGGGAGTGCCTTCAACCCACCATTGACCCGCTTCACCTTGTCCGTTCGAAGGAGAATCCGACCGCTGATGTACTCGCCACTATTGTAGATTGGATTCAGGCGATCCAGCTGAAAGACGCAGGTGGTGGGCATGGCTGCGGCACTTCCTTCCAAGTCTTCACTTCTGCCACTTCATCACTGCCACTGGATATATAGCGATATATCTGGAGAGTCACTCAGAACAACCCAACTTCCACACAGCCAGACGCGCACTGAGCTCCAAAACTGCGAGTCCTTTGTCAGCATCCGACGCCAGCGGCCTTTCGCTTTTCCGGGGGAAAGCGGCGGGAAAGCGGGGGAAAGCGGGGGAAGCGGGGAAAGGCGGGGGAGCTGCGAATCAATAAGCTGGCGCCTTGCGTCTGTGTAACCGTCTACTGTCTGCTTCTGGTCTAATATTTCAGCGCGAAACGTTCGGAAATGGAGCAGCTTTTGGCCGTGGCTCCTTTCGGTTTCCTTTGTTTGGCTTTGGCCAAAAGCCACACACTCACACATTCGACATATAGCCACATATAGCAACAAAAAACGGGGCGGATGCTGGCGAGGTCAGGAGCCAACATCCACCACATACTATAGAGTACATCTAGTTATTACCATATATCAAGCGTCGATACAACGCTTAAAAGAATGTCAACAAAACAGCGAAAAGCAGTGCGTCACAACAAGCACTTTGTTTTCGGGGTGTTGGCCCAAAACCCTCTCGGCCACTTTGTTGCCGCATAACGTGGCACAATTAGGCCGCGGAATTATTCGGACGCTCACTCCATTAATTTTGCATGCATAATTTCGATAATAAGGGGTTGTCAATTGACCGAGGGATGAAGGCGAACAAATGCGGCTGCATAAAATGTGCACGACGAGAAAAAGCCAATTGATTTTATTATTGAACAATTCATTTTGAAGTATAATACTTATTTATAAACTATGAACAAGGATACAAGTAACATTTTTATCAGATATCTATTATTATTATATGTTTATCAAATTAACAATAAAGAAAGGAGAGGTAACAACTTTAAAAATCTTTTTATTTTAATGCCAAATAATAGGTTTTAAATATTACTTAATTGAATAAAACTTCTCTAGCATTACATTATATAATATTAATAGTTTAATTTTATTATTTTGTGTACATTAATCGATAAGCATAAACCAAACACAAACCAATACCGCAATCCAAGTCCAATTTCATAGAATTCTTCAAGAATCATTAGCTCGATACTGGAATTCCTATCTGGGCACGTGTCAGGTTAGTACTTTCTTATACAGGTATCGAAATGCTAGTTGCACGTACGACCGTTTTCTCTTCGGACCTTTTAGTAACTTGATGCGCTCGCAGTGTTTGTTCAGCGCCATGGCGCCAATTTCCCGGGAACAGCTGTGGGCCAGAAACTGATTAATTGGCCTAAACAGCTCGCTTTGACTCAAGGCTAAAGGGAACGAGGCCAATATTTAATTACTTGTGATTAAAACGGAGGATATGGACTCACCCAAATTGACAAAGCAAAGTCTGGAGGATTCCATGGGGGAATCGACTGGCGGTGCCACACTGCCCACAAAAATGGTGAGTTTGATTGGAGGATCCAAGTAGTTGAATGTCTCTATATAGTAACTTATATCTATGGGTTCCAGCTGATCAGAATGGCTCATAATTGGAGCTGTTAAAGGCAGTCGCAAATCGTTTTTTAGGTCCGAACTTTCAGATAAAACTTCTATAACCGTCTTGGTCTTCTTATTAGGCTCTGAAGAAGTGTAGCTCGTTTTTTTACACAAACGTGTTACGAACTCCAATACCCCATCTTTGGATTCAATTTCGTATCTAATACTTTGACCTGGAACAAAAACACTGCGTGGGAGGTTAAGCCTTGTATTCGAAGTCTCCTTAAATTGTGGCTTTAAATCGATGAATTCCAGTCTCTTTTTTATAACCAATCGCTGTTGAAAGCACTTGTTGTGTTTGCCTTTCCTTTCAATTACAACCTTTAGGGAATACTCTATATTTCCATAAGGAAGACTGCAAGTGGCTGGTAAAATTTTTGGAAGCTCAAAGCTAAACTCTCCCAGTTGAAAAGCGCCAGGTTGTAAACACAATTCATCTGTCAGCTTCTTAGTTTGATTTATGTGAACCTTGCTGCCACTGTAATCCACTTTAACACTCTCCAGCTGTCCGGAACTATCATTATGTTCGATTTCCGGGAGACCACGAAGAGATTCCCTCCAGTGAACCGAGGAGAGTCCATGGAGTGTAATATTTACACCTGTCAAAAGAAAAAACAACAGAAGATCAGCATAACAGATTGCCCATCTATTTGTAGAACCATCTATTTGTAGAACTGCCCCTATCTAATCTGTAGACCCACTCATTTGCCTAATGGCATCTTCTACTCACCCTCAAGTGGAAATGGTTTTTTGCCATCGACTGTCACCGTGACCGACCCCGAAATTTGCTCACCAGTGTAATAAACGGCAGCGGCACGCGATAAATAAAATTCACAATTTATTGCCATTTTCACTGGTATGGAAAAATATGGCAACACGGAACCCCATTATTATATTAGTGTGGTTTTCAATAATCCGCGTTCACGCGACTGAGACTCCAGTTGCGGCCTCGTCGACAGTCGGCGAACAAGTGACTGTGACAACTTGAGGTTTCGGCCGAAGCTGAGGAAAGTCAGTTGAAATGCTTCCACCCGAATCAACTTCATGAGAAATGGCTGCTGTTTTTCTGCTAATTTGACTGGAAGTCTGTTTCGGCTGCGGTGACATAAAGACATAAATTCGTTATATGGCCGAGCTTAGCCGTCTGAGATTTGTAGCTGACTGTATACTCTACTCTGTTATCAGGATACAACCCACAGCCTCCACTCAAAGTTCGTTTGTATCTTAGGGGTATACATAATATATTTTGCTGTTTAACTTTATTAAATCGGATTGAATCGAATTGAAGACAGTTAAGACTTAGGAGTAGACTTATATGATTGCTGGTTAGACTGGCATTCAAATCAAGGGAAGTACAAAGTATATATAATAGTAGAGGGTTTACACAATCTAAATCCAAAGGCTTGTATATAAACTAGAGCAAAAGACACTTTTAAATATTAGTTAGACAATATCGCTTATAGACACCTAAATCGTATGCTGATGTGACGACTTGATCCAAATACAATTAAAACGATTGTATGACCAGGGAATGTAAAACAATAAGAACTAAGTACAATTTGGCTAAACTTTGCTTGTAAATTTATCGTAGATACTTTATAAATACAGTATTCAATATTGGAAAATGTTAATTTCGTATTTAGTTTTGACTCTCTTTGGGTAAAATTGTGCAGATTGTTAAGGGACTTATCTTCATCTTAGGGCTAAAGGATTTCATCTAACTTTTCACTACTTTGTTCGTATATATGTAGCCAGTGATCACTGTGGTATATTAAATCAGCTTACAGCTTGCAATTTTTTCAAAATTAAAATTATATAAGGTGTATTTTAGATTTGAATAAAATAAGAATTCGGAAAGAGAAGATTTAATATTTAGCTTTGGGTTGATAGAAGAGAGGCTGGATAATGTATTGCCATAATTTGAAAAAAAAAACTTAAATTAGTTTGTGTACATAGTTTTAATTCCTCTGAAAAATATATACCTTCCTGGTTTGGTTCTGTAAAATATGCTTTCGATTTGCTATATCCAATTTTCATTCACGCCTCAGACTTAAGAACTACTATACGTTAGCGCCTTGTATTGAATTATCCGTTTCTATAATATTTTGATTTCGAGTAAATATGTAAGTGTTGTTGCGGTTGCCTTGCTGGTTAACATTTGATGCAGCTCTTCCCACGTCCTTTGATCCCAGGCCGTCTCACTTCTTTTCGCAGGCGAAGGACTCTCCTCCCGGCGCATTGGTGGTCACCTCCTCATCCATTCCCGCTTCCGCCGGCGCCGAATCCTGGCAACTGAGTGTGAGACGAAGCTGGGAACTGGACTCATCGTAAAGCCTCTCTGCGGTTTTCGAGATTCGACGCGAAGGAAGATGGTGGAGGGGGTCGTGAATGGACGGTGCAAAATGTTGCATGTTTTGGGGCGGTAACAAGAGAACAAATTTACAAGTTAAGCACATTTTGAAAATGTCTCTGCTCGGCTTACGTCTAATTAACAGAGAAATGCATAGAAGATTAAGTAGAAAAGTTAAGGTAAAGCTTTAAAAAATTCTTAAATGTTACTGGTTAATGTAATTGGCTTAAACTTTAAAGACGCTCATTAAGCATCTACGACTTGATTAATATTATATAAAATTTATAGCGATATTTGGTTCAGACGTGTACAAATATTTGATAATATTATTATGTTAATAATACATTGAAAACAATCAATTAATTGGTAGTGAGTAAATTTAGTGTAAATTATAATATAAAGTAATGGAATAAATTTAATATTACGAATAGATAAACATTGTTCAATATTTAAATTTAGCGAAAAACTCATGGATATTTCTATAACAAGTAAATTTAATTAAACGTGCAAATATTTTGATACACAATTTTATATAATTGGAATAAAATTTTAATACGATATTTGAATATTTTATTGGTAAGTAAAGAGATTGAATTGAAAGAAGATTACAAGCTAAAGAGACACTTAGAACTATGGAAATATTGTATATTTACAAATCGGACAATCAATAAACAAATCAGACAAGAAAGGACTAAAGAAATGGATTGGCTTTATTTTACCTTTTGCATATTTAAGCGGACAACTTGTGTGAAAATCTCTTTTCAATATACAATCTCAATACTTTAACAAAATACAAGACATTTAGGAAAAATGCTCTAACTACTATTAAGTAAAGGAATAAAATAAGAGTTTATAGAAAAAGCCACTCAGCCATTCAATAGATTGGTTCATTTTTGGTGTTTTTTTTTATCATTTTGGTAAACAATTTTTGGTTTTTGTATTGGAGGGGTTTTAGGTGTCGGATTCATTTGAATCATCACTACCGGGCGGTATGGTCGGTGTCTCATAATCGTAATAGACCGGATAACGCGGCTTAAAGGGCTCACTTGTGGTAACATCAGCCTGAGCGGACAAAATGCTGCTCATGCTAACGTTGGTCAAGAACTCAGTATCATCGCTGAATTTCTCACTCAGAGCCATGGCATCTTCGTACGAGGGCGGCACTGCAAACAGAGTTCATTTTAATAAGGAGTTCGGGATAAGAAATTGTTTAATTTAATGTATATTATATATATAATTTAAAAAGCCAATACAGATGGATTAAATGATACAAAATCTTTAGTTAAATAAGTTTAGTTAATTCACAGTCAAATAAATATATTTGGTATTTACAACTTTTCGCTATTTAAACTTTTGCCTGTTTAGAACTTTCAGAACAAATATCTAATCAAGTGTATTAATAAAACACTTGTAGTTTACTTGTACCAAATGCTGTTCATTAGTTACATTATGTTATAATACTGAATTATATAGCACTATAGATCTTTCAGGAATATTGTGTCTTCTTAACTAAATAATAATACTAAATACTCATTTAAACTAAAATATTTAGACTGACTTCAAAATATGACAAAAAGATACGTATTAACTTCGTGGGTTTCCCCAAAACAAAGTTATACCATCTGGAAGGGCAAACTAAATCGTACGATCGGTGGTCTTACTCATGGGTATATAGTCCGGGGGATTATCGCTATCGCTGGTCACCAAAATCGCTGGCATGGCCGATGGCCTGAGGGCGGCAGTCGTTGGCGTTGATGAGGGCGTGGAGCTCGTGGGCGTGGGACTGGCATTCACTATCATATTCATATTGCTATTGGTCGGCAGTAGTCCGCCCACAAGGCGTCCGTGATTGTGATTGTTGTTGTTGATGCTGCTGAGGCGTCGCTGCTGGACTGAGGCACTTGTCCGCTCCCGATTCCGATCTCTATCTCTATCCCGATCACGTTCCAAATTCCTATCTCGGTCTCGATCCCGATCTCTATCCCTATTGTGGTCACGATCCCGCTGGCGCTGCTGCGTGGACATTTGTAAATTTTGACTAACTACTTGGTGCTGTTGCTGCTGGCGATTGAACCGCAGCAGGGCCTCCGGACCGTCCATGATCGGAATGCTGCCGATGGTCAACGGGATCTTCAGCTTCAGCTTCCAGTGGAACTCCGTGGGGTTCACGATGATCTTAATCGAATAGTTAACGCTAATGGGGCACGTCGGCTTCACCGAAGTGGGCGGTATCGAGGGCAGGTCCAGGTAGCCCCGGTACACCTTCCGCGACCAGCGGAGCACATTGCCGAACTGCTTCCTGGCGATCAGGTGCTTGTCGTAGCGGTACTCGTGCTGCGGATCGTGCGACTCGTAGCTCACCTCCTGCTTCAGCTTCACCTCGCACTCGGTGATGTCGATCGAGGACTCGTTGTTGATGTACAGCACGAAGTGGATCTTCTGCCCGGGCGCGTATCCGCAGTACGGCGTCGAGAACTTCACCGTGAGCGGACCCGTCGGACAGCAGAAGCTCCAGAAGCGCTTCCGATCGAGGATCTCTAAGGGAACCTGAAAAATAACAATGGGTTAGTTACATTTATTCAAAACACTTAGCTTTTCTATAAGCATGAACATATTTTAAATAATTTTGATGCTAAATTCAGTTACAATAACTTGATACCAATATCATTTGCATTCTTATTAAAGAAGTTCAGTACTGTTTCAAAAAACTACTACAGCTCTTGACTGAAAAGTTTTAATTAGCCAGTTAAATGATATAAAGAACTTTCAACTTTATAGCCTAAAAGCACTATTTTTAGAATTAAATTTAAAATTCGTTAACTACAGTTTAAATTAAGAAAATATCTAGTTTCACTTGAATATTTAACAAATTAATATTGTTTCAAAAACAATACTACAACTTTTGTTGCTAACATTATATCTATACTATTCAGCCTTTAAAGTTTTGTTGTTAAGTACATTCCTGAACAACGAAGTATTTTGAGGATCTACTCACTCTATAAATAGCATCGGCGTTTAGGTCCAGCGGTTGTATCACGGTAAATGGCAGCTTGAAGACCTTCGGGTAGCGACCGGCCCGCTCGATCGTCGTGATGATCTCGTAGTGAATCTGGCCGTACTTGCCGTCGAAGGACGTGGGCAGATTGTCGGGCAGGATGACGTGGAAGGTGTACGAGTACTCGCCGGCCGGCCAGTCGATGCTCGAGTTGTTCGCGCAGGAGCCGAGGACGTAGGACCGCGAGGACAGGTACGATCGGTAGGCACGGCACATGGCGCGCTCGCTGTCGCGCGGATATCCCTTTTTTATCCAGCGTATCTTGGCATATCCGCTGACGGTGACGTGGATGCCTGCAAGGATGAGGATGCCCCGCCCCGCCCGCTGTGACTAAGGATTGCCAAATTGAATTGCGAGCTGCAAGCGCCGTAAAGCGACTCATCGCCATACACTCAAAATAATGAAGTGGGATTCTCATAATTTAGCGGTTTAAATGTAAAACTAAATAAAAAGTATGTTTAAAGTTATAAAAGATTTTAAAGTAAAGCGGATTTGTGGTTTCAAATCGAGATGGCTTGACATTATAATGGATAATTTTAGATAAGTAAACTTTTACTGTATAACATTACAGAGAAACTAAATAATTTAAAAAGTCTCTGATCAGAAACTTACTAGAGATAATATTCCAAACACTTAAAACGGCTTTCAAATTTAAATAAATAATACATATGTACATATGTTTATATAAATAATTTATAAATAATATTTATGTGTTTCAAATAAATTTTAAATTAATAAAATTTAAATATATTTTGAATAAATTTTATTACAACTATTTTCCTAGTGTAGCTGTTTTTTCACAAAAAAAAAAATTACAAATAACCACGCCTTTAACGAGTTCATGGATAAACGAAAATGGCGGCATGCCAAGAGGAGCACAACAACTGCAGAATATTCCACTGTGGCAGAGACACAGCCATATATTTTCCGGTGGAGAGGAGAGGAGTGGGGAAAGGGGAGCGGGGTAACGATTAATGGCACGGCAAGTTCAAAACGCTGTCCGGGGGGAGACACATTTTAATATTGCCATTAGCTGGTGTCCTTCGTGCATTCGAATGCAAGCGAAACGCTGCACCGAAATATCAAGTGACCACATCACTCATACGCCCCGTGACTCATTTTCCATAAAATTTTACGGTGAAGCTTACCTTTAATGCGCCGCGTGGCGTCGACGTCGAGATCAACAACGCCGGATAGCTCCTGTCCGGCATAGTAGACACCTTGTGGATTATTATCAAATGATATAAGGCACTCAATGGGCATATATTGCTATATAGTTGTCGTGTGTGACTGTGTGTGTGTGTTCCGCTCGTTACCTCCCCCTGTCCGTCTGTCTGTGTGAGTGCGGGTGTGTGTGTGTGGTTGTGTGTTCGGTTGTGTGTGTACTTGGGACTGTGCAAAAAGCAGGCCACAGTTGTAAAAATATCACTTTTCCCTTGTCGGCTGGAGCGTATGAATCGAAGTATTTGGGAAATGGGCTGGCTCGTTCATTTGCTATTTGCTATCAAGCCATTTGCACTTTGCCTTTGTCGCCTTTGTGGCACTCGCACTGCATTTTCTTGGCACCCAGCGGCCTACACACATGCACACAGAAAATTTGTGAACGTTTTCCACCGAGCCACCGAGCGACCGACCGTCCGACCTCAGAATTCTTTCCGCCGTAACCTACTTTTCCACTTTTCTCTGCACGCACTCAAACGACGGGGCAATCACTTTGACGCGTCTATGGAAATTTTCGAAATATTCGCAACATTAACCCGGGCGGGGAGTATTAATTATTTCTGTTGCTTTTTCTGTGGCCCCCTTGTTTGTGTCTGTCTGACTCTGCGTCCGCCTATCCCTATGTTTTCTGGCTTGAGCTCCGTTCTCCTGGCGCTTCGTTTCGATTCGATTCAATTCGCTCGCAGCTCGCAGCAAACACGTCCAGCAGCCGTTCGTGTTGGATTTGCTCTGTCAAAGCTGTCAGCCGAGCGCAGGATATTCGTGCAAGCCGACAGGACTCGCCGCTCGCCAAAACAACAACCCCCGGAGAGCGAGAGTGAGCAATCCGCCAGGCTGAGAGTCACGCACACGTGCTTGCGGTGTTTGTTTTTGTACACATTTTTCGCATTTCACAGCGTCCTTTTTGCCTTGCCAGAGTTGATATCTTCGATTGTTTAATTTATTCAAACACTTTAATTATACAAAGATTGCGCTTCAATTAACTTAAGCTGCAAATTGGGAAATGGGTATGGTAGAAAAACTTTTCTTTAATATTTTAATGTATATTTTTATATCTCAACTCTCTTGGTCAGCCGGTACCCGAAAAAACATAAGTTAACAAAAAAACCCTATATGAAAATATGAGAAATTAAAATAAAAAAGTTTACCTTTTTATGAACATTCAAGTTTAAGTTTTGAGTGTAAACAGTGCTGTACAATTTTCGTTTTTCTTTTTAGTAGTGGAGACTTCTATCGGCAAATTTTCTATGCTGCAATAACGACATCTAGCGACAAAATCGCACAGAGCCCTATTGAGAAAACCCAACGAACAGTGGCGACACCTTTCGCCAAACGTTATCTAGGCGACACATAGCGGAAAATTCTTGAAAAGTATTTTTTTTAAATACCAAAAGAACTTATATTAATTTTTTAAGGATACGGCAATATATTCATATGGAAAAAAACATTCAAAATGCAATTTATTATCATTCTTAGAAGTAAGTCCCATCTATTTATTTGATTATAGTTGTTCTTTAAATTATTAACAACCTTAGTTATACATCCGCGAAAACCTAATACTATTATTTAGGCCTGGTATCTTCTACGTTGCATTTTATTAATTTAAAATAAAATTTAATTATATTAAATATATTTAAAAGAAAATTGCAAAAACTGACTTATCGATATTTTTGGTATCCCTGGCAAAACCGTCTTCTTTATCCACCAGTGTGGCATCGCGGCAGCGAACAGCTGTTTTTGGAAATTGTTTTGTTTTCCAATAAAAATTTTGAATTAGCGAATGAAGATAACAATTTCACCACCCGATAAGCTAAAAACTGACCTTGAATAAGTACGTGTGATCGTGATCTGTGCAGGTTTAACTAATAAGTACATAAACCCTACAAAAACAGTGAAGTTGCTGCAAATAGTTCGCAGGATGAGCCAGGAAACCTCTGTGGAGAACCTTTCGGGTGATTATTTCTGTAGATCTTTATGCGTATAGTTTCCTCTAACGTTTGATTATATTTTACATACTAGCACTTCGCCTGAAGTACCGTGAGCGCAAGGATGCCTTTCTGGAGGAGAACATCGATGTGAAAAATCCATTTTCTGTCTTTCGCGATTGGCTAGAGTTGGCTTTAAAAACTCCGGAGATACTGGAGCCCAATGCCGCTGCTTTGGCCACCGTGAGTCCCGCGGGGAAGCCATCCAATCGATATGTTCTGGTCAAAGAAGCCACCGCCGAGGGATTCACCTTCTTCACCAACTACGGCAGTCGCAAAGCGGAGGAGATCAAGTCCAATCCCAACGTGGCCATATCCTTTTACTGGCTGCCTTTGCGTCGCAGTGTCCGCATCGAGGGCGTGGCAGAGAAGATTCCGGTGGAGGACTCGCTCAAGTACTTCCACCAACGACCCAGGGCCAGTCAAATTGGAGCCGCTGCCAGTCCGCAAAGCCAGCGGATTCCCTCGCGTGGCTACTTGGATGAAGTAGAGGCGGAAATCAAGGCGAAACTGGGTCCCGACGGAGAGGTTCCCTTGCCCAACTGGGGCGGCTACCTAGTGCGTCCCGACCTCATCGAATTTTGGCAAGGCCAGACCGACCGCCTTCACGATCGCATTCGTTTCAGACGAGGCAATGGAGTGGAATCCGAGGTCGATGGGAAACTGGTCCACAAGGGGGAGGATGGCTGGGTCTACGAGCGGCTCGCTCCATAAGCACAGGAATCGGCAGTTACGCAACGGTTGCATTCACTATGTCTTCCAAATGTAGATGAATTATGAATTATCGTAGAAATTGAGCGCATTTTAAAGCTTTTTTGAGAATAAATGTAAACCCAGAAAGACGGGAAATATCTCAATTAATCTATAGCTAATCATCTTTTTAACCAGGTTTAAGTAAGTCGTATATGGTAAGTTTTAGGTGAGAAATTTGAAGGAAGAGTTTAGTGAGTATAAATCAGCATTCTATGCGGTAATATACAGTTCAAAATGGTTAAGATTGTGTACAAGGCGCTTAAAGCATCATAATTTTCTGCACAGAAAATTTTTATAACTTTCAGTTTTAGAAGTCAAATCCGAGCGTATACAAATAGTTTTGATATCAAAGGGAATAGTAAACTTTTCGTTTTCGTATGCAAAAGTTTCTCAAATAAAATAGCAAATTTTAAGTGGCTCGTCACGTTTCAAATTATTATGTCGTCCGTTTTAGTACAAAGGCTTTGGGGCGTGGTTTGGTCCTCCGGATCGCTGTGCCGCATTCGCCAGCATGCCAGTCAAGTCGCCCAGCAGTTGATCAAGGAGGACAGTGAAGAAAGACGCGTCTACGACGAGCCGTACGTGATCTTCCAGAACTGGCTGATAAACGCCCAGAAGGAGGCGCCTCAGGTGCGACCGCGCCTCGCCTGCATGGCCACCGTGGACAAGGCGGGCGAGCCTGTGACCCGGCTGACCAGCATCGAGGAGGTGAGTGCCGACGGGATCACGTTCTTCACAACCCTGGGCAGTCGGCAGGCGGGCGAGATCAGCGCCAATCCGCACGTGTCGCTGCACTTCAACTGGGCGCCACTCATGCGCAGTGTGCGCATAGCGGGCTCGGCCCACCAGCTGTCGGACCAGGAGGCGCAGGAGCAGTTCCGCCGATACCCCCGCCACATCCAGATGTGCATCACCCATGGACCGCGCTACGCCGCTGCCGACTGGCAGTCCCGCTCGGGGTTCCTCGCGCGGATCGTGCAGCGCTTGAACGACTGGCTTGGCAGGGCTCCGGAGGAGATCCCCATGCCGCCCAACTGGGGTGGCTTCATCCTGACGCCCAGCCTCTTTGAGTTCGGAATGCTCAGCGGACAGAAGGCGGGCAGGACTCGAGTGCGCTTCCGCCGCTGCCTGGAAATGCCAAGGGTAAGTCATGACTACCAAAATCTCTAACTTGTTTTCAAAATTAGAATTGCAATTTGAGAAGCTTTACACTGGGTTTTAAAATACTAATTAAATACTTCGATCTTAAGATACTTGTCTTATTATTTAAAGTTTTAAGTTTGAACAACTTTTATAATACTTAATCCCACTTAATAAATATCATTTCAGGGAGCGAGAGTTGGAAACGTTCAAGCAGAGAGACAAGATTGGGTCTATGATATGTCTGAGGAAAACTGAAGTGGAAATTCCTTAAAAACCGATTCGGCATGAATATCCTCTCTATGTGATAACTCAAAATTCCACTTATTATTTTCATGGCCATCCTGTTATGTGTGCATTTCCATTCAAGGCTAAATTTTAGTTCAATTAAAATCAATTGTCCAACTAATCAAAACAAATAAATGAGACGGTTTACTAATTAGCCTACTATGGTTTGACCAAATCAAATAATTGCAAAGAAGGTAGTTAAAAAAATTTCCACTATATTACCGATAAAAACTTGTAAACTCAGAGGCTCAATGCTTAAAACATTATAATTGGATATGCATATACTCGTATACTGTCAACTTAGCTACTTCTATATAATCTTTTATCCATCAGTTTAAAAGTATATTCATATTTAAGCTGAAGCTTCAAAAACGACATTATGCTATGTTTCTTTACTTGCTATTTATAATTTTACGCACTGGCTACCGGTTAATTTAAGGACTCAGTTAATGCATTTGGTTAATTAATCACTATCCAACTATTGACCAGATTAAATAATTCAGTCCATTAATGGAAAGGTGTTAACGTGAGGGAAAAGTAAATTAATTTCAGCCGAGCTGCCAATGAATTAACCGCCGAGGGAGCTTATGTCATCAGCGCATCGTTGCCAAATTGGATTTAAATAAAAGCTTTCGTGTTTTCAAGCAGAACTGGATCGCGTTTAAAATGCGTTAAAGGCCCGCAGCTCGCCTAATTGGATGTCCTTGGCTGGGTGTCCTGTGGAAATGCCCAATGCACGTGAGGCTGTGTGGGCACGTAAAAATTTAATAAAATAAATAGGCGGGTGCAGTCAAGCGCAAAGAGTAATGCCCGCCGGGAAATGTGGGATGGATGGATGGATGGATGGATGTGGTGCACAAAGATGTGGAGGCATTCCGCTGTGGAGGCCAAGCGGCAGCGGCAGCGGTAGCGACAGCAGACAACAAATAGTGAAAGCCAAAGCGCAAGGCCGGAAAAGCACACACCCCACAGTCCCCAACCACCACCCACATTTTGCGCCCACTCTACAAATTTGCCTTTGCACTCCTTTGTAATTGTAGCCATCGCTCTGTCAGTCGTTCGCTTCCTTCCTCGGTTCATTTTTTGGCTTTCCTGTTTACTTTGTCCTCGTCTGCGCTTTCTCCAGTCCTTCGTCTCTCCGGCGTTTTGTTTTGCTCGTCCTGTTTCGTCCTTTATCGGCTTCTCTCTCTGGGTGGGTGTGTGTTGCCTTTGCCTCTCTCTCTCTCTTGGTGCATCTCTCTCTCTCTCTATCTCTCTGTGGCTCTCTGGTGGAAAGCGCGAAGAGCAGGAAAACTTGTTGGCAAGGATAATGAATATTTCTTACTTTCGTTGCGTGCTAGTTCCAATAGATAGGGATGCCAGGTATTGAGTCGGGAATGTGTCGAGAAAATATATAAGAAAACTAAAATTTGTATAAATTATTATAAAGTATAGAACTTGTTGAAAACTATACAAATAAGTTGAATCAAACTTAAATAATTTTGTCATACTTATAGTAAAAATAATAGATACATTTATGTAACAAAAAGAAATATACAAAACAGAATATTATTATCATGTAGTTTCTCATTGTTAATTACTTTAGTACCTAAAAAATACAAATTAATTAAAATGTCGACGCTTGGGACTATAAGCTTTTAAAGGTCGGTATTAATTTCAAAACAATAGAATATCAAATAAATAAAATAAATTTCAATTTGGAAAAGTGTATGCATGAATCTCAAGAGTATTAGTTTGTAAAAATTAAGCCCTGATATTTCTCTTTCATCCTTAATTTTCCTTCCCCACCTGGCAACCCTGGTCGCCAGCCTGCCGCCTTGCTTTGGCTGAGGGCCAGGCCCACTCCGCTTCAAGCCACGGCAGCTGACAGCGAACAGCGAACGGTGAACGGTGAACAGTGAGGGTTGCGGTCTCGTTCTCGTTCAGTTCGCCGCGCGGCTCCGGCAGTTTCAGTTTCGAGGTCCTGACTCGGTCCGTTTCTCAGTTCCGAGCAAACTTCGGCGGGGAGCAGAAGGAGCAGAGCGGAGCAGTGGAGCCCCACCAGCAAATAAAAATAGACAAAATACTGAAACAATAACTCGAGGCGGCGAGCTAGTGTAGAATTTTGTACATATACAATATACAATTGCGGGGGAGCGGAAGTGGCAAGTGGCGGAATAATTAAGGACAAAAACGCAATTTCAATTATCGTTAGTGTAATCTTGAATGTGAATTTAAATGTGAACTGTGAGTGTTCGGTGTGCGGCAGTTTTTGCCAGACAATTTGTTTCTCTGAATGTGGTGTACTTTTTTCCCATTGCAAATTAGTTAGAGTGGCTTAATCAAATATATACATTATATATAGTTATATACATGTGTGTCGGTGTGCCAGTATTTTTGCTAAACTTATTGAACTGATATCGTATACTTTTTAAGTGCTCAAGCAATTATTGTAATTTGAATAAAGGAACTTTGGCCGCATTCAAACGACAAAGGACTAGAAACCGGAGTCCTTTTTCCCCGAAAAGTGCGAGTGTGTGCTGCTATTCGCCTTTGTCCTGCGAATCAGGGGGTGTGTCCAAAGGGGCCGAGGGGGAAACTTTTTACATAAGCAGGACCAGCTGCAAATGGAACGGCCACCTGCGGCTACACGGCGGCTACTCAACGCCTGGATCCCTCGCTTTGTTCGCCACTGAGTGCTTAGTGCTGAGTGCTGAGTGTTTAGAGCCGCGTGTCCTTGCAACGTGACAGCCCGATTGTGCGTGGGGATATGCAAAGGAGTCCCGCCTCCCGACAATGGCCCACTTAAAGCTGGACACACTCCACGTGCAGCGCAGCCCCCGCGGCTCCCGCAGGAGCAGTCCGAGCAGCGGCAGGAGCAGCGCCTGCAGCTCCGGGAGCATCTCCCCCGTGCCCATCATCCCGATCATCGCCATCAGCCACGATGGCGACGAGTCCGAGTCGGAGTCCGAAATCGAAACGGAGCCCGCGCGCCTCTTCCAGCGCCGCATGTCCACCAAGTGCACTAACAACCTGGTGGGTACTAAGATGTATTCTATATATTTTTGCTAAGTGTTATTGTGCCTGGGAACTTCTGGTAAAACCATTATAGTTTTTTAAAAGCTTCTACTCAAGTCATTTTAAAGGCTTTTTTAAGTTTTTAACCTTAGTTGTTATGGCTTTATGTCCAAGGCAATTTTTTTAAATTTCTGTATTCTATTGGATGAACTATTTTCTAATAAGGAAAACCAGTTTTTGTAGGAATTTTGAAATATGGTAGTTAAGGGCTTATCATTTCATTTTTCTAACGATACACTTAACAATATCTTGCAAGTAAAAGAAGCGCAGTGTAATTTGAGGCAGCAACACAAAGCGGAAATCATTTCGTTTTTCGCCGTGCGTCAAGAGTCCTACGGCTTTGTCACAGGACTTGCCATGGCGGTGCAACGGAGCGTCCTCGCTAAAGTTTCTGGAGCGGAAGTTGCATGCAAACTGGCAAACGCCAGAGGGGGCGTGCTGCACGAGGAGGAAGGGGGCGTGGCAGCCGCTTTATATGCGAGTTGCGTGTGTCGAGAGTTTATGTTTCAAGTACTTTAGTGCGCTGCACCACCGCCAAAGGTCAGAGGCGCAGTTCAAGAAGTCGGTAAAATATTTTAGTGTCGCTGCTGCATAGGTCAGGGGTCACACCACCCCTCCCCCCTCCTCAACCATTTGGCGATTGCTCCGCCCGCTTCCATCATCATTTAGGTGCATTATTAAAATGTAATCCGACTCTCTGTCCATGGAGCCCGAAATTAAATAAAATTGTATCGACTTGAGTTCGCAGCGGGCAAAAAAGAAAGAAAGGCCGAGCGGTCCGTCCGTGTATTTTAATTAAGCGTTGCCATAGTTGCCCGGCGGTCAGGTTTTGGCGAATAAAAGAATCAAAATGATGGAATAATGCAAGAAAGGCAAGCCCCAAAAACTCCGCGAAGTCCGAGAAAAGCTTCAATTAAGTTCTTTATGGTTTTGGTGTCACTTTGAAGCTGGTCGGTCGGTCCACCCCGTCGTATGAATAATGTTACCGGGAAAGGAAAAGCCGAAGCCCGGGTTGCTGGCCATTTGATGTTAATTATACGCATCGTTGCACTGACCCATCCGCCCAACTTTGCCCTTTGGATCCGCATTGTATTTTTATACAGCTGTTCAGCTGCCGATGACCCCGACGCCTGAATTTCGGCAAAAGTTCAACAGTTCAACAGTTCGCCCCCGATTGTCCAACTGCAATTTGTGCTTTAAGCGACGGCATTTGTTATTTGTGATTTATAGTATGGCATTCAAGGGCTGGGCAAAACACATTTGCCTGATTGTGACAGACAAGCAACATTCAAGTGCTCCCATGTGGAGAGGGGCGTGGCCCCATAAACACACATGTACCTCCACCGGAGTGGTGGGGGGTGGGGTGAAATAGGGGGTGCGGGGCTTACACATGTCAAACCGCAAAACAATAAGCGAGCGCTGAACAAAAGCCGCTTAGTGCACGGCTTGATGGCAGCGTTTTGGTAGCGTGCTGCCAACGCTAAAGGCGGCGACAATACGACAATAGAAAGGACCTCAACAGTTGGAGCACAGTGCGGGCCACGCGATTAGGAACGGTGAATTGATAAAAGATTTGACTATCAAGCAAATTTTGTATAAATTTTAAATACTTCATAAAACAATTTATTTTTTGTTAATTTAAAATTTTAAACGGTAGTTTCTAATACAATTTTGTATGTTCATTCATACATTATGACCTTTTTTCGTTCTGGACTTATCTAAGTTTTAAAGAGTTCAAAAATATTGAATTGTCGATATGTATATTTAGTTAAAAACTTCGGGAACTAAAGTATCTTTATTTTTTAACGCTACTAACAAATTAAATATTACTCATAAAACTAACAAAGTTTATTTAAAACATCCGAAATAGCTTGAATAATAAAACAGGTTCTATTACGAAGATTCCATATTTTCTCCTGCGACTGTCGTCTTTCTAAGCCATTTAAATCCAAGAACAAGTAAGCCTAAAGTGTAAACAAAGCCAGGAGTCTTGCCAACTCTTGTCCTCCGACTCTCTCTTCGGATCATCTTCAGTAGGCCGCTGCCGCAATATCCTTGAGCCTGGCTCCCTTTCTTGCCACGTGCTTGTTGAAAAAAGGATGAATTATTTACGACTATTTACTCAGACAATTGGCCAACAGTTTTGCGGCTCACGTGAGCCATCAAAGCAATCTCTTACTCAGAAGCTAATTTCTTTAATTTAAAGCTGTTTTTCCTGCTTTGAGAGCTGAGTCCCTGTGCATAATGTATTTGTCGGATGAAAGGAATAAAGCCAGTGAAAGCCAGGAAAAGTCACGGTTGGGAAACCTTACGTTATGTTTACGTTGCCCGGCTGAGCGAGTAACAACAGCAAGTCATATTCATATCTATGGACCGGCCTTTTTTGTATCTTGTATCTCTTTACCTCAACGGAAAGTGAAGGTAAAAAAAAGTGAAAGAGAGTGGCGGGGCAGGTGAGGTGGCCCTAAATCAAAATCAATACCCGACTAACGAAAATTTCAAACTTGCTTATCATCACCGCGCTGTCTGTTGTTGGCTGGCTGATGGACTCTGGCTTTGTGGGCTTTATCCATGGCCACTTTGGCGTATACTTGATGTGTCAGCGATTGGCCTCATGGCCGTGCCACATGATTGATTGACGATGATTTATCTTGGCATGATAGCCAGTAACTTTGATTTTTAGTCACAGTAAGGCTTAGCTCCTGCTTGTGCGGCGAGAATTATCAACTTAATTCAATTTCCATCGAGGTCAAACTTTTAATTTAAAGAGGGTTGTTCTTTCCTCCTTCCGCTAAAATCACTAAAGTCACGTATGTCCTTAAAGCCAGCTCTCCGTTTCTTGGCTAAGTAAACATTTCCGTTTTCCTCTGCTATTTGCTGCACAAACAGAACAGCAAATGGATTTGCTGCAACTTGATTCGCTGCAATGTCCGTTGATTTCTCCAACGATTTTCCATTATTATTTGCCGCTGAATTTCCTTTTAGCCCGAGGCTGGATGGCCTGAACCCCGCCCAAAACTTAAACGGATTGCAACTTTGTGCACTCAGCCAGCGGCATTTGGATCGATTTCTATAGTCCCGCCCAGGCAAGTCGCAAAATTTGCCCGAATCAAAAAGTTTGTTTGTCGTATAATTGGCCCAGATTATTGTCACTTTTGTCGCCTTTCGTGCCACGCTTATTTACACTTTTATACATCGCAAATACGTGTGAATAGCGGCAAAAGCTGTGTGTGGTTGTTCTTTGTTTGCACAATTGATTGCTGGCCATATTGACCACCGCTTTCCCCCTTTTCCTCACTTGTTATTGGCCTTTGTTAGCCTGCAGCCAATTATTTGTTGACTTTCAGCCGAAGATTGCAAGTGACGGATCCCGCAGAGAGCGTCGGAGTTGCTGACCGATGTGTCCTGTGTCCAGTGTCCTGGGCTCTGTGTCCTGAGTTCTGGGTCCTTAGTGCCAGGTCCCATCTGTGTCTGCTACATGCCGAGCTTCTCATTATTATTACCCCGGGCTCATTCGCTCTGGTCCATGCAGTGTCAGCTCATCAATTGCTAATTGGCCCGGGTGATTGGCTGATGGAGTGTTTTCATAGCCAAGCTCAAACTGCACTCACTGCGTTCTTCGTTCCTTGCAGGCTGCCATCATCAAAGAGGGATTCCTGCTGAAGCACACTTGGTCCTTTCAGCGCTGGCGACGCCGATACTTTCGCCTCAAGCGCAATATGCTGTTTTACGCCAAAGATGAAAAGGTAAGTTTTAATGCGATCTAAAAAATATCGCACGAGATAAGAACTGTTTTCCAGAAGGGGCAAAAAAGGAAGCTTGTGTAAAAAAGGACCATGTTTTTTTTAAAAGATTAAACTTTTTTACTACTAATAATATAATATTAATTTATTATGTTATTGAAATAAGGTTCTATATAATTCGGCTAAAGAAAGCTATAAATCTGGGCAATGATACCGTCTAGTCACAAGCTATTTAAAACAAGTTTAATTGCCATGCAATCATAACGCGGCAATCTGAAAATTAAATTATAGTTATAGCAGTATCGCCTTGCCCTGGTAACTTTTGTTTTTTCAAAACAATATATTTTTTTTTTTTTGTACGGTACCCCGTACTTAGATATGGTGGTGTGCCCCATCCGTCACCCATCCGTCACCTTACCCTTCCGTTGCGGAGGTGGAATCAAAAACAATTGAGCCACCTGCATCGGATACAGAGCCACAATTTGACGCGGATAGTGCAGGCATTAAGAAGGGTGCCTACATTGGATTAGGTGCCTGCATTAGCGTAGGTGCCTGCAATCAGTAAGTTATTGGTGCCGAAATAGGGGCGGGCTTACCCGAGCTGGTGGGCGTAAAATAAGCCGTGGCTAGTTTTAAAATATGACGTTCGTTTTTATACTAGAATCCCCACCACTAGGATAAGTCGCTTCTGGCTAATCACCAGTTAAATCAAAAAAACGCTGAATTCAATACGAAATTTCTGACAAAAAATAAAAAATTTTGTAGAGGCCCATGCTCCCAGGTGGAGTGACAAAGGAAAAAAAAATCGAACGCTAAAGCTGTGGCATTAAATCTGTGGGCGCCACAGAGTCTCGCGGTTTGAGGGCTTAAAAGTAGGCGTGGCCCAGACATTAAACAAACTGGCGCTGCATACGAATAACATACATTTTTAACATCAATATCTTAGCTCTTATAGTTTCCGCGAGGACAGACAGAGAAACATACATAGATCGACTTGTTGGATAGTCCTGATGAAGAATGTACGAGTATATACTTTATGGGGTCGCAAGTGCTTTCTTCGACTTATAGAGTATAAAATACTTTATGTTTGCCATACTTTTAGTTTGGACTGCATCACTGTAAAAAAATTATATATAATTAAATACTGAGGTAACCATACGCCCATTCCCATTACTATATATGAAACGCTAAAACGTTTTTCAACGTTATGTTTATATCAAAAAAAAAAAAAAATGACAACCCAACGCGTTTGCTGCTCTAGGTTAGAAATAAGACCTTTTCATTTGCCATTTCCCGCTGAAAATGAATACGTGACGGCAGAGGTCGATGGTGATTGCTGGACTGTTCTCAACCCCACTCGGTTTCACCTTTTTCCATATGACCCTTCACATTGGTGGCCTGGGGAGAGACATGGTCCTTGCGTTTTGCACTCTCGAATTGCGCTGCAGCCATTTGCAGGATATAATTACCAAATGAAATTACCGCTTGAAGGCAAAACAATGTCGAAAGGAATGTGGGCGAGGGGGGTGGTCGGGACTAAAGGTTAAAAGGGGGAACCGCCAGACAGGTGAGACAGACAATAAATTGGTTTATTGCGTGCAGTGCTCTTTTCATCAATAATGAATGCTTTTAAAATGCCCGCCCTACATGGCACCGCCACCGTAATGGAATCAGAATGTGGGTGAATTTTCGGTGGCACTATTGGGGCCAAAGGTTGCCGGCTGCTAGTTGATTGCAGTGGCTTTTAGTGACTCAATAAATCGAACCGCCTCCCCTGTCAATGCCAAATGAACTCGGTTGCGGCAGGGCTGTCATTAATCATATTAACGAAGCTAATTGCCTGGTAAGTCAATTATTTATGGCTGGCCCCCCGGCTTGAGTTTCGGACTTGAATTGGTCCGATCGAAAGCTTAAGCCTTAAACTGATTACTCAACGCATTTCCACTGAGTTCGATTCCATTTCGCTCTTAATCCACGCTCTTGTGCAACTGCAACTGCAACCCATCCAATTGCGATTGACGTCAATCCAGCATCAAAGCACGCTTCGAGCGTAAAATACAATTATTTCGTAAACTTTGAAATCGGCAGCAGGCTCTTCAGCGCCCAGCTTGCCGTTGTGAAGGAGCTATGAAAACATTACGTATACGCCGTGTACGGCTTTCATGTTTGCACAATGCGAAGCATTAGAGTGCACACTGGCCTTGTTTGAAGCTGCGATGACGCGTTTCCATTATGCAACAAGTCGAAGGCGTCCCTAGAATTACCCCACCCCCTTCCCCTTCCCCCTCCTCCTCCGCCTCTCTCCTGACATTAAGTATTTGGTAATGTAATGACAGGTTGCCAAGACACCCAAATTATTAGCCCCATTAGTGCTTGACGCGCGGGGAAGTCAAACCAAGCGGCAGCCAGCAGATTATTTTGATTAAAAATTCTGTTTGATGCCCAATAAATAGACCCGGAGGTGCCGCTTTATTAAAAGGTTAATAACACCGCCGCTCGCATTCCTTGGATGGCTGAAAAGTGCCTGGGAACTCATTAAGCGTAGGCACGAAATTTCAATTATAATTACGCATACGCCATGTTGTGCCCAAGTGGCTTAAACGGTGGGCAATTTGTTGCCGTAGTAAACTCCAATAAAAAGGCCCAGACGGGAAACGGGTCAAAACAAGACGGCAAAACGGAAAGACAGACCGAACTACGCGTGCCAGACAAATACGCGGCCAAACCTAAGTCGGTCCTAAGTTGAGGCACAAAAAGGATAAACCTTTGCCGGGTTGGTAAAAAAAAGGGAAAGCATTTTGCGGCGGTGGGGGATGGATGACTAGCTGATGCTTATACTGATGCCCATGTTGATGATGGTTGTGTTGCTCGTAAAAGCGCAAATTTTTGTTTGCATTGTTTTCATCGCAGCCTTCTCCTTAAACCGCTCCTTCGACACTTTTTTCTCTCGGTCGTCCTCGTTCTTTTTGGCCCAAAACTCGCGAAGCTCATTTCGGCTTATTATGCTTCTTCTTCTTTTTGGCAGTGCACGCGTTATGGGGAAAACCCACCACAGTTGTAAAGTCGTAGTACTCGGCTGTTGGCCATGTGCGCGCTCCCACGCAAAAGGACTGAGAAGCTGGCTGTCAGTGTGTGAGTTTTGTTTTGAAACGTAAAAGCTTTCTTCGCCTGAAAGAGAGCGGGAAAGCTCTCCCACTAGGGTTGCCAAATCAATCAAGAAAAGAGTTTTATAAATCCTAATCTAAGCGTTATATTTCAATAGCAAACAAAAATGAAAATAACACAAATACTTAATTGAATGCTCAATCATCAATGGTTCAATAAGTATGCCTTATTATTGTTCCTTTCAGAAAGATAACAATTGTTTTTGTTAACAAGTTTTTTTTTGTAAGCTTCCTCTAGCAATCAAGAAAAGGAAGAAAAGCTTTTACACTAGGGCACCTTATGTATGCCTACAAATTTATTTCTAAAATAAAAGGTTTTTTTTAAGCCCTATTTGAAGGAAACCATTGGCTGAACCAATCAAAGTAGAAATCAACCATTGCGACCCTTTTTGTTTTTTCGGTGTAAGAAAAGCTTTGCCTGCAGGACACCTCCCCCGCCGGAGCCCAGCGCACCTGTAAATATTTGGGTCCTTCGGGCGCATGGCAGGCAGATGGAAGGGAGCGGAAAGCAGGCAGCCAGCATGTCTCTGTGTGGTGAGTTCGGAGGGCCAATAAAAGCGACTGCTTGGCAGGACTTGAGCTCAGTTCAAACTCAACGAAGCAATGTGCCACAACTCAGCAGCAGCGAAATCCAGAGCAACACCACCATCAATATCAACATCAACAGAAGAGGAAGCCGAGGAGGGAGCCTACCAGGCCGAATAATTAATTATTTAACCATCGACGAAGCGCTACATCGATAAGCTTACATAAAAAATCATTTACAATTAGTGTTAGTGGAGAAGAACTCTAAAAGCAATTAAATAGTTGCTTCGGTTCCGTCTGCGAGGCGGCGGCGATAAGGAGTTCTCCTTAAGCCATTGCCTCAAGTTTTGTGTGTGAGTTCGAAATCGTAAGATGTGAGCCAAGGAAACGAAGACGGTGAAACTTTCAGTCGTAAACCGGAGAAGCAACAGTTCCAAAAACCATAAACTAAACGCCTAAGTCACCGCTAAATCAATATTCTGTGTGTTTTTCGGGGTAAGTTTAGCCAGCTTCCAGGCCCATTTCCATTTATTCTCGTTTCAATACCGCTTTGGGGTAAATGATTTGTCCGGGGCTTACCAAAGTTTCCGACGGCATTCGCTCGCATAATCCAGGAACAAACACATTATATGTGTAAGATTTGTGGGCCTACAAAAACTTTTAATTGGCTAATTTAATTAATGCGCGCTAGTGGAGCTCGAGCTTAAGACATTAATTTAAACTTTGGCGGAACAGACGTTGATGAATGTCCAGATAGGGATATAGGGATGCTTTGTCCCCTTACTCGTAACATTTTTTCCTATTTGTATAACTTTCGCCCCAGACAAATATATAATTGACTCCGAACAGTTGGCACACACACGCAACCAATTCAGAAAAGAGCACTGACCTTTTGTCTGAGTCTGGCGTTGTCTGGTTTGCGAACTGCCAACTTCTCGTTAAGCCCGTTCCCTCCAATGGAAAATGGGGTACTTTCTGGCTAATTACCTAGCCACACAGCCATTCCAGAACGAGGAGCATATGCGTATTAAATGGCAACAAGAGGCTGCCAAACAATCAGCCAAAGTGACATTTCAGCCAAGATAATTGTGTGCATATTTATCAACGGGGCAAGCGGCACGAAAGGCGAAAATTAAAAGGCGCAGTGAGTGCGACATGTGTGTGGCATGATGAAAACGATACCAGAGTAAACTCTGCCTCATAATGGACTGCAGGACTTACCTGAGCCATATGCTCCTTGTAGGTTCTGCACTCAAAGAATGCTGTTTTCATAGATGTCTTACAAAAGATTCTATACAAAGGCAAAATTACTTT